GATTTCTGGTGCTGATTTTATATTCGTTCCTTCTCGGTCAATAGGGAGATATGTGCTACAGCCGCACACGGGTTATCTTGCGGGCTTGTGACTTTCCTGAGAAACACCATATATCAGGCTGTTGGGTACTCTCAGGCCGTGAAGACGTTCTTTTTGCTATACAATGTAAGGTATGATAGTCCATATCAGTATTTATCTCGCCAATCTAGTTATCCATTCCAGGCTATTGAAATGTTATCGCTCCCAATGTCCCATGATTGGATGGCTAAAGATCTATAAAGAGCCAACTGATATCCATAGCCAATAGTGAAAGTCCGAAGCACTGAAAGCTTTTCTTCGACGCTACTAAAACCTGTTTCTCAGTTATCCAACACTCTTCTGGGTAGATCCTGATCACGCACTCAGAGCTTAGCCCAGTTAATGTTGCTTGACTGTGACCATGTGACCGGTATAGCAAGTGTGCATGTTCTTTGAGAATGTCGGGTTACCCTTCACTATGTACATTAGTACGTGCCTTTAAAGACCTGTTCTAAACTGAAACTGGCTGAAATCCACCAGAATATCCTGGGATATCTGCACCTCTGGATCTGACGTCAAGTTGCCACACTAGGGCCCGTTTTCCAGGGCAGATAGCCGTTGTACACATGGAACGGCTCTTATTGTGGAGAGATTGTACTTGAATGGGGGGAGTTGGTATACATCATAGACCAAGTATCCAACATGATGGTGTATAAGGGGGAGAATCGATTGAAATCGACAAAGCCATAATCTGCACGTGATACCCAAGCCACGTCATAATAAATGTCCCAGGGGGAAATAATTTATTTTTCTTTACTCTGTAGATGTTCAATCGGAGAATACAAGACTAACCCCTGAATGAATTGATCCTTTTACGCACCCTTTCCCCCCTCAACCCTCATTCCACTGTCAATACACCACCATGCCAGATTCAACCCTCTACCTGTACACCTCGTTGACCGCGGGGTCGTCGCACATCGTCACTGCGACCTCCAGAATCGAGACAATCCTCAAAGCCAACAAGCTTCCCTTCCGCGCCGTTGATGTCGCCACCGACGAGGCCGCCCGGAAGCTCTGGGGCCGACGCTCCAAGGGCAAGAAGCTTCCAGGATTGGTGAAATACGGCGATATCGTGGGAGTATGTGACAGCCCCCTTGCATGGAAGCCAGCTTCCAAACCAGTTCTGTCATGCTAGGAGCACAACGCTAACCCGACCGACTTGTAGGATCTCGAAGAAGTCGAAGAATGGAACGAGTTCGGCGAACTACGTATGGTAATCAACAGCGTCCAGGATCTAGGTGGAATGCCCGCCACCAGCAATCCTGTCCCAGCAGCGACCGAGGCTAAAGTCGAGCCCACACCCGCCACCCACAAACCCTCCACGATCAAGATTCAAGACCCTCCCGTTACTAAGCCCGAAGACAAGAAGGATGATCTAGCCGTGCTAGCCCTGCGCCAGGCTAGCTCGGAGGCTGCCTCCAAGGCAAAGGCCAAGTCAGATGATAAGAAAGAGCCCGTGAAAGAGCAGGCTACAGAGGTGCCTGCCGCCGGCCGCGCGCACCGTGGCTCGGTCGCCCCCGAATTACCCGACACCGCTCCCGATTCACCAAAGGCCGCCAAACGCCCGACCCTAGTTCCCGAACAAGCGGCCGTGTCCTCGGCGAACTTCCACGCGGATAACGCAGAGATGCTCGGGTTGGTTGGACATCACCGCGGATCCCGAGTGTCAACGCTGGAGGACGCGGATCAAGACAAGATGGTCCATGAGATCCGACAGTCCATTTCTGCTGAGCCTACGGGCAATCTCGATGCTTTGCGCAAAGAGGCCGCCGAGAAGACAAAGTCCGAGTCGATTGAGGAAGTCCCAAGTCCGGTTGGTGCTGATGTGGCCATCGAGAATAAGGAAGAGCTCATGGAACCCAATGAGCCCAAGGGCAACGCGATCGCTGAAATGATCGCGACAGCTGTGGCGCCTCAAGGACTCATGGCCGAGCCTAAGAAGGAGGTTACTAGTGCGAAGGATGATACCAAGGCAGGGCTGGTTCCCAAGTCGGCGGAGTAGGCAACTATCGAGGATTGGGGGAGTTGCAATTCACGAATTCGACGATTATGACAACTGTACATCAAATGCCTGACAAGGTTACAATCGATTTTTTTTCGTACATGCAGTATGAAAATGTAAATAATTCGGAAAGCGTGGACAGTTGACTCCCACTTGTAAATGCCATTCATAACTCGTGATTAAGAATGTAATAATATAAAAAATTCCAAGAGAACACCCAAGAAAGACAAAACACCCAAACCCCATTTTGTGCTATGTGCCCGTTTCCTTTACTCCGCCCCGCGACGCTTTTGGACAGCCTCGCGCAGCTTCGCGATGACGTCGGCAGGATCTTGCGCGCCGAAAATCGCTGAGCCCGCAACGATCACATTGGCACCCGCATCCGCCGCCTGGTCAATTGTGCCCAGACCCAAACCACCGTCCACCTCGATGTTCAAATCGGGGTACCGTTTACGCAGGGCGGCGACCTTGGGAAGCTCGGAAGCCATGAATTTCTGACCACCGAAACCGGGGTGCACAGTCATGACCAGAACCATCTGTGAAACGTTAGGATTGAAAAACAAAAAGCACCGAATCTGACCGCAAAGGGTCCGAAAGACAAAACTCACGTCTGGTCGTTCCGCGGGATCCTCGCTCTCAATAATATCCCACAACACATCGACGGGGGTATCGGGCTTAATAGCGATACCCGCCTGCATACCCTCCTCGTGGATATAGCGAATCAATTGCTTGGGGCTAGTACGAGCGGTAGTTTCTTTATCTGTAGGATCGGTTGCGGCGACGGAGGAAACGGCAGCTTCATAGTGGAAACAGTAAAGATCGCAACCGGCCTTCTTAAACTCGCCGACCCACTTATGCGGCTATCAGGGAAATACGGTCAGCGGGGGGAGCTCATGACGTTCCGGAATGACGCGGGTAGGGAAGTCTAACCTCCATAATCATCATGTGGCAATCGAAAGTGCCACGCCCGCAGGGTTCGGAGGGACGGTCAACGCAGCCCCGGATCTGAGATACGACGGGGCAGCCGATTGTCATATTTGGGACGAAGTGGCCGTCCATAATGTCGACGTGCAACCAGTCTGCACCCTGCTCCATCTTCTTGGAGCAGTCATGGCCCAGATCGGCGAAGTTGGCGCTCAGAATGGAGGGGGCGATGATAGCTGGTGGTGCCATGATGTGTATGGGGAGTGGGGAGGGGGAGGAATTGGAGAAAGAATATGGAGGGGGAGGGGAATTTAAAGAGAGAAAAAATATGAAGCTCCAGGTGTTTACATCAGTGGCGAAGAGTGGATATGCCGGCTTCACCGTACATCCATAAATATACACTAACTGGTAGTTTTCTCCAAATGAGCCCGGAACTTTTCCTTTCGATGTATGCAAACGATAAGGGTTCTGGATCTCACGTGTTGGGATCTACGTTGACGGACCCTGTACCGCTACGTGTTCAGTCTCAGTCTCAGAAATGGTTATAGTCTGGGTGAAAAATAGATCGGCATTTGCATTCTGGATGACCTATTTAGGTGATTCCGGGAAGGAAAAAAAATATCCAAGTCTGCTGACCTTGATAGACAGGGGTTTAGATTCTTCGATCTAGAATCAAATAGGTATCGCCTAGAATCTGCGTCGAAGCCGCAGAATACAGAGCTGCGACCAATCAGACAGTCTTCTCGTACAGGTTCGCCTTCCAATCTTGGTATCCCGGTAGCTCTCCCAAGCCGGTTATATTTCATTGAATTGGGGTGACTTTGATTTTGTCCAACACATGATCCCCCGATCACGTTACATCGTGACTTGAACCAAACGTGCCCGATAGCCGTTGGAATAACCGCTTTTCCCAAAGAGAAATGTCGTGCTTAGCAAAGCGGGCTGTCTGTGCTTCTAGCGGGGCACACTGCTCCGGCGCGTCAGCACTTTGTCTAATATAGTTAACACCCTTTTACCTATGCTACTGAATAATAAGCTTCCAATATTATGATCCGTTTAGAGCCGAACGGAGTATCTAGATTGTAGACGGGAGAGTGGGGTCGTGATGAATTGCCGTCTGTAATACTACGTAGGGTATCAACACGGATTATAAACCTGTCTCTCGGGCCGTTGGGCAGCGTTGAAACTGTCCTGAATCCCGAATGTGACCAGAGTTCGGTGTATATTGTATCTGATGTAGATCTTCGGTGAAACGACTCAAAACTCCACCCAGACTCTCTCGTCGACATTCCACGTGTCCCAATCCAGATGCGGGACAGTGGCCGATGTGTCCAGGTCCTAGAACGGCCCGTTTCTAGTCTGGATGAATAGCGGCTATCTCTAATCATCCTTCGACAACAAAGACCCGAAAGAGAGCTGAAACGACGCTAAAAAAAAAGGCGGGTTTAACAAAATGATTTTTACCGCAGGGGATGGTGCCTTCACTATGCAGACTTCGATATCTGCATTGCAGTCCCATCGGAGTGAGGCAAAACGTGACAGTTCTAGGAATGAGGGAACCACGTGTCCAGGCAGATCAGACATGAGCGAGGGAACCCGCCGTGGGAGTTCAAAATAGGCATGCCAGGGTGAGTGAGTTGAGTTGATTCAGCACGAAGACAACGAATCCCACAAAAGCAGTCAGGTAGTCGGAATTATAACATTGTCCGATATCGCACGGTATGTGGGATACGGAAGTCGCCGATTTGTTTCTCGCTGAGGCTCTGCGCGGACTAACGCAGCGTGGGAAACGTTATACCATAGAGCGATAGCCGTTGAAGAGAAGAGAAAGGAAAGTATCGACTAAGAAAGAATAAGGTGCGAAGCTCACCTGGGTAGGTGCATCACCACATTTACTTTATTTGGTATTATGAGGTGTTATTGAAACGACCAGACATAACGCATTACATTAATTGCGAGCCACCAGGGCCAGGGCTAAATACATAAAGATAAACCCCTAGATAGACGAAGCCAAAGACACACTCCGCTTCGGCTTCATCGCCCATCCAGACAGGCAGGTCCAGCCCGCGCCACTCTTCCGCCCTTCATCAAATAGCCCACCAAGACCCTCAAGCAACATAGACCGTTCACGACCCATCTCTACTCGCAATTTCAGTAACCACTGCTCCCACATCCACCCCCCAATCAATCCGGTCATGCTGGCAATATCGGCAGTACTGCCAATCGGCCCCTGCACCGCCTCGTAATCTTCAATTTGGCTCTGCACACGCGGTGCGGGAGTCTCGCGCAGCGGCTCCTGCTCGATGGGCTCGGTGCCCATGGGGAGGAACATCCACGCGCGCTGGGTGTCAACGAATCCGCTGTGGCGGAGACGACCAACAAAACTCTTGGATGCCAGTGGGTCGTACCCGCGGTTGCGCAGGTTGAAGGCGAACTCCACTGACGTTGTATTGCCGTACGGCCCGGCCCGCGAGATCTCGGCATCCAGCACTTGGAATTCGAGGTAGCCGCCGGGCTTGAGGCATCGCATGCATTCTTTCAGAACCAGGTCATACTCGTCACGGTCCTTCCCTGCGGGACACTCGGTCTTCAGCAATGCGTGCAACGAGCGCGCAGAGATGACGTCGAACTGGTTGTTGCCAAATGGCAGCTCCCAGAGGTTGGCGACGGTCACCTGGCGGTGGTTAGAGGGGCCTTTGATGGCGCTGTTTACGGTCTGACCGTTGGAGGTGGCAGTGTAAACCTTGACATTTGGGAACTCGTATGCGGCCTGCCAAGCCCAGTCGCAGGAGGAGTGACCGCCAAGGTCCAGAATGCGGAAACTGCGCTTGCGTGGTCCCTGCGTGGACCTGGGCTTTGATGAGGCTCGGGCAAGCACGCGCTGGGCAGGACTGGTGAGCAGATTGCCGCCGTTGAGAGACCGGAGAGCATCCATGGCCCACATGGGCTGGGAGAGCTGAGCAAGAACCAGCTGCTCTTTCTCCACCTTGTCGAATTGAGCTTTCTCGGCCAGTTCAGTGGTGATAACCGAGTTCCGGGGTGCCTTGGCGAAAGGACCCTTGTATGCAGGGCGTTCCGGGCGAACAAGCTCATACTTGCCCAGCAAGCAGTTGATGTGCAAGTCAGTCATGGCGAGACGCATAGATTGCACAGCGTCGTAGCGCATGTTGCGGTGCATGAACCCGTCGGTCTTGGTTGACCGTGCCCGAATAGACTGGAAGCCTTGCCAGTAAATTGAGTCCTTGCTGGCAAGGAACGGAGGCAGAGGACTAAGGGACTCGGGAACGCCTTCAGCGAATCGCACCATCTTCTTGGATGAATCTTCTGTGGTGCCTTCGGCTTCAGGCTCGACATTGTCAGAAGCCTCGGATGGTTCGACAGGCTCAATGTCATTCACCGGATTCGTCTCATTGAGAGCGGAGAGGTAGGATGCTTGAGCAGACAGCCAGACACTGGTGCGGTCGTGATTTGCAACTGCACGTTCCTGCAGCTCTTGATCATAGCACTCATCGTACTCATACCCGTTCCCAGAGCGGGGGATCTCCTGAACCTGTACTGCGTCAAATGCAGCACTCATGGGACTATCCTGGTAGATAGACCGACGAGTGGGGGTGTCACAGGGAAGTCGAATGGCAGTAAGCGGGGCCTCTTCGTCACGAACCGCGGTGACTGGAGCTTCATCAACAGGGCGCTCAGGCCACTCAACTACCTGCTCGACAATCTCTCCTTCATCCCGACGCCAAGGAAGATTGTAGAAACCCTCTGCAGCCGCCGACGTTGGCTGGTAATTGGTGTTGGGGATTGCCCACGTATGACGTGCACGGGGCGCCAGAGAGGCAAAGAAGCCACCGGGAGATGGAATGCTCAAGTCGGTGAAACTGTATCCAGACAGTTCAGACGCGGGGGTGACCCCGTCAGCACTCCTCGGGCGGTTGGGAGGCGGCTGGAGTTGCCACATCTCGCCATTATCTTCCGAGGTCTCAGAACACGAGTCGGGTGTTCCATCCAAGTGAGTGTGGTGTAGCATTGCCGGGTCGGGCAGAGAGGCACCTTGGTTACTAGGCGCCGGGGGGTCGTACAAGTCATCATATTCGGGAATTAGTTCGTTATTCAGATAAAAGGATGGCGCGGACGAGAGCGAGGGTGAGTATGCCTGAGCGGTGGGAATCCGGGGGAAATTTCCCAGAACATGACGCCAGTCCTCATGCTCGGTCTCGATGGCAATGGGTACAGTCTGAATGTCTGAACTGGCATCGCCATTGTCTAGGTCGCTCTCACTTCCCTCCATATCTCGGCGAACATGTATATCATGGGCCTCCCAGCTGGTGTCTGGCAGAGATTGAGTGTCCGGTGTAGCCAATGCACTGATGATGGATTCCTGGTCCGAAGTCATACTCCCATCGAGTGAAGGTGGAGCATACGAGGCAGGTACAGAACGGCTGAGCATCGACAGCGCTGCTGGCGAGACCGGAATCTTGGCTGGAGGCGTCGGCGGGACTGGAGATCCCTTGAGGGACCCGTTAATTGATGGCCACATCGTAGACGAGGGAATCTTGAGTGTCAGAGAAAGCTTCTGACTCCCAGTTGAGGTCACCGAGTTGCGGGTAATTGGCGTAATCAAGCTCGATGGCCGCGTATCCGGAGAAAAGCACGAATCGCTAAATTCGGTCTCATTGTCATCAAAACTATCACAGTCTGTGGCATCATACAAGTCGTCGTATCCTTGGAATCCTTGCATCTGAGACTGCCATTCTGTATCTGAGCATGACGAGGTAGTCCCAGCCGAGAGGGGTGACATTAGGCGTGCGAGCCGGGCATGTGTTGGCACTGACAACCCGCTGGTCTGCAACTTCAACTTGGGACTGATAGCTACCGGTGTGAGTCTGGAAGGTATTGCGCCTTTCGGATTTGTTTGAGCGAAATGTGATTCGCGTGTATCCTCCATTATAGTATTAAGCACCGTCCCTCGGGCCTGCCGAAGGGGCGGAAATCGCACAGTCGAGCGGAGTGTATCGGTCATATTGCACGCCTGATCAAACTGTTGGATGTTGGTTTCTGTGTGACTTGCTCACGGGAAATATCTATGGGTATCTCGAGTAGGAAATGGCGACACCGATCAACGGGTCTGTCAAGTGAGTGATGGAAAGCAAGATAACAAGAAAAACACTAGGAAATAAAATAGATGCAACAGCTACCGGAGCTATAGGCACCTAGCACAAGAAAATGAAGTCAACGAAACGAAGAACGCTAGCCTTCAGAGAAGTTGTGGCAGTTGGGGAGGGTTTATAGTCAATTGGGCGCTTTCCACCAGCCACGGGGAACGTGCAGTGACCAGCCGATCCGTCTTCAGAAAGAGTCACTCCGTTACAGAGACTACTGCAAGATTGGGCACAATTCATCCAATAGCCCTGGTCTGGAGGGTAGCTGACATTGATATTATTGGTGGGGAGGAAATGGGCGCGTCGCGCTGAACAGGGGTTGCACCCGTGAGCAAAGGGCCAAGGCCATTTTTTGAGTAAGAGTCGAGTAAACGAGATGCAAAATATGAAAAGGGACCAATGAGGTTATTAGATACTGTGACGAACCGCCCGGGGGTGGGATGAGAGTGAGTTGCAGTGTGAAGAGGCCGGTGATTGGCTGACTGTAGGCGCCCTACTATCTTTAGCCAAATTAGTGACTGAAGTGGATGGAACATCAATTATGCATCTTTCCAGCACCTAAACAGGCCGAAAGTCGTCCTAATTAATGTCGCATGACACAAAAGTCGGTAAGATCGGGAAGAGAAGGGAGAAAAGGTGAGGTGAGGGGAAATGGCTGCCAAGTCCAACGCTGTACACTCTACTGCACGCTACAGGCCATGTAAGGAATAATAATAGAAATCCATTGACTTCACACTTTTCTGTCTTTTAGCGTTCTTTGACATATCTTACTAAAGGCTTATAAAGCCTATCATAAATCAGAGGAGATGTGATTGTATTCCCTCTTGCTCAGAAGGCGCTACTGTAGGAGAGAAGTCATCACTCCCATGCGTGCAGAGAGTCGATGAATACCCAATTTCTCCATTAAATCATAATTTCGATAGCCCCTCTTTGACGCAAGATACTCCTACAAGCCGGTCTTATATCATATATCTGACACTTTATTGGATGAGTATGCAGCCAATGGTTCGTCTTCCGAGATTGGGAGTGAATATCCAAAGTAATTTCAACTATTTCAGACCACAATATGCATTTGATGAAATCAAGTTCACTTTCTATTACTCCACGTACTGACACTACGTTGGATGTTGAACTGCTCCGGAAGTATTTTCAACGATGTATTGTAGACCATAACCAAAGAATTAAATATGAATGTACAAATGTATATTTTACAATTCCCATTTCCAAGGGCGTCACCCGTCGACCTTCCAATATATCACCTATTCCGGTATGACCGGCTATGAACATTTGTCTTTGGCACATCCTCTTCCTCATGCCTTTTGTTCTCCCTTCCGCTTTCCCAAGCCCCCTCTCCTCGGCAGCCGAACCAGCCAATACACACCCAAAGCCCCCACAGCATTAACCACAACATACACTAGGACAATACCGAAATTCCTCCAGCGATCCTCGTAACGGATATTGACCGTGCTGAGATAGTCATTCGTATTGCCCAACTGGCAAAATTCACAGTGCTGGGTGTTGTTTGGATCGATCAAGTACCCGCCGAACGAGGAGATGTAGGAGGCCATGTACGAGCCGCACGACTGGCCTGCCGGCGGGAGAAACTTGACATATTCATTGGATGCACACACAATCTCCGTGTTGGCTACACCGGTCGAAAGAAGTCCGGAGGCGAGCCACGTGAACGGGGAGACGTAGTACATAAATGTCCAGAATCCGGGCAGGGAAACCTTTTTGACGAGGATACTGTTTTTGAGAATAATGTATTAGTGTCCTGCTGCTCATTATAAGAGGGACAGGGCAGGTGTATACGCGAAGTGGAAACAGGGAAAGCACAAGCATGGTACATACCCGCAAAAACATGTGCATAGCATATAGCAGATGTTCCCAACGCTCCCAGCCGAATCGGCACTGTCGATCCCAGCAATGAGCATGTGTGTAAACGTACTGGTGAACATCATAAAGGCCCAGATAAACAAGAATCCCATAAACCCGCGCGAGGTGACTTCGTCGGAAGAAACGGCGTTCTCGTATAGTCCGATCGGATAATACCAGCAGAAGTAGGCCGCCACGGCCATCAAGGTGTTCCAGAAGATCTCAATCAAGAGGCTGCTCAGCATCAAGACTGATTCGTTGATTATGTTAGTTCAATGCGCGTGTGTGTTTGGCTTGTCCGGGTTGTTTCATTGTAGGGACTCACCTTTCCAATCATATATTTTGGATGGCCTCTCGCGCGCTTCATAAACCTCCCGCTGGTTGATAAACTGAGGCATAATCTGCTCGCTGAGCTGCCCAAACATACTAAATAGCATCATCACGGCGTACATCTGGTTTTGGAGCCCCTGGATAGTATTCGGCGCATCGTAAAAGCTGAAGCCAATGAATAGAGCCTGCGGCAAACGAACGTCAGTCAGATATGAGACGTTTTAGTTTCTAGTGGATACTCACCGAGGCCACTGTAAGGGCAATTTTCGAGTAAATATACGACGGCGTTCGCCAGTATTGCGCAGCAACACGTTTCTGAACGAACCACCACTGTTGTCGAAGGGACGCAGCATAAGACCCGTTGTCCAGCTGACTGGATGGCTGAATTTGCATGCTGCCGCCTGTAGTGGTCTTCGAAGTCTGAATCTGATGCAATTTTGCCTTGACAGACTGATACTCACGCGAGTCTCGCCAACTCTTCGGCCAGTCGACTGTAGTTTGCGATCCGGGCGCGGCGCCGATCGCAGTCAACATCCACTCGGCTGGGTTGGCGCCAGGAGGACACTGGCTACCCCCGTTGCGCTCCATATACTGGATAAGGGTGGCCGAGTTCTTACCAAGTTCTAGAAAAGAAAAGGAGATTCATGATCAGTATATGTATGTTTGCTGTCTTGCGTGGGTGGAGAGAGATCCATGAAAAAGGAGCGCAGTCGACAAACCTCCAAAGTACACGGTTTGGCCGCCTTTCACGAGAAGTAGCAAGTTGTCGAATGTTTGGAACAGAACGGCAGACGGCTGGTGGATCGTACACATAATTGCCTGGCCACTGCGTGCAAGTCGTTTCAGCAGTTGGCAAATCCCCCACGATGTCTGTGAGTCCAGTCCTGAGGTTGGCTCGTCCAGAAACAGGAGCAATTCGGGCTTGGCGGCCAGTTCGATGCCAATGGTGAGACGTCGGCGCTGCTCGATGTTTAACCCTTCACCGGGGATGCCAACAATGGCGTCCGCGTAATCGTCCATTTCGAGAAGTCTGATAACTTCGTCCACGTAGACGAGTTTCTCCTCCCGCGGCACGCTCGCCGGCTGGCGGAGAAGTGCGCTGAACTCAAGCGACTCGCGCACACTGCAGGTTGAGAGATGGACATCTTGCTGCTGCACATAGCCTGTTTTGCGCTGGAAGGAGGGATCGCTGGGTTTGCCGTCGACGAGCATGGTGCCAGTGACGACGCCGGTCGTGACGCGGTTGGCGAGAACGTTGAGAAGCGTTGTTTTTCCAGCACCGGAAGCACCCTGGAATTCATCTTTTGTTAGGCTTATCACAGCGCTGTAACTGATAGTAACATCTCTATACATACCATCAAGGCGGTCAAAGTTCCAGGTTGAACCCATCCGTCGACGTGGTCCAAGATACGCCGGACCTCTCCTTTAATCTTTATATCGTAACACATATCTTGCCATTGAAAGATCTGGCCACTGTGGGGGGGAGTGTGCGTCTCGTCTGTCATGGTTAACTGCGCCATTGTGGCCATTTCGGCCCCGAGGGCCTCTTCGTCGTTGGCCTCTACCATTTGCCGTGTGGATTTCTTATTGGCAAAATGACTGCGGCGGAAGATTAGAATTTCACCTTTGCTCTTAGCCATGCTGAGCAGCTCGGTCGCGAGCAGGTAGATGACCGTGAGGAAAACCCAGAAGGCGATGAGGATTCCCACGTTACTAGTGGAATATTAGGGGCTTTTGCTTAACTAGGCCAAATTTCCCTCACAACGACAGTTGGAAAAGCTTACCTCCATTTATTGGCATGATGATATTGGAACTTTTCGTTGATATAGATGTCTCCCCGGATTGTCGTCGAGCCGAGGGTGTTCCCGACCTCCGCACAGGCCCGGTTATTGATACCGGCGGCGCTGTAATCTGGCCCTGAGGGGATGACAACCGAGCACGAGAAACTGCGGTCGTGAAACTCATTGATTATCAGAGACTCGAAAGCGTAACTGAGCGGGTTGACATAGGCTATCCACCGCGACCATGCAGGCATGTACATGGCTGGCATCGTGAAGCCGGTGTACATGATCAAGCCCAGGACAAGTAAAGCGGCTGGCACCATTGCCTGCGACATGGTACGTGACACGGATGCAATCGTCCGGAACAGGCTGGATGTCACTATTGTGCTGAGGAAGGCAACGAAAAGGAAAAAGAACAGGGGCCCAGCTTCTCGCCGTAGGTTTGCCATGAGATATAACGTCAGGTTGAAGCACAGCGTGTTAAACACTTTATACGGAATATCAGTAAGCATACTAGCGACGGCCTCGGCAGAGGGGTGGTAGAGAGCAAATTGATTGTGTTTCTCCACAATCGGCCGTTGCTCGTAGAGAGTTAAGATCTAGAGAAAGTTAGTGTTGTACAAAACAACATTCAATCTGTTGTGTTTACCTCAAGTACACTGGCAAATGCGCTCAAGAGTAAAGCGAAAAAGATTAACCCTCCTCGGCCATAGAAACTGTTCGTGTCATTATGTAGATTGAAGAAGATGCTGCCCAAGACCAGAGCCATGATAGTATTGCCTCCAAGCTGCGTTAATGTCAAAGCAGGATCTGCAAGCAGGCGCCTCCAACCGCGCCAAAGACACAGAGACGTCTGTTGCATGTACGACAGCGTATATGGGGATTTCAGTCTTTGGCCGCTTGCCTGTTGGGCCCTGCGCGAGGCCACAAAGTCGTCAAGACATTTGCCTCCCAGGCTAAATTTACTTTCATACGCCTCAATTCGAAGCATAAGCTGATGGTGCTGCTGGCTTTTCTTCCATCTTTCCTCGAATTCCATTGCTGTGCGCGGGGCTTTATCTTCAAACCCTGGCCGCACAAGACGTTCCTTCGGGCTGGTCATTGAGGTGAGGAAGTCCGGCGTTGTCTGTCGCTCGGGACCTGGAGATTTTCAGGTTAGGAATAAGCAAGCAGAACACGGGGTCAAGGGACTGTGTAATCTTACACTCAAACCCCAACTCTTCAAAATATGCGCGTGCTTCAGATGTCTGTCCGAAGAATATCTGCCGCCCTTCATGCAGGACTGTGACCTGGTCGAAAAGCTACCGCATGGTGAGCAAACATGCTTTTGATCGATACCAGAAGTAGAAAGGATGAGAGGGCACTCACTTCATATGCCTCCTGAGGCGCTTGATATAGGGAGACCAGGACAGTGGATTCTAAGAGCTCGGTGGCCGTGCGAAGTGTTCTGCAGAATTCCAGTGCATTGGCACTGTCCAGCCCGCGCGTACTGTTGTCCCAGCATTGCAACGCGGCGTCGCTCAACGCTGCTTCGGCAATGCTCACACGTTTCCGTTCTCCTCCACTTATTCCCCGGATGAAATCATTCCCGACCACCGTGTTCGCCGTATGCGAAATACCAACCATGGCCATGATGACGTTCCGCACCAGCATGGAGAATTCCCCGGCCTTCATCCCGGTCGGTAACTTTCTCGGCGCTCTGGCATGGGCTGCGAAAGAGAGCGTGTCTCCCACCGACAGCATCGGAAAATGCACATCGTTCTCGCCGGCGAAAATGGCCTCTCCTCGGAAGTAAGTGTGCATTGCATTGCTGGGGACGCCTAGTAGCAAATGAACAAGTAAGGTAAGTGGTTTCGATGTTTCTAGCGCGAATGCACCGGAACGCTGCCACACATACCTCGATAGTTCATCATGACTCCGTCACTCAAAAACAACCCTTCCATTTGTCCAGCAATCGTCTTCAACAGAGTCGAGCACCCCGAGCCAGGAGGCCCAAGCACCAAAAGCATCTCGCCGGTGTCGACCAACCCCTCGAAGTTGTGGAGGATGTCGATCCGTCGTTTGCGCCGTTGCGTCATCAGTGACAGGATGCTGTTTCCCACGCTCTTCTGATAGTCGGTGGACATGCCGAAGCCGTATACGTCGAGATTGCGGAAGGAGATGCCGGACTTCCGGCGTCGTCCTGATTCGAGATTCTCGCTCTCGTATCGAACGAGTGCTTCCACCCAAGCTCGAGTGCTGAAGCTGGAGGACTGCGGGTCAAGTTCGGAGCCGGGGAGTGGATGAAAAATATCATTATGGGGCTTGTTCACTTCCGATGCCACGGTATGTCGTGAGGCGTGGCTTGCCAGTCTGCGAATCTTTCGATCAACATCGTGGTCTTCTTCTTTTTCTTCCGGGTCATGGTTATACACCCAGTCAAACTTGGCATTGGTGGAGTGAGGGAGCTTTATTGGAGTAGTGCTCTCTGCCATGGTTGCGTGCTTCCAGGGAGACCTTAGTGCATCTACCCATAGGCCTTGCAAGTGTAGATAGTGACCGTTGTTGATAGGTATTCTTTTTCTGTTTGGCCTTTCTTCGGCGCACCGGTGGCATTTAAATACTTACTCGGACTAGCTGGCCCTGCTGACAATCGGTCTAAAATTAATGGCTTTTTCGAGACATCTAAATGAAATATCGTTTCGGTGTTCGGTGGTTGCAGGCTGACGTTGCTCGGTGTTCGATGTGGCTTAGAAAAGTCTCAGTGCCGATCTACCAAGCCTCTAAAGATATGTCTCAAAGTTAAAATAAACATGAAGCTCATTATAATTTCTTCAAATTCGCAATCTATCAGGATAGCTAGACCGAGAATATGCATATGATAACATCCCTGATCTTCCTATAGCTTCCACCGCTCGTGCTTCCTGATGGCTTTGCCAAATATGTAGATAACTAAAGGAACCGGTACAAGTGTTAAAGCTATGAACCCCAAAACAGTATTTCCCCACCCAAGCCCCAAGGTGTGGTACATTTGCGGTCCAGCCAAGGGAAGAAATGCAGCAACTACACTTCGCATTACCGAGAAAGCAGCGAGTGCACTCGCAGCGCACTGAGGGTACGCATCGACAATAAATGCCTGAGTCGGCAGCCAGATGCACTCAAACCCGATGCCAAATACCACAAGCCCAAGGACCGGTACGATCCAAAGACTCCCTTTCTCGCTGCTCCAACCGTACCAAAAGAAGGAAATTGGTAGTAGACAAGCGAGATAAATGCAAATAGGAAGTCGCATCTCAGGTTCGTATACCCCACCATTCGCCTCAGTCAAACGGACTATAGTCTTGTCAGACATGGTCAAAAAGATGACCAGGCCGATGATATATCCAATCAAAAGGGCTAGGTATACGATGCCTGTAATACCTATAGACCAACCATAGTGGTCCTGGAAGACAATGGGGATGGTGTTGAATAGAAGATAGAGACACCCATATGCAAATGCGATATAAAGAGATATGGCAAACACGATAGCAGAACCAAAAAGCAACTTTAGAGGTCTAATTAGACCTCCAAGAATTATATCCTGTTTCGACAAGCGAGGAATATTTGGATCGGCGAAACAACTCTGAAGCTCGGGTCGGCCAAGCTGCTGGCGTATTCTAGCCGTCTTCCGTTCGATCAAGACCCGGTGGTTGGTTTCACGGTTGAAAATAGCCATGACAACCACGATGAGAAAGGTAGGAATCAGAGTGATCCAATTAGCCCACCGCCACCCTATCGACTCAGCCACAAATCCACCAATGACAGGTGCACAAGAAGGCCCTAGGATTGGCCCAAGTGACCAGATGCCAAAAGCCCGGCCACGCTCATGAACAGGGAAAAGATCTGCTATCGTGGCCCCTCCAATAGTTTGAGAAGCAGAACCGCCGACACCGCACAGAAAGCGAAAGAGAATGAGTGTGTTCAATGAAGGAGCAAGAGCACAACCAATCAGCCACACACAGAAAAACGCACTGGCAACAGTTGTGATGATGTAGCGGCCATATATCTCGGATAACGGTGCTAGAAGTAGAGGTCCCACTGCATAACCTAACAAAAAAATGCTCACTGGAAAGGCACTCTTCGTCACATCATTGACCCCAAAGTCCTTCTGAATAAAAGATATCGCGGGGGCTATGATGGATGAGGCAAATGGAGTCATAAACCCAATGGCCGATAGTATGCTGGTGATCAGCCACTTCCTTGCAGACGTGAAGTTCAGGGGGTTCTCCGGGTCTCGCTCGCCATCCCAGCCAATAATACCATTCTCGAGATCCGTGAGAGGTTGCTCCGCCACACTACGACTAGCAGGATTTTCAACAACGGCGTTGCTTTGCTCACGGCTAATCCATATATCGCAGATCTCAACTTTTTGAATCTCATTTTCCTTCTGGAGTTGTATCGTCAGCAATATCAGAGAGACCTAGTGGACTTTTTCTCACATTTTGAATTTGGATTTGACAGTTGCAACCGTCTTGTGAGATACACTCAGCATTGTCGCCTGAGTCATTCAGTCTTTGCAACTGCTGTGTGTTGGGTGCTTCTGCCGCTTCGTAGATGACCCCTTCTGTGGCAGCATCTAGTCTGGAGTTCGAGCCAGGATAGCATGTAGGGTTGCTAGAGGGCATATCGTCTTGTCGTTCTGTCTCCATCTAAGCAAAAGCCGGCCTCATTGACCAAGGAGCCTCCGGTACTAATCAACACAAAAACTGTTGAGTTGGAGAGCTGGAGAGATGACAGGAAGAGGTAGCAAGTAAGCTGGGAAATCCTACCGTGACAAGGTGGGAGCGCACGCCTTTTGACGCCGAAGGAACCTACAAGGTCGACCCACATAATGTCAAGTATAAAGAATTATCTCGCCCTTTACCTCCCAACGCCCCACATAAGGAAACTTTCCCCACTAATCGCCTATACACCCTGGCGTTCTCACCTAACCTTTATCAAATGAACAAAATACTCGTGTCAGGTAGTATGCATTTACAAATGTACCACATCAAATCACAGACTTGTCGATTATCGGTCACTTACTAATTGTATCCACAAAATTTTGGTCACGTAGTGGCCTTTGGCAGTTACAGGACGCGCCAAGAGCATGTCTGCAAACAGCACCTTAAAAGGGCGTGGGTCATTCAATGTAGTCTTGACCGATCTAAATCCGTGTACCGGCGAGTTCCAAGGTTTTGTAAATTAGAAAGTAAACAAATTCACAAAACGTTGATATGACCTACATGTAGGTATCGCTTTGAGCAAGCAGCATCCTCGATGATTATGGAATGTACCTTACCTGCCTTACGATGAGGGTCTCTTGTTATCCGGGGCTATGAATCCCAAAGAAAGCTACAGACGCGATACAGCGACTCAGAGGGTGCTGTATCATTACTCCACTGAAGGTAACGGAAATGGTTGACTAATCTGTAGAAAAGGTGGGTCAAATCTACGCCCTTCGACGACAGAACTCCTCAATACGTAACATTCGGTGTATCAACATAGATTCATCCCTAATGCCGAATTATCGACATCTCTGTCACTCATCTGGACCATGACTGAGCCCTCATCAGGAGACGAGTTTGAATCCGGTCCTCCAAGCCATGGCGATGTCGCAACCTCTGAGCAAGATGCAGTGACCTCCTTGGTGCAGTACCAGCCGAGGCTCGACATTGATTTGCTTGCAGAAGAACAGCTGGTCTCAGATTTAGCCGAGATTGATATCATGAATATACCTCACGATGCTATCGGAGCCTCAACGACGCTGTGGCCTGCCAAAAATACATTGCCCCCCAAGAGTGGCAATCGTTTTAACCCTTCCGCCCTAAAGCTGCTAAAGAGATGGTTCGCGAATCATGAAGATTACCCGTACCCAACAAGCGATGATATACAACAGCTTGAGGCTCACACTGGCCTCAGTCAGAAGCAGATACAAAACTGGTTCTCTAATATGCGACGACGCTCCAAGGTTCGACGATCGTTATTATTCTCATCGAATTCTTACAGAACCTCCGATCCAATAACGACTCAGAGATTTTCTGTTGACATACCTCCAAGGCCGCCGACGCCTACACCTTTTGGAAATATGAATCCACTTCAACGATGGGAGAGCTCTCCGCCCGAACACGAAGCAGCTGCAGCTTCTGACATCTCACGTGCCATCGCCGCTTGCTCTGCAGACTCCGTCGCCTACAGCTCTCGGAACTCGGCAACATTCTCGGGCAACACATCCTTGGACGGAAGTGACGGAACTTCATATTCAAGCCTAGGCTCTGGCTCCGGCTCATCGGCCTATTCTTTCGGTGGGCGCACTTCACTCTGCTCTCAAGATCCTCTCAAGCACATGGTTCGGCGCAGAAGAAGGCGAACCAGTGCCAGAAGAGATGAAAATTTTAGAGTCGGGCTTCCACAGCTGTCACGGCCCCTCAAAACGTTCCAGTGCACGTTCTGCACTGAAACTTTCAAAACCAAGTTCGACTGGCATCGACACGAAAAGTCACTACACTTATCTTTCGAGAAATGGATTTGCTCGAGGGGTGGGTCAGTAGTACCCGATACCAACAGAGGGACACTGTGTACTTTTTGTGGAGAAGCCAGTCCGAATGAACAACATCTCCGAGATCACAATGCGATTGAATGTTCAGAAAGACCTGTTGGAGAACGGACTTTCTATCGAAAAGACCATCTTCGGCAACACTTGAGGCTGGTACATGCCGTAGACTATTCAGAAGAGCTAATGAAAACTTGGAATATCAGCAAGGAAGATATCAAGTCGCGGTGCGGATTTTGTGGTATCTCCATGACATCGTGGATATATCGTGCGAACCACTTGGGCCAACACTTCAAGACAGGGAAAACAATGGCTGATTGGGAGGGCGATTGGGGCTTTGATGATCATGTGTTGGAAATCGTTGAAAATGCCATGCCTCCCTGTAAGTGATTCTTCGGTATGGTTTGGCATGAGACATGATTGTGGCTAATTGGGTATAGACCTCATTCATTTCGAGCAAGCCTCGCCTCTCCCCTTTTCTGCGGTGCAAGGACCTACCGAGACGCCGACCAGTCCATATGAGCTTCTTAAGTTAGAGCTTGAGTACTATATGCAAAATCAATTTGATAGTGACGGTAGTCTGCCCTCTGACCCAGAACTTCAACATGAGGCTTGTTCCATCATCCTTGCAGCGGAAATATCATCGCCTGTTCCTGCCCAGGCAGCACCATCCTGGCTTCGGGATGTATTCATGTCCTCAGATGAACCTACAAAGGGGGCTTGCTTGCGCCCAGTCAATCATTGTATGGTGCGAGTAAGCCAGCTAAGCATCAATGGGAAAAACAATATATTTGAGAATTGCAACCTGGAGCTCGAGTTGCGCAATTTTATCATTATGCACCAGACTCTGGGCCTCACCTTGTCAGACTCAGAAATACAAGAAAAAGCTTGCAATATCATCAGTCATGCAGATGCCAGATTCTTGGATGAATCCAAACGGTTCATGGATTTCATGGTACGGCTTATTTGGGGCTCTGTGAACTGGATTACCTTTCTGCTTGAAAGAGCAGGGCAGCAGGCTGCCGACGCCATGGATAACGCCAACCAGAATTCCATCCTTACCTTTCCTGAACTGGACCCAGGTCCTGTGTATTTGCCAAGCACGGGGTGCTCAGAAGCCATGGAGACAATTGGAAGCCCAATATACCCAGCCTTCACACTCAATAGCACTCGCGACACGATGGGTGAGATTCTTGAACTCCCGACATTGCCGACAGATGCATTCGTAGGGACGGCGCATGGTTCAGGCGGCAATGGAACTGGGCTCACTTCCGATCTCTCCCTTCCAGTTACTAGCCAAACTAGCTTACTGGGCACAGCGGATGTCGCATCTGGCTTCGATGTTGTCCCGAATCCGACATGTAAAAGTGGTTTAGCGAGACTACTTGGAAACGCTGATAGCATAACGACGGATCGACTCGCTGATCCAGTATATACTACACTGAACATACAGCAACGTACAAGGACATCATCAGGGCGAGTACACTTTCACAATGGCGGTAACTCGTACCTGGCTCTTGTGAAAGACCTATCCATCTTCGCCAAAAGAGCAATGTCGATCCGCAATCCCAACCGCCACATTCCCACTGATGATGAGATCAAATACCAAGCGCGTTGGATATGGTACGAAGAGTGAGTTTTTTACACGGCTGCCTCCCAAAACGTCACCTCCTGCTGACAAGGCTCTGATGTTTAGTGACGATCCGTGGAATCAGACGCCAGCAGATAACGAACAATGGTTGCGAGAGTTTAAGCATAACGAGGGTATACCTGGCGTCAACGAAGAGTAGTTCCCCAAACTGTTCAAACGCAAGGCTTTGCTGTCACATAACACAAACGAATCAGTCCTTGTACATGAGATTCACCCGTACCTTGGGAATTCATCATCCAGAAAGGGCTTTTGGACAATGCATAAATCCGAGAGATTATAGTCAACCCTAGCGCGGTGTACGCTGTTGGAAATTGGGAATCTCCATTAGATTAATACTAGTCATGTGACAGGATCTTATATAAACGGTGGTTTTCCTTACGCAGTTATCATTTCACGAGCGTCCGCGGGTACTGATTTTTTATTCGGTGGGCAAAAAGCGGCAAGAGGTGAGCGCTTAAACGGAAAAGGGAAGTTAAGTGGCAGCGGAAATCAAGTACCTAGGCTTGAAAACCTGTAAAGGACGAATACGAACCGAAGTCGATCTCTTAGCCATATGCTTACACAAAACTACCTCAATTGACCAGATCTTTAAATTAGGCTCCAATGTGCGGTGTGAACGGCTGGCAGTGGGATCAGAAATTAAAAGCAGAGTATGAATGATGAAGATGGGTTTTGCACTGTTTATAATTGTTGCACTTATCTACTAAGCAATTGGAGTCGCCAAATTCCCCAAGTGTGGGCTTTTCACGGACTCCGGTGAATGTTTTATTGGATGTGCTATACAGAGTCCTGAGTATGCCAGTGCAGTTGTAATTTCTTTACATTTATGACGCTCTTTCCAGAGGAAAAAAACCCCAGATACAATAAGCCATGAAAATCAAGTATAAAGCCTTCTAAACCTCACCTTTCTGACCCAAAACCAACACACTTTAGTTATACCAGAAAGGTATGGTGGTTCAAGGTATAGACCAAAACGGATGTAAAAAATAGTAATATATCTTGATGACAGAGCAGCTTTATTGAAATTATGCAGAAGTTGGGTCTAATTGGGTCCAGGTTGGATTTTGCGGAAGTCGAAGTCGAGCGTCAACATCAGGACCGGAGGATAAAAGTGCTGGGTGCAGAATAGTGGTGTTACAGGCTGGACGTCCAAAGTTATGGGTGGGAAGACAGCCGTTTCTGGCTTCAAAAGTGGTCATTTTCGTCAATCCCACAGGTCTTCATATTCTAGTAAATATAGACTATATCTCGGTGAGACTCTACCGAAATGTCTATAGTTTCATGGGCACAGCCCCAACCCCCAACCCCGAACACCGAGAGATCGCTCGGTCTCGTAATAACCCTATGGCATGAGATGATTCATCTTACTGTGTTGCAAAAAAGCCACGGAGTATAAGTAGCGATGAGATTATTCCAAAATCAATCCAATCTCTACTTGATCTATTAATTCTATTGGTAATATCTCTGCATAGCATAACTACTATAGCCGAAGCGATGAAAGACAGGGAGTGCATTCCCGGACCCAAACGTAACCAACCCCATAACTGGCCCTATCATTCGAAACCAACTGTTTTGGTTTACTGACTGGCCGTTCATTCAGCTCTGCCGGTAGTGGGAAATCTGTTCGACATCGACCTTGAAAATGTCCTCCAGTCCATTATGAAAATGGCCGACGAGTTTGGTACACTTCACTGTCTTATCTGATGCCAAAGAGAGGTCAATATCGCTAATTGATCATACCAGGGCCCCTCTTCCAAATCAGAATCAACGGCCAGAATCAGATATTTGCCAACAGTCAAGCACTGGTCGATGAGCTCTGTGACGAAACCCGTTTTCACAAGGCCGTTGTCGGTGGAATTGAGAAGTTACGAATGCTGGCCAACGACGGCCTCTTCACGGCTTACCACGGAGAGCGCGGCTGGGGCATTGCCCATCGGATTCTGGTGCCTGCCTTTGGCCCGTTACGTATCCGGGACATGTTCGAGGATATGAGCGATGTCGCGCAACAGTTGTGTTACAAGTGGTAGGGGTACCTAAATTTGGTTTCCAGAACGCAATGAGGAGAAAAGAAGGCTGATATGATGTTGGTGCAGGGCCCGCCAGGGAAGTTCGACCAGTATCAATATCACCGATGACTTTACACGCCTCACATTGGACACCATCGCGCTCTGCACGATGGGCTTCCGGCTAAATAGCTTTTACAGTAGTGAGACTATGCATCCGTTCGTAACTTCGATGTTGTACGTGCTGAAGGAAGCCGACCTACAGTCCAACCTTCCTACGATCGCAAACTCCATGCGTGTCAAGGCGCAGCGGCGCACGTCCAAGAACATCGAGGGAATGAGGAGCATGGCCCGTGATATCATCAAAGAGCGAAGAGATAAACCAGGGTTGGTCGACGACCTCCTAAACACGCTGCTGAACGGGCGCGACCCAGTCACCGGCGAAGGCATGAGCGATGACTTGATTATCAGCAACATCATCACCTTTCTGATCGCGGGCCATGAGACCACCTCCGGCCTGCTCTCCTTCACATTCTACTATCTGCTAAAACACCCACACATCCTTGATCGGGCCCGGAACGAAGTTGATGAGGTTGCCGGCACAGACCCGATCACGGTAAACCATCTCGCGAAGCTTCCCTACATCGACGCTATCATGAAGGAGAGTCTGCGTCTGATGCCTACCGCCCCGGGTTTCTCCGTCACCCCCAAGAAGACGGAGCTGCTGGGAGGGAAATGGACGGTCAATCCGACAGAGTCCATCAACGTGCTGCTGCCTACCTGTCTGCGAGACCAGACCATCTTTGGGCCCGACGCGGGCGAGTTCCGCCCGGAGCGCATGCTGGAAGATAACTTCTCCAAGCTCCCAGCCAACTCGTGGAAGCCCTTTGGCAATGGTCAACGCGGCTGCATTGGGAGGGCCTTTGCCTGGCAGGAAGCCCAACTGGTGGTTGCCTCAGTACTTCAAACGTTTGACTTGGTGGCAGATGACCCGTCTTATGAACTGCAAATCAAAGAGACTCTTACTATCAAGCCAGATGGCTTCCGAGTCAGAGCCACATTGCGCCACGGCCAGAGTGCTACGGGGCTATCCCGGCGCAGTATGTCGGATAGCGCTGCTGCGAGCCTGGCGTCATCAACTCGTCTTGCCGGGAACAGGAACGACCGGGAGGCGGCGGCAGGGGAGCCCGTTTCCTTGTTCTACGGCTCCAACAGCGGAACATGCAAAGCTCTCGCCCACCGGTTGGCCTCAACCATGATGGTCCGTGGCTTTACCAACCAGAAGCTCGCCCCACTTGACAGTGCCGTCGACAACCTGCGGACAGATCAGCCGGTGGTTATCGTAACCACCAGTTACGACGGGCAGCCCACGGACGATGCAAAGAGGTTTGTCGCCTGGCTCGAAAGCGACAATGTTCCCTCTCTTCAAGGCGTCTCCTACGCAGTCTTCGGTTGCGGCCACCAAGACTGGGCCAAAACATTCTATCGCATCCCGATCTTGATCGACAACCTGATGCACAAGGCCGGAGCCAAACGTCTCGCGACGCGGGGCGCAGCCAACGCCGCTGTCAGCGATCTTTTCTCAGATCTTGAAGCGTGGCAAGAAACCAGCCTGCTGCCCGCCCTCCGAAAGAATTTCCTTCCGTCTAGCAGAAGCGACGTCAAGCCATTTGACTCAACCCAGCTCCAAATCTACCTCAGCAAGCCCACAAGGGTGGGTTTGCACCAGAACCTCGCCGAGGCCAAAGTAACTGCCGTTCGGATCCTAACCATCCCCGGGACACCGGAGAAGCGACACCTAGAATTCCGCATCCCGGGCGAAACCACTCTGCGCTCTGGCGATCATCTCAATGTCCTTCCGGTCAATCCGCCCAGCACGGTCTCCAGAGTCCTGGCTCGATTCGATCTCGCACCGGATCACAGAATCACGATCAACTCGTTCAACGTGCTCGGTCTGCCCCATGCCACGCCCGTATCAGCAGGTGAGCTGTTCAGCTCGTATGTAGAGTTGTCCCAACTGGCAACACGGAATGTATGTTTATGAGCAGCTTACCACCTTGACTATGTACTTGGCTAACTGAAGAAACTCCAGAATCTCAAAGCACTCGCCTCGTCCGCACGTTCAGACGGGGACAAGCAAGAGCTGCTCCGTCTCCAAGATTCCTACGATTCACTCATCAGGGATAAGCGGGTCTCGGTCCTCGATCTCCTCGAACGGTTTCCCGCCATCCCACTCCCTATAGCCGCATTTATCCCTATGCTCCCCCCTCTGCGCGTCCGCACATACTCGCTTTCCACGGCCCCCTCCTTCAAGCCCATGCATGGTTCGCTCACCTTCTCTGTCGTCAACGAGCCAGCATGGAACGGCGACGGCCGGTATCTGGGTGTTGGATCAAACTATCTCGCCTCGCTCACATTAGGGTCCATTCTCTACATATCTCCACGACCAGCTAAAGACGATTTCCATCTCCCAGTGGACCAATCCAGCAAACCAATCATCATGGCCTGCGCGGGAAGCGGCCTTGCCCCCTTCCGCAGCTTTATTCAAGAGCGCATGGTCTGGCTGAAACAGGGTAAACCACTCGCAAGGGCGCTGTTGTTTTTCGGCTGTCGCGATCCAGATATAGATGATCTTTATTACGAGGAATTATCCGAGTTTGAATGCGCGGGCGTGGTAGAGGTCCGGAAGGCGTACAGTCAAGTCCCCGACCACTACCTGGCCAAGGGATGTCGATATGTGCAACACCGCTTGGAGGCGGAAACTGAGGATATTCAGCACCTGTGGGCTCGGGATGCGACAGTCTATGTCTGCGGGTCGGGGAGTCTGGTCAAGGGGGTCAAGGCTGTGTTGGAGAATATGCTGGGGACATTGCCTGAGGAGCGATATGTTACGGAGGCTTTCTAGACGGGCATTGTTTTTTATTCTATTTTTTATAGTGTAAATCTGGTGTTAGCAATTTTCAGCTTTGTTCTATAAAGGGGCCTTTAGGTGGATTTTTAGCTAGTTGTTGAATTTAAATCGCTGCAGACTTCGTCTTGATAGCTTTTCATCTACCGATCCTGTCCAAACTCGGGAACTACAAACCCAAACAAGCTCTGAAAGTTGAAGGACGCCGTCATCGGATTCTCCACCAAGCCATGCACGGTCGTCTCCGGCGTTACAGGATAATACAGATAGTCCCTTTCCTCCCAGGGCCCGATGGTGTTATACGGTAATTCGACATTATCATCATTGTTTGTTTGACTCAATCCCGAGGAAAACTGGTCAAGGTTAGACAAGGTATGTGTGTCATCATAAAATCCAGAACGGCGGCATACCTCGGTGTCAGCCAATATGGACGTGGTAATCGACGGGCCCAGTTCACCCGGTTGTTTTTGTTGTTCTCTGCCAGAGTCCTTGACGTACTGCCGTGCAATATGGGCAAATTCAGTCAAAAGCGATGCGGGCAGGAACCCTCCAGACTTGTAATCCAACAGACTGAAGTGACCAGCTGCTACGTCCAACAGTGAGAGGTTGTTCCGCGTTTCCGGATGCGTTGGATTGTGGACGACGAAATCAAACAGGATGAATAATGCTGCAAGAGGAAGAAGGGTCAAAATGCTACCTCGGAGATCAGTTTCTGTTGCAGCAACCACGGCAGAATTACCTGTCCTGTCCTGGACAGAGGTGCTGCTACTTACAAATTCGGCGTGTGGGCAGCCATGTCGACGTTCTTGCTTCCCTCCACGATAGCTCTTGCTGTATCCATCAGCAGTCGCTTGCTCTCTTCCTGTTTCCGGGGCTCGTCTTGTCTACCTATATACATTTTGAGTCTCGCCAGCGCGATGACCAAAGCGTAATAAGAAAAGTTGGTCTGCAGCACGATCATCTTGAAGCTCGGCTCGGGGAAGGAAGAAGAAAAGGAAGGAGTAGACATGTTTGGTTCACGAAACAGCATACCGGGTCGAATTTTCACGGGCACTGCCGTTCGCCATCGTTCCAGCCGAGTCTCAATCTCCTCGACCGCGATGTGGTACGCTTCTGTGGTTTGGATTGCGGCACTCACCGAGAAGAGAGCCGTATAGGCTTGTGAGAGAATTCGCCCGAAGCCGATGGCCGACAAAAACCAGTTGTATTCTCCGAAGACGGATTCCGGGGCGTCGGGGATAGGACACCCGATGTCGTAGTCTGGGATAATCTGGATTGAGGTCAATGCTATTCTAGACGTCGCCAAGGCCAGGAGTAGGGGGAGGTTATAAACTTGGAGTCACCTACCGAGCCATTTTGGTTCTGGAAACACAAATGTTTCTCCATGTAGTATATTACCCAAAAAGTTCTGTGGCAGGCGGATTTGTGTCGCTGGTCCCCGTTGCCAAGTGCTCTGTGGTATCCGAGGCCTTGAGCCATTCGGGCGGCTTCTGTGAGCAAGACTTCGTCGATTTGAAGGCAGCTGATAGTCATGGCGAATATAGACTGAACGGCTCGACTCAAAGGCTTAGCTACTCCCTTCACATCACTCTGCAATCCTTATCTCGAGATATCGTTCACATACCATGGCAACCAGTGCCTATTTCTTGTTGTTAGCAAAGCCCATAAGACATCACCACAATAGCATACTTGGAGACTCATCAAAGCTTCCCTCGGTATCAATATATCCGACACAAGACCTAAAGATACCTGGAAAAGTTTCCACGCTCTGCCATTCCCGGGATCAAATGTTCCGCCTTCATGGTACCGGCATCCCAGAGCCAGAACAGTGTGATACAAAGCCGAAAACGCACAGCTGGAACTCAAAATTTCAGACCGGTGGGGCCCAAATACCTTATCCTCGAACTCTTTGCGATCGAGAAAGGGGTACATCGGGTGCAGTTGGTTGAAATAAGCTATATATATTACCAGTTTGTCAACGAGAGAAAAACCATGAATCCAAAAGTAAACTTACAATCGATGTATAACCTGACCTCGTCTAGCGGGACTTGCTCAATGTCAGACGGCTTTCTGAACGTGATTAGAGATATAGAGGACGGGCCCTGGGCGAGAAGCCGTGATCGGATGACAGATTCGATAGTCTCCACTAGCTCATTGAGTCGGTCATTTCCTAACCGTTGCGATAAGGAATGGATTCGACGTTCTGAAAAAAAGGCCAAGCTGGAACTAGTCACTTGAAGGGAAGAACGGTTAGGGATTGTGTGCTGTCGAAAAAGAAGAGTATACAGCGGCATCATACCTCCATGTTCGGGTGCCTAGGTAGGGCATGTACTTAGTCGGGTTAGGATAATCAGAGGGAGTTTCATGACTGACCCTCAGCAAGGCAAAGCTATCCCGAAGTATCCCACTACTACCATGATTTTCCAACATCTGGTCCAGAAATACCGGTGAAACGATCGGTCGAATACGGATTTTCTCACTCGAGGGCTCTAGCATTTCTTTCAGGATTTAGACCATAAAGGAAATAAATGGGACTTAATGGTTGCGAATACATACGGCTGCTTTCAGAGACACTCGGACTTGTCCTTCGCTTACGCTTGGTCTGGGTGAAATGGCAGGTCTCATTTCGCTTCTAGATAGACAAGCCATGGCAAGATTAGAAATCAGTGGCAGACATAGATGTTTATTCGAATGACCACCATCTTACAATGCAGTGAGAGCATCGTGAATATTGACCGAGGGACACTAAAAGATAGAGACAATTACACCTTGAACGTGCAAGAAAGAAAAGGTGGGTTAAAGGCAACGTACTGGAGCAGCGGACTTTCCGGCTTCTGCATTGGTCGCAAGATTTGCAGGTCTTAGCCTCAGAGACTCGAACTTCATTCCGATCCATTATTATCGGGCGATAACGACCGCAGGGAGGTGCTCGGTGTTGGATGAAGGGTCCGGACATCACATTTCACCTGGTCAGGCTTAGGAAAATGGAAGAACTTCGGTGTTGGCCTCGGAATAAACGACGGGGCGAGTTGAGCGGCTCGGTCTTCGGTGTGTGGTTTCACATCAGAACTTTAATCCCAACCTTGTTGGGTGAATCTGCTTAGGGTTGCTCTGCGACCTGTGGACGGCCTGCTGCGTCACCTTTCCTATCATTTTATAATCTCCGGGCTCATTTGGTTATCGGCGATCGGAGACAACACATGATGGGGAGCAACTACCGGGCAAGTCGTCGCTCAGATGAAGCTTCTCTACGCTCGAAAATCCACCGATATAAAGAGAGATTTCAAAAACGACATGGTTTATCTAAAGGAGAAGTACGATCTTATCAAAGATGGTGAACAGCAGCGTGGCGGATACCAGAAACTAAACTTTACTATTTTTATATAGTAGTAACACGGCTTAACGGTAAGAGCTAAACTATATCTTGTCCTAATGTTTATTAACAATTTAAAAAGTATATATATAGCTTTAGGTCCTCTGCGCATATCCACCTAACTATGAGAGACTCTTTTAAGAGCTATTTATGAACGAATTAACATGTATGGTATTCGAGGTACCGTTTGGCTTAGAGAATAAAGAAATCCGCCGGCCATGACCCCGAGCAGTTACTCATTAGACCAAAAAGGTCATAACCAAGTCAATTTCATGGATTGACTTGGCTGTCGTGGTATATATGTATAGGTGATCTACCTTTTGGGATCACGGCACTTTTATTAATATAAATTAGGAAAGGTTACCTTTTTTATGCAAGTAAGGGCGGAGGGTCGGGCGAGTGCGGGGCGGGAGATACCGGTCTCTAAATGTTTTTTAGTTATGAGGTCTACCTAACTAAACCCACTATTAAATAAAAAAGGACTTCTTTTACACTATATATACACTACTATACTTTCCCTATTTCTTTCTAGGGATGAGATGATTTTTATTATACATACTTATGCTATATCTATGTACCTTCTGTATGGATATGACATATAAAAAATACCATAACTCTTATATTATGGGTGATTTCTGTATAGTGAGACGGACCCATCCATATACATACCATATCTGCGAAAGGTATGGAAATACGGTAGGACGGCTGGCTATATGTAAATAATAAATCCAAAAAGTAATTTGCAAAGAGCAAATTTAAAAAAACAATGAGCGACGCAGGGATCGAACCTGCAATCTTCTGAGATTTGTTGAGCGTAGCTCGGCCGAAATCAGACGCCTTACCATTAGGCCAGCCGCCCTTGATCATAACAGCTTACTATGAGTAGTAGCGACCCCATTTTCAACTAGAGCTTCCAACTATTCCGGATATGCCTCAGAGCTTGTCAATTTGCTTTGTGATTGAGATAATCTCCCTGAATTGAGCACATTGCTTCTTCGGTGGCGTGCAAATCATACTGAAGCAGCAGGACACGAAGTTCAGGATGTAGGTTGTGGTGAAGGTCTCTTCTCCAATTGGGTCCCAGCTTAGTGCTCAATAAGCATACCAGATCATTTCTACGACGGCCGAGTGCTGAGGTTGTTGATTTGTTTGTCGGCAAGACATCGGTCAGTGTAATCGCTCATATGACAAGTCCAAATCTGTCATTATGTGCAGCCTTTTATTCAGATTATGGATATAAAGTGATAGGCACTTAATAGGTGGGCCTGCAACATATGCTCTGGTTCCATGTGTTCATACGCGCCGGGCCAGCCTAGTTCACGCAAATTGTTTAACTGGGGGACAAATCTTACGAAGTGTGAATACTCAAGTCCACTAGACAGGTGTGATAGGCCTAGAGGTTTGTTTAATGGGGAATGAGCCAAAGCCTATTTCACGATTGTGTGATGCACGTAAGTGTGCATTGTCTGTGCGAGAAAGACATTGTAAAGTTATTTATTTCATGAGGATGTGTGCTGATCTAGAACAAACCTCAAACAGTTTTTGGTTTATTGGAGTCCAACCTGGAGGAAATGTGACGGAGCGTTGGCTGCTTATATGGGGACATGCACGTGACCATCTCCGACGGCTTCTCTTTTGCACCTCGCCTTACCAACTCTCGCGCTGTCGACTTTCTTGTCTTTAAATGTGTTGATACCTATTACCGCTCTCACATCAAACTCGCAGCATCGTCCGACACCGGCAGAATATAAATCACCGCTCTGATCCAGCACACCTCTCCTCATCTAAGCACCCCTCCAAGCTTTCCTATCCACCGCAACCATGCTTTTCTTTAGGTATGCCATGGCGCGAAGCGCAAACTCATTTTGCATAGATGAAAATTAATAAACGCTTCATTACAGCTTCTTCAAGACTCTGACAAACCAGACGGTTACCATTGAGCTCAAGAATGACATCCGCATTCGTGGAATCCTGAAATCGGTCGACCAATACCTAAACATCAAGCTCGACGATATCGAAGTGTTGGATCTGGCCAAGTATCCTCACCTGTCTTCGGTGAAGAACATGTTCATCCGTGGAAGTGTGGTGCGGTACGTGATGTTGCCTCGGTCGGAGGTTGACGTGGGGTTGTTGGAGGATGCCACACGGCGAGGTGAGTTTCGCATTGTTCCCCGAGCGGAGTTCTTAAGATCAAACTATGTTTTCTCCTCAATTGAAAGATCTACCAAGCTTGCGACCGGAATTGCCATTCGAATCAATACTAATAAAGTCATCATACAGAGGCTGCCAACCAGGCTGGCAAAGCTCGGTAAACGACCATGACCTCAATTTTACGACAAATCACGCATCGCGCTCTTCCAATACTGTTGTTCTCACCGGATGGTCTCCAGCAAAGAAAATGACTATATGGCCAAAAGTATGGGGTTTCATGTGACCCCAATATTGAGATGACCGAATTAATGGCCGGGGAGACGGGTTCATGCAACGAAGGATGTTCCAAACTCCCATACCACTTGAGTGCGCCCAAGATACCAGATGGACCTTGAATTGCCGCTCATGAATCCTGCTGATACGCCGCAAGAGCAATTTCGTCGGAGATTACCCGCCTATAGCTCATGCTGGCACCTGGACTGCGTTGTTTATGATACCTCGTTAGAAATTTCTTTTGCGATAATGAACAGCAACTTTTTTTTAGCCATGTGACTATTTCGCAATGCTCTAAACATACGAAGATCGAATGTAGCCCTCTGGACTGGAGCCAAGTAATAATTTACCACGTGACTTCGTGTCGCGATCCAGTTTCTTCGCGCCTCTCGTCCCGACTTAACATGAACATTTTCGCTGGCGACCGTGCGCATGTTATGGATATATTGTACATTCAGCGATACTTTTTGTGTTTTATCCGGCATACAACTACCTTGGACTAGCTGCGAACTCTCTTAACCCTTCGCCACCACTCGATTCTCTCTCGCGGTACAGCCAACTCTCACTCTGTGACCGAGCCACAATGGCCGGATCTTACGCGAAGAAAGGAGCCACGCCATCGAAGGGATCTTCTGGGACAAAACAATCTTCAATAAAACGCAATTCGAGCATCTTGAGTTTCTTCCAGAAGACCGACACGCCACCAGGCGCCACTTCTCGCCAGGCACGGATCACCCAATTTGGCACGGCGACCTCACGCTCACCAAGCAGCGGCCGGGGGACATCGGCATTCCAGCGGGGAAACAATTCGCGAAACGATCCAGCTGGTGGACTTTTCCTGGAGGATAAGAAAGGACTGGCAAAGATTCAACAAGCAGCGGTGACGAGCGAAAGAGAGCGATCACTGACGCCTGATTTTTGGGGTGACAATGAAGAGAGTCTAAAAATGGATGACAAGCGATATAATGAGAGCGACTCAGCGGTCAAACGTCGGAAGTTTGACTCACCGGGCACCCCGGTCAACGAGACACAGCAACCAGACGCCGAATCGAAGATTACAAAAGCATCCGCACCCGCATCCACAAAGACCCAGAAAAGGAGCGGACCGTTTATCGACGAGTCCGACAGCGAGGATGATATGGAAGCATACCGGGAACTTCATGAGACCACACCTTCCACTAGGGAGGTGACGAACGAGACACTGCCAAAAGCGCAATCGAGGACTACGAAAGCACCCGCATCAGCACCTACAAAGACGCCGAAAAGGAGCGGACCGTTTATCGACGAGTCCGACAGCGAGGATGATGTGGAAGCATATCGGGAACTTCATGAGACCACACCTGCGACTAGGGATGCGACCGATACATTGAAAATGGATAAAATAGTGGCTACACACCGCACTTCCGAACCTACACCTCCGCCACTGGTAAGATCAACCACGAGTAATGCCGATAATGATGAATACGCGAATTTTGACGATATAGAAGAAGAAGATGAGCTTATAGAGGAAGAGTTTCGAAATCGGCCTTGGGAGGGCGAGGAACAAGAACAGCAGATCGACCTTGAGGTAGATCCTGACAAAGATTTAAACGATTGTTCAGGTGTAGAGGATGTCGACGGGGAAGTGCGCACATGCCCTATCTGCCAAATGGTGCTGAAGGATCTTAATGAAACGGTGCGTGCCCATTATTCCCTTGGGTCTATTGATGTGCTGATTCCCAGCATAGGAAATGGCAGTGCATGTTAACGACTGCCTCGATGGCAAAACGAACCCTATCCCGGCCACAGCCACTCCTAAGCCTATAGTGATGCCGACTCCCAAGCCAACCAACATGGACAAAGGGCTGACGCGCGCAGAGCGAGCTGCCATTGCCCGGCCTGCGCAAGGCGATCCCTACTCGCAGAACAAGTCCATTGGAGGTTCTGCATTTTCAAAGATGATGGCTGGAAATGCAGAAGATACTGCTTGGGCGGCTGCAGCTGCAAACGAGGTGTCTGCTCGTGGCAAACAAGCCTACCAGCGGACTTGTCCATTTTACAAAATTCTTCCGGGTTTTTCTATATGTGTCGATGCCTTCCGCTACGGGGCTGTCGAAGGATGCAACGCCTATTTTCTCAGTCACTTTCACAGCGATCACTATATAGGGCTCAGCAAGTCCTGGTGTCATGGGCCCATTTACTGCAGTCGACCCACTGCCAATCTTGTCCGCCAGCAGCTCCGTGTTGATCCCAAGTGGGTAGTTGACCTCGAGTTTGAATCTACCACCGAAGTTCCCGAGACGGGAGGATTGCGCGTCACTATGATACATGCAAATCATTGCCCCGGTAGCTCACTTTTTCTTTTCGAAAAAAGCTCTGGGAATGGGCCCAATGCCCATAAGCAGCGGGTGCTGCATTGTGGTGACTTCCGTGCATCTCCCGCTCAGGTGCAACATCCGCTCTTACGCCCCGATGTGACCAACCCGGTCACTGGTAAACCGAGACAGCAACATATCGACAAATGTTACCTCGACACCACATATCTGAACCCGAAATATGGCTTTCCCGCTCAGGAGGATGTGATCACAGCGTGTTCGGAGCTATGTGTGCGCCTGAATCAGGAAGCTGGTGTCGGGGCTGATACGGGGAAGACTGGTACAGGCGGTTTGATGGGTAAATTTCTCTCTGCTCCCACGGGAAACAACAAAGCACTGGATAAAGGCTCGCAGGCTGGAGGTCGACTGCTCGTAGTCATTGGCACTTACAGCATTGGCAAAGAACGGATATGCATGGGGATCGCCCGAGCACTTGGATCCAAGATCTTCGCGACTCCACCCAAGCAACGAATCTGCGCCTGCTTGGAAGACCCTGAGCTCTCCGCCATGCTGACCAGCAATCCTTACGAAGCACAAGTACATATGCAAACTCTCTTTGAGATCCGCGCCGACACACTGGCAGACTACCTTGATGGCCTTAAACCACACTTCTCTCGAGTCGTCGGTTTCCGCCCGACCGGTTGGAACTATCGCCCACCAGCGGGGCGACTGGTACAAAACCCACCAATCTCCACTGTGCTGCACGGCGAACACTGGAAATCACCATACACCACTCAAGATCTCACCCCGCAGCGCGGCAGCACGCGAGAAAGCGCCTGCTTCGGCGTGCCCTATAGCGAACATAGTTCGTTCCGCGAGTTGACCATGTTCTGCTGCGCCTTGCGTATCGGGCGGGTCATCCCGACGGTGAATGTTGCCAGTCAGAAGAGTCGGGATCAGATGAAGGTTTGGATGGAGCGGTGGGATGCCGAAAAGAAGAAGAATGGCTTGTTTCCTGTCACTGGCGATCGGTGGTGATCAACGGCTTTCACATACGATGGATACACATGATTTTAGCATTAGAATTTACCATAGCGACTGCATGGATTTGTGCCCAATTTCGGGCTTCGCATGACTCTTATTCTTCTCGCTCTCGTTTTGATCCTCTTTCTTACATCTTTAGTGGTTTCAGGCGCCATCGACTACTCCACTAAATGAAAGTCTAGGTACTTGAACCTGGGAACGCTTGTAGATCATTTCCTTAGGTTTGGATATACATCGCAACAAATGGAACCGTATTCTCGCTAATTCTCTAAATAACCCCTCGAATGCGCTAAAGAATCCCTCCGTTCCCCCCTGACAAAGTCGAACTACTAATGTGGGCTTTTGCGTTCAAGATACTAATTCCACAGTACAGAGTACTATACGGATGTTCATACCTACAGTCCCAATTTAAAATATCACCCAGCTTCACACTTACATCCAAGTTATTATGTACATATAATGGAAAAACTGTGATCCAACCTCGACAGAGATAATGTTGGATGTGTTCTCATTTTTAGGGCTCGGACCAAGTGGATCAGAAGGATCAAAGATCCTGACTGGTAATTCGTTCCTATTTAGATTGGGATCGACGGGATACAGCATTGCGAACTTATACCATCCCCTTGAGACGGAGGTATCAGATCCATTGTAAACGATGATTGGTTTCTGGATTATGCCAATTGTCAAGAGCCAGATTATCTAACGTTCAAGACACTTTCAAGCCTAGGGCTTAGCACCGGACAACGTTTGATGGGCGTGCACTATCGATCTATGCATTAGTCCGGTTCCACTCCAATCGCGGTCCTTTTGACAAATAATTTAGGGCCGATTTTTTAGAATTGCACTTGCCGTACGGAGCACTCTGGCCATATATGTTCTTCTATTGCAAATGTAGCTTTCTGGTGGATAAGCTATATAAGGGAGGCGATCCCTTTGCGCTTGTTTAACCTAATCGCGGAGATATCGTACCCAAAATTCATTCACTATGCGTGTCTCGACAATTGGAATTTGGGCCTTGTCGGTTAGTGCAACTGCCGCGAAGACCTGTTACAATGTAACGGTGGAGGTCCCAGTCACAGCTCGCAATGGCGTGTTCGACAATATCAGCACGCCCCAGACGAACTTTGACGCTACTTCCTTCGTTCTCGCAGCGACCAAGCAAGGTAGAAACTTGACGGAAGTAGCCTTGTCTGGCTATGCAACTGTGTCGGGCCACTATAACATCTCAACTCAGTACTGTGTGCCGAAAAATGCTGGGAACACGGCCTATACGCTTCAGATCCTCACACATGGAATGGGTTTTGACAAGACGTGAGTTTCGAGACATGATTGGTCTCTATACACGGTAATCTAACATAAAAATATAGATATTGGGATCTGCCATATAGCAACTATAACTACTCCTACGTGGATTATGTCTTGTCTCGAGGCTATCACACACTCTCCTACGACCGACTGGGCTTTGGCAAATCTTCCCATGGTGACGCAAAGAACGAGATCCAGGCATTCTTAGAGATTGAGGCCCTCGCTCAGTTGACCCGCATGGTGCGCAACGGCAAGATATCTAACATCAAGACCCCGGCCAAGGTCGTCCACGTCGGACATTCATTCGGGTCTGCCCAGACCGTTGCGTTGTCGGCGATGTACCCCAAGCTTTCCGATGCGCTCGTGCTCACCGGGTATTCGACAAGCGCCGACTATATGCCAATGTTCCTGAGCGGCGCCAACTTCCAACAAGCCCGACTCAACGGCAAGAACTCGGACTACACAGGTGGATACTTGACGAGTGCGGACGCCGGCAGCAATATATATCTCTTCCTCTGCCCGCCGCATTTTGACACCGGTCTTCTGAAGTTCGCAGAAGAGAACAAGCAGCCCATGACTATCGGCGAACTCTTGACTATCACTGGTCTGCCAGCGCAGAGCAATTTCACAGGACCTGTTTATGTCATTGATGGTGCGAACGATGTGCCATTTTGTGGCGGTGACTGTTTGAACACGGGTGGGAAATCGGCTTCTATTCCTGCTGGTGCGAAGATGATCTTTCCCTCGGCCAGTGCTTTCTCTGCCTACATTCACCCCAACACTGGCCATGCTATCAATCTGCACTATAACGCCACTGCAGCTTATAAGCAGATCAATGACTTCTTGGGGGCTCATGGATTGATGAGCAAGAGTCATTCACATGATCATGCCCGTCATCATCAGTGAAAGATAAAAACCCTAGGTTTGATTCATGTACGTTTATGATAATATACATCTTGAACAATTAAGATATATGCCTCTTGGCGACGTAATCTAGGATATTGGTTTATATCAAGACTTCGCCTCATTATAGAATGCTTGTATTTGATTCTAGTATGAACAACAGGAATTAAAATAGACAAGAAACGTGGCAGTGAGCCCGATGGATCGAGTGAGATCCAGGACGGGATTTGGGAGCATCCAAGTGCCAGGCGGTATAACGAAATTACATTGCTTGGCCTCCCTGTCTTATCACCCATCCACCCTGCCACACACATCGGAGATGGCGAACTCTGAAGCATATCCTGGAAACACAAACTTTGGTGACTATCTGAAGGATGAAGAAGAGGGACTCGATCTCGAAGAGCTTGTCGAGCCATGGCATAGGTACGATACAGAGGATGACGAATATGTCCTCCTATTCACCTTGGGGAATTGCTTAACGAGAGGTACCTGGTTGAACATAAATCAAGTTTGGTGGTGGCTCAACTGTCTGGGTGGAATTTGACCTGTAAGAGAAAAGAAACAAGGCCCTCAAAGCCATGGCCCTAGGTAAATGGGGCGACAACAAGACTCGAATCCGGGATGAGATTATCATAAAGGCACAGGATACTTCTGGCCTAGTTATATATAATGCGACTTTCTATCTACATGAGAAGATAAAAATTACCATAGAGTCATGGTGTTCCCTGTAAAAGGGCCATCTATCTGCACTCTTGCCCTAAAAAATATTCCTATAGCCTCTCATATGTCTGCTGCTCGACAATTACTAGAGACCGTGGCAGGCTTACATGAAGCTGGAATCCGACATCGCGGTAAGTCATTCTCTTCCTTCGTTTTCCTATATACTAACATATTGCTATAGATTTGAATGCAAGGAATTGCATGTGGGGAATGGCTCCTATCGATGGTCTTGACAGAAGCACTATGAGTTACTCGGTCGGCCTTTAAAGCAGAGGATACCATTTGTCGATCTCTGGAAAAAGGGCGAGCTTGTGAGCCCTATAAGAGACCCTGGAGACCTTCGCTCGGATGAATTCTATGTCTGTGATTTTGGTTTAGCAAAGAAAATTGGCGCCATCACTCAACGTGGCTAGTCAACTAGATGATGTTCCCGAGGTCGACACCTGATATTAAGTAAGTTCATGCCTGATTCACAAGGCACTGATGACACATCTTGTGGCCTTATAAACAAGGCGCCATGCCCTTTCTCCCCCACACTTCCAAGCGCCAATGATTAACGCCAGGGAATATGGAGGCAATACGTTGCCAATATGCGAACGCCGATTTGCCTGAACCCCACACGCGATTAACCGAAACCGGGCGTTAAGACGTTCGGAGGCTTGAGACGGCACTCTCTAGTGATCTTCGCCGCCAGTGTCCGGACTCCACACTACCGAAATTGCTTCCCGTTATTTTGGCTTACCCTCGGGGTTGATTCAATGACCAACACTTCCTTTCATAAATAGGTTGGATTCTCATTTTGGGGGATGTGATTCATCTTTGAACATTCTATATATTTATTGACATTGCTTGCATTGGGCTACCTTTTTTTTTCTTGTCCCTGTGTTTTGTCCAACATTCCTATACAACTGCACAATGTTTGTGACACTCGAGAGTGTTCCGGTCATTCTGCTCGGCCTCGTCGTAGCGTATTACTTGGTGCCCTACCTGCAAAAGTCGCATCTGCGCGACATTCCCGCTGCGGGGTTCGCCGGGTTCACCAACGTTTGGCTACTGCTGCAATGCCGCCAAGGTCAAAAGTTCAAGACGATCGACGAGGCCCACAAGAAGCTTGGAAAGCTGGTCCGCATCTCACCTACCCAGGTCTCTGTCGCCGATGATGCGGCCATCCAGAGCATCTACGGACATGGAAATGGTTTCTTGAAAGCGTACGTCATTGTTATAGCCCAAGACTTGCGCCCAAACTGACAATATCCCAGGGACTTTTACGATGCCTTTGTCTCTATCCGCCGTGGCTTGTTCAACACCCGTGACCGTGCCGAGCACACCCGCAAGCGCAAGACCGTTTCCCACACCTTCAGTGCCAAGTCTATTGGTCAATTCGAGCAGTATATCCACGGCAACATTGAGGAGTTTGTGAAGCAATGGAACAAACTGTCCGACCTTCAGGGTGACCCCAAGACCGGCTATGCCAGCCTTGATGCTCTCAATTGGTTCAACTACCTGGCCTTTGATATCATCGGTGACCTGGCTTTCGGTGCTCCTTTCGGCATGCTCGAGAAGGGCCAGGATATTGCCGAGATGCGTTTGGACCCCAAGGACCCTCCCAAGTACGTCGCTGCTGTCGAAGTTCTCAACCGTCGTGGCGAGGTGTCTGCCACCCTGGGCTGCATGCCGTCTCTCATCCCCTACGCCAAGTACATCCCGGACAAGTTCTTCTCTGAAGGTCTGCAGGCCGTGGAGAACCTTGCTGGTATCGCCATCGCCCGTGTCAATGAGCGTGTCAAGCCGGAGGTCATGGCCAACAATACCCGTGTGGATCTTCTTGCGCGTCTCATGGAAGGCAAGGACGAAAAGGGTAACCTGCTTGAACGCGCCGAACTGACCGCCGAGGCCCTCACCCAACTGATCGCTGGCTCTGACACCACCTCCAACACCTCCTGTGCCATCCTCTACTGGTGCATGATCACCCCGCACGTTCTCCCCAAGCTGAGCAAGGTCCTGGACGATGCGATCCCCAAGGACATCGAAGTTCCCACACACGCCATGGTCAAGGAAATCCCCTAGTAAGCCTTTCCCACTCCACACAATCCACACCCCCCCAAACTAACAAACCACAGCCTCCAATGGGTAATCTGGGAAACAATGCGGATCCACAGCACCTCCGCCATGGGTCTTCCCCGCGAGATCCCAGCCGGTTCCGCCCCCGTCGTGATCTGCGGACACACCTTCAAAGCCGGCGACGTTCTCTCCGTCCCCAGCTACACGATCCACCGCTCCAAGGAAGTCTGGGGCCCCGACGCGGAACAGTTTGTCCCAGAGCGATGGAGTCCGGAACGTCTCACCGCTCGTCAAAAGGCCGCCTTCATTCCCTTCAGCCACGGGCCTCGTGCCTGTGTCGGTCGTAACGTCGCTGAGATGGAACTGCTCGTCATCTGCGCTACTGTGTTCCGTCTCTTCGAGTTCGAGATGCAACAGGATGGACCTATGGAGACTCGTGAGGGATTCCTGCGTAAGCCGCTTGCTTTGCAGGTTGGTATGCGTCGTCGTCGGGTTTGAGGGGCTTTGAATTGTATAGAATATACACCCCTTATAAAATAGGGGTGTATTAGGATTGAAATTGTTTGGAACTAGGGTGGAATTGGATGGGATCTTGGATTATATTTTGGATCACCATTTGTCATGATTCGATGAGAATGGCTGGGTTGGTTCGGTGCTTTCCTTTAGGTAAGTGTTTTACCACACAGTCGCTGATGATTTTCCTTTCTTGGTCGTTGGATTTGAGTGAAAATATCGGGAATCTGATGAGCGTGTACATATGTCATGTTTTTATATTTTTGCATTTCATTATCTTTGGATATTCAAATAAGCTACTTGGAGTATATAAATGAGCTGAGGTGATAACCCCAAAAAGGAGAAATAGGGTATTGAGGACTTGTTCCGTTGTATTAAGATATACCCGTCGAGCCTCAAATGGACTGGAATTAAGTACAAAAAAGGGTGCAGGAACAAAAGTCAATTGGTATTACTATATCGTGATTCGTGGCGGACGTGAATTAAACGGATAACCGAAGAATTGTGTGTGCCCCGACTCCGACCGCAGTTGGCTCCGTATGTAGGAAACGAAGTAACAAGCTCCGAGTTTCTACCACTTGGTGGGACCGAAGGTCTGGCCCTCAGCGACAGGGCTACGAACGGCTGCATCGGTGACATCCATAGTGCCACCCGCGATTCTAGTGCCCCACCATTCGGGGAAGTTGGTATCGGTCAAGTTGAGACACAAGAAAATGACAATGGTGCACAGAGCGAGACCGACATCCAGACCAGCGGACAGGACGTAGTTGTACTGCATCCACCATCCGCGCCAGCGGTCACGGATGTACTTGTTGAAGATGAATCCTACGATACCCCAGGAGAGGTAGTTCAGAGGGGTAGCGGGGGGGATCAAACCGGCACCACCGAAGATGATAGGGGCACTGAGGTACTTGATAGGGCTCTTGGGGAAGAAACGGGCACCGATGTAGATGAGGACGGGGAGGATGCCACCGGCGAGGAAGAAGAACATTAGGGGAGAGTAGAGCTGGCCGATGGAGAACATGCGGGCGGGGCCGATGACACCCCAGATGACGGAGGCGTTGAAGAACACACGACCGTTGGGGCAGGTGAAGTGGTTAGGCTGGAACTGGTCACAGACGCCCTTGATGGCACCCAGAGCCCAGTTCATGGTGGCGATTTGCACCAGGGAGGACCAGAAACAAGCGACCATTTGTGCCATGAAAGTAACACGGGGAGGAATCTTCATGTAGTGACCTAATGGAATATGTTAGTATAACGAATTGACACGAAAATGGTATCGAAAAAGACAACGGGACTAACCAATTTTCAGATCCTGTGTGAAGTACATTCCCTGGTACATGCTGATGTAACCGTAGGTCTTGAACAGCATCATTGCCATAGGTCTACCGGGTTGCATGTAACCGATGATGAATTCAGTGATGACATTGAGACCGATGTCGATGTTGGTGGCAGCCTTGACGATGCCAATAGGAATAAACCAAATAGCGGAAATGAGCAGGGCAATGATGAAGGACCACCAGCTCATGTGTGTCTCCCAGCCCAGAATAACACCGAAGCCTATTCCGACCATGGTCAAAAACACAACCAAGTACCACCAAAGTGGAACTGTAGCGTAGCGAGTCATGAGGCGGCCGTGAACATCCTCCTCCTCTTTTCCGACGCGACGGAAGCGAGCCCAGATATCCGCACCATTGAAAAGACCGGCCTGAACGAGCACAGCGACGATACTGGCAAAGGATAGACCATAGGACAGCATGAATGTGGTCGACAGGAAGAGAGGGGAGTAACTCTCGTATTTTTTAGTGTCAAAGGTGTAATCCGGAGTCAGAATCTTGGAGACATTATACACATTACCGGTGTTGTCGTAACTGCTGGAGTCGCTCATGGGGAGGAACTGAGAATAGAAGAGATTGGAGTAATGAATGGCGGGGGTAACAATCCAGAACCAGAGAAACATGCCGATCATGGTATTGGAGATGGCATACCAAGGGGCAATCATGGGACTGAAGTTGAAACCAGAGATCTGAGTCCAGTCAAAGGTCATTGGAAGAAGCGACAAGCCGGTCGCTCCACCAAAGAGCTGATTGACGATCACGTTGTTGGGCTTGATCCAGGTGATCCAGGCAAAGATACTCAGGAAAGGCGCAATGTAGCCGGGGAACCAGTACCAGCTGAAAGAGGCAATCATGGCGTAGAGGAACATCTGATATTTACCGATCCTCCAGCCAGCGACCTTGCTGGGATCCGGCTTGGTGCGATCGTGCAGCGCAGCGAAGAGGGAGGTGTTGATCAGGGTCGAGGGCCAGATCATAGCAGAGGGCGACACCAAGAAGCGAGTAAAGAAGCCGGCCATGCCGAAACCCAACATTTGAGTTGAGACACACATGAGGATCTCGAAACCCCAGCCGAAGTGCTGTCCATAGAAGGCACGCTGAGCCAAGAGGACATCCGTCGCGTAGGCGGCGCCACCACCGAAAGTGGCGTTAGCCATGATAACGACAATGGTATGTTCTTTCTTGGTGAAAACACCCGGGTTGAGTTCGGCTTTGTGGCCGAAGAAATTGAAGGTATAATTGGGCATCCACGCTTCCCAGGCCTTTCCAACTGGGTAAGCGACGACCTGTGCAATGTATGAGGGGATAACAATGTAAGGCTGGCGCATGGAGAACAGCATGTTGAGGGAAGATCCGATGGTCGCAAAGAGAAGACCAATCACCCAGGCACGAATGGTATTCACAGCGCCACCCTCATCGATGTTGGGGACAGCAGACCGAACTTCGGGGTACGGGGAGTTATCCAGGAGTTCCTGAGCAATGGCCTCCCTGGTTTGCTTGTCAGATGTGTGCAAGGCTTCATCGAGTTCCTCCACGACATCCTCGGGCATGTTTGGATCCCAATTATGGTGATCCTTGAGGTCTCGCAGCGCCTTGAGTTTATCATCGGGTGCGGTTTCATCGACCATCGCACCAGTGGTGACGGCGATAGACTCGTCCTTCTCCATGGTGAAACGTAGCTCAGATATGTACCTCACAGAGAGTCGATGGACATAAGAGAAAGGAAAAGGAAAAGCAGCAAGGGGGTTTGAATAAAATATAAAGGTCCTCGAAGATGAGGCCGACGGAGGTCCGCCTTATCGCCTAAAGAGGATATCTCAGGCTTATCCTGGAGTGGATGTAACCCAGTGTAAATGAAACCAAACGGTCGAACTAGTGAATTGATTCGATGAAAGTGTAGGAAGTGGGGGGAGGAGAAGGGAAGACAGGGGTATGAAGTAAAGTGAGGAATGGTGAGCTGAGACTTGAGTGGCTGGAAGTGCTTGAGACGGAAGGCGGGCAATGGGCATAGAAAAGCAACCAACTAATCTCATCTCATGTTGTGATTTGGCCATGTGTTGACCGGATAGCTCTCAGACCTCTTATGTACACTCCTTATGTATAATCGGGAGAGCGTTCGTCGTATCTTGAGCATCTAGATAATTGGTGGCGTTCCTTGGGTTACCTTCAGCCCCAGCTATTCCATCTTTCATATTCCAAACAAAGAAATCTATATACTAGAAATCTATTTAGGGAAGTATAGTACGGAGTACTATGAAGTATATCATTGACCAAAATGCCAGTTCTAAGGGCGTTTGTAAAAATGTGGTATATTCCAAGGGAATTCCAAGAAAGAGAAGCAATCTCCTGAGAGCTTGTTTAGTGATAAGCCGGCGCACGGAGGAAATGGGTGAGCCTGCCGTTATTGTCTTAGCGCTGCCGCTAATTGTGCAGCTAGAATGGTGGCCAACCAACCGGTGCCTATAAATTAAGCGTCGTTGGCCCATCTCCGGCGCTAGTCCGTCCTGGCGAAAAGGCATATGCTGAATTAGTACTCATCTCGGAGTCTCAACCTCAAATAAGAAAGACGGGAGCCTCTTATCTCTCCATGGTCCCCGGCCGCAAATATATGACATTTCGAGGCGTTCAAGGCTGGGATGCCCTCGGACATCCTGGGTATCAGCCGACACAATTGACAGCTCATGTAGTGCAACTGTGTGAGGGGGGCCGCATATCTCAATGCGGGGAGGCTTCCCTAGTGGGCTTCTGTAGCTTATGCTCGATACCACCCAAATACGACAAGGTCGGTGCTGCGTTAGTGGCTAATTTTGTTATGTGGCTTTGGATCTAGCATGTCTCAAACCGGAGGCCCCACGGAGTTGCAGGGGTTGAAAGAGGCGGTTATTCCTCATTGGCCCACACAAACACCAGAGATATGTCAAGTGATGGGACATCGCGTGATAGGAATAATCATTACCTGGAGACTGCATTAATATTATGTTATGTAAAAACGGGAATGGAGGATTCGAACACAAGCCTGAAACTGGGGTAAATTGGGAGAACTTCGAAGGATTTGAGGCCCTAAATGGCTGATTCGAGGCAAGCGGGAAGGCTTACACAATATGCTCCCGTACGGGTTGACCGCCTCCAATATAAATGTCCACTAACAAAGCCACAATTCAATACTCAATTTTATCTACGGAGTACTCCGGAGTCAATTAATAATATTGCAATGTCATCTCCAGGCTGGGTACGGAGTATAGGAAAAAATACCTGTGGACCCTTGGTATACACATCCGTATCTAATTTCCCGGAGTTCCCCCGGAACTAAGCTTCCTAGCCTTATCCTGTCTCCAGTATCCACCGAGTCTAGAACTGCACGATCCATGACCCCGGCAAGATGTGGCATGGCATGGCTCCCATGGTTGATCAACATGGCTTAGGCATGCTGGTAAGATCTTTGTTTTGACATCTCAACTCCGACGGTTCGTGGCATATCGGAATATCGGAATATCGGAATATCGCTGGACTGGGCGAAAATTAATTTACTGATAGGTCGAGTCCGACAATGCTGGGCTTGGAGTAAATACCGGAGCCTGGTATTGGCTTCCATAGCTAGTTAGAATCACAAAGGGCGTTGAATCAACACTTGGTAGCGCTGTGCACCGTACAATGTGTGGTATTAGCTTTCATAGCTAGCTAGGATCACAAAGGGCGTGAATCAATTGGCGATAACCCCACTATACGATACTTCGACCGGAGGCCGGAAAGGCAGACGCAAGGTGGAGCTTTGAGGATGATTTCTAAAGATTGCTCGTCAACGACGAATCCGGAGGAAATGAGAAGATTTCATCGCTCAGCCACTCAAAGTTAGTGAAGTAGTCCTCGTTGATCTGGAATTCTCCTTGTAGAGGAGCCGCGTGCTGAATCATATCCCCAGTGGAGTCCCGAGTGGGGTCTGGTCCCATGGTAGCACGCCCTGCGTCAAAGCCCGGAAGCATGTTCGTTCGGGAGGGACCATCAACGAACTCCGTCCCTCGCATTTTGGTGCGCACGTGAGGGCGCATGTGAGGGTCATACTCATCACGCCACCACCAGACAGCATCCAATATCAGACTGAGAATCAGGCGACTGCGAATTCGAAGTGTGGTGTGATACGAGCCATCCGATTTGCGGAATGCCTTGCTGCTATTCCAGAGTTGATTCAAGACCGTGACCATCTTAGCAGCTGAATCGCTTCTGTCGGTGGACATTTGCTTGGCTAAATTGATGGCGGTGAAGAAAGAAGCTTGTGCACGGCTTGTATCAAGTCCGCTGGAGGCAGAATCGTTTTTGAGAATCCGCAACAGTGACATCGAAGCCAGCAGCAGACCGAAGCATATTTGAACAGGTGCCATGAAGAGAGATCCCATACGATCCGCCAAGGCTTGAACATAGTCTATCAAGTTGCAAGCGGTGACGATAAGACGCGGAAGACATCCGCTAGAGACGAGTGTTTGATTTTTGTAGAAATAGAAGCTTTGGATTGCCATCCGGCAAAGGAGAAGGTAATGCCTCTCGTCATCTGCAATAAGGAAACAACCGTTAGCGGAGACACAATTACCAACGAGATCCATGTCAGAAACAAACCGACTACTGCCTGCAAAGCAATATCGTCTACCACTCCCTCATACTTCCGTAGCAAGATGTCCAAAGCCAGCTCCTGATCCAGAGACATGGCACGGACTCCATTTTCCAGAACAGCCTCGCTGCATTTCCCAACAACCTCCTGACATCTGAGTTTCTGAACCAGGTGTGGAGCAATCTTGTCAAATAGCACCTGGCGTTGGATTGTATCCTGTGCTAAACTGACCAGATTTCGCGGAGACTGCCCTTTGATCACACAAGACCTACAATGAATCAGCACGCCAATTCCACTGGATCACACTTTAGAAATAAGGAATACCCACCGTTGGTATACAAGGACACAATGAGCCCAGAGCTCCGAGCGTCGGACCATATCCAACTCTGACGACACCGGAATCTTGAATCGGGAAAATTCATGGCTTGACATCGGGATATGGAAACCGTTTTGCATCGCCACATGCAACAGCATTCCGCTCAGAGGGAATGTCACATCTGGACGATTCTCTTTGGGAAACGGCCATGTCAACAGGAGCAAGAGTCCCTGTATGGTGTACCACGGCGCGCACGTCGACAAGACCGACAGCAGTGCCATTTCTGTGACCTCCTGGGCCAGCGCGGTGTTCAAGGTCGGATTCCGGGTATATGACCGGCTGGAGACGCCAATGACAGCCCAAAACAGAAATGGAGACTGCGCGTAATACACGTTCGGTTTCGTCTGTACATCAAGGATCGGGAGGAATGAGGCATAGTGACGGAAGAATCTGCGAGATGTTAGAAACAGGCTGATGACAAGCTTCTAGGAAAATCTACAATTGAAACAGGTCATCAATCTCGGCATCTGAAACGGTAACACTTTTCAGTGAACGTGGCATTGTGGGATCATTCCCTCCCATCATCGCACCCGGTGTGGAGCCCGCTGGTGCAAGATGATATTGAGGATGGGTCAGCGACAAATTCAAATCCTGCGAATCGTCAAGTTGGGCATCCGACTTCAACACAGCTGGTACACTTAGTTCTGATGGCGCTGTGCATAACGCAATTGGCACGGAATCGGGGTTCAACTGCTGGAGGTTCAACTGCTGAGGGTTCAACTGCTGGGAGTTCAACTGCTGGGAGTTCTGCAGTTGTTGGCGCCACTGCTCATTCTCGTGTTCCAATTCGATGTATCGGCTTTGGAGAAATATATGTAAGAAGTGGATTCATTCCATCTTACTCGAGTTTAGGCTCTTACCGACGTTTATGCTCTCTTGTGAAGCTGTCATCTATAGTGCACTCGAGACTGCGTTTGCGGCATCGGGTACATGGTACACTCTCATCCCGCCAGACATCGCATTTAGCCTACTGGAGTTAGTAGGGTTTTTGTAAAGGCAAAGTCATTGGTACCTTTTGCTGGCGGCACATAGTACACGCCTTCTTTCCTTTCTTGGGTAATCTGTGTTTGGTGACGTTAACATGCTTCTTTAGATGGAGAACAATATATGCTCGTACACCTCCATCTCTGATTTTTGAGATTCCAGCCAACAGATAGAGCTGGGAAAGTGATCAGACTCCCTGTTTATTGTCTTCGTTTGATTTTTTTTTTATGTTAGAATAAGAGGAAAGACAGTTGTAGCACTCAATCCCGGTAACGGGATGATAGCAGGTTTGTGATTGGTCCAACGAGGAAGGGGGGGGGGAGGGTCATGTGATGTTAATTTATAGTACAGTCACACCGCTTTCACATCCCATTACTGCCTTCATACAGGTGTTGACTCCAAGTGTTCTCATCACGTGTTTTCGGAACATGGACCTTCCCGAACCCGAAGGTTGCTAAAGATCAAAGTTCAACAACTCATGTCTCCCAGGCGACCCTGCATTCCCCCCTTACAAGAAAGACTGGCATAAATTGGGCTGCACTATGACTGCACTCTGACTTAAACCAAACTTGTCATGCGAGAATGAAATTGATCTTCCAAACGGCCCATGAAGACGACATATAGCAAGAAGAGACCGAATAACACAAGGCATAGCAAGACAAAACATATGAGCACCGTTTAGAAAACGGTCATTAATACAACGGTCGAAACGAGAGTCAGCAAGAAGGCGCTGTTAGATTTTAGCGGATTGTAACTGGATATATATATCCACCATCTTTCCCGATAAGAATATAACATAGAGAGTATTACTATCCAATACACCGTAGTTACCCTTCTTGACTATGATGTGAGACCGCAAACAGTGTTAAAACTATAAATGTAGCTTGATAGAGCGTTGAAGATTTTGTAGTGCAGGTATGTTGAAATATACGTTGCTGAAGTAAAGGGCAACTATGATATTATGAACCTCTCAAGTCTCGTGTACGAAACTACTTACACTTTCTGACGTTGATCAAAGAAATAGGCGAAGAAAGACAAAAGGAGGACTAGGATTTTCAATCCTATTAGGAAGTTTCCATCTGTCTATCGGGTTACGGGTGTAAATAGTACCTATGTAGTATAGAGTAAGCTCTGCCGAAGCAGTGACATCGCTTCTCTTGTTGCGAATGACTGCACGTGAAATCTTTGTTGAGGGCCACGTTTAAACTTCTTAAATCAAGTGGGCTTGACTAGGTGGTCTAGCTTTATACAATATTGGCTTATGGAACATTATACTCGAAAGGGCTATCCCACAAAAAGAGGATATAGAGCCAAAAGAAAGGAACATATATCGTGGATTGTAATATAACAGATTATAAGACGTTTGGATTGACGTCTCGTACGAAAGTTGATCTTGTAACAATAACTATCATATAGTTTCAAAGACTTCCCATGTAATATATTTGCGAAAGGGAAACCTAAAAGACTCTGAACACGGCTGTGAAGCTTTGACAAGGGTACATTGCCGTGGCCTGTACTTGGAGCCATGTCTCTCACACCACCCAAAGCACCAAGCCCAATAGACTCGAGGGAGGCGTTCTCACATATGACAAGGGCCTAGTGGACTAGTATGCCATGCCACGCAACGTGGAACTCACCAAATCTTATGGTTGGATATCCGGTTGTCGTCATTCGGCCGGAGCAGTCGATGATGACGAGGCATGGAAGCTGGCTCGTCCTGAGAATTCTCATTTGACCCCTTTCCTTCCTTTTTGAGTTGCGGTGGCACTGACAGGGGCAATCGGCAGGACATCCTTGGGAACCGTGCTCAGAAGCCGCCCCTACCCCATTGGGAATGAGCCAACCAAAATATGACCACGAGACTTTAGCAATCAGTTCTGCTTTTGAGATCCCCAGATAATCTTGAATTAGTTGTACAACTTGGACGTTTAATTTTACTCTAGACATTGTTCCACGGGGTGATGATTTGGAATAATCTGGTGTATATGTCGTCCGCTAGGCGACATGGCAAATTCAGGGTATCGCGCATCCCCCGCAATTTCTGGATCGAAGCGTCGAATATTCTGTTCAGGCTTGGATATACTCAACGCCCCCACCACTGACGGGAGGAGGCAAAGTTCGGTCGATTGATATGCCCTCACCGTGACATCACTCGATCCTGAAGCAAAAGTATATAGTAGAACAAGATGGGCGATCAAGCAAAATCTAAAGCATGTCATTTTTGTCATTCATTTGCACGCAGTTATGAGTTTTGAGATCCCTTCCGTCGCCGAAATCCAGCTCGCTGCCGAGAGGGGGCAGCGCATCACGCAGGATGATGTTTCGGCCATCTCGCAGGCCGAGAGCGCACTAACTGGACGCGGACCTTTTCGGGGTGGACCAGCTGGTGAGAGTCCAAACTATTCTCTATCTGCAAGCAAGGCATGACTGATCGAATATAGCAACGGCGCAAAGTCTTGCTATGCGGCAAAGCAATTTCGAAAATAAGGTCGCAGAGGTCTCGCGAAAGCCATCAAGCGCGATTTCACTAGAAGACGCAGACGAGATTCAAGTAACAGAGGTTAGAGAATCCTCGTGAAAAATTCAGTCGAATGACTAACGAGAGGTTCTCAATAGGGACGTGCATTTAACCAGCCACCCGGAGTCGGCTACATCTCCGCCCAGGTTCGGTCGATCGCCGATAGTAATGATGCATGGGGACTCACAGCTGCGGCTGATGTGCCGGCATACATCACCAAAGATGATGCCCGAGACGCGCAACATGCCGAAGCTACTGTGTATGGCGGTCAGAATCCTCGGGGAGGAATGGCAGCTCAGATGCAGGTAAGTGGATACGCCGATATTTGGCGCGATGGTAGCTGACAGGTGCTTCTGCAGAGTGCAGCGGACAAGATCGATAATGCCCGACGAGGCAGTTATGGCAGCTATTAACATTTTGATACTGTAAAATGGGCATTCCGCACAATACCAACTATACATATTGCACCCACAAAATTGAACATATCATTTTTTGAACATACCTTGCACTGATGTCAGTATGAAATGTCCCAAAGCTCCATTTGAATCCAATGCATATCCCTGGCGTGACCATCTACGTTCGGGAAGAGGGAGATCAAATATGCCCTGACCCGCTATAGTCCCTTGAAAGGTCACAGAGTACCGCCAAGATGTTCAACAAACTCTGTTCAATCCAGAGCTCGGCTTGGACAGGCTGCATGAACTGACAAATATCGGGTCACCGGAGCAGAACCCGAGCTTGTTACTGATATCCAGTGTCTCAAGTGTGCCGGTAGCGATTGATCACAATGCAGACTCACCTTTCTCCCTGCTTGAACTATGAAGTCTCAAAACTCACTATAATGGAGCTGTGATGAAATCAAAACTGGAGGCGACCCACTATGAGCCGTGCTAGCTGATCAATAATAGATTTGGGCCGAACGAATTGACCAATCACAAAATCTTCCTGGTGTGAGTCCCAAGGCATTTCCGTCAGCTTGAATAACACCCCTCGTGGCCTTCAGACCCGTTTTAACGCCTGAATGTTCACATTCCGAAGCAGTCCGTGTCCGCTCCAATCGGAGAGGGGGTCGGAGGGCGTCGGAGAATGAGCCATGACAGATAAGCCGTCGAATCTCCGCAAGCAAGCTGATTTGCGGAGACCGATCATCCAAAAATATCCAGTGACGGTCAACGTGAGTGGTGCGCTTAGCTGAGAGTTGAATTTTTGGGGTAAAATGGCTAGCTTTGCATGGAAAGTTCTCTGGCGGGGCACCATAATTTGTCATTGTGCAGCTTTGGGGCTTACATATAAAATCAGCACTAGCCAATTTGGAATGAAGGATCATGTATTTGGAATTGGACACAAACTCATTGAATTGGTCGAGTTGACTGAATTTGGTGGAGTTGCGTCGGGAAAAAAGCTCAACAAAAACCCAGCGTAGCGATGACGTAACCAATCAGGTACTAGGTACTTGTTTCACCGACATCGGTCAAGAGGATAAGGAAGTACTCGAGACTTGCCAAATTAACGAAGCTGACCAGCTCGACTTTTCCACCATTGAGGGACTATTATTTCTTAAATACCCTTCCTTCCCCTCTCCAAAGGTCCTCAATATCAAGTACCTTGAAAGAATCAATCTATCAACCTATACAAAATGCCTCTCTCCGGACACTGCCTCTGCAAAGCCGTCACGTACACCGTCGACGTTGACGCTCCTCTAGTCACTGGCTATGACCACTGCGATGATTGCCAGCGTCAGAGTGGCTCGACCTACTGTTAGTTGCACAAATACCTAAGGAGAGATACAATTGCTGACCTTGTTATAGCCCTCGTCGCTGTCGTCCCCAAGGACAAGCTGACTATTAACGGCCCCACCAAGAGCTGGGCTGGCAAGGGTTCCTCTGGCCACGCTGTCCACCGCATCTTCTGCTCTGAGTGTGGTTCCCCCATCGCTCATGATCCCGATGCCGCTCCCGAGATCATTGCCATCAAGGCCGGCACCCTGGATACCGAGATTAAGAAGAACTTGAAGCCCGTATGTACCGCATGCCAGGGATTGATTTAACTTTTATTGGAGTGTGACTGACCCCTTGTTCGATGTAGGACACCGAGATCTGGACCGTCAGCAAGCTTCCTTTCTGCCAGGAATCCCTGGCCCACCCGTTCAAGCACATGCCGGAGTAAATGCTGGACTGGGAGATTTTAATGAAAAGCGAGCTTTTTATGGGTGCTTATAATGAGTGAAAACGACGAATGCAATGATATAGTCTAATGTGGCTTGCATTAATGATCAATCAGAATGTTTACACCAGTTTCTTTACAGCCCAATCACATAGAGCAAGTTTGAAGCGGATAGTACGCGGATAGTACCCGAGGGACTTTTGCCGACAAGGTGAGACAGGATAATTTGTGCCTTGGGCACGTTATGTTCAGGTTCAGCGACAAATATTCGGACTTGACTAAACAGGACCTCTTAGCCGAAGCATCCAGACGAGACATCGAATTTGTATTGGAGTATTGTGCTTCCAAATGTCGACTGGCACTCTGTTCATCCGCGACTCACGCACTAACGTGAATTATGAGATCCCCATTACCCGAAACGCATTACGCGCGACCGACCTTCAGCGGATCCAGGCGCCTTCGCTCAACAGGAATCGTGCAGACCAAGTAGCCCATGGACTGCGAGTCTATGATCCCGGGTTGCAAAACACGGCGGTGACACAATCCTCTATCAGCTTCTCGTGAGAATCTTGCGAAGGTGCTTGTAGTATCTGGCTAATTGGTGTTTAGTGACCATGAGCGCGGTCTACTTCTGTATCGAGGGTATACCCTGGACCAACTATGGGGATGCGAATTCGAAGAAATGTTCTATCTATTGCTATGGGGGGCATATCCTACAGCAAGCCAACACGAAGAGCTACGCCAGCGGCTGGCACAGTATATGCAAGAGATTCCTGATATTGTGCGCCAGGCTATCTTTAATCTCCCGTATGATGAGTCTGTTTGTCGTGTGTCTGTCATCTTGGGTTTCTAATTAGTATTTAAATACACAGAAAGGCGACCAGCCCACTGCCGCTGATTCTAGCCGGCCTTTCAGCCTACCTAGCCTGTATACCAGATGTGATCCCAGCAGCCACAAATGCGACGATATACCAAACAGATATCAAACGGGCCGACCAGATCATCCTACAAACTGTTGCCGCCTATGCTGTTGTCTTCGGAGCTGTACGATCCCACCGGCTAGGCATTCCCTGGAGGTCTCCGTCTCTGCACCAAACCTATTACGAGAATATATTTACGATGGCCGGTCTGCTAGACCCAGAGACAGACCGTCCAAACCCTACACGCATATCCTGCTTCCGTCGCTTTGGCAACCTCAACGCAGAGCACGGAATGGCCCTAACAGTCTTCTCAGCCCTAGTGACCGCCTCATCCATGACTGACCCGGTGTCTTGTCTGATATCTGCCGTGGCCGCCGCTCACGGACCCTTACACTTCGGCGCAACAGAGTCTGCCCAACGCGCTCTCCATGACATCGGACAACCAAACAATGTCCCAGCCTTCATCGAAGAAGTAAAATCTGGAAAGCGAAAATTATTCGGCTACGGTCATCGCACCTACAAGGGAATGGACCCACGTGTGCGTTCTATTCAAAGTATCCTGAAAGATTTGGTTGATTTCCATCAACCGCTATTGAAAGTTGCCGAGGCAATCGAGCAAGCCGCTGCAAAAGATGAGTACTTCAGTACACGGAGCTTGTATCCTAATGCGGACTTTTATGGTAACTTCGTGTTTACTGGAATGTAAGTGCTGCCCCGACAAGTGTACTGTGAACTCAGTTTCCAATACGATGACTTAGTGGGTTTGAGCCCGATCTTATTCCAGCGGCAATGCTTGCCCACCGCATTATGGGTATAATGGCGCACTGGAGAGAGTACATGGGTAAGACGATTCACTGGAGGCTTGCTAATTGGGCTGACTGGTTATAGTCACTCGTGGCAAGCTGTTTCGACCTACCCACGTGTATACAGGCCATACAGAGCCGAGTTCGGACCCCAGACCGAAGATATAGGAGTTTGAACGTGTACCGAGGGAGTGAAATATTCATATCGATTTCGTTAGCTGCTCTTTCCTTGTGGAAATGAAAATATCTATAATCAGAAATTTATCGAGAAGTAAAATTCGTCCTTTCTGTAAATTCGCAGTGAATACATATCGAAGAATAGTTGGGATTTTACAGAAATCAAGTGGTATTGGGTTCCCGGTTGATTTAACGACCAAAAGGACCGGAGCTATATATTCGCGATCAAGCCCACAAGGGACCAAGAAACTTCTGTTTGGCATTCTACCTTGGTCCAACATGAGCAATCAAGATCTCCATCAGCAAATGTGGCAGCAGAATGACGAGGTCAATGAAGAAACCCCTTTGCTGCCAGCTGGTCCTGGCGAGCCATATTCCGTGTTCACACTAACACAGAAACGCTTCATTATTTTGACAGCGGCATTGGCTTCGAGTTTTTCACCTCTATCCGCTAATATCTACTACCCGGCATTGAATTCCATTGCAAAGGATTTGCGAGTTAGTCCGTCTCAAATCAATCTGACGATCACGACATACATGGTATGTTATACATGAGATTTTATAAATTTCGCTTAAAGATACTGACATCCCTGGCTTTGAAGATATGCCAGGGCCTCGCTCCAATGTTAACAGGGTCAATGGCAGACCAGGCCGGTCGTAGACCCGCATACATCCTTTGCTTCGTGATATACATACTCGGAAACATCGCTCTCGCTGTACAGCATAGCTTTCCAGCCCTCTTAGCTCTTCGTGCTGTTCAAAGCTGTGGGAGTAGTGGTACAGTGGCCCTTGCATCTGCAGTAGCAGCCGATATTATCACTTCTGCCGAGCGAGGTATGTACATGGGCTTTGCCTCCCTGGGAAATATCCTTGCTCCATCCATCGGGCCAATTCTTGGGGGTGTGGTGAGTAAGTATCTGGGCTGGCAAGCAATATTCTGGTTCCTCGCTATTGCAGCTGGTACTTTCTTCATGCCGCTACTGTTCTTTTTCCCGAAACATGCCGCGGAATTGTCGCAAATGGCTCGATTCCTGCAGTCGGATGGAATCGAACCACTTGGAGTTATTTACACACCACCAGCCCAGTGACTCCGCCTGCATCGAGTGTGCTGAGGAGTCGCGCGAAAGTTCCTAACCCATGCTCAACCCTGCGTCTGCTTTCCCACCGACCTGTGGGGCCGGTGCTTTTGGCAAATGGAGTTGTATTCAGCAGTTACTACGCCGTCACTGCTGGAATTCCCGCACTTTTCCAGAAAATATATGATCTGGATGACTTGGGTATCGGACTATGCTTCATTCCTGCAGGCTTAGGGTCGTTGCTCAGCGCGACTGCCAATGGGGTATTGGTCGACTGGAACTACCGGCGGGCTCGACGCAACGCCGGTCAGCCGGTACAGAAGAACCAAAAGCAGGACATCATTGGATTTCCCATCGAACAAGCAAGGTTGCAGATCGGCCTGCCAATGACAGTAAGTTGCCCTGAGACATCCTTCTACTTCACCCCTTCTATTAGTTGACTTTCATTTTCCCCTTTTAGATACTTGCAGCTGTCTCAATTGTCGCCTACGCAGTCCTGATGCCCTTCAAGCCACCACTTCGGCTTGCGCTGATTGTGGTTTTTTTTATTTGTTTTTGTATTACAGCGGCATACAACGTGATGAATATTATGATCGTCGACTTGTACTACGAGACGCCTGCTACCGCGATGGCTGCTAATAACCTTGTGCGCTGCTTCCTTGGCGCTGCAGCAGCAGCTGTGGTCAACCCTCTGATCAAGCGAATAGGTGTGCAATGGACATATTGCTATGTATCGGGCGTAGTGGCTCTGGTCACTCCGATTCTTGGCGTTGTTTACGTTCGCGGCTGGGAATGGCGGAAGAAACAAGCCGAGACTGCTGCACAGCTGCGAACTGTACACGGGAGACCATAGTACCACCTAGGGCATGCGGGACTATGAATTGAATCATAAAGAATCACAAAACATGGATCCTCTTCTCACATTTTGGATTGATGTGCTGCAGTCGAATTTTGCTCTCTTCGGCAGAGTCTACAATAAGACAAATATGATCTCAATCGTTACACTCCTCTTTGGTGTTCTAACCGAAATAATCCAGATCTTCCCTCTATCTCCTGGCCAGCAACTGCAAATACGGTATCCTGGGGGCCAGTGGATCAATCCTGGCATGGAGGTGGATATTAGAGGTACGTGAATCGCAAAGGCAATAAATCGAACACTTTAACGTCAACCCAGAGACAACCGTGGCCCCCGAGATCAGTAGCATGAACCTCCGATGGAACCAGAACTACATCATTCTCTTCATCGACCTCGATGCCATCTTACCAGGAAGTTATATCCAGTCAGTCATTCTACACTGGTACCAACCAAATCTCACAATGGATTGCACAAAGCCAACAACGCCTTCCAAACTCATCCCTGGCAAAGACCACGAGGACCACCATCAACCCGCAGCCTCGTACATAGCTCCTCGTGCACCAATAAATACTCACCACCGTTACGTCTATCTCCTCTTTGCACAGCCTCCAGCCTATCGATTCCCTGATTGCTTCTCACATGTGTTCCCTGAGACTGTTAGAGCCCGCGCGGGATTTGATATTAGGGAGTTTGTACAAGCAGCAGGGTTGGACCCTCCCATTGCTATGAACTATTTCATTGGTAGACATGAGCCTTCTGAGGGCGAGACAACCACGATTACTCACAGTGCGACAACGACCTCGTTCCGTTCCGTGGATTGTCCCACAAGGACGGTCAGCTCGGTATCATGAGTCAAGGGAGTGGGTGGAATGGTACCTGTCGTTGGCTTCTATTATTGAGTAGTTCAGGGAGACTAGGAAATATGATATTATGATATTTATGTTGCACGCGATATTAGGAGCCTCCATTATTTGGAATCATGGATTTAATTGAATATTCAGCCACAGCTGCCCAAAGTGTAATTCTCAAATTCAATGAAGTCTGAACAAAAGAAATCTGAAAATCTAGGTACATGTGATGGATGTGTATTGTAGGGTTATAGGGGGTCCCCAGAAATGTGCAGGCCGTCTTCGTACTCTTTGCGGTGTCCAGTAGTGACTGGGCAAGGAGTTACTGGAACTGTTCAAGGATGTTATGGTAGTGAGAGTGGTAATTGGTGTATAGATGTATTTACAAGGAAGATCTTGTGGATTAGAGTGCTACCTAATCCTAGGGAATACTGAAGGTCATCCGCATTTTCAATAAAACAGCATGGTATGTCGCATTCAGTTGATAAAGTGAAGCGAAATAAATTTCGACTCGTTGTAATTGTCTTGATTGTATTAGATGTTGTCCGGCGCTTGGACGATCTTAGATTGCCTTTAAGATAACCTTACAATACCGGGTGCTACAAAACGTGGTGTGTAGAGTGTGAAGGAAATTTGAAAGAGGCCATGTCAGACGGGGATACGCTCGACATTAAGATTGTCGAATTCCCTTCAGCTTGAAGGGCATAGAGGTAGGAGATACAACATGAACCTCAATCTTCACAAACATAGTTCCATCAATAACTCATGATATTTCCATGCATTCCACTTTCGCAATCAGCCCACAAGGCTTCGGTTCAAAAATTGAATCATTGCGACTGTCCCGAGCAACCACACCGCCACTCTACGCCTGTGGCATTCAATGGGAATTGCCAATCGCATTATCATTAGGACATTACATGACGTTGGATAGAGCCAAGTTGAAAAGCAAAGTAATTCGCATACAATAATGGTTGCTAGGTCGACGTTTCGTCTACCGAAATAATCATATTAGAAATACCAGATGCATTTTTCAGACAGGGATGACGCACCAATCGTTGTCTCTGGATAGGCACCATCAGAAAACTGTCGTCGTACCAGGCGAATAGATACTCCGGCTAGGACCAGCATGGAGAGAAATGTCGACAGATTGAATAACGGATACTGCCGTTATGGGAGCTTCTCGTCCGCTGCTACATATTGTAGTCCAGATTTATGTATGCTGTCTAATGACTCCCTTGACTCTCCATCTGAATTTCCTGCAATGTGTCATCAACTGGAATAGGACGTTGCTCGAGAACGGAAGCAACTGCTTTCATGTGCAACAGCCGCTTGTATGCTGGCGTAAGGAAGCATACGAGCTCCATGAAATGCGAATACCATACACCGGCGCCACTAATATCAATTAGCATTCGAAAAGGTTGCTGAAGTATACTGCACCACTTGAATCGTTCACCAAGGGATGATGAGATAAGGTTGATGATCGTTGAACAGTGAAGGCCGGCACGGAGTACAAGTGCAGTACTCGTACGCAGGTCCCAAGGAGGGTATGACAAAACTATTTGTCAGTAGTAAAGTTCACGATCCATGTAAGCTTTTGTCCTTCCGGCAATTGCTGCCAAGGGAGCTCATAATGGTGTGGGTAAACAGTGTCGCCTTTCATCATGAATGCTGGAGTGCAATCAAACGTGGTCCTGTGCTGTTGGACAATAGGGATTCTCAACTGAGAGGTGAGGGTACTAATCAGGCGATGGAATATAAATATCTCGAATTGACCCAAGCCAAGAGAGAACCAGACTTATCGATCTTGGAGTTGAAGACAACAACACTTGACATCCTTATCGACGATTTCTATATGGCCGAGACCTCTACCAAGAGGTCTCCCCAGTCTAACGGTCAACTACTTCCCAACCAAAAAATGCGCACAACCTGTAACGCTTGCCAACAGGCGAAGATACGATGCAGCCACACTTGCCCGTGCGAACGTTGCGAGAGCCACGGGTATGAGTGTGTCTATTCGATCTCGCAGCCGTTAGGCCGGCCTGCCAAGAAGAAGATGGCCCGGCCGCCAGCGGTGGCTGCAGGCGTGAAGACGCGCAGGGGGGAGGCGGAGGTAGTTGACTGTCCGAATCGGCGATGTGCGGGGAGGGCACCGCGGCCAACCCCAACAGGGAGGGCGCGCAGGGCGCGCATGGTCCCGAGTCGGATCCTGAGTCCAAGTACAGCACCCGGCTCGGGTACTAGGTCAGGGGAAGGGTCACACAGGAGCGACTTCAGCGCCGGCACTGAAGTCACACCACCGGAGGAAGACTTTCAGTGGCCGAGTTTCACGGAGTTGTCCTCGGACGTTCCAGGTGAGCACAGACCTAGTCCATGGGTATATAGATGTCGGTAGATGACTGTGGGAATTCTCAGAAAACCACACAAATAGAGACCGGATTCAGGACCAGGACTTCGTCAGCACGAACGAGGCCAATAGCCACGTCGATCCAGGATTCACCAACACCAGCCTGGATCGCTCGTTTGACCGAGCTGACGGATTCGAAAGTTTTGGAGGTCCCCATTTTCCCGAGCCGTGTGTTGGCTATTCCACACAGTGTTGTTGTCCCCAAATCGGTTTGATGGTCGACGAGCCTCCCATTGGACATGCGCCGGGCACCCAGTTTGCGTCACTCTTTCGAGGTGGTGCAATCTACCCCTTTAGCCTCGCACCGAACGCAATTCAGGTCTCGGGAACAGTGCAGGATCCGGCTAGAATCATGGAATTGCCCTCCAATGAAGTCTGGCAAGATCCCGTTGAAACTGATCCCAGTCAATATCTTCCACCAGGAGATATTGACCTCGAGGGACTGCCGGAAGATACTTCTTCCCTTCACTGCGATTGCTATGCCCAAGCATTCAGTGAAGTCGTTCGATCCGACGAGGCCCAAAGGGCAAATATGACATTGCACCACCTAGAAAGGGTGCAGCGACAGGGAGTGGTCATCCTTCAATGTCAAGTATGCTATGTCTCAAACGCCAGGGCTAACATCCTCACCTTATTAGTCATGGCAATTGAGAAAGCGGCACGGGCGTTGAAGGTGAGGGTCAAATTGGCCATTACCTCAGTGCAGGGGGGGATTTGTTCCGTCTGGGGGGAGGAGGACATCAGCCAGATGCACCGTTGTCTGTCTCATCTGTCAATAATTGTCCGTTTCATCCACCAAGATCTCGAGTGCTGCTCGTCTTCAAAGTGGCAGTTGATAATGGCTGATGAGACAGATCGCCGGCTGCAGTCGATTACTCGAATATTTGAGTGATTGCTGGTTGAAAAGTGTGTATATCGCAAACGCGGAATGGAGCCTGAGAGTTCGTGAGATTTTCCAAGTTTTCAGGTACTCACATCAGTAGAAAAAAGCGATAGACGAGTGCTGATTTAGACAGTTCCATCGACGCTATATGGCTCGTTCTTGTAGGAAAGCCCACTCAACTTTGTATATTGAGACTGGAAATCGCCGACGAAGCCCGATCCCTACAAATTGAAGTCAATGGACACTGCTATTCGCTTAATCACCGATCGGGGAGATACCCTTGAACGATAATCAAGTCCCCGGCAAATTATTGGATTACCAAGAAAATCCGGCCAGTCATCCTAGTTAGAACAGTCAAAGTCAACACCCTAGGATGGATGCAGTTGCACTAGCAAAGGGTGTTGTGTCAGCTGGCTCGCACAGAAAACTTTAAGTAAAGAAGGGTTTTACACGATTGACCATTTTAGAGCGCTTTTCCAATGGAACATTCTCGAAAGGAACGAGGAAAGTAGGCATGTCGTTCATATAGATTGCTCCCTGCAGCCAGGTCAAGTACTGGTAGTTGGGTATTTATAGCGATCCAATAGTTGAAATCTCATGACACGATGTCCCAACCGAAAGTTATCATCACTAGAATATGCCGGAAAAAAGCAGGTTACGGGAAGGAAAAGTGCAGGCTTTCGGTGGATTCCACCAGAACCTGGAAATACTGCTTCTATGACAATCTCTCGAGTATCATCACACTTCGGCTTTCTTTTTAACGCGATGATGCCATCAGCCAAACGAAGAAAAGGCCGCCTTGTGTGCTAGAAATGAACTCTGCACATCTCGAACAATACCTGATCATAAAGAGCTGGCGTGGTTGTATAGTCTTGTCTGTCGTAGAACGATATAATTTGCAGACAGGTTGGAGAGTGAGAGAAGGGACCAAAATCCCCATTGGACAATCCCGTCCATGATTGGCATTGCACGGCGGGCTACAAGACTGATGTAGACCCACGAATGCACACTTCCATTGATCAAAAGGCCCTTTCAGCGTCGAATAAGAACAAAATATGCATCTCCGATCTGACGTGAGATATCACGTATGATATTTCAAATTAGCCTAGGGGGCTTGAGCTACTACCGGTGACGATTGCAAGGATTGGTTAGAAAATGCACGATATAATTGAATATGACAATAGAAGGACATATGTTGTTAGTAGGACTTTAACGATACTTACATGGGTCCTAGTGAATGTATGGGAAAAGAAATGCACACCCACTACCCAAGCACCTTGGACCCATTTTTCAAACCCGCACCTCATGTGCGTCCACGCTGATTATGCTCACCGACAGTAGTTTTCTTCATGGCGACCTAGTTGGGCCAGGGCTTTTCAAAAATGCCAGTCCACTGCGCCCAGCCGATGACCTTGCCAACCATAGCGCGCTTGATATCCTTCTTACTGGCCTTCTCGGGAGCGTTGAACTTCAGAGACTCTTTGAGAGCAATCACAGTGAAGACATAGCGATGCTTTCCGTGACCGAGGGGTGCACCAGCACCGACATACGGCAATCCAAGTATATTGGGCACAAAGCGCCAACCAGCAACGGTCAGGCGGGAGATCTTGGCGTGCTCATCTGGCTTGACGTCAGCCGCTTTAGCCTTGGTGGTCGTTGCAGGAATTGCCCATAGGAGACCGTGGTGGACGACAAGGAATGGGACGGGTGGATCGAGGTCTTCACATAGGAGTACGTACTCCTTGACTTCCTCACGACAGTTTGGAGAGGTCCACTGTAGCTCTGGAAGGCAGCCCTTGCCATCATCAGCTTTACAGGTACAGTGAAGATGTAGCTTGGAGCCTGGTGGACCAGTGTCGGGTGCTTCGAGGGTCATGTTTGGCTCAGGAAGGTCTTTGAAGGCCAGGCAATGAATAATCTGACCCGAATCATGGCCACGGATCGGGTACAGCAGCCGACCAAGGATGAATTCGAGATAATGGAGAACCATGGCGCATAGATTTGATAGAGCTGCGGATGTGAGTTCTTTTTGTGTGAAGAAAGAAGAACAAAAGTCGCGATATTGACGTTCGGAGAAGGGTAGGTGCGGCCCGATTGGGAAGCTGCCCTGTACCGGCCCGGAATCGGCAAGATCAACTGGGCCTCATCTCTCAATGTTATTTTTCTGTGAAGTTCTGATGTTCGAAGTTGATACGCTCCATGCATATATGCATTCAAGCATTTAAGCTCTAGGGTATAATGTATGAACTCTGTTTGTGGGGACGAACAGGTGGTCCTCATAATGCTTGTGCTTTCCTCTCTTCCAATCCGTAGTCACAGCTTACTCCTTGAAATCACTGCGGTAGTTCAATATCCCAAGCAAGGCCAAGTACGTCATTGGTTCTGATTACTCCAGTATTTATGCTTAGTTGATGTTCACTCGGTGCTTGATCTTGCGCTTTCAACCCGAGCGTGCAACTGATACATGATGATGGCAAAGCTCTATCGACATGATGAGATGACAAAAGGATATTGATCGAGATATTATTTCAGAGACAAAATAACAGCTGTTGGGTGCTCCGCTCCCAGTAACGACGCAACAACGCTCGCATAACCTGTAAACTCACCGGTTTCCTTCGCGATGGTTGAAATCTCGTCTTCGGCCAAGGAGGCAAAGGTTTCCTTCTCCAAGGGTGCCCACCCTAAATTCCGAAGTCGATTCGCCCTATTTCTTGCATTTGAACCGACCACCATCCCCAAATAATCCCCGAACAAATCGCCCCACTGTTTCTCCGGGATGGGCCTCGGAGTAGATTGGTCAATACACCGCCCCATCTCCTACGACCAACCCCAGCAGCGCATTCACCCGAAGACAACTCTTGGCCGTTTTCACAACAGAAGTACGGATTCTCCACAATCTCAGTGACAGGTGCACGCTCCATCCAATGCAGCAGAACCATATATCCCCTGGCAAGGTCTTTGACATGAATCTGATTCCAAACGGCGAGACCCTTCCCGATCTGACCCGCGTTGCCATGCTTGAGGGAGTATCGAATGTGCGTCGGTAATTCGATCGAGAGGCGGTTCTCCCTAGTGGTTACGCCGTAGATAAGGGGCGGAATCATTAAAGCAAGGTTGCCCCACCGTTGTGGATATAGATTGTTTGCAGTCCTTGCGCCGCTTGGTATCTCGGTATCTGGTGCCATCGACGATTGCTTGGACCGATGGCAAGTGGTCTGCAGTTGCGATATGGAAGACGATGTCGGTAACCGCGACCTGGTTATTGATTACTGATGCATCGTCCAGGTTCCCAACCACCGTTTCGACACCCAAATTGGCGTGATCTACCACCGCTGATTCACGACGGACGAGGGTTGTTACTTTATAGTTCGATACGAGCAGCAGGTCTATGACCTCCCCGCCGATAAAATCGGGTCCAAGAAGGAATACAGTGGCAGGCATGCTAAAGATGAGAAGGTAATTTAATTGGGAATGTTTGCGCAACGTTCAGGTTAACTATGGATGAATGTAGATTGACGTCGCGATTATTAAGAACTCGCCTCAATTCTGCATAGAGGATATCCATGGATCGGATTTGGTTTCAAATTGGAGATCATAGAGGTAATCTCACTTGCCTCATGGCGATTTCAGGCTTCATTTGTGGTAGTGGGTTGTAGAATAAATATGTGTTGGGAAATGAAGTTTGTTCTAGCTGCCATTGAATTTGAAAGCAGATACTAGTTCATTGCTTATGGTTTATAGGGCTATCTAGATATTCCCAAATGGGTGTAGATCCTGCCGATCCTATGACATCAGCATTGCTGGGGCCCAGCCCTGCTTCCGCCCGCATCCGTCGATGTGTACCTGGGTTCCTGAATTTCTGGATTGGGGGAATTTCAACAACCTTCTCCTCCATGCTATCCTATATATCTGCTGCCTTCCGGTCCCCGTCGCCAGACGAAGGCGTACAGCAGCGGCCACCACGGTATGCCGGTGAAGATACCACCCCTACGAGCCGCCGGGAGATCTTAGGATGGTACTCCTACGGGATTGCGGCTGAAGTGTTCGCGGTCTGTGGCGTAGGTTCGTCAAGCCATATTTACAATAAAAAAAATCAAATACTAATCCCTACTAGGATCTTTTCTACCCCTCACCTTGGAACAATTAGCCCGAGAGCGCGGCACTCTGCAAACGAGCCGCCTTCCCTGTATTCAATCATCGACAGGGAACAGCACGCATGATGCTGAAAATGGCCAATGTGTGGTCCCTGTATTCGGCCTCGAGATCAACACAGCTAGCTTCGCCATGTACACCTTCTCGCTGGCAGTGCTTATCCAGGCGCTAACATTAATATCGTTCAGCGCGCTGGCGGATTACGGTATGCTTACAGACCGCCGGACTGAGAATTTGTAGTGTGAAAAAGAGACATGGGTTAACGTCAGCTTTGTTTTGTTGAATGCTTAGAGAATAACCGCAAGACGTTGCTTATGGTATTCGGATTCGCCGGTGCGCTCGCCAGCATGTTGTTCGTCTTCATTGCACCACCGATCTTCGTTCTCGGATCGATATTGGTCGTCATCGGTGTGACCTGTCTGGGGTCATCCTTCGTCGTGCTGAACTCTTATCTACCTGTGCTTGTCGCCAACGACCCATCTCTACAAGATAGTAATGCCGCGGAATTGTCGAGCTTCGACCGGGACGGAGGTAACTCGGAATGGAATGCTTGGGGGAACGATGATGCCGACGCCGATAGTTTGGATGGACTGCAGCCATCGGGCGAGCCACAGGGTTCACTAGAAGGTGGAATGGGATCCAAGACCCCACCCTCGTCCTCACCGGAGCTGCAGCTATCCACCAAAATCTCCTCCAGAGGCATCGGTCTTGGATATTGCGCAGCCGTATTTGTGCAAATCATCAGCATTATCATGCTGATCACATTATCCAAGACCTCGCTTGCAAAATCGTCTCCCAGTCTTCCCATGCGGTTTGTATTGCTTTTGGTCGGCATCTGGTGGGGCGCATTCACCCTGGTCACTCGTAATTTACTCAAAGCACGACCGGGGCCTCAGCTGGACACGGTCTCCACCAAAGGTGCAGGAAGATGGCGCGCTTGGCTGCGCCTGGTTGGCTTTGCCTGGAAATCCCTCTGGCAGACCATCAAAGTAACGATGAAACTGCGCGAAGTCCTCATCTTCCTTGTAGCATGGTTCCTACTCTCCGACGCGATGGCCACTGTCTCTGGAACAGCGATTCTCTTCGCACGCACAGAACTCAAACTGAGCACGCCCCTAATCGGACTCCTCTCGATCACCGCCACGGTGTCCGGCATGACGGGCGCATTCCTATGGCCACACGTATCGCGGTACTTCGGGCTGCAGCCTAATCAAACGATTATCCTGTGCATTGCCATGTTTGAGCTGATCCCACTCTATGGTTTGCTTGCTTACATCCCCTTCGTCAAAAGCTGGGGTGTATTTGGGTTACAACAGCCGTGGGAGATCTTTCCACTAGCCATCGTGCACGGAGTAGTATCGGGTGGACTAGCATCATACTGCCGGTCGTTCTTCGGGCTTTTAATTCCCCCCGGTAGTGAGGCTGCGTTCTACGCTCTTTATGCTGCCACGGACAAGGGGAGCTCGTTTATTGGACCGGCTATTGTAGGTGTCCTTGTCGATGCAACCGGCCAAGTCCGGAGTGGCTTTTTCTTCATTGCCGTTCTAATACTTCTCCCGATTCCCCTCGTTTGGATGGTCAATGCAGACAAGGGTCGGCGTGAAGGTTTGGCTATGGCTGAAACTCTGGGCAAGTCACACGGTGGGCCCACTGAGTATGCCCAGGAAGCTGAAGGACTCCTGGCGCGCGAGTAGATTAGACTACATACACTCCACAACAGAGGCTGAGGCTGAGTTATGACATATTATGAAATACAATAACAGTCGGGTGCTTTTGCGACCTTGTCATGTTCTTGATCTTTTTGGATGTCTTGGATATTCTTTGTGTCTTGATTTGGATCTCTCTCTTCTCGGTCTGTAGCCGAACGACTAAACCCTACAAACCAATTTTCCATTCGACAAATCTAAGGGAAAGTGGAAAAGAAAATTTAGACCCATTAGTAAAGACATTATTAGCGAGCATTTTGAGGGCTTTTTCCGGTTGAAAATGTCTCAATTTCAGCGTCCAAAATAGATATGGTTTACATTCCACAATTTGGCCCCAAGTCAAGCTTTTTAGTAGGCAGTGAAATACACACCATGTGGAGATATGCGTCCAATTTCCAATTAAACAACTCCATTGAGAAACTGTAGACTCAACTAGTAACCAATTAAACAATGTGAAATCCCCTAGCTTGCCCGCGAAGTGGATTATACAGGGTCTTAGCCGATGACTCCCGATGCTTGGTTTCGTTTGTTGCAGCCTAGAGAGCTTGCCAGCCATGTCTTATTGAACAAAATTCGGAGAAATTAGAAGTTGTAGGCAATGAAATGTTTAACATAAGACACCGACCTAATGGCCGAAATATAAAGATTCACACGTTCTCTGGGCGAAAATATGGCAAGACCCAACGGTTCTTCTGTACTCTTTCCCATCATAATCTTCACAATGCTCACCAGTGCTATTTTCTCCTCTCTATTCCTACTCGCCAGTGCACAGCCATGGAAACGAGGTATCTTTATCGAGCCTGTCACAGACTGCTCTCAACTCCCATCCTACAACAACCATACAAATATGGCCGGACCTTGGACGCTCAAGGTCGATAGCTGCTACAACGGAACTGCCACTCGAGGGCTATGCAGTATCGAGGGCTTTCAGTCTAGCCAGGATATCACACGACAGCGAGAAGACAGACCCAACACAATCGAGCATGGATTTGTAAGTTCTCACCCTATGGAAGCAGTCCATTCGTGAATATATATACACATCACGTCAGGTAAAACAAGATTAACAAAAATCTAGATCACGATCGTGGGCGATAAAGACAACATCAAAACAACCCTCCGCTGCAACGGCGCCCTAAACAGAATCGAAGCATACGTCCTCTCCGGTGTCTCCCCGGGCGCCCTGGACTGGCACGCCGTCGGAATAGACCACCACCCCAGCACGGGGCGACTGGTTTGGGGCAAACCCAAAGCCGTGCCTATACAGGCGTACAGACATTACCACCACGGTAGACCTGTCAAAGGGCTCTTCCTCGGGTCGAACAATGAGACAAATTGGTCTATGCACTCGTCTGGGAGGGATGTGAGTATCATAGATATGAAGCCGTTTTGGGTTATGCGATTGATGATCCCGGAGACGAGTATTCGGGAGAATGAGTTTAGGACGTTGATTCGAATTGATGGGAGCTGAGTCTGGTCGTTCTTTTCGCTACTTGCATTTACATGGCTGTTGTGTTTCCTATTATACCCCGTTGATGCATACTGGTGTTGGTGCTACGTTTATGCTGAACAGGTTCTCAACGCCGCCCGTCATCCTACATTTTACCAAATAATAGATATAATTAGCATAATCCTTGCATATCCTTTCGGGATAGATGGTAGTCTCCTACTTTCTTTGGGTTATGATCTCTATACTCTTCTGATACACAAGCATCTCCAGCTATCCATCATGGATATTCGCGCCATGCAGGATATTCCCATCAAAGATGTTTATTCGCTTCCGAATCTTCCTCGAGTCCTATTAATCTGTGCTGTAGTAGAGAGGAAAGGGGTAGTGACGCCCCTAGCTCTTTGGCTGTCGAAGCAACTCTCTCCTTTGATTGTTTGTTGTTGGTCCTTACCTTACCTCCATGGGTCAGGCACCTTCACGGCTTGAATTTCTCCGCATGTGATCAATCCTCTTTACTAGAGATAGATTAACACCATTCGCAACTCTCATGACTTGTCTATGGTGCATTATACTCGAATCACCCGGTGTAACGCCCGATTATCGCTGGGCCTTATTGAGATCTAAAGCATATCTAGGTACACGAACCGGTCATAGGCAAGTGGTTGGACCTTGCTCTGCTGAAACGGCAGAATGTTAATATAGCATGTAGGCGAGTGATCTGTTGTACAGCGAGATTGACACGCCACTAGTTGGCGATATTAGGGTTCGCCTTTTTTAGCCTGAGGTTGCTCATGGTGAGTAATCAGGGGAATCACGCCATGACATTATACCAGAACACAGAGGATGCTGCTGGGATGAGCTCGGAGAGAGAGTCCAAGAGTATTTTTGGTCTTTTTGAGGGTCTTTTTGTAATAGTCTTCTCAGTGAGTATTTCAGATATTATGGAAAGACCTCCCATCGTGCCTTGGATGCTCCAGGTAGATATATCAATTAGACCTCTCTGGGATTACGATTCATCGACTATTTATCGTTGTCTTTATTTCTCTCGATTGGATTCAGCCTATTTACACTTGCCACAACATCGGAGCTCATAGCTCCAGAGAAACCTTCCCACCGGTATCACCCGTGGAAGCCCACTTGGCCTGTATCACCAAACGGCTATGATTGGCCAGAAAGCTGGTATGCACGTGAGCTGCCAGATCGAGAGATTTAAAGATTCCATACAGAGTCGGGTGTGATACCGAGAGTGGATATATCCCTTTGGCGAAGAGGTAGCATATGTGGGCATCAATTAAATTGAACACGCGGCATCCCTGTCCGAAGGAAGGCCAAGCGTCCCAGCAAATGTACGAAAACCCCAGATTTCCCAAAAGAAAAAAACCGTTCCATCGGGAATCCGGGGAGATTGTCAAATTACCGATGGGTCAAGGTCGATAGGCCGGCCCGACACGCCGTGCCAGAATATCTTCAACGCACCTAACGGATTATTCTTCCAATGGGGGGAAAAAGATTCGGCCGGATTCTTGTTTTTTAATGGGGGATTCTCCCGAAGTGTTGGTTCGGCCATAATCCCCGTTACAGGAAAGGTATAGCTTCATTTTCCACATTCCGGGGGCGTTAGCGCTAACCAGCTTCGGCCAATCACATCGTGTTATCGTATTTCTCCAACCTCGCTTCCCCAGACCCCAACACCACTGCCGGCTGAATTGATCCTGCGTTTCCTACCTGGCACTATTCTTGTTGCCGATAGGTGCAAATTTCACACCGTCATGTCCGACATTCCAGAATTGGTCTAGACGAGTTGGCCGGCATGTAGTACGACCGGGAGATGTCTCTCGACACTCTATTCAGAATCCAATTAGCCTGAATAACGGGTGGGCTGATGACAGTCTGGGGATCAGGTGCTGAATTGACCTTTCTTTCTCCACAACCCCAGATGCACGCTAATGCAAGTGTGGATCCTAGCTGTTCGGATGTCGTGAGAATTCACGTATATAGACGACAATCTCCCCCCTGTCTGAGAGTGAGTGGTATCTTGTATCACAATCGTCAATCGTCATATCTCTTTGTCCACCATGGCGTCCACGGTTGATACTGTACTTGCGGTGGAGAAGTCCGCCGCCAACCATGTCGAAGATACTCTGGGCCATGGCGCCATCGACGAGGCCAAACAGGCAACCGACGACGAGCACGCGCAGTCACTGATGCAGGCCTTGCGGGAGAACCGAAAGGCTGTGATGTGGTCCGTTTTGGTCTCCGTGTCCATCATCATGGAGGGATACGATACCATCCTGATGGGCAACTTCTTCGCCTACCCCTCGTTCAATAAGAAGTACGGACAGGATTACGGTGGTGACATCGGATGGCAGGTATCTGCACCTTGGCAGACGGGCCTGAGCATGGCCAGTACGGTTGGATGTATCTTCGGTAAGCTTTTCTGTCAATGAACCACAGAACAAGCACTGACATGATCAACAGGTGGTATCTTGAACGGATACTTAGCGTCCAAGCACGGTTACCGAATTGTTATGATCGTCGCCCTTGCCTTCCTCACATGCATGATCTTCATCACATTCTTCGCCAACTCTGCAGCAGTCCTCCTGGTCGGCCAGATTCTTTGCGGTCTCTCATGGGGAGTGTTCGCCACTGTCGGACCGGCTTACGCATCTGAAGTGTGCCCCACCGTGCTGCGCGGTTATCTCACCATCTACGTCAACCTGTGCTGGGCCATCGGCCAGCTGATCGCCTCCGGTGTTCTCTACGGACTCGTCGGCCGAACCGACCAATGGGGCTACCGTATTCCCTTCGCTCTGCAGTGGATTTGGCCCGTTCCTTTGATCGCTATTGCATTCTTTGCGCCCGAGAGTCCCTGGTGGCTCGTCCGCAAGGATCGACTAGATGATGCGAAGCGCAGCATCCGCCGACTTGGCGGCAGCAAGACTGAAGACCAAATTAACGGACAACTCGCCATGATGCTTCACACGATCAAGCTCGAGTCCGAGATTGAAGCCGGCACCAGCTACTACGACTGCTTCAAGGGAGTTGACCTGCGCCGCACTGAGATCTGCTGCATGGCCTTCGTTGGCCAGATTCTGTCCGGCAGTACCTTTGCCTACTCGCCTACCTATTTCTTTATTAACGCCGGCCTGAACACGAACAACTCCTTCCAGCTCGGTGTCGGGTGCACTGCCATTGCCTTTGTCGGAACTTGCTTCTCCTGGTGGTTGATCACCGGATTCGGCCGCCGCACACTTTACGTCTACGGCCAAGGAATCCTCTGCGCCATCCTCTTCCTGATTGGCATCCTCGATGTGTCCTCAAAGGCGAACGGCATCAAGTGGGCGCAAGCCGGGCTCTGCTTCGCCTGGCTCTTGACCTACTCCCTGACCGTTGGACCGATTGCCTACGCCATTGTCTCAGAGACCTCATCCATGCGTCTGCGTCCTCTGACTGTCTGCGTCGCCCGCACAGCATACCAGATTATCAACGTCGTGTCACAAGTTCTGGAGCCCTACTTCATGAACCCAACAGCGTGGAACGCCTCCGGAAAGACTGGATTCTTCTGGGGTGCCACCGCACTCGTTGCCTTCCTCTGGGCCTTCTTCCGTCTCCCTGAGGCCAAGAATCGCACCTACGCAGAGCTGGACATCCTGTTCGTCCAGAAGGTCTCTGCGCGCAAGTTCTCCAAGACTGCTGTCGATGTTTATGCGGTTCACAATTATGAGTCCCAAGAGGGTCTTGTGCGTGAAAAGACCAACGAGACTAAGCAGTAAATTAATAAATAGTGATATTACCCAGGCGGTTGTGTATGATGTCATGTGTGAATTGACTTGGCATGTTTTAGCAAATAGTGAATTTAATACCCAGCGGACATTTCCCTTCAACATGCGCGAAAATAACATGGAATGAGATGTTTGATAGTGCGGCTCTAGGAAGGATATTGTATATCGGTGGATCAGGATCGGCAAGATCAATAAATCTTGGCGATGTAGACAAGGCTAGTCTTTTGCGCGTCTAAAAATAGGCGGAAGAGGCGAGACCGTTTACTTCTGCTTTTGCCACATGTATTTATCCTATGGAAATTCAAGTTCATATTCAGTAGGAATTGACTTTGCCTTCGTATAGATAATTCTCAGACATCCCATGGCAGGGGCGATATAGGTCTGGGTTTGATGATGGACGTAAAATATATTGTACGGTCCAGGTGAGCTAACTTGGCTCATTCGAACTATGCGAAGGTCGTGGAATCTGAACAGTGCATCATGATCGATTGTTGGTCCCCAGCGAGTGAGCACGCGGTTATTCCCGCACAAGAAACCTGCACATTTCGAGTGCAATGTGGGCTGAATAGTCATGAATTTATACAGAGCATTATAAATGATTAATAATAGGTATACATGGGCCTAGACCTGTCATGAATTGCGCACAGACACGCGAACAGACCTCTCGACTTTCCACCCGGCACCGAGGTCGCCACCATACGGATCCAAGTTCTCTTCACTAGAACTAGGTAATTTGTGGTGCGAACCGGAGATAGTCGTCGTAACGCCGTGGTATTCGTCAGTACTTCCCCTGCCAGTCCAGAGTTGGCGCCCGTCATCACGGGAGATCTGCTTCGATGGCCTGGAACGGTGGAAGCCACCGGCGACGTTGCCGGATAGTGGAAACGAGCTTGCTGTACGGCTTAGACCATCCGAGGAACTGTCGCGGAGGAAGCGGACTAAGGGACGGAATGTTGTTAGGCACCCCGCTGTGATGCCGATTCCCGCTTCGACATTGGACCAGATGGAGATTTGGTAAGTGGCGTCTGTCTGTTGTTAGTGAACGTCTCTGTATTGCAATGGGGCGTCGCAATCGAGAAAAAGGGCGCGTACATAAAAAGTCTGGATCCTTATAGGAGTGGATGAAAGGCATGCGAATAATAACCGCAGCGCTCGCACTGTAGGGATATTAGCGTTTGCCACCGAATAGATTAAAGCCAAGTGCATCGGAATCACGAACACGCAACCAATCCCCAAGATAGCGACGATGGCACCCTTCGTGCGGCGATTCATGCGCAAATTCCAGATCAACGCCACCGGAAGCAATCCAATAGTCAAGTCTGTAATAGCGGCGCCGACACTATACAAGTAGGCGATGGCGATGAGGGGGTTTTTATCAATACACGAGCCATGAGCGTTCGGCTGCGCATGGTTCCAGAAATAGTCGACAGGGTTGCATTGGAAAATGGTGAAGAAGAAAAAGATGAGGCCAACAACAGTGGCGAGAGTCATAGCGGCGTAGAGGATGTATGCGTGGACGCGGGAGACAGTGATGCGGAGAAGGGCGATGATGATGGAGACTTTTGCGGCGACGCAAGTTAATACGTAGAAGAGTTGGGCTATCCACCAGCACTGGAAGTATGTGAGCTTGGATTCAGGATGCTAGGGCTGGGATCGTACCAGCATTGCGCGTTGCAGGTGGTCTGGGTGGTAAGTGAAATACGCCAATTTCCTCCCAAGTCCGTATTTACATCCAACAATTCCGCAGATGGCGAAGGCTGCGTTGAGGGCCTGCAAGGGAAGCGGTATTAGATGTTGTTCGTGTAGTGGACGGTGCAGGTTGACTCACCATGGCTATGACCATAATTCCGTCGTCCCACCCCCAAGCACGAACGATCCGTGTGCGAACGAAGCATCTTAGGATCACGCTTAACAATGACATAGCGAAGAAGATAGAAGTAACGATCAGAATTGCCTTGTTGTGGCTGTCATCGAAGGCGCCCGCCTCAGTCACTTCGATTTTAGCATCCATAATGAACGAGCGGAGGGCACCGGGATCCCATCCGCATAGAAAGAAAAGACCAAAAAGAATGAGACAAAATGGAATAGTTCCTGGTTATATTCGACGATCCCCGGCTATTCTAACTTCAATAAATCATGATATTGTAGGCTCGAGACCTCTAGGTTTTGTACCAAAAGTCGCGAAGTGGGCGGGCCTCGAAAATACGGACCCCTGTGGACATGCATCGAGTAATAGCTGGTATAGTGGGGGCATATGGGTATGGGATCTTCGGATCCAGACTATTTTCGATAGATCGGCACATGGGATCGCCTAAAAAGCCGACAAATTGGGGTTAGAGTATAGAGAGTGGTTTTTTGCTCGATTGAAATTTGGGTGACTCCAACGGGGAATCTGATGTTTACGGTTCTCGAGGAATTGGAGATAATGGGATGGTATGTGTTTTGAGTTTCGCCATGCTTCCCCTTGGAACAAATATAACCATGGAAGCATGGAAGCTGTTTCAGGCGAACGGAGGATATGGCCACATTGGTCCTCGAAAGCGAATTTGTGACATCTAGAACGTCATGCATGGTTTTGATTGGAGACATTTTACCTTATCGATCCTGGGTGAGGGGGGCCGAGGGCCCGAGGTTCAGGTTCAACCTTTACCTTGGACAACATTGGACAAATATTGAGGATTCTTCGAATGACTGGGGAAGGTTAGTGATACACCTATTGCGAGGCACTTTGGGGAATGGGCTGACTGATCCGGTAGGGCGGGAACACTGCAACCCTAAAGATATGTAAATAGGGTATCCTAGACTACTAATAAGGGAGAAAAATATTCAAAATAGTCAAGACTAGAAAGACCGGGCGCTCCAAGTCCTTGGAAAATAGAACACTTATAGTGTAGCCATGCCTCCTATGGAAAGATGTGCGCTTGAGCTAAAGATTAACGTTGGAGATGTTCGACTTGACCTAAGAACATGAAAACTTTGTTCGCCATTTTGATGCTTTTGCTTGGCATCTACAAAATGAGCCCGTGCGCGTCTATTCGCACTAAGCCCGCCACATCAGGGGCCAATTGCTCGTGTTCGGGCCACTTCCGTCAAGCCCTAATCACGTGCCTGGGTTTAGTTACGTCATATGGTTTTATCACGGGAAACCAGGGAGAGGAAGTGACAGAATGTCGGTGTTATCTGCGCGCAATGGCGCGACATTATCTATATATGAATAACGGGAGGGTCCTCTACATGCAGTTCCTAACAAACAGATGCAATCTCGGATTCCAGATGTCCTAAGAGGGCATTAGATTGCCCCTAATGGGATAAATCGGACATGCCCTCGTTTGTTCATCCCTCAAGCAGAGGTACCGGAGGCAGATGCACTAGGCACAACACTACCGGTACCACTAGGAACCGAACCAGAGGCACCGGAAGGAGCACCACCAACGTCGCCACCACCACCAAACGAGCTATCAGCATTCTGGTATCCACCGTCAGCATTATGGAAAGCAGCAATACTATAGTACGAGTCATCAGTATAATCGGCGGTAGTGTTGATTCCAATCTGAATCCAAGCGAACAATCCATCGTCCAGGCCCTCACCGAGGTAAATGTACTCGGGAAAGGGATCGTAAGCGCTATCAGCCTGCTCGATACTCCACATATCCTCGGCGTTGGAGGTGACATCCTGGGTGTTGGTGTTGTAGGGATATGTATCCTCGACAGCAGTGCGGAGGACCTCGTTCCAGAAGAGCTGGCCGATGTGGGCGACGCTACCGGTGTCGGCCTTGAGGGTCTTGTTCGGGAGAAGGGTTGCGTTCAGGTGGGTGAGGAGGTGGGTATGTGTTGCTCGGCCTTCGTAGTGACCTGGAATGATACTTTCGAAGGTTGCAACGCCGTCGCGGTCGGTCTGCTGGATACCGCGCAGGTAGGTTGAGTCCCAGCCGTCTGCGGCGTAGTTGCCTGACTCGGAGATTCCACTGTGGTCAAGTTGGTTAGATATGTGATTGGTTCCAATGGGATCATATACAAACGGAGGCACTGGAAACATACCTGTACACACCGGTGGCATTGGCTTGCCAGATATCAACCACCGCGCCAGGCACAGGCTTGCAGGTGTTCACGTCGATGTACTGCACCTCGAGGAAAACATCCACACCATCCGAGTACAGCTCCTCCTTGACATTCTGACGCACGACCTCACCCCAGACATAGTAGGGACCATCGGTGATAGTGGGCGACAGAACAAAGCTAGTGTTGGCACCGAAGACGACTGCCTCCGGTGTCGCGGGGCTGTAATCCAGAATGCCAGTGCGGTTGTGGTCAATGGCCTCCCACTTCTCTAGAGCAGCAAGGTCGCGGCGCCATTTTTGGGAAACTTGATGCACGTCAGCCGGTGTTTTATGGGCCATACAATCAAGGACTTGACTCACCGGAAGTGATCCCGCGCTTCTGGCGGAGCTTCTGGACGGTACGGGAGCGACGAGCGATGCTACGCTTGTTCAGCTCGCGAGCATGGAAAGCGTTCTCACAACTACCGAGGGAACGCTTAGCATGCACCGCCATGGAATCCCGGGTATGGATCTCACGCTTGACGACGTGAGGATCGTGCTTCTCTCCCGGGTGCGCAATGACAGGAGCCGCCAGACATGCAACTGCGATAGCGAGAAATTTGGATAGCTGGACCATTTTCAAGATATGATTGTATTGGTGGTTTTTGAAGGACTGGACCTCATGGCCGCGACGGCCTGGATTTATACCTCTTCGTGATACTCACCATCCCTGGACGCGTGTCGTTCTCAAAAACACGGCATCTTTAAACAACGGGATGACTGGCCTTCCTGCATGATCAATGGCTTAGACCTGAATGGTAGCAAGTTCGGGCCGTCTCCGACATAAGCTTGCTTGGCGCCGCGTCAACAGTCGATGAATACTGGTCGTTTGCAATCTGCGCCCCATGAGCTTATTAAATTTGGGAAAGAATCGCCCAAACTGGGCGAATCATGGTTCATCAATTCAAAACAAATCTTATTGAAGCATTCTCTTAGCCCTAGAGGACCTCGGGATTGCGCCTCGAAGCTGATGGCTGATTAAGCGGAGTGGCGGCTCCGAGTCCTTCACCTGGGAGTTAGGGCCCAAATAGGGGTAATCCTTTCCTTGGTTTGTTAAGCCTTACTAGGGCTTGGTTAGGTAGATGATGTATCTCCGAGGGAAACCTCAACCTGTGTCATACATGAGCCGATACTGGGAGCAAAAATCATCACCATCACAATGGTCTGCCTTGGCGCAACGACACTGGTGGGGCTAACATTATTTGAAAATGGACCTTAATTTGCAGCTGGGATTAAGGTCTACTAACTGCCTTGGTCGCGGCAGTTCCGAAAGTTGAACGAATAGGGCATGTGATATTGGACGCAATAATCCCTTACTACTCATTTGGTCTACCTTGTGGCGTAGTTCTGCATGGAGATATTTTTATCTACTTTGGCCTGTCTTAGTGAGACTGTGTGCTTTCATATTGACTTATACATTGAATGATTAACTAGTAACTCCATAAATCTCAATTAAACACAGAGCCAAATTGAGCCCATGTACATATTCCCCCAATCTTTTCATTCTTTTGCCATTCAGCATTCAGTGGTGGCGTAAGACCACTAATTCAGAAACAAGTGGCCTATGCCACCTCCGTCGTGTCCGAGGACTGGTCCTTTTCAGCGTTAGAGCCAGGATCAAACATCGACTCACGCATGAATGGACTTCTCCGACGGATATCTGGGCCCTTAAGTACTAGTACGACAGGCACAACAGATAGGGCAAGTCCGATGAAGCCAAGCAACGACCCAGCCCAGCCATATGTCAGGTTTTGGAAAAGCTGGTAAGAGGCAAGAGGTAGGAAAGCACCGAAAGTATTGCGCCCCAGTGAAGCAGCCGACAACGCCGAAGCAGCGTATTTCTCGTATGCATCAGTCAAATAGTTGACTACAGCCATGTAGATAGAGTAGATTCCCACGCCAGTACAGCCAATTCCTAGCGCCGGCACAATCCAGGAGACAGAACCGTCCCCGACACTGCCCCAGCCGTACCAGAAGAGTCCACCCGCGAATAACAGACTGCCAGGTATAGAAGTATACAGCCTAGCTTCTGGGATAGGGTTACCCGGACGCTCATGATTTCGGCGCGCGGACCTGAAGTAGATGAAATCTTGGATAGGGTTCAAAACAGTGCCAACCACAGCTCCGGCCGAGATGGCTAGTTGAACTAGACCGGTCTGCATGATAGTCCATTGGTAGTTATGAGTAAAGGTCTGGGCGACACTCGAGAAGAAGAGGAAGAGAATTCCCCACGCGAAGCTGACCCATAGGGTAAAGAAAATGACCACGGGTTCGGTCAGGAGCATTCGCGTAGGGCGCTCGAATGAAACTTGGATCAGCTTCAAGACGCTGGTGGTGTCCAAATCGGCTTCGGCGTAAATAGGGCGGCCGGTCTCGAGGCGGAGCTTTTTGGCACGTTTCTTCAAGATTACATCTGCACGGGTCTCGCGAAGAATTAACCAGAAGACTGGGATTAATCCTGCATTGTAGATGATCTGAATGACGAAGATCCTAAGTCTTTATCAGCTGTGTTCCACATATCACCAAGATTTGAAACCAGAACTTACCATCGCCACGGGCTGCTACGATGGATTTGTAGAATTGCCGATCCGATAAATGGACCCAATGCAATTCCAACCACACTGGTAAATCCAAACAGAGACATTGGTAAGCTTCGAGCTTTGTCGCCATACCAGACATCACTAATGCTACCACCCACAATGTTGATAGACACCGAGGAGGCGCCACCGCCAAAGAATCGAGTAACAACTAGCGTGGCAAAGTTCTTCGCAAAGGCCGAAGGAAACAATGATATGACAAGAATGATATACGCAACAAAGTACCCAGGCATCCGCCCCGATGATTCAGTCATTGGAACAAAGATCATGGGCCAGAATGCAGCGCCCATATTCCAAGATGTTGTAGCCCATGCGAGATTTGGAAATGGCACATTTTGCACATGGAAGCGCTCTGCCATGTAATCGTTACCGGCGCCGTAAGATCCAGCCGGTAAGCCTGTCAAAATTGAACTGGGATGGGTCAGTTTTTCTCACAGTCAACTGGAACAAATCGATGCTACTGACATGAAACAAATGGTCAGAGTGAGTGTCCATTTATATGTTTTGCTCCAATTGAATCTAAATCGTTAGTAAAGGCCCGATGATAATGATCTTCTGGCATCCTACGGATTATCTGGGTCATCTGGGCCATTCCAGGTGTGTATCTCGATGTTCTCATTATCACGCAGAGGGTGACGCCCGACATGACCTATGTGACTGTCTCGATGGAAGAAGGAATGAAATCTACATGGTCAGCTGAATCCTAATTGTTATATTTAATCGCGTGTGCATACCTCGAGAAGAATGAATCTTTAAACCTGTTGTGGTGCAGCGTACTCACTGTGGACGCTCGGTGTATATGTTCACCTTCGACTGGTTGGGTAGAAGGAATTCCTTCACTTTGATTTTCCATGTTGAGAATGAATACAAAAGATGGTTACTACATCGCATCCCGTGGAGTGGCCGGAGGCTTCCTTTTGTTGGATGGCATCACTGAGTCTACGACTTTGTCGTATCCGTCATCACTTTTTAGGGCTATACTTTTAAACTACAACACTACAACACCCCCACATCACTCCCATGGACATCCATGGTTTACCGTGAATGATTTCGACACATTAGAAGTATTCGAACCTTAGGAACCCGTGAAGTGTCGAGTAATCCGTATTGTGAAATGTACGGGTCCAATCAATAGTATTCAACTGTCTGTATTTCAGTCTCCACTATTCTGGCAATTTACACTATCCTCATTACATAAGAAATATTACTGCATAACTATTTAGGATTAAAAGATCCTCCGGTATGCCGGTGTAACTATTCCGACATGAAGTTGCCGATTCTCTTACTTGGTATAGAAAAGTGGGGCCACACCCAGAGCTATACTAGCTTGGACATGAGGATGTCAAAAGGGTATGCGATAGGAACATAGGAACCTTCCAGAATTAACTAGTATTATTCTGCAAATCACATTGCATAATCAAGTACAACTGTTATCAAAGTTGGATGTGAGACTTCGAGTTTAGGTCGTGATGTCACAGCCCCGCCATCCGTCTCCACTAGGACGTCGGGATTGCCATACTAGAAGTCATTCGATGTGATCCGATCTTATAACTGGACATGTATCTGCAGCGAAAGCCACATAACCTGATCGAGCTGGCTGCAGGAGGTCCCTGCCCAGCTCTCTGCTTGTGTGATGTCAGTGCGTAGAACACCCCCACCATGAAGTCATTGGAGGTGTCTAGACCTATATAAGACACGTTCATATCCGAATGGAACATCAAATAACTATACTACTCTCCCAACTATTATCCTCAAATACTTCATACATACCTCTCTCCTCCACACCACCACACCACCACACCACCACACCACCAAAACAACCATCATAATGCCTATCCCCGTCCCCAAAGAGAACCGCCTCCTCGACCTCCTTAGCCTCAAGGGCAAGGTTGTTGTCGTAACCGGAGCTTCCGGAGCCCGAGGCATGGGAATCGAAGCCGCCCGCGGCTGTGCCGAGATGGGCGCCGACCTGGCCATCACATACGCCTCCCGCCGCGAGGGTGGCGAGAAGAACGCCAAGGAACTCTCTGAAGAATACGGGGTCAAGGTCAAGCCGTACAAGTGCGATGTGGGAAACTGGGAGAGCGTGGAAACACTCGTGAAGGACGTGCTCAAGGACTTTGGCAAGATTGACGCCTTCATCGCGAATGCCGGTCGCACAGCCGACAGCGGCATCCTTGACGGATCCGTGGATGACTGGAACGAAGTCATCCAGACCGATTTGACCGGTACCTTCCACTGCGCCAAGGCAGTTGGGGCTCACTTCAAGGAGCGTGGAACCGGCAGCTTTGTCATTACCTCTTCGATGTCCGGTCACATTGCCAACTTCCCCCAGGAGCAGACCTCATACAACGTTGCCAAGGCCGGCACAATTCACCTTGCCCGCTCGCTGGCCAACGAATGGCGCGACTTTGCCCGCGTGAACAGCATCTCCCCCGGTTACATCGACACCGGGTTGTCTGATTTCGTTGCGAAGGATGTCCAGGACCTCTGGAACTCTATGATCCCCATGGGTCGCAATGGTGATGCGAAGGAACTTAAGGGTGCTTATGTTTACCTGGTCAGCGATGCCAGCACTTACATGACCGGTAACGACATGCTCATTGACGGTGGTTACACCGTGCGGTAAAGGATTACTTTTGTATAATAAAACGAATTACATGACTAGCTACGATCAATCGATTCAATTCTAGACAAATGGTGCACTCGATTCTATTCCAACTGTACCAGCATTTAATGTTTGACGTCATGGGACAATCCTCGCAGAAGTGGATTTGACAGGTTTGTCTTGTTTGCAACGTGTTTGTCTTCATTTCCAACTCCTAACCGTGACTAAGCATTCACCTACACCCGTCCCGCGTGTAGGTGAGCCAATACCTATTAACAAACCAATACCTATTGACAAAAAATTCAACCTTTCAATTTCAGACCTATTTTTCAGCCACCATATCATCTGTATTTACATATTTAAATAGCTCATCGTCAACATCGAGGTAATCTCTACCTCCTGATGCCTCTTCTTTTTCCTTAAGAGCTTGGTTGGCGCGAAGCCAGTAGTCTCTAATCCTTGCGTCCGCACTCTCACGCTGAATGTCCAATCTGGATTCCTTCGTACAGCGCCGATAAACCCTCGAATTGCCTGCAATTGACGATAACGGAGACTTAGAAGCACCCTTTATAATACGCTTTGACTTTTTAATAGGAATTTTGTGGCTTTGCATCTTTTTGATCGTCTGTTTTGCAAGGGCTAGGTCTTGGATAGCCTGCTTACCGCCACGAATCGCACGGTTTATATGCTTTTGAACCTTCGGAAGGTCTGGTTCGTCGTTTTCAAATATCGCTTGAAGCTTATTCTCAATTTTTGAGAACCTTTGATCCGAATTAGGCGGCGAATTGGTAACTGAACTAGGAATTTCTATCCCTGGGTCCGGCGAAGGTGTATGACCATAGATCTCAATCATTGGTTCATCTTCCCAGCCAGGATCAATCTGATCACAGACAATATGTGGATTCCAAGGCCAAATGCCAGTATCATAGAATGATGATTTAACAGTTCGTGCTTTAAATGTGTCCTTACGAACTGTCTTAATCATCTGAAGAAAGTGCCGTTTATCGTCAACATCTCCACCCCATCGTACGATCTCGTTATTCTTCTTTCGGAACTTCTGTTTAAGGACCGAGAATGGCTTGCCATCGAGAGGCTGGCATCGATGTGTCAATTTTGGTATAAACCACCAAGGTATAATGTTTAAGCTTTGGCAGATATATTCGAACTCCGGGGTTCCATGAGAACCATGGTTATCCATAACCAATACCCTAGGTCTGCCTTTAGTAACTCGCTTTTTGGTGGTATAATGGAAATCCAATAGCCATTGAATAGCAGTTTTATCGTCCGTCCAGCCTTTTGTAGTTGGTTTAATAACCCGGTAATTCGAAGGGTCATTATCGTTGTCGTACCAATCTTCCATTTATTCAGAACCACGCATTAAAAACCATGGATGCATAACCCAGCCATCGGCCGAAATACACTCAATACCAGTGATATTCTGGCCTATTCCACCGGTCGCAATAGTCTCACGTTCGCGGGTAGAAGCCACGTTTTCCTTAGTTCCAATACCTAGCTGAAAGCCAGTTTCATCCCAGTTATATAGTTCGTGGGCCTGGATTTTATTCTTTTTAAGGAATTGGCCAAAGACCTTATACCAATGAACTAATTCACCGTGTAATTCGGCCTCGATTCTCGCTTTTTCCATAGGCTTTTGTGTACGGAGAGTGATGTGTGGTGGTAGGCGCGCGATGAATTGGTAGCCGTACATTTTACTGACCTGCCGGTCGGAACCGCAGTGCTGTAAAATGCGGTTTGCAGCGCCCTCAATATCTAAAGCAGTCGGTGGTGTATATACTGAATTAAGTAGCTCGATCCAGCGAATAAGAGAGGCTTCTTGCGAGGGATCCAGGGCTTTTTTGGTGGCTATACGGCCTTTTCCATTTGTCCTGCCGTCCTTCCGGTTGCGAAGCTTCCACTTTGAGACGCCAAAATGAGAAGCTGCGGCCTGAATACTATTAAATTGGCCTGATTTATAGGCTTCGAGGGCATTTGAGAGAAGGATCTCTTCTTTTTCGGAGGAAATTGGCATTGTTTTGGTGGTAAAAAGTAAGGTTAAAAATTGAAGGTTGAATTTTTTGTCAATAGGTATTGGTTTGTTAATAGGTATTGGCTCACCTACACGCGGGACGGGTGTAGGTGAATGCTTAGTCACGGTTAGGTGATGCCGTCATCAATGTTACTTAACGAGCTCCGTGTTTGAAGTTGTCTCACGCAGGACCCGCAATACCAGCCGTGATCGGAGCCTTCTCCACAAAGATGCCAGACCAAAACCAATCCTCCGCAGCCGCATCCGAGCCCCCATTATCGAGTCGCAACTCGCCGACATGCCAATCCGCGGAGTTTGTCGAAGTCGACGCGCTGACAGCCGGCACAACCTCCGTTAGGTCATCGGCTCCATTCGACGCCCACAGTCCAACGGTTTTTGCGTCGAAATCAATGTCGTAGGCGAAGTTGTACCACGATCCTGCCTCCAAATCAGTTTCCCAGTGTGAGACTCCACCGACACACCAGCGGAGAGTGTTGTCATCGCCCGAAGTGCCGCTTATAGCGCCGTATTTGAGCTCTGTGAAATGACTCTGTGGTGGATATACTTGTTAGATGTTGGTTTCTTCGATAGTCTGGAACGGGGGAGTGATACCTCGAAAAACCCGATCTGGTGCTCGAAGCCTGGATTCGGAGCATTGGTGTCTTCTGTCTTCAGGGAGAAATGGTAGAACAGATGCCCGCTACCGAGATCTGCCTTGGTTTGGGGGATGATCTCGGATCGTTCCATGGTTTGTCCATTCCAGAACGACGTGCCATCCTGACTGTTATCAGCTTCTAGCCCCTTGAGCTTTGGATATGACCTACAATGGTGATCCGAATCCCCTGTTCATCACTGGTACCGGCCGGGTTCTTGTGATCAGGTGAGAGACCCAGGTACTCTTCTGTGGGCGCAGACCCGTGAATATACCACTGCCAAGCGCCGACTTGGTTCGACCACGACCCTTCTTGTGTGTTAGTGTCAATCAACAGCACCTTCCGAGACTCCCTTACATTCGTCAAAGTCAGCGACGGTCGCGGATGCGTCGAACAACCCGCTCCACAGGACTTCGCCGGCTTCAGCCACCATGGGGAGAGAGACGAGCCATGAAAGAGACCGCATTTTGGATAGGCGGTTGTAGTGTGCGTTATACTCGTTGGTTCAGAAGTGGAATCGGGTTGCTTCCTACTAAGGATGACTCCATTGGGAAGGCTGTTATATACCCATACCCCAGGCGCGACCCACCGGATATAACACGGAGACTATGGAGACCATGAAACCCGGTTTGTTTGAAGTAATCCATCTACGGTCGGCGATATTTCCTTCGCATATCACATCAGCCAGCATCAAAAACGCCTAGTTAGTGGTACCCCCGCTACCAAAAGAGTAAACACCACGGTCCCCGTGCATTGTCTGTATTCTCTGCAGCATCATACCCCGGATTGGCGCAATTGACTTCCCGCCAGTGATCGACAAGCGCCTCTCCAAATTAATCACGGGGATAAGGATGCTTTACGATGAAACTCTGCAGCATAGCCTGAAACGGTGCTAAGTATGAGTGAGACGCCGGCGCATCGGACCGATATGCCAGTGCTAACCTAGTCATTAATTCACAATATAAATGGAAGATAAAAATGACCTGCCAAAATCCCAGGTTATATGTACATGGGAAATTCGGTTTCACGAGGCCTCTTGCCACTTTCTCTCCGTCATCCACCTAGTATAAGGCGGGAGGTTTTACAAAGACATCTAAACAGATTATCCGATAAGATCACTGGAAAGACCATTGAAAAGACGTCATGAGGCATAAGCGGGTAACCATTCTTGTAATGCTACTGATAAATCCAAATTGACCGGTCGCTCAATAGACACGGGAATCATATTTACAAATCCCAATAAACCAGCACCCTTATTTCATAACTTCGTGAATCGTTTATACCTTTAGCTTTTCCGTCATGGCATCATCACCACTTCCAACCCTTCCAACCCCAACCTCCTTGGCATCGATACCATGAGCCTCGGCAACGTGCATGCGGGGAAGCGAGCGAGCAATACGGGGCGGATCGAAGATACTGCGCGACTGCAAGAAGATCTCATCGATCTCCTCGAGAGTGCGACCGTTAGTCTCCGGGAAGAGGAAGTACACAGTGGGCACGATAGCGGCGTTCAGGACGGCGAAGATAATATAATATTGCCAGTCGATGGTAGCGAAGCCAATGGGCGTCACCTCGGCGAGAAGGAAGTTGAACGTCCAGACGGCTGCAGCGGAAACGGCGTTAATAGATGCTCGGCACTGGAGGGGCGCCACCTCAGTGGCGTATAGGAATGTTAGGCCGGAGTAACCGACTGTGAAGATGAACACGAAAACGAAAAGGAACACCACAGCACAGACTAAGCTACCAGTATTATCATGGACGGAAGTGGTGCCGGCTAGAATTGCCATCGAGACTGCCATCCCGGCAGCACTCCACAACATAAGCACGCGACGACCGAGACGGTCGATGGTGAAATAGGCCAGTAGGCCGCCCAGCGGCTGTGATAGGCACATAGCAGCAGCGAGGATACGAGACTGGATAGGATTGAGCTTTAGATATTGTTCAAAGATGGTTGTTGCATAGATCGTGATCAGGTTGATTCCACACATTTGCTGGAACATCTGACCCATACAGGCGAGAACAGTGCGGTGGAACAGTCGCTGTTCGCCCATCGTGAGCATATCCTTCCACGAACCCGTTCCCGAAAGCGCTAGGGAGGTCTCGATATCGCGGATCTCGAGGGTGATTTGTTCCGACTGAAGATCAACGTCGTCCAGTACCGCCATAATCTCACGCGCCTCTTCGGTGCGACCTTTTTTTACCAGCCACCGAGGGGATTCGGGGAAGAGCATCACAAAGGCCATGACCATAAGCGAAAGGAGGACCTGGAATATCAAAGGGAAACGCCAGGAAACCGAGTTTGTCTTAACGAAGAAGAAGCCGAAGTCGACCCAAAGAGAGAAGGCGATACCGGCGCCGATGAAGATACCGTCCGTTACTACATGTGCCCCACGCTTGTCGGGCTTGGAGATCTCGGCCTGCCAGACAGGTACTGTAGCTACGTACCCGCCGGTCCCGTATCCGAGAATGAGCCGTGCGACGATAAATTGTGGAAGGGAGAAGGACGTTGCCATCAAGATAGCTCCAATCATCGAGATGAATGAGGTGAACAGGATGATCTTCCTGCGGCCGAGGCTGTCACCGAATTGAATGCATGATAGCGAACCGAATATTCCACCGACGGTGTACAGTGCGACTACCGTGCCTGGAGGAATATAACATGAGAAATAAGCCAAGTGGTGCAGACATCAATTGTTTGTGATTGATCTCCACCCAAAGTATGGTGATTGGGCTTACCTTGAATCGTCGAGTTATAGGTCTTCTCTGCGTCAGTTGCAGTGAGGGTGTTCATCTGCGGAAATGTCTCGACAAACGACTCCAGGGTCAACAGTCCCCCCATCACACCTTGATTATATCCATAAGTCACAAAGGCCGGACACACAACCAACCACATGATAGCCCTATTCAACGACGGCCCCCGAAGGCCAAAATACGGCGCCATGGTGCAATATTGATATTGAAAAGAGACAAATTCAAAATCTAGAGCTTGGATATCATGCCACACCAATTGCTCCGCCAATAAACCAACATGAGGTTGGATATAAACATCATATATACACACATCTCAGTGTTGGACGGCGAACGCCGCTTACCGGACGATCTTGATAGTGGAACCGAGGACGTGGGGCGGCGTACCCCGGAGCGATGGAGGGCAGATCCCATTGGCGACTAAATCTTCACGATGAGTGGAGCAAAAGTGCTCGAGAGCGCTCGAATGGCAGGATTGTATTAGGTAAAAGTCTTGGTTTCCCCAGATTCCTCGCTCGCGGGACGGGATGATGGATTAAAACTGCATGAGTTCCCCAGGAAGCTTGGTTGAGCCCTTGGGGGCCCTCGTCAGAAGCTGGGGTAACCTGCACCCTCCGTTGACGGATTGGCTAGAGCTTGCACCATGCATGTGTCTCTTCCGTACCCGAGGGTCTGCTCCACATCGGACCTGGCCGATGGAGATTTCTGTAACAATTTGTGCCTCGGGCCACGATAACACGAAATGCTTGTCATGCATATTTGTCTTTGGCGGATGTTCGAAGTCGTAGTCATCTCAATGGCAAAAGGAATTGAGATAATGTAACAATATATCGGGTAGAATGATAAAATGATTCCACTTCAACCTCTGCTCCATGGACCTTGAATATCTCACAGCGTGGCCTTCACTCTTCCTTCATAGTAAACGTACTCCATGACCGTATCTTCGGGCCATACATGAAAAACACAATTGGCACAGGGAACAATGCGGCGGTGAGACAACCCAACAAAGTCATCGCCCAAGGGACACCCAGGTTGTGAAACTGTATTTTATTGGGATCAGCCGAGTTTGTACTGCCAGGAAAGGGACAAAACGCACCATTGGCGATGCGAACATAGGAAATCCAGCCCCCAGCCATGAACGAAAGAAGGAGTTTGCTGCCATTGCAGAATTGGCATACATGGGATACACGTCGACGAGATAGTTAAGTCCCTGGGATTACAGTCAGTATTTTTAGTGGCTTGTATATTTCAATGGGGATAATACCTGCAAGAAGATCAACAGCACTCCACAACCCAAGAAGCCCCCCGATACAGCCTGGGGAATCCAATTGATGTGGGGATTTGACGTCCAGCCAAACCAAAACATGCCCGCGGGCAATAAGATACCTCCAATAATCATAGGAACCAACCGTTTCTCTGGCTGGACTCGGCCATTGCGGCGTATGAACGTTCGATATCGCGTCAATGAAAACGCAATGATAATCAAACAAGCGCAGAAGACTCCACAAATTATCGCGACGAATGGCAATGCCCCAACGCCATCATCCCAGCCACGGTCTTCTTGGAAGGAGATCGGGTAGGCGATGAAACAAGTATACAGAAACCCATAGATGAAACCCACGTACACGGTAATAAGAAGAAGAATGGGTTCCTGCATGAGCATCTGAAACGGACGCAGGATATATCGTACCGCAATATCTCTAGGTCTCACCACTTTCTCTTCTGCCTTTGCATGGAGAGCCCAATTCTTGGTCTTGGTGCGCAGTTGTTTGGCGCGCCTCGTCAGTAACGTCCCCTCGAACGTCTCGGGGATTACCAGGATCCCGATGCCAGATATGGCAAATGCCCAAATAGCTGTAATGTACTCCGTCCAACGTCACCCCAGGTAGGAGATTGTCACGAACCCGCCGACTACTGGCCCAGCTACCGGGCCGATGAAGGTTGCCGCGGCAAAGATAGCCATTGCGATTCCTCGCTCTACAGGCTCGAACATATCGGCCATGATTCCGGATACCTGAACAGAGGACAAATTCCAGTGAGTGATAGTCCATTAGGTTGGAAGAAAATGCCACAGACTCACAATGGCAAGAGGCGCACTAGCAAAGATTCCGCCCAGGAAGCGACATACGAATATAGTCTGCAAGTTCTGGGCTACTGCGACGGGGATCTGAAAGATTGCGAAGACAAATATTCCCAGAAACATCGGTCGCTTCCTGCCATACAGTTCAGACAGGGGCCCGAAGATGATAGGGCCAAATGCGAAGCCCAGCACGAACAAACTGACACCTAATACCATGACTTCTGCGGAGACGCCGAACTTTTCGGCAGTCTGTTTTGTTGATGTGCTGAAGACCGAAGAGCCGAACGTAATGCAGACTGTCATCAGTCCTAGCATTACGGTGATCACCCACTTCCTCCACGCGGGGAAGTTCTGGGGCATTTCCTGTAATCGCATTAGAGCTGTACATATTCCGAAGAAGAAGATAGGTGCCATACCGGATCATCTTGGCCGTCCCAACCCACTATCAGGTCTTTCTCATCTGGAGATCTACCGGGTTCGTTTGCTCCGGAACCTCTGTTGCTTTCTAAAACATCGGCCACGTCGTATCTGTCCTCATCGTCGAGAATGATCCGCAAGCCGGTGGAATTATGCGATGATTGCAGGGTGCTGTGCCGGGATGGTGATGTTTGCGTCTCTCTGCTTGTCATTATGGAGACAACTTGATTCGTGTTCAACAGACAATAAGGTTCGAAGATAGGCAGTTCGTTGGTGTGGCAGCCGTGAGCATTGAGTAGAAGCTCACTGTGAATCTGTTAATATATGCGTGACAAAGACCACGGGATATCTACGCCGTAGGAGCAGGTTGTTCAAGCATATTTTTGTTTCTTTGCCCACAATAACAGACGATTTGTGATCTTGCAAAACGTCATCGCATCCGACGGCGATGGGCTGAGTCATGCGTGGTATTAAAGACGACATTGTTACACATTTTCGAATGGAGATTCGCACCGCTGAGTACATATGATAGCTCAAGGTTAAAACAAGCTTGTTGTGTACAAAGTGAGTGGAACCAGATATATATCATCAAGGTATTCGAAGCGGGTCCAATTAAAACATAGATAGGGTGGACTCAAGTAATGATATATGATGGGGACATTGATGATGCCAATGCAGCGCAAGCCAAAATATGCTTGTTCAATTAGTTGTATACACATGTATAGAATCTTGTACACCCAGACCCCAGACTTCATCCACTTTTGGTAGCGCATGAAAAGCTGGCCCCGCTGGAATCATCGTGAATCGCTTTACCAGACACCCAGAGACCCATGCCACACTTTCAAAATTAGTGGTCAGATAAATGGCCCAGAATGGACAGATTCGACATACCAAACATGCACCAATTGCGACAATGACCAGGTTGATAGCAGTTAGAACCATCTTTTTCCAGGAAGCCCCGTACAGGCCCCGATTGAGGAACAGCCAGAATATACCGCTTAAGCCATCTTGTTCAGGTCAGCAAATATGAAAGATTGTGTTGTAGACTGAATATCACTCACAGGTAAACCAGCTAGCAAAAAGGGAAGTCTACTCGGTGAACCAATGTCAGTAGTTGTCTCTGTAATTCCCGATGGTACTCACAATCAAACTGAGTAAAGTGTTAAACACGGGGATTGCCTCTGAAATAATCCATGCTATCACCCATAACAGAAGAGTAATCGCGATCCATGATCCCACCGATAAAAATGTTCGCTTCTGCATGTGATTTGTACCCCTGAAAATCCGGACGTAAACGTATTTGGATGCGACATGCCCGTTAATGACACCGGCTATGACAATCTAGAATATCAAGTTAGGAACGCTTTATTCAAAGTTATAACACGTGTCAGAGATCTCGCACCGTAGGGATAGCAATTCCATATGCAATCTTTGCTGTTATGGGGCTTGTCGAGCTCAGGGCGGGGGATTTCACATCCTTTCCACCGTATACGTATATAACAACAGCAGCTACCACATACATACTCGTGTCGGTGATCTGAAGCAGGTATAGGGTCTTGGGATAGTCCGTTGGGGTCTTCATCTCAGATATAAAACCAAAGAAAGCCACATGACCAGCTGAATCCAAGTTAGTTGCCATGTTTCGCTAGTAGATTAGTACTTACCATAAGCAAATACAATATTTGTCACGGCCAGAAATCCCTTTGAAAGACTGACTGTTGTAGTTGCATCTACCTTGCCATCACCCGGGCGCTGGACGGCAATTGCAATCATAGTAATCAGGAGTGCGGCAATGATACTTGCAAAAGCTGCGGTAGTTAGCAAGCAACTCGTTGTAGAGGTGTAGATATACATACACGCAAATGAGAACCAGGAGACCTTGCGAAGAGTTCGAGGCAAAGCAAAGATGAATGAGACGACCAAGCCAACTATTCCAAATACAATCGAGCAGGTGGCATGATCTGTGACAGTATCCAGCATGACACTAAAGGTCAAAATATGACTGCCCATGACGAAGATCAGAAAGAACAGCTGAGCCGCTCCCATGAACTCCCTACCGAACCGAGATAGGCCAAGGGGATGAAAAAGCAGCTCCCCAGCATCTCCCATGCTATGTACTTGCGGGTATCGGAGTTTAAATTGGCCAATCACATATCCAGTATAGGTTGCAACAATACCAAGCCCGACGATGAGAATGAGTGCACTGGAAAATAGTCAGCATATTGCGCATCCTGGGCGTTAGCTAGAAGTGCTAGAGAACATACGGGACAAGGCCTAGCACTGCCACCGCAGATGGAAGAGACAGAATACCGAGAGAGACGGTTTCCGCGATCATGATCATACCGCATTGCCACCATTCTAACGTCCGGTATTTTGTTTCGGCATTTCCTTCATCCCCAAATGGGTCGGCAACATGAGTGATCACATCTTCCTCCGAGCGATTGTCCTCTTCCTTTTCTACCGAGTGTCTCCATCTGTCATTGTCAGGACTTGGGGCATCATGGCGAGAATCTTCCATGTCATCGAGTGACGGCACCAAGGCAATGACCGGAGTCACTATTTAGAGGTAGTGATCGCGATCACTGTCAACTATGAGGATAGATATCAAATACCTGAAAGTGAGAGAATGTGATAATAATTTCGGACAAGCTCAATGTCGTAGATTGGTGATGTCATAGTGTGGGGAAAGCTCTACGGAGTTGGAAGCCGAATAGAAGTTGAACTTGTTCAGCGGGACAGGAAAAAGGACCCTGATATCTATAGCTTGAAATCAGCCTATTGGAAGACCGCCGTAATGTACAGTTATAAGAATGCTGACTATACTCTTGGTTGCGGCACTTGAGGGCCCGGCCAGAATGGGGATCACACCTTGTTTCTGATGGCGATGGTGGTGCAGCCTTAGGTGCACGATAACGTGATTTATTCTTGGTATTAGGAGACCTCTGGAAGCTTGGTCCTACCCATCCTTCGAATGCGATATTGTCCGATTGTATCCGAAGTTGAATATAGTGCACCTAAAGTGGATATATTTGGTTGGAACCCCATACTGAAATGAGCGTTGATCCCACTCTATGAGCAAATACATCCCATGTTTATTCAATTCATATAACCGGCGAATAATGGGCATAGTGTGACGTGAGAGTTTCCGATTAGGTGTATAATGAAGTCCAGCACGTATTCCGGGCCACCCGTTGAGGGCGTCATCGTCTCTCCAAGAGCTCCACATTCTCGCGATCAACCAATATTTCAATACTCCTCATAATGCGATTTTTTGCTGGGGGATCATTCATCCGCAGCCCCGGATATATGGTGCTCGATCGTTCTGGGCGTGGTGTGGGTTTACGATTGGTCCGTGAGTTGGACGCGTCGTCGGTATAGGCCAGTCCGTTCTCGTCCATGTAGGCTGCGACAAATGGTTTTATTAATGGCGCTATCAGTACAAGAACGCTGAATGCTATATGGAGCTCCGCGACGACGGTCGCGAACGTTCCTTCGAGTGTTGGATCTGCCGAATTGACTTGTCGGCTCATGTAATGGAGGTGGATCGCGCCGACGGGGATAAGGCTATCAGTATACAAGTAATTGTTAGTTCTGTAGGAAACTGGTTAGAATGACACCCTAAACATACCATACTCGACAACTAAGCACCATGATCACAATAGCTTTGTTGCTTAGGGTCATCTGTAGTCGCAAGATTGCCCATATCGGATAGAGCGACAGCATAATCTCAAGAATAATATCCAATGCTGTGACGGCCTGCCAATGAGGAAACTAGACTAAAATGAGTAGACACGTGGTATTCACAGTTAAAATAACTTACCAATGCGGGACATTGGTTATTAATATCATACCACGGATACCGATCACAGCGGACTGCCAGCAAAATTATAGCCACAGGGGAACATAGGAAAGTAACCGTCAGAAGAGCATAGTTCGTCCATCGCGATCCTCGTGGAGTAATGGTGCGATGAAAAAGTGCCGTTGATGCTTTTGATGAGAATAAAACTGCAATGTAGAGGATATCTGCGCTGTACCCAGCCTGAAAGGAGAGTGCGTCAGAAATAATACAACATCTTGATCTTGGACACCGACCTTCTCAATCAAGTGCAAATTCCGATGAGCGATCAGCAAGTTTGATTTGCCCCAGCCAAAATGGATCTGTACAAAGACCACAGATACCTGTCCCAAGGCAAGTATCTAGATCCATCATCTAACATCAGTCACGAAGGTCTTGTAAAATTACCCGCAATGGTTGAGACGGAAAGACATACCACAGTGGCTGCAAAGGTAAAGTCATCCAACTGACGGGACTTTCTACTGTGCGCAGAATACACACGAATCCCCAGAGATCCCAACACCAAAAATAACGAGAAGGAAGTGATGACTGTAATGACTCCATTATGATTTAACTCGGTATTGACGGTCGGTGGAGGTGTCAAGCCCGATGGCACTAGGGACGGAGTTGGCATGGCCAAAACAAAGAAATATATCCTGATCTGCTGTGAGAGACATGATGAAGGATATATTCAGACCGAGTCAAACAGTCTGGCTGACTTGGGAAATGGCACCGTGGTGCTAGTCAGCGTAATCACGAATCGCAGATCTCCATTCACTCTCAATCTGTATCCAAACAGGGGTTGACCTTGGCTTTGAACGACGAAGTGTGGCACGCGGGACTTTGGTCGTATTGGAACTCATTTACCGCTTTCCATTCTTCACTTTGGCATACCCAGGTATACAAAGTAGATATATGGTCAATCTGCCACCAATAGTAGCCAATGGGACCAAAGCCCCCGGTTGCACATTTCGGCCGGGCATGTGTGAGACATTAGCCAAGCTACCAGGAAATGGAGAGGAGGATAGATCTAACTACGTCCACAGGTAGCTATAAGTCTTGTCACCATGGGGGGCCTATCGCCCCCAAGCCAACTATGCCCATTGGAGAATATATAGGCCGTGGGTACTTTGTAGTTATCGAGGGGCTTATGGGGAATTATGTATTGCTTTGTCTAACTTGACGTCTTGCAGATCCCTTCTACGGGGTATTGCGGTCTTAAGACAACATTAGAGCGTTAATGATTCATTCAAATATCGAATGTCCAGCTTGAGCTAACTTCGAAATGCGTGGTTGCGCATGCACTCGGTTATTCACGTTCGGACGGAGGGCGTTAGTTTAACTGTTACATTTACATTCAGTTGAATACAACCAAGTGCGATATTATCCAGTACCTCATAGTGGAACTGTTTTGTAACAGATACGGAGCACATGTGTAGCAAACGAGTCAATGTTGCTCCCTGTAGTTGGAATCGTAAGTAATAGGGTACACGAGATCATGGTAGTGCGCGCCAGAGGCTAAAAGGGACTTATCCCAGGAGTCTCGTAAGTGTCCTTATTTTGGTCTATTTGACGCCCATGTGATATTTTTCAAGACGCATCTGTTGTCAAATGCCCCAACTTTATTTCGGAAATTCTAGTCTTTGACACAGTTCTGACATTTACAAAACCTTGCGCGGATTCCGCTCCGACTGTTCAAGAGGTCCTTGCCATGTGGCACAGTATATGCTGTCATCGGTAGATTTGGTCGTCGGGGAGTACATAGGTGGGAGCACGTTGCCTTAAGTCGACTCGCTGTATCGCTATGTTGTATACATGCAGTGGAACATTTGAGACTGCCTAGAGTTAGCAAACCAAGTCTCTCTGTCATCCTGTTATTTCTCAAAGGTCTCTTGTTAATATCCATACTACAGAAACTATATTTGAACATCCCTGTGGACCCATCTCATCTGACAGAATTCCACCAGCAGCACTCAACCTCGCGATCGTATCTCGGCACTTTCCGTTGCTCAAATAATGGAGGAAGAGATCCCAAAAGGATTACCCGAGATGGAGGGCAGTCCAGAGGATCAGCATGATATGACACGTATGGGTAAGACCCAAGAACTGAAGGTGTTATTCAGCCCTTGATACTATCTCAAAATTGCGAACTCACGTCTTTGAAGCGCAACTTTCGACCGCTGGCAGCGTTAAGTTTCTCAGCGGTCCTTCAAGCTACGTGGGAGTGTATGCTCATGTAAGAGTCAGTCTCTATAGGCCCCATCGTATCACCCACTGATTACATCACTTAGCGCAAACACACAGGGTCTCCAAAATGGTGGCCTCGGAGGTGTATTCTGGTCTTACATGTGGACCTTCGTTGGGTTTGGCTTCATCACCGTTTCGCTGGCCGAGATGGCTTCGATGTGAGTCGTGATTGATCAGTAATCTTGAATCTCAGATATTTCTGACACATGCGTGTTATACGCAATAGGGCGCCCACCTCAGGAGGTCAATACCATTGGGTATCGGAGTTTTGCACGCCTCGTTACCAGAAATTTCTGAGTTACACGACTGGTGAGATCCCTCGTATAATCGCCCCTCTGGATCGCTAATAGTTGTGGTTTAGGATGGATGTCTGTACTATCCTGGCAGGCAGGAGCTGCATCTTGCTCGTTTCTAACCGGAACTATTATCCAAGGTCTCATCACCCTCCGTGACCCAAGCTATGAGCCCCAGAATTGGCACGGAACTTTGTTTGTACTCGCGATGATAGTCGTCACTTACTTTTTCAATGTCTACGTGGCAAGCTGGATGCCCAGAATTCAAAACATCCTTCTCGCGCTGCATTTGCTATGCTGGGCCATCATTGTGATTGTCCTGTTCGCCATGGCTCCTCATAACTCCGCCAAACACGTCTTCACTTCATTTTACAATGGTGGCAATTGGTCTACAATGGGTATCAGCTTGATGATTGGACAGATATCAGCTGTATATGCCTCTCAGTGTATGTATAGAGGTATACCACTGCGTCGAGGCGCAAAGCTAACAAATAACCACCGCCTACAGGCTCTGACGCCACGGCACACATGTCCGAAGAAGTCAAGGACGCCGGTCGATACGTACCGATGGCAATCACATGGGGATACTTCGGTAACGGACTTCTAGCACTGATAATGATTGTTGGATTTCTTCTCGCTATACCCTCAGTACCCGATGCGCTCAACGACAGCACCGGATTCCCCTTCCTCTACGTGTTCCGCCAATTCCTCTCCACCTCCGGTATCAACGCCCTCACATCCATATTATTGATTACAGTTATATTCAGTAACATCTTATTCAACGCGTCAACCGCACGTCAAACATATGCATTCGCGCGGGATCGCGGTCTACCCTTTGCAGACTGGATCTCGCGTGTCGACCCGCGCCGCCGAATCCCAGTCCGAGCCATCGCACTTTCGTGCGTTATTAGCGGTTTGCTATCCCTAATCAACATCGGTTCACAAGTTGCATTCAACGCGATCATCTCGCTCAACATTGCTGCGCTCATGTACACATATGTGGTATCCATCAGCTGTGTGATTTACCGGAAGATCGCCTGTCCTCAAACGTTACCTCCTCGACGTTGGAGTCTTGGTCGTTGCGGCCTTGCAATAAATATTATTGGCTTACTTTATGTTATTTTTGTGCTCTTCTGGTCTTTCTGGCCTCCGAGCCCTTTGCCTTCAGCCGGTGATTTCAATTGGAGTGTGGTTATTTTCGTTGTAGTGTTCATTATCAGTCTTTTGATGTATCTGTTCCAGGGCAGGAGGCAATATGTTGGCCCCGTTGTGACGGTCCAGCGAAATGGTTGAAGCTTGGCTGCGTTCTTATGGCTTTAGATATGTCGCTAGTCTTCCACGAAATTTGAAATGAATATTCAAGTTCCACTTGCACTATGAGAGAGTGTGGAACAGGTCCTTTGCAAATAACGCCCATTTTGGGAGCTGGATTATGTTGAATATACCTAACTAGTGTATATATAATCATTACAGTGCACGAAACTGGTTGCCTGAGGTCATGTTTGCTGACGAATGGCTTAGTGGGATATAAATAGGCGACAGATTCCCTACAACACCTTTCCTTCTTCATAACCCCATCCTCTCTGTCTGTCTTCGTCGCTCCCAGCTGGCTCGCACTCTGCCGTGATATAATAGAAGTGTCGCAGTATCCACCATCCTGAACGCAGTTGGATGCACTGGTGGATGCCAAAATGGGTAATTGTTCGTTGCGCGGGTTTAGTTGAAATACGTTCCAAGGTGGTTGTGTTCGGGGCTGACACTATAGCTTTATAGATCGCAGATATGAATTAGATGATAATGGAAACATCAAAAGTGAAGATCTTGGGGAAGTCTCCCACTTGTGCAGGACCATATCCAAGCTCAAACCTCTTCGAGACGTCGATTGGGTATCGGCTCGATTAAAATACAACTACGTATGTGTTTTCTCCCCAACAAGCTATTGCTACCTATGCTCAACATCGTGGAGATATTCTTCCACTGGGAAAGTCATGCACCAATTGTCAACTTGGTCGTGGTCCGTTCAAACGTGTGTAGTTGTTATTTGCCGTCACGCCGGCCGAATTATTTCGAATGGTTGTTGTATGAACTGCTACTTTATAAGCAAAACTAGCGAGGACTGTTCACTATGTAAGCCGCTACCTGTTTACGATATATTATATTCTAATCAATTCCTGGTAGGGAAGGATGCCAAGCTTAACAAAGACAGCGCCTTGATTTGTACAACCTTGATCTGGGCCTCTCCTGAAGCTCGTCAAGCGCATATATGCACTGCATGAATTTAGAAAATTGGCTAAAAAGGGATTCAAATAGACCCACCAACCTGCGGCCCCCAACCAGGCGACTGATTCCTCCGAAATGAGGGTGCCAAAATCCGCAGCAAATTGCCGGCGAAACTGCTGAGAAATTGCAGGAAAGCTAAAAGAAGGATGTCAAAATTGTCGATTCTGATATGAAAAAGGAGGAACAGGAGAAGAAGCCAGCTAAATCTCAGAAACCACGTACAGCTAGAGGAAAAGGAAAGAAAACACTTGTCGTTGAGGAGAAGTGAGTGTACACGGCCTTGGTCCTTGTGGACGTCGTCCAGGCTCGGACTTTCCTGAAGGGTTGGTGTGAAATTGTCAATGCATCCAGGTGGTTTCTGCGATATTCTTCATGTCCAATGTGAAAATAATTGGGGGAATCTTGGTCTTCGTTGTTATGTTTCCGTTCTTTTCTACTGCAAGTCCTACGCGTCCAGTCTGTCACCTATTTTACTACCCTTGAAAAGAAATAAAAAGAAAAAAAAAGGGCACAGGAGTAGCCTAAGATATTTCATTAACTTGAGAAATCCACTACAGAGACCGACACTTATTACTTCGATATGAAGGATAACACACTCTTATGGCCATGGTCTGTTAGCTTCCAATAGAAGTAGACATCAAAGCTAGAGGAAAGTATGCCTCACCTTGTCCGCTTCGAGTTTTGATAGGTGCCGAAGATTTGAATTTTAAATGATAGATTTCACTCATTCCTTAGTACTGGGAATGAACCTAATGGTACACAACTGAGATACATGTATGTCCTCTATATCAACCCCCTGGGGATCTAACATACATGTAAATCAACCCACAATGTATGTAGAACCGTGATCTTGCTGCGTTGTAAGTCTTCATTGTGTATCCACCTCATTCTTTCCTTTCCAGATCAGCCACGCGCCAACAATCAATAACTTCAAAATCGCTGCAGTCCACAAAGCTCCCATCATACCAACATGGCTATGAGCCCAGAGACCCCCCAAGATAACCCCAAGGAACAGGCACAAGACTGCGCCAAGCCGCCGCATTTCTTCAGCATGACCGAAGACCTTTCTCGTGAGCAGATCAGGGTGCGAAAATAAGTCGCAATAAGTACTAGTAAGAACAACACTAGTCAAGCCGTTAAAGTTCAAAACACGACTCGTCACAGCCTGTCCACTACTCTGGAATGCCACTAGGGCAACCGAGGCGAGGACCACCCAATTCAGGGGCGCATCACGGGCCGGCCGATGAATGGTAACTATCAAAGCGGCAATGGACACAAACAGGGTTTGAACAAGGAATGATGCACAGAGGACCCATCTCCGTCTTGCCGGGAAGACACGGTGGAAGGTGGCGAAACACAGGGAGCCCAGACAGAACCCCGCGATGGAGACTCCGGACTTGATCCAGCGATCGTCATTGGTTCCGACAACACCCAGTCCGAAATATAACGTGTTGCCGGTTTGCATGCTCACGAAGGAGCCCCATATCAATACCGCTGAGCTGTCTAGTAGCCCGGTGATGATGTAACAGAAGAGAAGGACCAGATCACCATGCGTAGGATCGAGTTCGCTGCGCAGGTGTTTGGATAGCTGGGACAACCGTGATTTCTTGGGTCTGTCATTGCCCAGCAGGGCGTCTGTTTCAGACATGATGTGGTGGATTAAAGGAAATGGAAGTTGTTTTCAAGGCAACACGTAGGAACTCCAAATCGATAAGATTCACATGCGCTCCGCAATCAAGTAAGGGAGAAAGTCAAACCCTGCGACCAGCAATATCGTGACGTCGATGAGAACATCAAATTTAAAAATTTAACTTATTCCTTTCTCTCTTCTGTGCAACTGACCTCTTTTCTCATCATGCAGTTTACCCATTTCCTATTTACCCTGGCATGTCTTCAGGTTGCATGGGCTATCCCTGCCCCGGATAACAACCTACGGGGGCTATTCCAAATACCGGCCAGCCGTCCCGTAGAATTGTTCGGCCAACAACCTATTTCTGGACACCCACCTTTTTCTCCCGGGCATCGCGACCCGTATGATCACAAGGTCGACACTATTGGCAATGACCAGCAGCCACTGCCGATCCGCAATGGAGATGGAACAACAGTGATGGGACCGCGCAATCGAGATCGCGAGCGCCAGAACCCTGATCTTGTTCGTCCGCCGAGTACCGACCATGGGAGTATGCGGAATATGCGATGGAGTTTTGCAGATTCACATATTCGGATTGAGGTATGGTGATTTTCACATGGGATGTATATCGTTGATCTAATGCCTATATAGGAAGGCGGATGGACGCGACAAACGACTATCCGTGAGCTACCCACTAGCCGTGAACTCGCGGGTGTGAACATGCGTCTAGACCAAGGGGTAATCCGCGAACTTCATTGGCACACGGAAGCCGAATGGGCGTTTGTGCTTGCTGGAAAAGTACGAGTCACTGCGCTGGACTTGGAAGGTGGCACATTCATGGATGACTTGGAAGCAGGAGATCTGTGGTATTTCCCCGCGGGACATCCACATTCGCTCCAGGGTCTGGGGGAAAATGGCACAGAGTTCCTTCTAATCTTTGACGATGGCAACTTTTCGGAAGAGTCCACCTTCTTGTTGAGTGATTGGTTGGGTATGGGAACTTGCCTATTTCTCGCCCTATGATTTTCAAATACTAACCCAGTCTCCAGCTCACACCCCCAAAGCTGTTCTAGCAGAGAACTTCCGGGTGTCCCCAGAAAAATTCAACAACATCCCAACCTCCGAGAAGTACATATTCCAAGGCTCAAACCCGGGAACCATTGACCAGGAAAAACCACGAACCTTTAAGAAGTCCAAGACACAATTTACACATCACTTGCTCGCCCAAGAACCACTCGAAACCAGCGGCGGTCGTGTCCGCATTGCCGATTCCTCCAACTTCCCAGTTTCCAAAACAGTAGCAGCCGCCCATCTAGAGATCGCACCCGGCGCGCTACGCGAGATGCACTGGCACCCTAACGCCGATGAATGGACATATTTTAAGAAAGGTCGCGCTCGAGTAACGATCTTTGCCGCGGAAGGAAATGCCAGAACGTTCAACTATATGGCCGGTGATGTAGGTATTGTGCCTCGGAATATGGGGCACTTCATTGAGAACCTTAGTGACGATGAGCCGCTGGAGGTTCTGGAAATCTTCCGTGCGGATCGATTCCGGGATTTCTCTCTGTTCCAATGGCTCGGTAGCTCACCTCGCCGAATGATTGTTGAGAATTTGTTCCCCGATGACCCTAAGGCTGCGGCAGAATTCTTGAAGAAGATCGAAGATGCTGAAAAGGATCCTATCAAAGATACAATCTAATATCGTTTTCATAGCTTAATATCGGGTTATGGGGTTTCCTTTACACTTGCTTCTAAACACACGGCATATGACCTTGTTTGCTAGATACATTATTCATATCTAGGGAGTAGTCCTCCTAAGTCACAGCCAAGTCACTTTGAGAATGGACCTGAGTTACAGTACGTCCCGAAACCGGTGCAACCACTACACTCTTCGATTGACTTGCCCTTTATGCCAAGAGACACTAGTCTATATTTGGATTTGTCAAATATCAGATATGGCGCCTCTTGGCCCCATATAATTAACCTTAGTTTTTATGTGGTCTGGTGGTAAAATATGCTGTAATCGTGCCAAGCGCCCAATACACCGTGTGGTGTATTAGGTTTGGTGTTGGGCGCTTGGCACGATTAATTTTTCCCTCAGGATTTATTCCGGCAGTTACATTTATATTTCCTTGTACATATGTTACACCTACGCATAATAATACCAACCCATTCTCATAGATCGTAAGACAGATACAAGAGCTTATCTTATCATTCGAAGTTGCCCGGAACTCCTAAAAATTTTCACGCAAAACCAGTCTAATGAAAAAGGCATGCGAATATAGTAGAATGTACAACGCAGATGTATGCGTGGGAATTCGAATCCGAGAGACGAGCCAGGTACATATCTTGCCAGCGGATACTTCGGGCTTTGGGGCTCGTCGGGATCATGTCCATTAATGCAACCGAGTGTATCATTCGAGTGGTTATACTATCAGTGCCGTGGCGCCGACTGGCTAAGTAAAATGATTATGGCCGATTCCAGTTTTCATTGAGATCCAGAAATCTTAGAAGGCATGAAAAATGGCGTCATGTGCCTTAAATCCAAAGTTTATCAGACTCGAGACTCAAAAATCCATGCTGAGCTTAAGCTTATTCCCTTCCACTATTTCATCCTTCCTGCCCATGAGCTCTTCCATATCCCAGGGACAGCTAATATATCTTCCGCCCATCCACTCTCTTCGTTCCGCAGCGAGCCAGGCGATGGTGTCGCCTGCGATTTCTGGCGTATGTGGCAGCATGTTACGCACCTCCTCAGGCTCGTTAATCGTCATATGGGTCTTGATTGCTCCAGGGTTTACGCAGAAAGCAAGCAAACCGTCATTGCAGTGTTCCAGGTTAAGGGCCTCTGTCCAGCGAAGTACTGCAAGCTTGGAAGTTCTATAGCTTGCGCCGCCTTTTCGCACGCTAAGAGCACCAGAAGAGGCTACATTGATCATGATGCCCTGGCCGTCGTGTTTTGCGCGAGTGTCGATCAGCATAGGTAGGAACGCCCGCGTCATATTGAATAGCCCATGGACGTTAACTTCCCAAGTCTTCCAGTACACATCTGGGTCTGCGTCCAGGATGGAACTGTAAGGCTCCTGATGTGCTGCATTGTTGACGAGCACATCCAATCGATGTCCGAAGGCATCCGAGACGGTCTCCTTGAAAGCCGCAACGCTTTCCCAGCGAGAGATATCAACACGGCCGCTTACTACCTGAGGTTCAGGCCGGCCTGCCTCTACAGCCGCAGCCTTTACTCGAGAAACAATATCATCAGAGACGCCATGTAGGTCTATGACAGCAATTGCAGATGCTCCAGCGCGAGCAAAGGCAGTGGCAGTTGCATAGCCCACGCCATCCTCCCGGGCAGCGCCAGTGATGAGCACATGCCGTCCAGAAAGGTCCTGTGCCAGTGGCGAAATGAAGGGATAGCTTGTAGCATGAGTCTTTTCAGTGAAATCGCGGCGCACGACAGGCCGGTCAGTGGAGGACATGGTGACGTGAAGGGTGGAGCGTAGAGGATGAAGCGTAGCTGTTGTTTCATATAGTGCCAAGACAGACTAACATAAATAAAGTTAGCTCTTGGAACAACTTCGGTGACATCACCCGTTGTATTGTTAAGATTTGTATTTACCAAACGGTCACTGGCCTAAAATCTAAATACACTAGTACTGCTTTAGCTGTATGGCCATCACCTGCAGCCTCTCTCTCATAGTCCACAACATTCCGTTTTACAGGCCACTGCTATCTTCTATAACTAGAGTGAATTTATGAAGGTCGACAGGCCCAGCTGTTGAAGCCTTTCCTTTGATGGATTCAAGAGCTGCTGATTCCTTCATTTCTGCCTTCATCGATAAGCCTCTGGTTTGGTTTGATCAGGTGACCGATATCTCTCATTCCGATCATCTCGCGGAAGATCTGTTGAACTTGGACTGGGAACTATGAGTATACTAGAGGTTGATCATTGCGGTATCAAGATTTAAAATGTAGGTGGGGGCTTTACTACGATGATATATGACGTACTTTGAACAGGGGACTTTCTAGAGCTACATGCCTTGATATACACGGCTCCAAGCCGTAGTCTTTACTATGAGCGGTCCACAGACAAGGGCCCATGTGACCAAGCCTACACTACCCGAATAGGTAACTATTGAGAATAAAAATCATTAATTGAATATCATTGCAAAAGCCAGGAGGATCCAAACAAAGTATGGTTGATGTCCTTCACCCTTATTGCAGTCGCAGAAACCAGCCGTTAGTGCCTCATTCAGTGTCTTCATCTTTCCATGGCTTGAGACCGAAGCTTTGCATGAAGGACGTCCAGCCCCCGTAGGCTTTGACAATCACGCGCTCGGCGGGGGTGAGAGGTGGTTCTATTGCATTTAAGGATCAGCGATGGATAGCACTTTGTATTGGATGGGACCTAGGGGAATGAATGTACGAAGTGCATCAGTGACTGGCATTTTGCTGGTGGATGAGAGTGGATCAGCGTTTTCACTTTGCTCGAAGAGTCCGAGGGGTTGTGACAGAAATCTGACTGTATGAAAATGTATGGTATAACCTCAGTATATTGGAGCTCTCTGACTAGCAATAAAACAGGATAAACGCGCGAGTATAAATAGACAAAATTGTCAGATACCGGAGCCATACACCCCGGTCGGTTACAGTACGAAACCCCCGGGGATCGGATACAAGGTAATTTTACCTTGATAAACGTCGGTCCCATATGTAACCCGACCAAAGTGCATTATTGACTAGTGATTTTTGTCAAATACCGAGTCTGAATACACGGTACAATACACAGGTAATATATGCTACGCTAAGCATACCAGAGGATTTATGGATCCTCTATTGTTTTGATTAGATAATCATGCTCCATAACGTATTCGGCAAGCGAGCGGCGCACGCAAGCGAGTGGCGCACCTAACCCAAACCATTGGATTCAACTATATTTATCTCAACCAAAACATCATTAAATTAATTCAACCAAATTGATTTATCTAGCTAGGCATCTATTGATTTTATGCCCTATTTCTCCACAACCACTACACTTTGGGGAGGCCCGCGAACGTGGTTGTAAAGCCGGCGATAGGCTTCTTCGTGGAGGGGAGGGAGGTGCTTTAACTACTTCCACCAGCTCAGTAATCAATTGAGAAGCTTCTTGAACTGAGAGGCCTTCTTCGGCAGGTATCTGCCTTCGGGATCGAGTGCGCTTTTGCTTCTGCTTCTCGTTGGCGGCGCGTAATTCGCTTACTTCTTTCTCAAGAAGTGCGGCGGATTGCATAGTGATCTGGCATGCCTTTAAAACCTGATTTATCGCGCAATTTAGCGGGCTCGGAGGGCTCCTCGATCTAGCACGAAGTAAAGCTTTAATTGACGAAGCTTGCTTTTGTAATTGCACGTAGTTCGAGGGCGTTTTTGGGTCCTAATCGCTTCCTCTACTCGGAGGGGGGTCGGGGTTCGAAGCTGAATATTAAGCTTCGAAAGCACTCTATCAGGTGAAAAAGGCACTAAACCAGCTGCTCCGAAGCTATTTTTAATAGTCTCCGATTTAAAGGCCTCAGTTCGTGCGAGGGGGTATGCTTCGAGGAAATCAAGTTTATCGATATGGTTAATTCCGGTCCGCATTTTCGTCTCGACCAGCCGACCATATGATCGTTTTAACACCGCAAAACAGCCAATATCGAGAGGCTGTAAAAGGTGAGAGGAGTGAGGTGGCATACAGATCGGTATCACCTTATTTTGCTCACAAATCTCGTCGAATTTTGGGGTTAAATGGCTTCCGTGTCCGTCAAGTATCAAAAGTCGATACCCCCCTTCGTACGCGAAGAAGTCGTCGGAATAAAGAGCTTTTCGAGCCAGCGAACTCCAATTTCATCAGAGGTCCAGCCGTTCGGACTAACTTCAAATCGCCAGTTATCCGGAAGGCCCTTAAACCAAGATTCGAGGAAGATTTTGCCTTTAAAAATCACACACGGAGGGAGCGCCCACCCCGATGCATTTATACATTCGATAATAGTCACCCATTCACGATTTCCAGGCTGTAAAAGGGAGCGCCGGCCAGAGAGATCACTCCTCGAAATCACCTTCGCTGTAGCGATTAACCCCATCGCGAAACCGGTCTCGTCGAAGTTATAAACGTCATCGGGGTCGATTCCGAATTGAATGATTATCTTTTGAACTAGATCAAACCACTCATTGATGATTCTAGGGTCTTCACATTTCGCGCGCTCATAGGTATACCGTTTTGAGAATCGAGAGGAGAGGAGAGGACGCCGTTTCACAAAGTTATATACCCATTTTTCGCCGACCGAAAGAATCGGGGTAGTTCCACGCTTTTGAAGAAGAAGATCCGCCATTTCTCGTACCATAGAGGGCCGGGGGGCTGCTCCACGAGAATCCATAGAGAGAATCCATTTTTGAAGAGACTCCTCTTCAATTTGTGTTAATTTAGACGAATTTGCGCGAGAATTCGCGCGGTTTTGTGTACCACTGAGGCGGCGGCGAAGGGTAGTTTCGGGTACGTTAAAACGGCGCGCCACTTCACGAACTGAAGAGATTTCTTTATCCTTAAAAGCCTGGATAGCTAATAAGACCCTACCCTCTTGCTCTGCTGAATTGCTAGAGGATCGGGAGCGAATTGGTGGCATGGTGGGTGGTTGAATTGACTAAGTGCTAATTCATGGACGCGTTTTGGGTTGGGTGCGCCACTCGCTTGCGTGCGCCGCTCGCTTGCCGAATACGTTAACTAACTAACGTAACTAGTTAGTTAACTAACTAGTTAGTTATAACTAAATTGTACGGAGCGCGTATACAGAAATACAGAGAGTTTGATATACTGAGTTCATACCATACATTTCATACAGACCGAATTCTGTCAATTTTGTCTATTTATACTCGCGCGTTTATTCTGTTTTATTGCTAGTCAGAGATTTCCAATATACTCAGTTCATACCATACATTTTCATACAGTCAGGTTTCTCTCACAAGCCTAGAAATGCCAAATTCCGCGCCGCGATCAGATCATCCCTCCATTTGGTTCATGTTCATACCAACCGGTCTGGCTGGGCAAGGTTGAGGATCTTATTGACATCTATTGCAGGGACTAGAAGCGGATAACGGTACCATTCTCCTGGCGAACGAATTGCAGGAAGTCATCCAAATCGTTGTTGTGCGGCGTACCAACAACGAAGACGGCTGGTTTCCCAAACGGTGCGGATACACGTGCAGTCTGGCCACCATGGTACTTCATTCCAGACCAAACGTGGGTAAAAGTCTGATTCTTGCCGGGAAAGTAGACCTTCACGCTAGCGCGGCCTGGATCTAACACCGGTGCGACATACAAATCAGAGCCAAGATAGAAGCTCTGGTAGCTGATTGCCTTGGCGGCCTCGTCATCTGGGTGGTAGACGACGGGCATGCGGAGCAATGGCCAGCCGAGGTTCTTACTTTCGGTTTCCAAGATGCGGCGACGATATTTCGCAAGACTGGCAAACATGCGTGCGTTGTAACCGAACCAAGAGTATGTGGTCGAGTTGGTGTAGAACTGAGCGTTGACCTGAGGGGCGTTGCCCTCGTGGGTACGGAAAACTACACTGGAGACGGCGGCAAGTTCACCCCACCGACCGAGCAGTTCAGAAGACCGGTTCACAACACCATTACTGTCCCAGGTAGTGGTGTATCCACCAATTTCCATGTGGCCGTGAGCATAGCCTGACAAGCCCATGTGGCCCATCACAGTGACAGCAGCCTTGATACCATCGTTGCGGCCCCAGTTGGTGTTCTGATCGCCTGCCCAGTATAGATTCATGTGCCGGTTAGCCGCCATAGAGGATGAGCGATGGAATAGGATGGCATCGGAGAATGAAGACACGTTCTTTCCAATCCACTGGTGCAGAGCAGCCCACTCTCGAGGATAGGCGTTGTGGTAGAAGAAGGGATCAATGCTCTTGTTGGCGAACTGAGTGTCGGGGTAGATAGGGGTATATTCGCCAAAATCTGTCATAAATCCGGAGATATTGGCACTCCACACTTGATTCAGCACCACCTCCTTGAACCAGGATCGGCCAGCAGCATTGGTGAGATCAAGAATACCAGCGTCAAGGCCGGGGCCACTGGAGATAACGGATGTACTATTGGTGGTGGAGTTTTGGATCATGTAACGACCCTGACTGGCCTCATCGTAAAGGTTGGTGCGGTAACCATTAGGCTTCGTGCTGACATTCGCCAAAAATGGGTTTATATATGCCAGAGTACGGACGTTGTACTGGTCACGCAGCGACTGGACAAACTCCTTCCATGTTGGGTAAAGTGTAGTATCGGATTCCCAGTTCCACCAAAGACGAGATACATTCAGCGACATGTACGAGACGCTCTGCGAGTGTGTACCAGACCAATCCTGGAGCCAGACTGCAGCAATGGGACATTCAAGTCCAAGTCCTTGGTTGACAATCCGGTTCACCTTGGTTTGCCCTCCTTGAATAGCAAGCACGGCACCAGTGTCAACCCACTCAGGCAACGCGGCCATCTTGCCGGTATAATCGGTAAGCATGGAAACACCGTGAAGTATGTTCTCGGCTTGCATGAAGTAGCCGTCCATTGCCAGGGCATCGTATCGCACAGTGACAGCGCTGGGATTGGTGAAATTAAAGGTAGTGTAGCCAGAGCTCTCTTCTGTGAGGTGGAACACCCGGGATTTCGAGCTGATATACTGCGGCACAGCAGTATAGGTTGTAAACTGATCTCCACCGGCGAAAAAGCTGTCCTTGTTTTCAAGGCGAGTTGTTGGCTGGTCACCACGGCCGACACCTTGCTCGCGTGAGAATATGGGAACTGTCTGGTTTTTGAAAGAGGCGAACGATCCCTGGGCACCGAGTCCATAGAAATCCTCGGATGAAGAAGAGCGGTATGTCAAGTATAGCTTTGTCGCCACATCTGATGAAGTTCCAGGGTCGACATTGACACTGAAGGCGACGCGATCGGGGAACTGCGACGGGACCCAGAAAGCAATAGAGAAATGAGGAGTGGCATTACCACAACCGGTGAGCTGACCCTGAATAACCGCAGCATGGTCATTCCCGCTGTTTTGCCACGACTTGATAACAACATCGCTTATCTTCTGGTTGGTACACTTATTTCGGTCTACTTCGTTGATCTTGAAGTTACCATTGGCGGCGAGCACCTCGTCATCTCCTGCGCTGGCACTAAGGAATGACTGGCCTGACACAGTCTCCCAAATAGATTTACCACGGTGGGCAATGGACAGCCAGTTGGAATCCACATTTACCGTGAGCTCAAACCCATTTCCTAAGTTCCATGGAGCATGGACCCCGACACATGGAGCTGCGAGAGAGGTCCAAAACCAAAGATTAGCGGCGCGCATCTTGAGATGAGATTTTGATCGGAGCAAGGAGCCCTCTTGTGGCGGCGGGAAGGCTTATAAAGTTACATGGCCTCGGCACTAGAGGATGCAGAGACTTGGGATGACATCTCAGGAGAATTCCGTCCCACTTGGTGCAATTGTCGCAATTGGTATCCGCCCACAATGTCTCTCCTTGGGCCAATCAATATAATACCATCCACTTATCTAATGATGATCGGCCAATTTCCATAGCCTTAGTTGGCCATGCCAAAAGCTGACGGAGAAATAGGCTCCATAGCCGACCGCTCCGTCGGCTCATCGCACACCTCCTCAGCATCGCGACAGTACCCTCATCAACGGCATACACTGGTGGTGAGATAGCGTCTGGGCACCGGAATAACTTCGGCTTCCTGAAAGCTCAATGGGATCTGCCATCGTATTTGTATGGAGTATGCCGATGTGTACACTCTGCCGCATGTGGAAAAGGAACGGGTCGGCCCCGGGATCCCCGGGCCCCACACGGAGATGACGTCTTAAAACGCTAAAATGGTAAAGGATATTGTCTTGGTATAATGATGATAAATGTGAACGTAGTGGTAATATGTACGGTTCTCGCCATTCAGTCAACTGGCCACATCTCTCAAGCACTTCTCTTAGGTACCCTGACAAGCCGATGCGCCAAAGCACCATTATCCAGTGTGAGAACCGTTTGCTCCCATTTGAATCCTTGAATTCTAGGTAGAAGTTTGATCCAGACATAATAGTAGACTCCACAGAGCCCGACACTGTATTGATGATCCGTCGAGTCAGCGATATATACCGAGGATTGATCAGGACAGAAACAACTTACATTCCAAGGGCAACCGCGCAATATGTTGCATACCAGAAGCTCACGTCGCCTCCATTGGCCCCAGTACTGGGCGGATACCAAGGCATCACAACCATGTACAGGTTGGAGAGAATCGCAAACGCCACTGTAATGTGCCAGGCCTTATGTTCCGGTTCTGGGAGATTGAGCCGGGCACGGCGAATTCGAGTGACTACCAGACCTATGGTGAGTAGAGACCCAAAGAAACTTGATGCATAAACTCCAAGATCCACAACTATTCACTCAAATTAGCACAGCGTCTTTTCACTGCTTGCAAAGTGACCAAACAGCCGATCAGAAAAATCTAAGGACATACCGAAATTGAATGCATCACCAGCAGGCGGCGCCAGGATCATCACCACAGTGAATGCCCATTTCACAAAATATGGGCCGAGAGGTGTTCCAAATGGCCATGTTGAAGTCCAAAACGAAGTGAAAGGCAACACACCTTGCCTATATATATCCGACGAACGCGTTAGCAATATTCCCAAAAGATGCATACTGTTACTAACCTTCCACACTCCCTCAGCATACGAGACTGTCCAATGAGCACAGCAAGAAGATTTCCAAAAGCGCTCACACAAATGAGGAAGTTCAATGCTGAAGCCGCACCACCAGTGCCAAATACCTTCTCGAAAAAGACACCAGCGGCAACGACCTCCGACTCTAAAATTTCGTCCTTGGTCGCGGCGCTAAAATACGCAATGTTTGCCAGTATATATAGCACTGCCGTCACACCCAACGACAGAGGAGCACTCCACTTCAGGGTTTTAGTGGGATTCTAAAAGCGAGTTAGCAAAAGGATCGTCATTATCAGATAAATTACATACCCGGACTTCGTTGACGACATTGAAGGCATTCTCATAGCCAGCAAAAGAGAACCAAACCTTGGTCAATGCGTTAGTTGCTCCGTAGGCTGTCGCGGCACCAGTACCCTCAAAGGCATTCCTAAAATTTGCTTTGGGATCTTTCACTGAGGTATGACCCCCGAGAACTACCAACCCAGTTATCGCAATGCTAAGCATGAGTTAGTTTTGCCGGTTGAATATATATATCCCGCCATTATAATGTAGATTAAGACGTACAATATCAATGTCACTAGCTTGACCAGCCCAATGGCATTCGCGAGTCTCAGAGACCATCTAGTATGAAACGTGAGGGCTGTGACAAGCTTGTCAGCACGTATCATACAATCAGAATAATTCCTACTCACCCAGTACTGCGACAGTATAACAAGCGATAGCAACTCCCTTCAACTTCCATGGTGTAAAATCAGAGTCCGCGAGTTTGAAAAGATATTGGGCCAACACTATAATCGATCAGTACATCTTCACTTCATCATACATCAGCTATGTAATCATACCAACGGCATTGCTGCTGCTAAACGAGAAAAGCACCATCTGCATCGCAAAAACCGTAGGGAAGAAGAACTTGGGTCGGGGATAGGACTGTTCCAAGTAAACAACCTCCGAACCGGACCGACTAGGGAAACACGAGGCAAATTCCATGTAGACCGATAGAGAGCTCGACGCCATCAAATACCCAATGACCCAGTATATTAACGATAGACCAACTGAGCCGGCACCTCTGAGGACGGTCGATGCTATTGTATATGAGTATATTTCCAAAGAACCCAGAGATTACCGAGGTGTACTTACGCGTTGAAAAGACTCCCGTTCCAATCATCTTACTCAAATTCAAGAAAACGACAGTAACCCAACCGACCGAGTACCCCAGCGGGGAATTAACCTCAACGGGCGCTCCCGTTGCTTCCTGGTATGTGGGCTTGGAGGTATTCCCACCCACCTCGGTGGTATATTTAAGACTATCATTGTCGCTGCTATCATATTGGGGGACCGCCTCAGTAGATTCCCGTACGGGTGACGGAAGACCCATTTTAGCTGGTGGGAGAAAAGGCTGAGCGGAATGTAATTATTCGTTAGAACGCATGGCGAGACTTCAAACATATATATATAGTATTATTCAACTCGGGCCCTCCACAATAACTTGGCCGTGGTCAGGGGTGTGACAGGCCTCATCGGGAACTACAATGATGTGATCGGACGGAATGGCCGACAGGAATTCTGACCCTTGTGGCGTTCACTTTAAATCGTATAGCTTTGGTTAACATTGCTCGGGTGCGCGCTCTAATCTTACTTTGGGTTGTGGATACTAGCTTCCAGCGCGGATGGCGATATAACACCGCTGGGTTGCAATGGAAAAGTCGAGGAATAATTTACGACCAGTGAAAACCTTGATAACGTTGAACTCTGCCAATGGCCAAGTCAATGGCCAAGGTCTTGTGTGTTCAAAGCGACGCGGCAGGCACTATGGCGCAATCCTTTGCAACAGAGCATGAGGATGAGGTGATGGAACAACAATGAGGGGCTGAGAATTATTGTGGGCTCCCGCTGATAGCTCTGAATAAAGCACATCTCAACACGGGTATGCCGAAGGATTGAGTTAGCAGGGGATCTGGGGCTAATAATAAATTCCGCAGAGAAGAGTCTACCTTGGGAAATGAAGTTTGGAAAAAGTACGATACCAACAGCTTCCCTCCCAAAATATATCGCTATGACGGAACATAAACCAATCTTTCAATTGGTTCAGAGCCATAAGGAGCTCCGCTAGCTTGCCTGTTCCATCCTAGCCCTAATTTCTCAGGTCTTTCTAGGTGTGCCACAAACTATCAAGTTTCCCATAAGGGGCGATTTCCCCAGGAAGTGGGCGTAGAACTCATCTCAAACTCGATTCGTGTCGCATTCACAATCTGGCCGTGCTTCAAAACTGGCCCGTGTATACTCTTTCCATCAACCTTCAGGCTCTTAATATATGGCTTCGTGGGTGCCCCTGGGGCGCTAACTTCAAGCCTCCTCTCCCTACCATTGGTAACTTGTCCACCTGTGCTCGCTCCACTAGGAAGGCGGATAGACACCTCCTCAAAGAACGGTGTACCGACAATATACTCATCACTGGCAGGGTTGACTGGATAGAATCCCAGTCCGGAAAACACGTACCAAGAACTCATCTGTCCCAGGTCTTCATTGCCGCCCAGTCCCCCACTGGTCGCATTGTAGTTAGCCCAGGCAATGTCTCGGATGGACTCAGCCGCTTGGTTGGGATAACCGAGCGCAGAATACAGATAAGGTACATGGTGACTTGGCTCGTTGGTATGGTCGTTGTGACCACCCTGGAAATGCGCATCCAACTTATCCCGGAAGGTTTGACGGCCACCAAAAAGCCCCGCCAGCCCTTTCACATCATGCATCACATCAAAGGTGTAGACCCAGTCATCGCCTTCGGTCCATCCAAAAGTGTTATTAGCCCAAGTCCCGTTCGCGTTGCGCGCTTGCATAAATTGAGTCTGGTTGTTCCAAAGAGACCCGTAGTTCCCGCTTCGCTTCTTGAGGGCTTGCACGGTGGCGTCGTCCTCTCCCGAATGGGCAGCAACAACCGAACAGGCGTAATCATTGAATGCGTAGTCCAATGTGCGGCTACCAGCCTCAGACCAGCCGTCATTGGACACCCAGCCTTGCTTCATGTATGATGTGAGTCCAGCTCGGGATTCATATGACGTGCCGGGTTCGCGATCATAATACAGAGTATCAGTATCGTGATCAGGCGGAGTATATGCATCCTTTTTAACGGCTTTCCAAGCCTTGCCAATATCAAAGTCCCTAAATCCTCGCTCGAGAGCGTTTGCAAAGACCACGTCTGCATTCGTCGCGATCATGATATTCGTCTCAACCAAATTGGCCCACATTGGAAGCCAACCGGACCAGTCAAAGATGCGTAGTAATGAACGCATCATGCTATTGACACGTTCCGGTGCAAACAAAGTCAGGAGAGAGTGCTCTGCTCTGTATGTGTCCCAAATTGACCAGGATTGGTAGTATGAGTCGTTCTCAGTGTGAACACTATCGGTGTACCCCGAGTAGAAAGCGCGCGGAGCGCCATCCCGACTCGATGTTGGCTCAGAAAAGTCGTTTGGATACTGGAGTGCATGGAACAAGCCGGTATACCAGATAGTGCGAGGATCATTATTCGGATGTGTCTTGTTGATGCCCTTGATGGATACCCTTCCTAACTTCTCAAGCCAGGCTGACTTCACTTTTTCAACGGTATCCTCGAAAGTGTGCTCATCCGGAGTCTGAATTTCCAGGTTCTTCCTTGCCTGTGCGATGCTGATATACGAAACACCAGTGCGTACTTCGACGCGCGATGTCGACTTGGCAAATTTCACATATCCTCCAGTGAAGTTCCCTTGTCTCTGAACTTCATCCTTTATAATCGACCCCCCATTCGCCACACCGATCTCAGCGAAGGGCTCAGAAAATCGAGAGACAAAGTATCCCTTGAACGACGATGCTTTGTCCGGTCCGAGGAGGTAATCCTGACGCTCGGTGTTATACCCGTAGACCTCCTGACTGTTCACATCGATATGAACTTCGCCTGTCCAGTTCCGACGTGAAGCTTGAATAAATACCCAAGGCTGGTCTTCGCCATCCACATTGGTAGGGCTATGTTGGAAGTCAAATCGAAGATGGCCCACGTGAGAATCTGCGGACATGGCAACCTGAATATCATCAGAAATCATACAATGCGAACACACAAGAGTGCAAATACCTGTATCGACCGGTCATACTCATCACCCTCTCTACTACGCAGCACAGACTCAATCTCCCTTTTCCGCATCCGCCCATTGGCACCATCTTTCACATCATCTGGCACAGAACCCGCACCACCGGGAACAGGGCCATCACCCACAGCCTCGGCTGTCGCATTCCAGTCACGGTCCAAGAGCTGAGCAGCATCAACAAGTACCTCATAGACATATGGCGTACTTCTCTCATCCTTCTTCTGGAACTGCAATCCCCGGTTCTGAAACAGCGGCTGCACTTCACCAATTCCCGGTGTCAATACAATCTGACCCGACTCGCCCATCCAAATAGCCGGTTGGTGTGTGGCTTGGAACCCATGGATAAGACGGTCGCTGTCGCCGTAAGGTACTTGCGAGATGAAGTTCTCGCGGGTCTGTGGTGTCCAGCGGGTCATGCCGAAGGGAGGGCTGACGGATGGAATCATGCCGCCGTTGCCATTTGGTGTTGTTCCGTAAGTGCCGATGAGGGGATTGACAAATTTGAGGACACCAGCGTTCTTGTGGTAGGTTGTGTCTGTCTTTGCCTCCGTTGGCTGGGATAACGCACCTCCTGCAAGTCCTGCTAGGAGAAGGGAGAGCACGCCGAGCATGTTAACAGAGGAGCGTTGCTAGGTCGGTAGGGGATAAGTTCTGCCCACGCTACGGGTTGCCACTTTGGAGATCTGAGATCTGAGAACTGAAATTAGATCTTCTATGTATCTTGCAAGGGTGAGGTTGATGATCCCAATCTCCTAAATGCGGGGTTTGGTGGCATTGGCAGGTACTAGCGACCTTTCCTTTTAATTGAATGTTGTTCCTCAAAAACACTACTAACATTGCCAAGATGTTTTGATTCTATTTGGAATGAGTGTTGCGAGTGTCTGGGGTTGCCCACCCTATCAGAGAGAACATATTTTTGAAGATGCTACATATTTCAATAACTTAAATGCTAGACAGCACGAAAAATAAACGGAATCTCTGTTAATAAAAGTTCGAGAATATCTATGGGGCTGCTAAACAACGCCTTCAAGGGGGTGGTATTGTCGCTCTCAGTCGAAGCTGCGCAGACTTGCTTCCAGAATAGCACGCCACTATCTTCCTGGGCCTACGAAGACGTATAGGGGCCAGGGTTCAAAACCCCCCTGTAGGGGGATTGGGATACCAGAATTAGTACCACTTTATACACCGCCCCAATACAGTGTACTGTGAATTATTAATACATCAACCTGCCTAGATGAAGCTTTTGGACTTGCAACCACCAGCAATGATGGAGATGCGTGATTTGTGTGGAGGTCCAAGGCTTAACTTGCTCACGGACGCTAGATATGGCGAAACCAGTGTGAAAGAGATGTCATGACACCTGCAAAGATAATGAAGTTGTTGTTTTTCGATTTGCTGCCACTTGGCCAGATGGGATACCGATACCGTTGGACGGCTCCGATTCATGTCATTCGAAAGATACTCCGCAATGAGCTCAGCGGGGACATCCAGATACAGGATATGGATGTAATTAGCCAGATCCCCTGGTGTGCAGACCGACTCCTAATTCCCATCTTCGGCCCAGAATATAAAATGTTCAGCCACAATTGCAGTTTTCCCCGTGTTGCAAAAATCCTGTCTGACTCTGGCTATCACGGGCTGGCAGTGCTCATTTTTAGCCTCTTCCATCGAACTCTTGAATGGCTCGAGGCTCCCAGGAGTGACCGCTGCAATGACAGCTCACCACAAAGCAAATATTCGTCATTTTCGAGTACCATCTTGAGTTCATTTAACCAAAAAGACGTTCCGGACCCAGGGAGGCCATATAGATCAATGATTACTGGCTTCGGACGTTCGTTAGGCTCAACCTGAATGGTTAGTGGATAAAGGGTATTTCAAGATGCAAGATATGTCATGTTAACATTTTATACATCAAACGCAGCTTCCTCAGAAGCTCACCATAGGACAGTTGGCAGGTGCAACCCTGCCGCAGTGCATTTTCAGTTCATTTTATCTCTTGTGGGAATCATATACCATGCATAATGAAGTTAGCATCTGCGACCTATAAAGAATATGATTTTCTATATTTTGACAGACGGTGAAAGTATAACCCTTCAGCCTAAATAGCCAAGGCGCTAAAAATAGCAGGCTAAGCCACATGCGCCACAAAACAAGTGGCATGCGCGTTCCTATAGGGACGCGTGGATGATCTCCCCAAGAGTTGATCATTAAATAAATTTGCACTTGCGACATATCAGACTCAAAAGTCTGCATTTCTATATTTCCCGAGTTTCTGAGCCCATTTATCGCCATGCCAGCCCTATATGCAGCGCTAGCCCACAGCGCGGTGGAAACGGCCCCGCACCAACTGGCCCGGCGTGGCTTGACTGTCAACCATACCCAAGCCGTGACCCTAGGGGTGATGGGAGCATATGTGGTGGTCATCGCACTACTATGGAATCTACCATATGTCCGCTGGGTTCTATGGCCCTTCAAGGTAAATACTCCCAGCCATTGCTAGACTAACTGCGACTAACTCCCCTGACAGATGCTGGTAATTGCCTTCCATGAATTCGGCCATGCGATTACCGCCTGCTGTACCGGTGGAAAAGTCAAATCTATCTCGCTAGATCCACATGAGGGTGGTGTCACGCACATGCAGGGCGGCATGAGTGCTATCACCCTGCCTGCTGGATACCTGGGGTCATCGATCATTGGCGCTCTATTGATCTTCGCTGGATTTAATATTGTTGCCAGCAAGGTCGCCAGTATCATCCTTGGTATCTGCTTCCTGCTTACCCTTTGGTGGGCACGGAGAGATTGGTTGACCATCATGACTGTTCTTCTTGCGGTCGGGTTGTTGGTGGCATGTTGGTTTATTGCGCATGGTGAAGCCTTGCGCTGGGTTGTGGTATGTCTGATATTTTGATTCATACTGTCGTCGAATTGTACTAATCTGGTCTTCTCTCCAGCTGTTTATCGGTGTCATGTCTGCTTTGTACAGTGTTTGGGATATCGTAAGTACTAGTCACACTCTTTTAATTCATACCGCTAATAACCTGCTTTCTAGTGCGACGATCTCATCCTTCGCAAAGTAAACAGCTCCGATGCCAGCGTCTTTGCAAAGAGATACGGTGGATCTTCCCAGTGCTGGGGAATCATCTGGTCTCTCATTTCTCTCGCTTTTATGGCTATCGGCATCATTGGTGGCATCGCAGCATTCCCCGAGTCCTTCAGCCAACAACAGGACGATTCCAAGCACTTTATCCCGACTCGCTAGTGACACTCTTAATGTTGCTTTGGGAAGACATTACAGACTGAAAATAATGATTTTATGAGATATGACAGCTCGTTAGGGCATATTCCCGCATGTCTTAGGAATCCAGTTTCCAATTAATGTACTGATATACTAGGAGTTTGAACACATAGACCCTTTGTTTTCAGGGCAGGTATACTATTGTAAAAGACCTTGAGCAGTAAGGGTATATCATTGTTCACCAGGAGGTTCGTTCTAAGACCACAATGTCAACTGTGGCTACCATTCCATCAAGACAGAAACATCTCATTTCCCTGGATTCCCAAATTACTCATACCTTTCCTCTCTTGCTCAAATGGGCCTTTCTATGCTCCGACTGGGTTAATCCTTGGCGAGTAGTTTCATCGTACTAGCCCACTGACTTGCAAAGCACACCCTCGCATCAGTCGAGACACCTTCGATGTTAATCGCCGTTCCCTTGGGACTGTAGACCCCCCAGCAATATTAGAGGTTAAACCTGATGCAGAGGTGGACATCTGATATACAACCTTCTTGGTGACATTCAAAATTGATTTTCCTGTCAACGTCGTCTGTCTTTATCATTTTTTCCTTTTTCTATCACCGTGTTGATAACCGGCGGCCGACCTTTCAAGCCACTGAGAATAAGGATTGATTCTTTGTCTTTTTTGGTGTCATTAGGAAAGATCAGGGTGGAAGCGAGTTCCCCGCTTGGTACTGTGCCAGAGGAGACGAGCATATTTAATCACCAAATACCTTCGAAGATTGGAGGTTTAATAACAGCAACACAGTAGAGGATGTCGAACTCACAGCTATCGTCTTTTGAAACACCTACGGTTGGGAATCAAGCGATATATATAAGCATGCCCTGGTCATGTAAACAAAGGGGAAATGCTTAGCCGCTTTTCCCTCACGCCGTTTGCAAGCCACTGGAGCTGAGGACAGACTAAGTGATACTTTACCGCGAGTTGGAGATGCAAGATGATGATACTCAGTGTTGGACGTTTCATCGCCAGCTGATAAGTTTATTCATCTTATCACCCAATGTCAAGTTGCTCCATCAATGAGAATGGGAAAGAGAAGTGAGCTAGTCATGTGTTTGGGGAGAGCTTTTCTACACAAATCGACCACTAGCCAGGAACTACTCGCAGTTACCGATCGGCTTTATTTGAAAGTCGATAATAATACAGTAATGTGCTGCTGATTGTCTATTGTACAAGTATGTGAAGAATAACCCCCGACAATTTATCGTGCATTCTCGGCCTCCAAAGCCTCCTCGTGCTGTAAAGCCATCTTGGCCATGACGTCCCGCGCCGCGACCTTAGCTTTCCGCTTCTCATTCATAGCGACCTCATCTCCCTCATCTTCTGGACCACCAGTTCGCTTTCCATTGGGAGAGCCAGTATTACGCTTGCTCTTTTTGTTGGGTGCTGGGTGGATCTCAGGACGAGCATTAGGCAATTCTTGTGACTTCTGCTGGTCCTCTTGACTATCCTTGTCGTTAGTATTCGGCCCAAGGGATTGTGCACGCAAGCTGCGACGAGATGCGCGACGTCGCACTTTGTTCGGTTGTCCGTTTGATTCGACATCCTCCTGCGTGCTAGATGGAGCGGTACTGGGTGGTTCTGTGGCACCAGTGAGGTTTGGGTGGCTGATCGATTTCCTCGGTCTGCCGGGCGGTCTTTTATGAGGAACAGCTTGGGCCTGCGGAGGGGCTGTTGGGGGGCTATCTCCAGCCGGCGCACCTAGGCGCGGTCGTTTAGCTATGGTTTGTTGCAGGTTATAGGATTGTGTTTGGAGCGAGCCAGAGGGATTTTGAGGCTCTCGAGCAGGCATCTGCACCTCTAGAGACATCAGTTCTTCTTCTGCTGGTGGCCCACTGGTAATTGCAGATTGGCTGTAGTCATTGAGAGGAACACGCGAATTGTTCATCAGTGGATCTGATAGCGACATTTCATCCACCATATCGTCTTCGTCGAAGGAGTCTGCAACTGCCTGACTGCGGTCGCCTGGGAATGCATCAGGCCAGTTACGTTTCCGGCCCGCTTGGAGCAAGCCAGGGCTCCGAACCTCAGGGAGCGCAGAATTCATGTTGATGATCGACAATGATTCTTGCTGGTGTGGTAGGGTCGCTCCCATGTAACGGTTCTTCAGTTTCAGAGCCTCGATCTCCAACTTCAATTTCTCGATCTCGTCAGACTTGGACTTGAGTTCCTTCAGTACCATAGCAATCATATCGAAGTCATGCCCCTGAAGTACGGGACCTTCCCCCAGATTTCGGCCCGGCCCATTCAACTCGATTCGAAGTGCTGTAAATGAATGTTTGAGATCTGACATTGTGTCTTGGAGGTGGTTCACTGAGTTCGAAATCTGATCGATGCTTCGGCCCTGGTGGAGCATTTGCTTTTGCATGGATGGATCGAGGGTCGTGTCAGTGCAGCCAGCTGGTACCAGTGCACTACCCTGGACAAGGTCGAGTTTTCGACGAGGAGGTTCTTTCGGGGGACAAATCAGTCGTTCGAGGGCCCCCTGTTTGAATACGGGCTGTACCGTTCGCATGGTAACGATCTCCCTAAAAGCGACTTTGGACATTTTCCACAGAATATTCATCCTATAAACAGATTAGCCGTGAGAAGCGCCAGTTTTTATCCACGGCCACTTACCCGTTGTCAAGTGGACAAAGTACACCCATCCGTTGTTGGCATAGTTTACATGACACCTCTTGAATGACACGGCCACGTAAAAGGGTCATGTCCGAAGTATGAGGGATTTGCTTCCGCTCCGAAGAAACGGCAATGCGATGGAGGTCAACACTAAGCCATGCTGTCGGGACTGAGTATGCATTAGATAGTTTCGCCCATTCGTTCTCCAGTGCAGCCAGTGAGCTGGAGCACCGAATACACTGGCATAAAATGCCAGGCCGTGTGAGATGGGATAGATCCATCTTTGCGCGACCAGTGTAATGCAGTTAGAGAGTAAGATTGTGCGGGCTTGAACCACCAAAGCGCATTGCCCGCAGCCAAAGTGCTGAGTCAGCGGTCGAGGCCGCCCGTTGGATGCACTAGTCCTAATTAGTTTATCGATAAGGACTATCTACAGTGGCGTCATGGCCGGAACCATTAAGTTACACATTATACCCTTCTGATGGGTGAAACATAAGCTCTAGAGGTTTACATTATACCTCGACTGGGATGATGATATGGTTATTCCCCGACCACGAGTATGACCCGCTGCATACGATGAGATGTATTCATATCCCCCGGTCCACAATGTAGCGCGCTATCTTTCTCCGGATCACGTGTCGGTTCCCCTCTTTCCCCATTTCCCCCAAATGGCATCTGTATTTTTACCCTGAAAACTCATGAATTGCTCCTTATATCTGGTCCGTCGCTCTTCCTCGGTGTGCCGATTAGCACACCTGCAAGCACGGAAGTTTATCCCTCCTATCGCTATGGCCCAACTCTCAACTGATGCCATGGCTCATGCCTCGGCAGTCACTGGCAACAGCGACAAGAAGCCCACCACCTGGCATGGTGCTGGAGCTGCCGAGTTCGACCTCCGAAGTATGACTCAATTAGGAAGGGGAAGGGGAATGTGAGGCTGATCTGAATCAGGCGATACAATGACGAAGCCTACGCCGTCGATGCTCGAAGCTATCTGTCAAACAACTCTTCTGGACGATGTCTTCAATGAGGATCCAGTCACCAACGAGCTGCAAAGCTATGTGGCCGAGATCACCAAACATGAAGCAAGTCTGTTGGTCCTTTCTGGCACCATGGGAAACCAGGTGGCCATTCGCTCGCATCTCGCGCAGCCACCTCATTCAGTGCTGTGTGATCATAGATCTCATATCATTTGTTATGAGGCTGGTGGTGTGAGCGCTTGGACTGGCGCCACCGTGACCCCTGTAATCCCCAAAAATGGGGTTTATTTGACTTTGGAAGATATCAAAAAGCACGCAGTTCTTAGTGATAATATTCATTATTGCCCCACCAAGTTGATCAGTTTGGAGAATACTCTCGATGGAATGATCATGCCGCTCACTGAGGCAAAGCGGATTGTGGAGTGGGCTCATGCTAATGACATCAAGGTTCACTTGGACGGCGCCCGGTTGTGGGAGGCTGTTGTGGCCGGTGCAGGGAGCTTGCCTGAATACACAAGCCTCTTCGATAGCGTCAGTCTTTGCTTCTCGAAGGGCCTGGGTGCACCCATCGGCAGTATTATTGTCGGGTCTGAAGAGTTTATCAAGAAAGCGCGCTGGTTCCGCAAATCTATCGGCGGCGGCGCCCGACAGACGGGTGTGATTGCAGCTGCTGCTCACGTTGCGCTCACTGAAACTTTTGGCACGGACCCCCATGGCCAGACTGGAAAGCTTGCAGCAACGCATGAAAAGGCGAAGCGGGTAGCCGATCTCTGGACTAGTCGTGGTGGCAAGCTGCAGTGCCCCCTGCACACCAATATGGTTTGGTTGGACCTCGAGGCGTCAGGAGTGGGGCCAAATGACCTGGCAGAGATTGGACAGCAAAAAGGGCTAAGATTGCTGGGGGGCCGCGTGGTGGTCCATTACCGTAAGTATCCTTAATCTGCCTTGAAGCTGATCCATGACTCAACAATCTGACCTGCCACAGAGGTATCGGACGAAGCGATCGCACGGCTGGAACAAGTTTTCGATGCTGCGCTGAAGGGTGACTTCAAACGGAGTGAAGATACTAGCAAACCGTACGGAAGTAAATAGTTTGAAAATAATACCAAAATCCAGCGTAGATATGAAACCCTTCACGATGTATACATTATGTCTTACGTACAATGTGTATTTCATAGATCTGTCTTGGCACTAATTGCGAGGTTTCAAGGTTCGTCCCCGCTATATCGCACTTAGCCAATTAACGCGCCTGTTGCCTGATGAGTAACTAGTTTACGCGCCTCAGGAACGCGTGATTGCCTCAGGAACCAAATCACGAGTGTTGCGGCTCGTTGGTCTTGTTCCTCGGACGACGACCTTCCAAGGAGTGCAATTTTGCTCTGTCCCGGCGTCCCCATTTTTATCTATCTACTGCCTCAATTTTGCCCGCCGAGGACAAATTGATAGGCAACCTTTCAAGCTGTGTAAGCTCATTCTCGATCTCGAGTCAAGGCTGAACAAAGGCCTCTTCAAGCTTCCAAAAGACTTTGCTAATTTATTGGGATCGAATTTCACAGACATACCTCCTAGCCGCTGCGAACTCGCTGATTCACAGTCCCTTCCTTAATTCGATCGTTGTGAATACCGAAATATCGTTAGGTACCTTCTCATTGAACGACATCTTGACGGTCCGCTTTCCCTCCGCCAGTTGACGTCTTGAAACCGATAACCAAGTTTTTTATTCTTCTTATGGCTTGGGGACAAGAGCTGGATAGTATTCCTTCCGTTTCACGGGCAACGTCGTAATCTGCGTTGATCAACACTGGTTTTGAGGATAGCTGAAGAAGGACACCCCCACTCTGCAAGGCGCAAGGCATACGGTTCACATATCGCCCATCCATTACCTATTTCACTCCTTCTGATCACTGAGCAAAACATTCGTGACGACTTTGTTTACCCGGCGACATATACCCTAGTGAATGTGTCATTGGTCCTAAAGCGTCTCATCATCTTGCCCAGGGTTTGCCCGGGTGCGTGGTTCATTGGCCCCAGTACCTATTCCCTCAAAAGGTATATATACAAAACCCCTCCCCGAGACCTCCTTGTTGGCATAACCTCACTGATAAATTATATCTCAAGTCTACGATATTAATGACATTTTTATGCACATTCCCTTTGCTGGGCTCGCAGCACATATACCCTACCTCATCAGATCTGTACCTGTAGTTCATTTCTCTGTTCATTCTCCTAGCACGTTCATTTACACTTGGATTCATCCTCATAATGGAAGCCACTCAGGAATCCACCCAGCCATGTGCTGATCCTCGCCGAATGGGAATGCATAACTCTGGCATCCAAGATGAAGACCTGGCCGACATCATCTGCATCCTTCATCCGAATTCGCATTCCGCCCATGATGCTGTTGGGGCCACTGGAGGAATATCTGCACAGCATATCCTCCAAAGGGACACACTGGAGCGCGAATCCTCTCACACGGCAGCATTAGATTTGGCATTGAGACTGTCGTCAAAAGTTCACAATCTGGGACTCGGCTTCTGCTTCGGACGCAATCGCTCTCGTTGTGACGTTCTTCTCACTGTTGACGATGATGCTAAACGAGTGTCGAACAACCACTTCCGAATATACCTAACCGAGGACGGCATTCTCATGCTCCAGGATACGTCGACAAATGGTACTATCGTGGACAATTGCCGCCTGCGAAAATCCCAGAAGGATGGGAATAGTCGAATGCTCACAAATGGATCTATCATTCAAGTCGTCACTGGGTCCGTAACATCTGACGAGGTCCGCTTCGTGGTTCGAATTCCGTCGCGAGAAGGGTTTGCTGTCCAATATCACCAGAACTTGTTTCACTATTTCGAACGAGTCCATGCACATGCCCCCGCGCATAAAGAACGGCAGGGCCCAGCCCCGTCTGCCTTGGCGTGGTCATCCGCCAACGCTTATGGCATGCATTGGACCGGTGGTGCCGAGTACAACGTGACTGGACAGATTGGAAAAGGTGCATTCGCTACTGTGTACAAGATTGCCACCAAACAACATGGCGCCATCTATGCTGCAAAGGAACTCGACAAGCGCCGGTTCATGAAAAATGGTGTCCTTGATCAAAAGGTCGACAATGAGATGAAAATCATGAGAGATCTTACTCATGTAAGCTACATTTTTCAGTTTGCCTGCCATGGATACAACTAACGAGTTGCAGCCGAATATCGTTCAATACATCAACCACCATGAACATGATCGATGGATTTACATCATCATGGAGTATGTTCCAGGCGGCGAGTTGTCGACATACCTGCAGACCCAGGGGACAATTGCCGAGGAGATGGTGAGAACGATCGCACGACAAGTGTTACGAGCGCTTCACTATTTGCATAAACGCCGCATCACCCATCGAGATATCAAACCGGACAACATCTTGATTGCCTCGCTGGACCCGCTTAGAATCAAATTATCTGACTTTGGCTTGTCGAAAGTGGTGGAGCAGGAAACCTTTCTCAAGACGTTTTGTGGAACGCTTCTATACTGTGCACCTGAGGTGTACCCAGACTATGATCAATACCGTCGTGGTGAGCTCCGAAAGAGGCGTCGCGTTGGAGATCCGTAAGTAGCTAATTTCCGTTTCGCTTGAGGAGTCTCTGCTGACATTGAAAGACCTCCCAAAACATCTCCGTACAGCCAATCTGTTGACATGTGGTCGCTAGGGGCGGTTCTTTTCCATATCCTGTCCGGCGTTCCACCATATTCAGGCCGTGCAGAAGATCGGGGTGTCCAGATGCTTCGCACCATTATGACAAGTGACGCTGATTTCGATGCTTTACGCCGCGCAGGTGTTTCTGAGTCTGGCATCGACTTTGTCGCCCAGCTTCTCAACCGTGATCCATTTTCTCGTCCAACAGAGAAGGAATGTTTCCAACACCCGTGGATCGCAGAGGTCCCCGATGTGGATGAGTACGAGGACGATGACGACTTGCTATCTGACCATCATGATGGGCTTTCAATCATTGGCGAGGATCCCGAGGATGAGCTAGATGCTTCGCAGTTGTCTATCGCTGATGGTTTGGGCTACGTTCACGAAGCCGACGCCGAAGATGGGAGTAGCGATGAAGCACTCTCCAAACGGCCCCGGATCGAGTATATCCCCACCGATGTACGCTATCCCAGCCTTCCAAATATTGAGAGTTTCCAAGATGGGCAAGCGGTGGTGGACAATCATGCCAAACGTTTGTTCGGGGAAGTTTGCCCCTCAGCTCTGCGGAGCTCCCACGCACTCGGCAATATGGATGTCTACGACCCCAATAATTTTCAGGTTGACTTTCTCTCTTCCGGTGAGTCGATGATGAGCAACGATCCCAACGACTCGATCATTTCTCTCCCAGCGGTACCCTTCGGTGGCACTGCACCCAGTTTGATGGGCGCAGAGAAACTCGTCGGGCAACTCAACATGAATTCCTTGAATCCCATTCTCCAACTCAAGGGTGGTCCGGTTACCAGATCCTCATTGCGGCAAACTACCCATGGGCACATCAAGAACGCGATGCCAGATAGTACCCTCAACAGAGATTCTGTTCCGCCGACTTCGAGTCCCAAGGAAGAACCTGTTTCGAGTCCGCAGGAGCCAACCCCCAAAGCCAAGTTCACGCGTCGGGTTGATCTTGCTCTCGCAATCCCCGACACAGCCAGCGAGGCATCTAGCGATAACAGTGCCCACAACAGCCGCCGCGACACTGCTCCCAGGGACCCCTCTCGCCCCTCTAAATCAGAATACGACATCGAGTTTGCTACTACCCTTGATGCGCAGACAGGCCAAGCGATCTTGGATCAGTTCCGTGCCGAAGAATCAGATTCATCAGAACCAATTGTTCACCGACCCAACCCACCCCCTGTTCCTTCCACACTATCTGATCCCGCATTCGCCAAACCGCCCAAGAGATATGGAAAGTTGAAGAGTCTCCCAGGTTCGATCTTTGACCTGACAATCTACCTCGAGGATCGTCTCACCTCCTGGGGTCGGGGGCCATCTGCGACCGTCAAGCATGCCGACCCCATGGATACAAGAATCCCCGCATACGCCCTAGAGGTCACGTTCTGGAGTCCAGGCATCGAGGCGAGGATCGCATCAGGTGAAAGCTGGCTCGATATCCCAGGGGTGATGGCTATTCTCTCCACCAAAGCGCGTCTTGGCATCTGGGTAAACGACACCTTGCTGTGCCGCGGCTCTATGACCGAGGATGGCCCCGAGGCTCTACAATTCGGGAAGCTCTACACCGGCGACATCATCACTGTGTACCAAAACAAAGACCGAACCAAATTCCTCAAGCTTCAATGTGACTTTACTCATGGCGAGAGCGCCCAGCCTCGACCGGCACACGAGGCCGGATTCATGGTGCGCCAGGCTCTCTTGGCCAAGGCCGACGGGGCTGCGAACCGAATGCCGATTCGGCGTCAGAACAAGGATCGGGAATAGATCGAGATCCGGCGTTATCAGTCTGCTTTGGACATAAATAGGAATTGCATGGTCCGATAGGAATTAATATCGTTAACTTTTGTACTCCACAACGGTATCTGTCCGCAAGCAGTAGAGTAGGTGTGGAGATGTGGAGCCGATCTGAGGCTCCGTAGATTGATCCACGCTGCAGGATAGTTTATTTAAATTAGGCTAAACTATTGCCTACCTAGGTATACATTTAGCAGGTCACCTTGAAAATCCGGCTTTTATGAGACTAATATAAGATTAAATCCAATTTGGTCTTCAACCTTGGGAAGGATCTAAGCATCCAAAGTCAAATCGCACCTTCTCCAAGAGGGTGGTATCAGGACGGGCCGCATTCGGCCTCGAGTTCCTGAATCCCAGGTCACATCTACATCCGGTACATAATCACCACACGTTTAACGGTGTTCTGTACATCTTAATCACCTCTCTTCCTAACTTCCCGTTCCTTACATCTGTCACTCTGACCTCACCACGCATCTATCCCCCCTTCGCTCGAGCTTTCCCTCCGGTGAACATCCACCAGGTTTCACAACGATCGCTTTCTAGCAATTCCCTGTTTAGCGTCAATCACTGCGATGACCTTATCGCGATCACCCTCTCCCCGCCCGGGCGGAGGGTGGTCCAGTCCGGGACTCGTTCCGGCTAGCGGCACCACATCGCCAGGCGGTCCATCGCCCGGTTCATTATCCCCAGGCACACCAGGCGGTATTTCGTGGGCTGCAGCCAAGGCAAAAAGCGAAGAGGTACGCGGGTATCCATCATTTGCTACACGGAATAGCGGCTTCTTCTCTCGACAACGACACAAGATCTCGACTCGGCTTTCTAGCTTTCGAAAGCTTTCATCACATGAATATGTTGATAAGGATGACTATGAACGGGACTGGAAACATGCGAGTGGTGGACGTGGCATGCTAGGCGCGTTACGGATACCAATCCGCCGGGGTCGGTTGCGGTTGCTGTTTGCACTCTTCTTGATGTGGATTGGGTATCTATTTTTCTGGGCGAGTAAGTCATTGCTGCTAGGATTATTATTTCGATGGTCATATTTTAACAAAATTCCAGGCATTGTCCAAACATACCGCAGATCACCAATAGGCGGCGGGAATAAGTTCGTCATCATACTCGGGTCGAATGTGGAGGGCGGTGTTATGGAATGGAAGGGTGCACGTGAATGGGCCATTGAACGAAACAGCATATGGAACAAGAAGAAATATGCAACAAAATGGGGTTACGAGCTTGAGCTGGCTAATTTGCTGGCTAAGAAGCGATATTCACATGAGTGGCGCGAGAGCTGGGAGAAGGGCGATGTGATCCGCGAAGCCATGCGCAAGTATCCAGACGCAGAGTGGTTTTGGTGGCTCGACTTGAACACCTGGGTGATGGAATACGGCACCTCGCTCCAGCACCATATATTCAATGACCTCGAGTCACTCGTCTACCGCGATATCAACGCATATAACCCTCTTAACCTCACCCACCCCCTCCCTGAGTTCTGGCTCGACGACCTAGGTCGTGCCCTTGAGGGTGACGGCAAGGCGGACTCTTTGAATATGCTTCTGACGCAAGACTGCGCCGGCTTCAATCTCGGATCCTTCTTCGTGCGACGGTCTGTTTGGACCGAACGCCTGCTCGACATCTGGTGGGATCCCGTCATGTACGAGCAGATGCATATGGAATGGGAGCATAAAGAACAAGATGCTCTGCAGTATGTCTATCAAAGTCAACCGTGGGTTCGCAGTGGTGTTGGCTTTTTGCCACAACGCAGCATCAATTCTTTCCCTCCTGGCGCATGCGGCGAGGGCGATAACCCAATCGTTCACTATCAGCAGAACGCACATGACCTCGTTGTTAACATGGCTGGGTGCATGTTTGGTCGTGATTGCTGGTCTGAAATCTACTACTACCGTGAGCTGAGCAATTGGCTTGGCCGGTCGGGTTGGGAGCGATTCAGGGACGGTTTAGGTGATGTATACGATCGAATGACGGGGAAGCCGCCTAAAGATGATTAATTCGTATTGTTTTATGCTATTCATGTTTATTATGCTTGTCCGCAGCAGATGCATATTGTCGAAGTCATTCCTTCCTTGCATCATTGAAGGTTTTGTGTTGAAATTATTTTGTTTTGTATATTGCTTAGTAGTTTCGCATTATCTTGATCGGGTGTACGGCAGCTGGTGTGAACAACCACGATCATTGAAAATATGATATTTTTGCATAGAATTTTCGTTCCGATAAAAGCATTTATACTTCCTCTAGATCAAATCAAAGCCCAATATTAACTTATCGAAACTTCACTCACTGTCCGACTCGGCCGTTTTCGGATTCTATATATTCACGTGACTGCACAGATCTGCACCAAAGGCCGTTCCGTCTCCCGTACCAAAACCAACCTTGACCGCCTTAATTCCGCCCAATCACAAACCAGGTAATCCAACCTTCAAGATCAACGTGCCCGACGACCGCAGCAAGCAGCCTCCAAAAGTCGATCCTCTCCCACAAACTCTTGCTGCCATTGTCCTCTGCCCGGACAAGCAACCACCTCAACACACCCTGACCTCACACCAAATAACACAAACCAACCGTCCACAATGCCAACCGCCGAGTCCGCCGCTTTCCTGGCCAAAAAGCCCACCGTCGCCCCGACCTACGAGGGCGTCGACTTCGAGGATAACGTCGCACTGCACAACGCCCGCGACGCTATTATCCGCGAGCAGTGGGTACGCAGCATGATGGCGCGTCTGGTTGGAGAGGAATTGAGCAAGTGCTATGCGCGCGAGGGCGTAAACCACCTTGAGAAGTGTGGTGTTTTCCGAGGTGGGTTGTTTTCCGTACTGTCTACGCTACATATCCTGGAAATTGAAACTTCTGCGGGTGTTTCCGTCTGGAATAACCGGATCTGACTGGGTCGAGGACTATGTGGATTGGTTGTGATTTGGATGTTTTGTACTGACCTATATATCTACTGCAGAGAAGTACTTTGAGCTCATTAAGGAGCGCAAGGTTAAGGGTTACCTCGGCCAGGAGAAGAACCGCTTCGGTGGCGAGTCGGCATAGGCGTTTCCTCTTTTCTTGCATGTTCATGCGATTGCGTTTCGAGGCTTGGGTTTGACGGTCGATATCAATACCGCGGAGACTGGACAATTTTGATGCCGATATGAAATGGTCGGCTTTGGACGGAACCTCCCGTGGATTTGATTCCGTCCTGTCCAAACTTGATCTTATAGCTACCCAGATCGGGTCTGCGGAGGAGACACGAAAAGATGGCAGAAGAGGGTTTGGAGAGTACCCTCTTGATGCTCTTGCCCGTTTGTACTGTACATAATATCACTTTGTTTGATCACTCTTCCTTTTTTTTTCACTACGGTGTTGAAGTGCTGTTCGGAGAGGTTGTAGTAAGTCAGTGACCAACACTCGGTCCTCGGATACCAATGTATCCTTACCGGGCCGTTGTGTGTATTGTTCGGCCGCCAACTAAATGCTAAATTCGGTATACATCACCATGTCCCAGATTCTATTTAGAGGTAGAATTCTTCAATAATAAACGCTTGATGCGGTCGCACTTCGGTCCGGGAATGCCCCCAGAGGTCCACCGCCTACAGGCTGCCCTGCATCATCCTCACTGTCGTCGTCACTTCCAAATTGAATGTCATCTCTCTCATCTGGTGGAGCACGCATCCGCATGAGTTGGTCCTGATCTAAAGAAGGGGGCTGGTATGGTGCTGGTGGGGAGTGAATGTCACGACCAGAAGGCAGATTAGAGAGCAATGGTGCAGATGGTGGAATGAGCTGTGTGTTAATCTGTACAAAGTCAATACTCCATGCATATCGAGACCCAGCGGGATCGTGGGGCAGGGTAAAAAGTTGACTTACTGTGTCATTCATTTTCACCCATTTCGTTTCGAGCATCGCGAGGACTCGTCCCTCTTCGTCACGACCAGCATCATCCCCCGCATCCAATGGACCTTTTTCGCTACGACTACCGCCAGCATCCTTAGTAACTCGACGTTCTTCACGTCGCTCTGTCCACTCGCGCTTTAATCGGGACAGTCCGCCCTTTCCTGAACCTCCTGAGCCAACGGCATCTTCCGGTGAAGACCCTGCTCCACGTAGCCCGAGTGGAGTGCGTGCAGCTCGCAACCACGCAATACCCTCACCAACTTTGCCTGATAGCTCAGCATCTACACCAAAGAAACGACAGGCGCGTGCCCGAGCCACGCGAGCCAGAACTCTAGTATAGCCGACCAAATCCTCATCCACGCGGCCTGCACGACCGGAAGTAGACCCAACAGCACCTAGGCCTGCGGCAGCTTGCTCGGCGTACTCTGCGGCACGAACACAGAGTCTTGCGAATAGCAGAGCGCGCACTTTTGGGATCTCAGGTGCATGCACCATCCAGTCTTTGTCATTTGGATTGCGCGACTGGATACACGCCGCAACATACGCATCATCCTTAAGAACGGCCAGTAAAGTAGCCTCGGCCAGGGCCAGAGACGACAGAGCGGACTGCGTAGCAGACTCCAGCTCCGGTACTGTCGACACAGTGGCTGCTGTGAAAGTCGGCGAGGACGCTAGCAGATTATGCACCGAGCTAGCCTGTAACAGATACCGCGTCGCGGTCTGCACAGCAGTAGTACGGGCCTCCGCAGACGGGGTGGAGGATGCGTATAGAGCAGCGAGAACTCCTGCGCGTGCCATCCTACTCAGGACATAGCCCAGAGTTGTGAGGGTAAACGCCAATTCGAAGTGGATGCCTCGACCAGACACTCGCCCATTCCGCGTGCGGATACCGTTTCCGCCCGCATTAGTGCCACGGGACCCAAGATTCAATCCGCCTGAGGATGACAAGGTACATCTCCATGCCGACTGTATCTCCGCACGGATTGTGATGTCGACTACTTCGCCGGTGCGGAGTTTCGTTCCGCCTGACGTGTAGGCATCTTGGGGAGCGGAGGAATATGCATCCGTTGGAACGGAGCGACCATTTAGTCCATTTGAGATTGCAAATAGGTAGGGGATATATTCATTCAAAGCGGACAGGACTGTGGGTAGGTGGGCATCCTGGCGGTCGCGGGGTAAGCGCTTGTGGGCCTTTAGCGCGAGGCGGAGAGCATGGCGGGTTGTTGAGGCTGATTGGGGGAGGGATGGGTGAGTAGTAGAGAAGATAAATGATTGAAATGAGAGAGGCGAGGTTGTTGGGAGGATGAATGCGTAGACCATGGTGAACTGGGGAGTTGGAGAAGGGGAGGACCTCGGGACTCAGAGCTGATGTCACTGCCAAGATCTTGGACAACACTTTGGAGAACTATATACCAGTTACATCTACCTACTATTTAGGTCTTTACAGATGCAATTAAATAGTATAAACGAAACAAAAATGATTCTAGTCTTTAAACCAAAGCATTCACCAAAATCCAACATGAAAGACAAATATATATATACACGCAAGGCATTCATCAGCAAAAAGCAAAAAGAACCTTATTAGATGAACAGCCCTATGGTGGAAAGGTTGGAAGAGGTGGGAGAGCTGGGAGGAGTGAAGGGATTGGGTACTGCTTGTTCATATCAAGCACACTTACCACGGGCACATTCATTGCCGTCGGGTGATTGTCGCTAAAATAGGTCTGACACTCGCTAGCGGGAGCCGTCGCTGAATACATCCTGAATCGTGGCCACGGACCATTCAATCGGAGCTTCGGCTTAATCGTGCTGTCATCCATAAGAACGACTGGAACCTGATGCCATACGGATGACAACCAGGAACTGGTAGTGAGATCGTACATGTTAACCTCGAGTAGTACACAAGTGAGGAATGCCTCTCCTCCATTAGCGAAAGATAATCCCGCGATCCCTAACACTTTTGGATCAGGGGGAAGATTTCCCTGGTCGTCGATATTCATATTCACGAGACTCCGTAAATCGCTTTTATTTATCTGCATCAGACTAGCCCCGGTATCATCTAGGAAGCTGAGGCGAATGGCCTTAGTTCGCCGGTGTGGGAGATCGTGAAGTTTCAAGCATATGTCCATCTTCAAATAATTAGAGACAAAAGGACAATATCATGGATCTGAACTCACGTGGGCCGCAAATCTTGAAGAAGTCAAAGGGTTTGGTTGAGTTAACCATTGCATCATTTGGTGGTTCGGTCCGGGTCCTTGAAACTATGTATATGTTAGTTTCGTACTAGCTCGAGTGTTCAAGACGTACCCCTTCTACCCAAAAGCCTTTCTGGCCATGATGTTCATCACTGATGAGCTTATATTCATTCCACTTAAAGGGCCTCGGTTGACAGAGTTGAACGCCTTTAGACCAGTAGGTAACAAGGCCATCGTTCCACCTCAATTGGCCCGATCTGTATGCTGCTATGAGGCTTGTCACATTTGGAGCTAGTTCATACTCGTCACCCTTGCTGTCAAGCCATTCTGACATGGAATTGAGGGTTTTCAAGCGCTGAGCAACAGGCCAACTCAAGCCAGGTCTCTCAAGGGCCATGATCTCACTAATGATTGAGTTAAACCCCATTAAGATAAGAGCTCCTAGGAATACTCACTTGCGATTTTCTTGCTCCCGCAATAGCTCTTTAAGCTTGAATTCAAACTGATGGACCATAATATTATCACCGATCCGCTCCTGGCATCTTGCAATCTGGGATTTCAAATCACTAGATAGCACATATTAGCATCTACGCATGCTTATATAGCGAGATGGACGTACTCAGGATCTAGATCAGGTTCTTCACTATCCCACCCTGTCGGCACATCCTCCAAGTATTCAATTGGATTCGTTGCCGGCTGTTTCCATCTTTGCTGTCGTGCTGGCCGCTGTACCGGTGGTAGGATTTTCCCCTCATAGGAATTTTTCAAATCCAATGCAAGTGCAGCCGGATCCAAAGCCTCAGGTGAAACTTCACCAATAGGTTCAATTCCCTTGGCACCAGCGGCGATAGGAGCAGGGTCTCCCCCAGACCGACCCTTCCCTTTAGGATCTTTCCGAGCTGGAGGAGGCATATTTATGTCCATCGCATCTCCCTCAGCCCGACCCTTCACTTTGCCTTGTTTCTGAGAAGGATCAGCAGGAGTGGAATCCAAGCTCATTGCATCTCCCTCAGACTGATCTTTCTTCCTGCGCGGTTTCCGGACCGGGGGACCAGACCTCGGCGTGCTTTTTCGTATGCCAGAGGTGGGGGCATAGTGACCCGTTGGCTTTTTGGCAGCGGCTCGCCGAGGACGATCCATTTCGAAGAAGGTAATGATAGGAAGGATATGAGATGCTCCAGGTGCAGAAGCTAAATGCAAGGTCAGATAGTCGAGACATGTTTGCTTGGAAATTGGGATATATTTGTATTTGGGACTACACCACATACTGCCATATCCAAACAAAGAACTGGAGAGAAGAAAAGCCACCTAGGTCCGAAAGCGACGGCATGATAGGTCGACCTCGACCTCTATGGATTAGTCCCAGGACCTATTTGAATTTACATGAAAGAATATGAGAAATCCAAGTTCCCTGATCAGTTGCCCTTGGCCAAACTAGCAAGTTGACTATGCTGACCATAACAAAGAGTTCAACTCGAAACTAAAGCTACTACAACGTTCTCAAAGAAAATAGGACCAAATTTTAATGCTTCTTTAAGCCACAGTATATCAAAGAATGTGAGCTTCTAGTTCTTTTTTTAGTTCCTCGCATTTAAAGATAGTCCTGTGGGTCCTTTTGGCCTGCCTTTCATGATGCTTTTGAGAAGAAACGTTGACAGACAGGTCGTATTATTCGGCAAGTGTCATTTTCACTTGAGAGACTTTGAAGTATTCGTATAAGAATTAAATAGAATTTATTCTCTAAGGTCAAAACACAGAAATCCTCAAATATATGTTTGGGCATTCTTCCAAGATATGGATTGAACGATGATAAGATTCCCCTTAGGGCAGCTGAGGTATATCAGAAACAAAGAGATTAGCAGTGTAAAATCATATATTTAGCATCTCACCTTGTCTTTTTCTGGTAGCCGTATTGTTGAGAAGCTGGGAGTGATTGCCCAACTGGAAATATGATTTTATAGCACTGATGCAGCACAGAGGGCTCCCAGGGAGGTACAATATCACTGTGTCCAACATAACAGGGGCAAACATCTATGGAAATGGTAGGTGTTCTTTGTTTACAACCTTTCGGGTAGTATTTCTCGATGGAAAATTACATATAGAAAGCCTTCTACCGCAAGAAATAGAGTTATGTCGAGATTTAATGTTGTACTTGAATTTTTGTGCTCTACCATGCCTTACCAGTGTCGATAAATTTTGAATTAAAAATGGATTATAACACTTAGTCACTTGATAGTGCTGTGTAAGCCTTTGTGGGCTTCACTGTCTTTCTTCTCTTTCTCTCAGAGTTCACATCTCCTGTCTCACTCGTTTCGGATATGTGGGCACAGACAAAAGAGAGAACGAGAAAACTTGATTCATTGAGAGATTAAGACCTTGAGCACGTGGAAATATGAAAAGAAATCCGAAAACAATGAACTCCAATCACTTTGACTGTATCTTTCTAGCTCACATCTTTGAGGGCTTACATACATCTGGGTAGGTAGGTGGTCATAAGTATCCCGGTTCCTCATCGTAGCCCCTTTTATTCAATTCTATATTTAGCTTGAATAGACGATCTGTGTCCTGATACCCATGCTTCACTGAAATGATTCGAGAAAAATCCATACATTTACATTACTAACATTACATCCTGAGCAATGTCCCCGATCCCCAAGTTTGGACCGGGGCTCGAGGCGGAGTACACTAACATAGTCCGGGTTGTGCAAACACAGATTGAAACTCTGACATACAAGGCATGGCGGCGCCGTGAGGTAATTGAGAAACTAGAATGTCTTTGCCGCGAACTGGTATTCCAAGCAGCCTGTGACGAGCGCAAGCCTCGTAGTCATCTTCTTGGGTATGCCCAATTCCAACGTTTCTCCATGACACTCAGACTTTGTTTACCGGAAGCACTTCTTGTCCTCACGAGTGACTGGACTAGTTATCAGATAAGCAATCGGGCCTTTGACTGGATGAGAGAGGATGATATTGAATATACCGCAGTTTGTATTCTCAAGGAAGCTCTTCTAGCCGCACAATCAACTGACTGGTATCTTTGACATGGGTCCTTCGGGGGATTGGTTCTTCTATGTTATATATTAGCAGAGTTGAATTCACTACATTGGACTTCTAACACGTTTATCTGAATGATATCTTTCTCTCGGTTCGTAGATGCTCCCAAAAATATATTTCGCGTGCCTTGTTCTCCCTCCAAGTACGTAAAATCTACGTAGTACGAAATTCAACGATGCTATGGCAGGTTTTGAAATACCGATGGGGCTTGGATGAATAGATTCATAGAGACAATAGAGCGGAGTCTGTTAACTGCAAACTACCCATGGATATAAAATCCGTATTAAGCCACCTGACTCAAATACTCCCTAGATTAAGTCCGATCTGAATAAATCCGATGAGCAGTGTAACCAAAAGCAAGGCCAGAAGCGGAGTTGAAAGTAGTGGCCGAGGTAGTAGCATCAGCGCTCGAATTGGAAATCAAGCCTAGCTGTGGTCACGGAGCTCGCTGCCGAGGGAGTTGGAAGGCAAGACAGTGGTTTCGGGCTCGGCGAATGAGGTCACGAGGAGAGTGCTAGTGGGTGGGACTGGAAGAATTGGTGGTAATTTAGAAAACGTCGAGAATGAGACCGAGGAGGACAGCCTCGTAAGGGACGAAGTGAATATGACAATGTCGGTAGCGCTTGAAGTACCAAAACGCGTCGAATTAAAGCCTCGTCCGAGGAGACGGCACTATGTATCTCAATACTGTCCGAAGAGCCAGATTTGTCGGAATAGATATAGCTCTCTACCGGGGTGTAGTTGACAATCTAAACCGACTTGACATACGGCCCCTGGGAATAATTAGCCAATAATCGGATATTGTTCCTGATCTGTTCGTCAAAGCGGATGCTGGTGGACTAAACAGTGCGGCATGGCCAATCGGCATCGTGAGAAGAACCACTTAATTACGCTGCCAGTGGAGCCCTCAACAGCGATTAACGCAATCAGGCAGTTTAATCTGCCCTAAGAAGTTAGTAAGTATATAGTGCCGAGCCAAGCTTCGCAAAAGCTTTCCCTCGGACTCGGAGATAACATCAGTCTCCATAGGTTGAATCTTAACTGGATGAGTTTGCGACACTTTTTAGCGCTAGACTCGACTGAGTATGGACAATTTCTAATTACAGCTCGGATTTTTGATGCCTATAGCCTGCTATCTCGCTAATTGACCTCCCTAATCTTGCTTTGCGAGTCATGGCAAACTTTTCAGGGACTAGGCCTGCATCCGCAGACCTTCTCATCTCCTTTTGTGGACGAGCTTCCGTAGTCCGAATTTTCCATATCCATTCCCTATAGCTATCGTGTTACTTCCGCTACAGAATTGCGAGATACAGCGGCATTGTGCGGGCTAAGACTGGGCTGAGCATCCCGCATTGAGACCGAACTCCGACATCATGAGATCCTGGCTTTCCTTCTCTTTTTTAACACTGGCTACGATCGTCGGGGTCACCAATGCCAATGCCGAATACACCGGAACGGATTGCAACCCCCTCAACAAGACATGCAGTGCGGATCCCGCCCTGGGAACGGAGCATACATGGCTGTTCAACTCAACTCTTGACACCGAGCTGTGGGATATGAAAACTGGAACTCTCGATTACACATCCGAAGGAGCAGACTTCACCATCAAAACCGAAAACGCGTCAACTCTCCTAGTATCCAACTTCTACATTTTCTTCGGCGTGATGGAAGCACACGTCAAGATGGCGAAGGGAGCCGGTATCATCAGCAGCGTTATCTTACAATCCGACGACCTGGACGAGATCGACTGGGAGTGGGTTGGTTATAACACGAGTGGAGTGCAATCCGATTTCTTCGGCAAGGGAAACATAACGACGAGTGATCGGGGCGGATATCATGCGGTTATAAATGCAGATACCGAGTTCCATAACTACACTTCGTACTGGGATAAAGACCGTCTTGAATGGTGGATTGATGGTGACTTGGTGCGGACAGTGAACTACTCCGAGCCGCTAACTGTGTATGGCAAAAATTATCCCCAGACGCCTTGTCAGGTTAAGGTTAGCAATTGGCCGGTTGGAGTGAAGGGACAGTCGCAAGGCAATCTCGATTGGGGTGGTGGCTTGGTTGACTGGTCCGATGTTCCGTTCACCATGACTGTATCAAAGATCCGCGTTCAGGACTTCTCCAGTGGAAAGGAGTACAAGTACACCGGACATACGGGCACCCGTGAGAGTATTGAGGTGGTCAGGTGAGTTTCTAGTTGAGCCAGCATCTAACGATTTTGAGACTAACTTGCAATCGCAGTGGGAACTCAACCGCTATAACACAAATCAACAAGCAACCAGTCAAGACCCTATCCGAAAAATGGGATGATCTTGGCTCGGGGGCTCATATTGGTGTTTACTGTGGTGCCGGTGTTGCTGCTGCGCTTCTCCTCGGCGCATTTATATTTTATTGCTTGAAGCAACGCCGGAGCGGTCGTCTACAACGCGCCTTGCACGATGGTGAATACAGCGCAGAGCTTACGACGTTGGAGGCGTCAAAGTTGAGATGGAGGCAAAGTGAATTGCGTAGCAAAGGCAGTTATCAGCCCGTTCCTTAAGCAGAGCAGTGCATTGGGGTATGCTTCGGTTATGTTTTGATTTAATGTCTCACCTTCTTGTACATACTTCCCACGCCAAGACGGCCAAGTCGGGTGGCTGATCCGGGGACCCAATTTCTATAGAGTCAGTTACGGGTGCATAATAAAAGACCTTAGAAACTTCATTGCTTTGTTCTCTAAATATAAATGTAATTTTTCGTTCATCAAAAGTCTCATCTTGGACCGCTACGTGTGGTGAATGTTGATCGTCAATACATAGTATGCTCAAGGGTTCGATGTTCGAAAGTTTGATATTTCTTGAAGCATCTTTGAGCTGCTATTGGACACAACTGTGGACGTGTCAAATCACATGGCGTACTTTTCGTGGTGTGCGGATCCTAGAACAGGTGGAGAAATACCATACCACATTTGTGAACCTCGCAGGATAGATAGGTTACCCGCTCGAATGTTCGGATGCAAACATAAGTGAAAATGAGCCAGACAATTGAGTCAACAATGGATGTCAATCCCCGATTAAACCAAGTCCTGGCGATTTGCACCTCCTAAACAGACCGAGTCCGCTTGCAACACGACACCAGGCTCCCATACCCACCTCCAGTGGATATAGTGGTATGTATAGGTAAAGTTCCAGTGATTGAGCTATCAAAAGAGGGCCTGCGAAGAAGGAAGTAGAGGCAAGGATCATGCCTCGAGTTAAGGCGGAGGAATGTCGGTGACCACTAGGGAAGACAGGCTTCGAGTGTCCCAGCAGATGATGGGATATTTGTGTTTCAAATGGGCATGTAGAGATGAAAGACAATTCGACCGGAAGGGCGGCCAGAAGGGTGACATGTCGGCTCAGGTCTAGGCACATCTGTGAAGTGAAGATTGAAGGTTGACTCTTTCAAAAGCCAAGCAAGGGCCATGTGCAGCCATTCACGCCTCCATCACTTGGTCCTCAGAGAGATGGCTTGGTGCGCTGCTCACACCTGAACTGTCACTGTCCGGCGCCTCGGAAACTCGAGCACGAATCTGCGCACCCCAGTCTTGAATACTAGGGGCACCACCTTCAATAATGACAGGGTGTTCCTCGGCATGTTTTCCCAGGACAGTTCCAGCGTAGCGGGACTCTTCGCCAGTCTTACTATGCTTCTTCTTCAATGCAGTTAAGTAATCCTCCTTTTCAATGGCGTCGGGGTCCACCATGTCACCCTCGCTGGGCACAAAGCCGGCAACGCGTCGGATTTCACGGTGGACAGGGCCAGTGATCCAGCCGAGGAAAGAATCAATCCCGCGCATATCTTCTTCTCCATGCCAATCCTCTTCCCATTCGCGCATTTGTGGCCGTATGGCTCCTGCGTCTAGCAGGGCTTGGTAGATATCTTCGAGGTCCGGAACAGGGTCGTGTGGATGCGCATTTGCAGCATGTTCAGCTGCAGATGAGGCTAGAATGACCAAATACCGTCCAGTGAGATCTTGGATAGATTCTAAGACTGAGGGACGTGTGGAGTGGAAGCCTTGGGCGCGGAGGATTTGGATGATCGGAGGACGGAGGAGAGCGTTATGGAGGTTTGGGCCTGACATTTTGGCAAGGTGATTTGAGATGAGAGCTCCGATTGACGTAGAAAGGTACAGCGAGAGGGAGTGCACAAAAAGTAACGTAGAAGGAAGAGAGATGGCGGAGTCAAAGCGGCAGAATTTCAACGCGGAAAGGCGGACCGGTCGAAAAGGGCTAAGCTTGGTCCCGAACAAGCCAAACTTGTTTCGCGATGGCTTCCATGTCCTGGTCAGTTAAAATGAAGTCTTTATCTGGCTTCTTTCTTTTAGACCGATAATTGATATCTTCAAAGGCAAGGTGCATATGCCCTTGCACCTTTTTGCGTGTTGAGACTAGCTTTCGAACGACATCAATCGTTTGCACAGGGGTTTCTCGTCTCTCATTGTTGAATGAGAATCTGCCCACCTCTATGGACTGTTATTGTGAGGGCCAGCTTAACCTGTCCTGCGCTTTGTGTAAGCCAGAACCTCATATCGTTCGCAGCCTTTGCCCGTGGCTCCGACCATATACTTTCCAACACTATGCTAGGCCATTCCGTGTCGCGGCCAGAATGCATAGGAGTCCACGAGAAATCAGGACTTTTGAATTTTCCCGCAGAGCTTCTCACTGACTGTGTCGCCGTAGAAATCAGCGGATAACGTTCATCCCCTATACCTTTCCAGTCGCGGAATATTCCGTCAAACGCAGTAATTGCTACTTCATGAGGTCCGCTCGGCAGTCTGATGGGTAGTTGATTAAAAGAAGGATCATAACTTTACCATCTTGCAAGTAGTCGTTCTTCGGATTCAAAAAATAATCAAGGAACGTTCATGCATAATAAAAATGGTATACTCTGGTTCCGCTAGGTCTAAAATCTGGAGACAATCCTGAACTCCCTCAAACTCATATTTTGGGGCCGAAGGAAGATAGTCTTCATAGAACATGGTGCCGGTGAAAAGAGTAAATTTAAGATGAGAAATATACATTATATACACATGATGTGGCAACAATAATAAAATAAGATCATCATTCCACCCAGGTGTTATTGTTCTATTCAATGGTATTATGTAAATGTTCCCGCAACTTCACTTCCTCCTCGCATATCTCTCTTTTTGCACTTCCTACCTCCCATACTGGCATCATGCCTTTAAAAATCAAATTCTCAAGGAGGCCAGACCCCCGGAAGAACCAGCGCCTGCACCTGCGCCTGTACCGACACCTGCGCCTGCGCCCGCCGAAACTCCTCAACCTCCGCGCAAGATCACGCTTAAGATCGCACGAAAATCACAACCCGAGACTGAAGAGAAACCAAAGAAGAAGAAATCGAAGAAGCGACCGGCCGAAAGTGTCGCGCCTGAGCTTGAGCCCGAGCCTGAAACCGAGACGACCCAAGGCCCCAAGCGGATAAAGCTGATCCCATCCAAAAAGCCTACGCTACAATCAATCCGCATCAAAAATAAGGGAATCGTTCCCAACCGACCGGTGGGCGTGGGCTATGACTCGGAAGCCTCGGACACCGAAAATGATCCTGCCATCGAAGAACAATTCATCCTGCGAATGCTCCCGGGGGAGGACTGCGAGCTTCTGAGGAAATTAATCAACGACAGGGAAATCAAGGGAACTGAGTTTGGGTTCAAGCCTCTCACACGTGAGGGTCGGCGCGCCGTCGTGAAGATTCGGGACCACCAATATGCGGCAGCCCTGGTGGATCTGCCCTGCATTATCGAGGGCATGAAGAGTTGGGACCGACGAGGCTGGTACAAGTCGGCAGATATCTGTCAAATGCTCTTGGTGCTGGGACGCGTCAACAGTGACCAAGAAGCGATGGAATACCCACTTCCCCCGGACGTTGAATGCCCCGATGAAAAAACACTTCAATACCCACACGGACTCGCGCCACCCCTCCGCTGGGTTCGCAAGCGACGATTCCGCGACCGTGTCAGCACGCGCACGATTGAACAAGTTGAAAAAGCAGTGGAAGAACTCATGGCCCAGGACGAAACTTCGATTTTCCCTCCCAAGTTCGAGTTGGTGGACAGCACATCTCTGAATCGCGTCGAGGGCTTGGTGCAATCGGGAGCGTACGAAGATGAATACGACGATGAGCAGGATGCATACGGTGAAGCGGAAGAAGACATGATGGATGACTTTGAGGACGCCCTTGCTGCTGAGATGGAAGCCGCGTTGGCTGCCGGCGATGAGGAGGCACCCGGGGCAGGACCAGAGCAGGCCGACACTCCATCAATGCAGCCTTTCACACCCGCTGGAGGACCGACCGAACGCGGCGACACCTCTGCGGATGAGAGCAATATATCCGACGAAGACGAGGATGATGAGTTGGATGACGACCAAATTGAGCAGCAGCAACAGCTCCAGCAACAACGCGAGGAAGTTGCCGAACTTGAAGCTCTCATCCGAACTGAGACCGCACAATGGGAGAAGGTGCAGAACCACATTCTGCGCAACAAGATGGGACGACGTATCCAAGAACTGAAGAAGGACCTACAACTGAAGAAGGTCTCCATGGGCATGCCCGCCGGAGACGATCTCTGATCCCCATCCTCTTCACATACAGTGTTCAATATTGGGATTTTTCGGCGTTACCATTTATAATCATACCCAGTTTGTCTGACCGAGTGCGAGTCCGGTCTTGATGTTGATACAAGCAGCACTTAGCTACCTTTAATGCCTATTTACCCACGACCGGATCACCTGTAGCCTGTTTAACCGCCCCCTCCACATCCAATCTCTCCTCCTTTTCCAACATCCGCCGTCTAACACCCTCCCTCTCGGCAGCCTCCCCCTCCGGCTCAACCGGACTCTTCCCAACCCTATCCCCAAGAATCCGATCGTGTTCAACCCTCTTCGCCCCCAAATTCGCCGCTAGATCATCCGCCTCACCGAACCCAGGATGTCCAGGTCCCCCCGAGCTTCCAACAGGACCAGCATGCGCACCAGGCTGCGCACGCTGAATCCCCATCCCCTTGCGCTGAACAGTATCGGCAATATACCCCTCCGCAGGCTGCTGCTCCACGCCATATTCTAGATCGACGTCGGATGCATTGGGTTCGTGTTCGTGTTGTTGGTGTTGTGCGCTGAGACGAGCGCGTGCTTCGTCGCTCGAGGGCTGTGACGAGGCTGTTCGTTTGATTGTCCCGATTGTGTCGCCGTGGTGTCGGTCTTCGGTTGCTCGTTGTTCTTGTGGCGTGTGAGAGACGGGATTCGAGGATTGGGCGTAGGCTGCTTGTTTTGGGGGTTGGGGGGGTTGGTCTTGAGTTTGGGAACGGGTTTGAGAACGGGTTTGCATGGTGGATGTGATGACCTAGATTTATTTTCTTTATACTTCAAGAAGGTTATGGGCAAGAGATTAAGAGTGTATGCAGCTGAAGAAAGTGACAGCTGGGTATGACGTCAGGGTGGCCAATGAGAGTGGAAGTACAAGTACAAGTCAATATGACACAACCTTGGAATCCATGCAATATTGACTGTTAGAGAAGATCGGGGGATAAATCCTCACAACAAAGGACGATGCCCTCTGTACTATGTACAAAATATTGAATGTCCACTTTCACCATCGCCTCGCACAAAGATCGTCGCATTGAACCGAACTGTCGGGATCGCCAAACACTCGGCAACAGACAATTCCCCTCCCAACGTCCCGTCTATCCCCGTAAAAGTGGCGCAACCAACTGCTTGTAGACTAATTCAAACTGTAATTCCACTAATCAGACCAGGTCCCGGGGTATCTTACCAAACCCCTAGCCCATTTCCACATGGATTAGGGGGGATTTATTCGACTCCACACTCCGTCTTCGCCCAATTCCTCTCGATATTCCTTTTTTTCACACAGAAAAACTCTCAATATCTATCTATCAATGACTAAACAAAACTACACTTTGCCTCACGGCTCCCGGATTCTAGTAACTGGTGCGAACGGCTTCATTGGGAGTAATGTCGTCCACAGCCTACTTGAACTAGGCTTCAAGGTGCGCGGGACTGTCCGCTCAGCGAAACCATGGCTCGACAACATGTTCCGGGAGAAGTTCGGACCGGACGCGTACGAGTCTGTGGTTCTTGCTAACTTTGAGAGTGTGGATACCCTGGTTGAGGTGATGGATGGTGTATCTGGCGTGGCGCATGTGGTGTGTATTTACTCGAAATGGGATGTGAGCAGAGTGGGTGCTAATAAAACGTGATATGTAGGCATCGGATGTCAGCTTCAGCTCAAATCCGGAAGAAGTTGTGCCGTGGGTGTTGAGAGCTGTTCATAATGTGCTGGAGGCGGCATCGAGACATTGTGATATACAGCGGGTTGTTATGACCTCTTCTTCCATCACGGCGTTGTTTCCGGAGCCTAATAAGGAGGGGATTGTTATTCGTAAGGGTAAGTGACCAATCCATAAAGAAAAAAAGACTAGAAAGGGAAGGATGTATTGGCTGATCCTATTTAGATTCCTGGAATGACGAGGCTATCAAGCAAGCCTATAATCCGGATGCCCCGCAGCATATGAAGGGTCTTTTCACCTACGCTGCCTCCAAGACAGAGGGAGAGAAGGCTGCATGGAAATGGATGGAGGAGAACAAGCCAGACTTCCAATTCAATACCGTGTTGCCGGACTTTACCGTGAGTTCTATGCGCAGATGGCAAATTCCAAACGGACGATATTAACTAGAATCAGATCGGAAGAATCCTCCACGACGAGATCCACGGCTCAACAATGGGCTGGGTCCGTGGCCTAACTAAGGGGGATGTATCTGCATTCGGGTCATTCGTGCCACGTACGTTCAGACTGCCCATAAATTGGTGATCGTAACTAATGCACAAAAACAGAATACTTCTGCGATGTCATTGACATTGCACGTCTCCACGCAGCCGCCCTCCTCGACCCGAATACGGTCTCTCAGCGACTCTTCGGGTTTGCTACTCCTGTAAACCTCACTGATATGATCACAGTTATTCGCAAGCTCCGACCTGATAACACGTTGATCCCTGACACTCCTGTTGACGAAGGACGTGATCTGAGTGAAGTCATTCCCGCCACGGAAGCAGAGAAGATCCTGCGGGAATTCTGTGGATGCGAAGGGTGGACATCCTTGGAGGATAGCATTGCGCAGGGGATTGAGGGGCACTGAATACCGTAATCTCGCACGTACATATGCATGAACAAGAAATGGCTTTGTTTTCCAAGTTTCTGATCCGAGCAGTAGTGCAAAACAGGCGACGTTCTCTCATTTTGCATTTACAAGCCCTTTCCACGAACTACTGCCTTGTTGCTAGATTTCTGGGCCTCAAAGTCGTCGCACCTTATCTTGTATCTTTCTTTGATCATGCTGGCGTGCAATTCGGCTCACTGTTGACGTTAAGAGTCCTCCATCGACAGTAGCCGCAATAGCAGCCTAGCTGGGTTGTGAATTACTAGCCCAAGATCTATAATTAAATAATATACACGCCCCGTCCAACTTTCTACGGTCCTTGGAATAAGATTCAGCGGCAACGGAATTTGAGAGCAGTTAAATGTGTACTATAGGAATGTCAAGTTACTGTGGCAATGTGACCACTGCTCTTCCTGTAATACCATCCCCCCTCAGCTTCTCTATCAAAGTCGGCACAGCCGAAAAGTCAAAGACCTCGATCGATGGCACTATCTTGCCAGCAGCTGCCGCTTGCAATAAGTCGGCCAACTGATTTTCGGTGCCCACAGACGACCCTATAAAGGTGAGACCTATCGTTCGGAGGGTTAGTATATGATTTGACCAGACGACGTTCATCAGGCATCTTACCTCTTGCTGTGCAGAGCGTAGCCGAAAGAGGAATTTCCAGGTCATTCGGCGGCAAACCAACATTCACAACAAAACCCATATTTCTCACCAGGTTGGGTGCCATCTTCAATGCTTCCTTCGTACCCGGAACGACGATCGTCGCATGCGCGCCCTCTCCAGTGAATTCACGCACTCGAGCAATCACATCTTCGGTCTTGTAATCGAAGAATACCTCCGCCCCAGACTCCAGACTCAGCGCTCTCTTATCGTCACCACTATCAACAGCAATAACGCGCAAGTTTTTCATCCTCGCTGCAATTTGCACACCAATATGGCCCAACCCCCCTCCAGACCCCGAAATGACGATAAAGTCACCAGCCTGTAGCTCATTATCAAATCTCGACAGAGCACCAGCCATCGTAAGTCCAGCGCACAGTAATGGCGCCGCAACTTCATCAGCCACGCCCTCCGGGATCACTGTCAGGAACCGTGCGTCCGCGATGACATACTGCTGCAATGTTCCCGGCACATGGCGACTTGTGTTTAACTGCTGTGCACAATGATTCGGGAATCCTCGCTTGCAGACTGAGCATTCGCTGCATGCACTGTATAACCATTTGACGCCGACGCGTTTGCTGAGAAGGGATTCCGGAACTTTAGGCCCTGCTTTCACTACGATTCCGACTCCTTCGTGGCCAATGATTGAGTTGTATGCGCCCCAAGCTAGCACGGCGCGGAGTTCTGAGCGGCTTTGTTATTGATATTAAGTTAGTTTTTGGCGGGGTTGAATTCATTTCCAAAAGCGCTTACCACAGGCCGGTGCAAGTTAATTTAACGAGAACTTCATTTTGTCCGGGATTTGCGATGGGTATATCATTCCGTAGAGCAATGGATGCGGTTTCTCCTGGGGTTTGCACCACGGCCGCTTGTTGTAGAGTGGGTGTGGAATTTGTCATTGATGCAGTGTTGAGCGTCTAATCCGACGTGATCAATATTCTCAATGTGTTTTACACCTTAACCCCGCTTTTTGCCTTTCTGGTAGGAAACACCGATGTTGAAGCCGGGTTTGGATGCATCATATTCAAGTAGAGGACGATGTTCGGGTTGCCGAGGTAATTGATTCTCGGTCAGGATATCGGCAAGTGTATTGACGGCTAGGCAAATATTAGGCGCAAATGCAGAAAATTGCCAGGTTCAATCAAAATGAACCAATTTTAAGCACTATGTCTCTAGCATAAAAGCCCATAATGGCAAATAATGACGCTTATGAACACTCGAAGAGTTATAACGAAATCATTAAGTCGCTGGCAACTACAACACGCTGATTTGTTTGGATAGTCACATTATCTGGTATGTCACAGCCAAGAACTAGGGTCTAATTGAAACATACAGGAAATAGTTAACATATTATATTAATCAAGCTGCACTGCCTGCTCATCTTGCAGGCTACCATTACGGTGCGGCAGTGGTAATTCTTGATGGGGGTATAATCGTCATTGTCGACGCAGTCATCAAGAGAACAGGCAACTATACTGGCGATTGCACGGGTCGCATTGAGTCGTGCATTTCGAAATTGTTTTATTTTTGGCTGTTTCTCCGCATTTTTAGTCAGGGCAGTCAGCCGTGTCGATCCCCCGTGTCCGGCCCCATCCACAATGCAGATTACCCTTGTTTGTGTTGGAAACGAAGGGGCGGGAATCAATGCGAATGTATTGGGTTATCTCGACTGACTGGCTCACACAATGCAAGGAGCAAGACCTATTAGGTAATTAAGACGGCACCGGCTCTGGGTATATAAAGCTCGACGCTCGCGAAGTTTGTGAACTATATCTCAGCAGTGCATCCATAAATCGATTCTTCGCTGCCATTTCAACCCTCTCGAATCCATTCAATCAAGAATTCACCAGTCAATTCCTCCAATATGAAGTTCTTTGCCATTCTACTTGCACTAGGTGCCATTGCAGCGGCGGCACCGGGCCAGAATTTAGAAGGGTGCTCCCAGAAGGGCCAACTCTGCGACGGTGGCTCACATCTGTGTTGCAAGGGAACGTGCCCCGGATATGGTCCAGGATTTGTGGTAAGTCTATAACTGCTCTTTCCCCGGGATTTATATGCCAAACATGAAATGAGATGGCTAAAAAATGATATAGTGCAAATAAGCTATCATATACGAACGTTGATGTTATGACCTTATTTTTCCGGTGCCATTTACCTGATGTCAAGATGAAGTATGGAATATATTACTGCACTGAACTGGTTTGTTGCTTAGGCAGCGTTTTCCAGGCCTCTTTTTGGCTGTTTTCATTGTCCCTATGAAGCAAGATAAATGGATTCATGGCAGCGAGTGATCACTATATTATAGAGAACTCTTCCGTCGATCACTTTTCTGTGTACTTCTCTTTCAATGCGTAGTGTACCACCACGAGCCCTCTTGGTTTTCAAAGCCGGCTCGATGGTGCCCTATGCCTGAGTGATACAAAGGATGAAAGATAAACGAATTGAACAAGGAACAAATCCCACGTGCGCCAATTGGCCTCGGGATACAAATGACGATCCACATCCAATTACCGTTATATTATCGAATTCGAGTTAATCTTAGATCACAAAGATCGTACCTAATGAATCTCCAATAGCGCAAATCCCCCGAAAGCCTACCAGCAGCATTATCTCGTTTCGAAAAGCTAACAGAGCTCCGAGAGAAACTGCAGACTTCGTGGCCAAAAGCCACCGAAGCACAGACGGCACATTACAATAAACACCACACTGAAATGTCATTTAAAAAGAACGACCTAGTGGTCTTGTCAACAAAGAACCTACGCCTAAAAGAAGGGACTATAAAGAAACTATCCCGGCGATATGTAGGACCATTCAGGATCCTTGAATGCGTCGGTACGCCTGTTTTCCGACGCATTCAAGGATCCTGAATGGTTTGTGGGGATAGTTTCTTTGTGGTCTCTTCTTTTAGGCGTAATAATGCTTATCGGTCACATGATCCAATTTATGTCAGAAGTATGGGCGGTGAGGCAACCTCGGCTTTTTATCAAACCACCAAGCTTTGAAGGTCTTGAGGCTCGTCCTAGAGGCCGAGGAACCACGACCGAGGAAAACATTCAGAGGCTCGCGCGGGCCAAAGTCGAAATTGAATATGCCGACTCTCAGAGCAATGATAAAATTATTGTCTATGACAATGTGGAAAGGGCGTCCTAGGAGCTTGATGGGTTTATATTTGGGCTAACATAACTTTCTCCTCTTTAATTTCTTTTTCCTATCAAGCGATGTACTTTTTCTTCAATTTTCCTTACGAACCAATTGGTATCGATAGTCACGTGATGGGATCGGGACCAGCATGTGATGGCGCCGAGGTCTGATTAGTAGTCAAAACAATCGTACCCGTGGACCCGAGAGAGGGCCGATTATATTTGAACAAGAGATCATGTTTCCTCAACAACTTCCTTGTTCCAAACATCCTCATCATGACCACTCTCTTCACCGTACCGATCAGCTCCACTGGAGGCTCGATCGTCTGCACAAACCCTAGCACAGCGAAAGAGCACGAGACTATCTATGTGCTCACTTTTATTTCACCCCCGGACAACCGACTGACACCCATTTTTATTGATGCTATGCTACTCGCCCTGGACATTATTGAGCACCGTTACCCCAAGGGCGTCGTAGTCACTACTAGCGGAATTGCCAAGTTCTACAGCAATGGGCTTGATCTCGATCTTGTCGCGAAAACCGAAGGGTTCCTTGAGAACTGGTTGTGGCGATTATTCCGACGCTTTTTGTCGTATGTTTTTTTTCTTTCGTCTTTAGTTTGAGGATACAGTGCAATCCTACGTAATTCCCAACACTAATATCCACTTTAGATACCCCATGCCAACCGTGTGTCTACTAAATGGACACGCTTTCGCTGGCGGCTTCATGTTGGCCATGTATCATGACTACAGAATCATGAACCCAGACCGTGGTTTCCTGTGTGTCAACGAGCTAGAATTCGGCGTCCCGCTTCAGACGCCCATGATGTCCATCTTCCGCGAGAAGCTGACGCCAGTCACTTTCCGAAATGTCATTCTAGAGGCTCATCGCTTTGGTGGACGCAATGCCCTCGAGGCTGGTATCGTTGATGCCGTTGGTGGGGCCGAGGAAGCGCTTGCGCTGATCCAGACACGCAAGCTCCAGACTAAAGCCGCGACTGGTATCTACGGTACTATGAAAGAGGAGATGTACTCCCGTGTCTTGAACGGCTTGGATGATCATGCTGGAAATTTGCAGTGGCGGGAGAATGTTGAAGACAAGAACCTTGCTGTCGAGAAAAGAGGATTGGAGGATGTACAACAGTTTGAGAAGAATGGGAAAGCCAAGCTTTGAGTGGGTGGAATTTGAAGATTTTTGGATTCCTTTGTTGATATCATACGAAAGTTTGTTCATACTATATCTAGGGTTAGTTCAACCATTTAGACCAATAACTCGACGTATTCTTTCTGTGCTATGTCCCCGAAGAAGCTAGACTAGAGTAGCTGAATTGTTTCATAGAGGGAAAAAATACAGCGTGTTTTACCACTAGACCACAAAAAGGCCAAGGTGATTATATGGGGCCTAGAGGCGCCATATCTGACGTTTGGCATTTAGGTTTATCAAATATTCTAGGCCAGTTGGAGCAAAAGACATGATCTGCATTCACCGGAGAAGATCTGTTGGACGCAAACCATTGTCCGTGTATCTGAATTAAAAAGGACTACTTCCAAGGAGATCCATCAATCTGCATGCAATATAGCTTTTCGACTTGATTTGGACCACACAGTGAACATAATTCCGTACGTCGTAAATGGCCAACATGAAGCTACTAGCAAAACCATGTACTCACGCTCATCTTGCAACTTTCATGTTGTAATCACCAATGCCTCAAACTATAACAGTTAAATGCATATGACCTGAATATTGCTGTCGATCTAAACTTTAGATCCTGCCAGATACAATACTGCACAGGTTGTTCTATCATAATCACTGCACGATACCCTGAGATTTCGATCACCGAATCTTGAATCCGGGACTATTTTGCCTCATCTAAGGACTGATTGGTTTCTCAGATATGACAATGTACTTGTTGGATGATCCCATCTCCCATTATTCGCTTGCAGACTGAGTGGATTGCTTGCCAGACATCAGGGTATAAATACCCTGCTTTTTCCTAAATTGTCCTCTTCCTCCCCTTCGCTAGTAGACTACCAATAGGTCTACTAGGCAAATAACTCTGTGCCTTGTCATTTCAACTACAATATTTTCTAAAATTCCTATAAATGAATATATCCTGACTGTCCTATATACAGACATATCCAATCCAGCTCGAAAGTGAAACCTTAGTTCTCTGAAATTCTATTGGAGTCTAGAGTGTCCTTCCTGTCAGTATAAATATGGTTATTGCTTCTTGTAGTCGAGAGAAATCAAATCAAAGTGCGATTGACAATGCGATCAACACAGGAAATATCGTCAACCGCTCTTCAATATAGACATCTGCCGTTTTTTATCACAATTCCGTCCCTCGCGATCAACTTTTGAAAGGTTTCATATCATTTTCAGCATTGCTTGACATTGTCATGGTTTCAAAATGCTCTGATCTTCTTCGAAACAGACAAGAAACAGGCCATCGACCCTGCCTCTGAGTGAGGCTTCCTCCAGTCTTTTTTTCACCTACCACTGATATACGGAACACCGCCATCCGATATATATAAATCTTTGTCTTCCTTTCCTTCCTTTCCTCCTCACCTTAACCCACCAAGCCTAAGATTTCTATATCCACATACAAAGATAAACCATCCCCAGCGTAGTAAACACACTGATTGAGGATATGATATGTTGTGGTGTGCGTGGATTTGCTGACCGTGCCACCATAGAAGACCATGCTCGCATACGGCCAGAGCTACTGGGAATCCCTAGCTCGCATGCCTCACGAATATGGCCAAATCTGCGTAGGCCTTGATTCCGGCCGGCTCGATGCTCCCTTCGCGCGATCCTTCACAGAACTTGTCATGTCACTGGGCCTCGGTACTGCGCTATCGTTCCAAGAGAAGCAGCGGACTTTCCTCGGTCGTGTGTGTGACGTTATCGAATACGACAAGCTCTACAAGTCTGCTAGAACCACATGGAGGTGTGGCGCTCCTGATATTGAGCGAGATGTTTGCCCCTGACTTTTCTTCAGGTAGGTAGGATAATGAGATCATCCCTTACTGGGGACTAAACTCACAATGTTACGTTTGTCTCGCCTTGTTGTTCTTCACAAAATGACTGAAGGGAGAGCCGTCCACATAGCCCCTGTACAGCCAGCAACGTGGCGAGGATGCACCTACCATCACCCTGGCCCCAACACGCTCTGAGATTCCCCTCAACGAGCGCGTCTTACCCTCAAAAACCATGGTTTCATTCTCGCTCCCTGGCGTACGATACTACTTCCGCGCCATCTCTCCGAAGTCCTTTACTGACTCCGATAACCTAGATTCGCCTCGACCAGCAGCCCGTTAACGCAGCTGGTGAGAATGGTATCCTCTCAGTATGTAAGTCAGGGTATCCTAAAGCGGAAGCGCGAGCTACAGCAAATCCCACCGTCGTGGTAGAGCCAGGGATCGCTGAGAGTCAATACACGGACCAGACCTCGGGTCCCTCCCTCTTCGATCGAATCGAAATCCCGGAAGCTCCCGAGACCAACGTCTCCAGCGACGGCAAAACAAAGTGCAAGTGTGCCCAAGAAGCTCGCATGCGTTTTTGAAACGCAATTGAAGAAGGCGCTAAAGTCCGTCGAAAACGTCTTCGGGAGCCGTAAAAGCCCAAGGACTCTCTGTTTGGTCATTTGCTTTCTTTTTCTCGTCCGAGGAAGACAGTGAGACTATTCCTCGTCAGGGACCAGCATAGGATCTTTTATATGTATTCCCTCCTTTTTCATCGGGAAGCGGTCGAAGCTCACCCTTCCCTACGGTCGGTCTTCTTCGAACTCTGGACGTGGATCTTTCAATGCTCTATTCGACGCCATTCCTAACATATTTGTAGAGAGTTCCCTAAGTAAAGTAAGACCTTATGGGCCTGGTATGATTAAGAGACCCTTATGTAGATTTTACACAGAACTTCCCAGCGCTTTTTAAAGTTGTATAGTTGCCATGTGGGTTGCAGATCAAATACCCCGGGCATTACAATGATATTTCCCTATCCAAGTTCTTAACAAAATGGCAAGACTAGACACTTCCCAATTAAGCTGCAGTGCTTCAAGAATATTACGATTTTTTTTTCGGAATGGTCTCAGACAGCCTCCCTCTGTGGTAGTTGAAAGTGGCCGATTTCAAGACCTTGTGAAAGAAGACATGCAAACTCTCGATGTTTTGTCCTGTTAACTACTATGCTGGGGCTATTTTGTCTTTTTGGTAGGGGATTATCATGGAAGGTCAGCAGTCTAATCAGGCTCTTCTCGTGAAGAACCTGACATGATTTATTCGCGGGGTCCCGGTTGGGTTTGGTGTGGTGGACTTGATTTTGTGAGTCAGTACTAGTACTGGGCCTACTGCCTACTAAAGTATTTGTCCAAGTGCAAAGATATTTTTATAAATACTTCAAATTCAAAGTCCAATTTCTCATGCTTATTGCAAGATCACTACATCATATATTTTCCTCTCCTGTTTCCCCGTTGCAACCACGAACATCCACAGCCTTTCAACAACGCTACCCACACATCCAGCAATGACTTCAAATAGCTACAGGGCCATTCGAGCCAAACAAACCCCAAATACAATCACGGTGTACCAAGCGTATTCGCCTCAGATAGCCGAGCCAGCAATCAAAGCCCAAACGTTTGTCCCTCCATTTTCACGGGAGAGAATGACCTGGATCAAGCCCTCTTTCCTATGGATGGCGTACCGATCAGGCTGGGCAACGAAGACCCGGCAGGAGCGTGTCCTGGCGATAGAGATTACTCTCGAGGGATTCGAATGGGCACTGCGCCATTCCTGTTTGAGTCACTATACGCCTGATGAGGAGACAAGCCAGGTGGAATGGCGAAAGAAACTGCACGCTAGTCCAGTGCGTGTCCAGTGGGATCCGGAGCGGGATCTTGTACTGCAGTCTTTGGATTACCGGAGTATTCAGATTGGGTTGAGTGGGGAGGCTGTTGGGAGATATCTTGATGAGTGGATTGTTTCCATTACGGATGTGACTGCTACTATGAGGCAGATCGATGGATATCTCAAGGATGGCAATGTTGATGCTGCCAGGGATTTTGTGCCTGAAGAGACTTCGTATGTTTTACCTGAAGATTTGCAGAAGCATCTGAGGATGAGATAAGTCATATTGTTCCCTCTGTCATCTGTGTCTGTCAATGGTCAGCTCCAAGCTTGGACAAATATCTTCCCTCGTATTTTGTAATAGAGTCCTAGAGAACATTGGAAATTTACCATCTTGCTTTTCCCATTTTCTATAAGATTAGTTTATGGGCAAGAGGGCATGGAAAAGAAATTGATATTGTATTTGCCAATACGTCCTCGTGGCATAGTTTACAGTATGTGTATATTGACACTTGTGTTCCAAAGGACTCTGTGCCAGGGTCTAAAGAGATCATAACAAATAACTTTGAACACATAGATGATGTATCCTTCCTTTCCGTCTTTTTCTATCAGTATAATGCGCAAAACACAGCCAAACCACCCAAAAAGCAATAGTAAATAATCAAGGAAACATAAGTCCAGCTCTGTTCATAAGTAGTAAAGTACATAACTTCGTAAAAGTCCATAATCCCATAATAATCAAAGCCCCTGTGCAGGCTCAAGTCTTCTTTGCCTTGCTGGGACGGCCGAGTTTCGGGGGTCCTTCCAACTGATCTACCAGCGGCCGATAGGGCGACGCCAAGATATGCTCCGGCGCGCGCCCTCGTCCCGGCTCCCCAGAGCTCGGTCGATGTAATTGCTCTTCGTGCATGCGATCAAGCGGTTCTCCCACAACCTGGTACTTGGCCCAGTTGATTGGAGGCATACGGACGATATTCTGGGGAACGGGGATATGGCCGAAATGCGAAGCTGGCGAGCCGTCTGGATTCGTGCGTGTTGATCCTTCTTCATTATCTTCATCGTCCCCCGCATCGTCCTCGGAAAACTGAATCACAGCACCATGGTCCTCAGTCTTCAACCGACCTGCTGCCAGCTCGCGCGCAAAGGCCTCTGGATCAGCAGCGGCGGCCTCTTTCATGCGATCTAAAGCCTGGATGTCGCGTAAACTTTGCTGCTTCTGCATTTGCAGGATCGAGATGGCGGAACGGAGCGCGATGGCATCTGGATTCTCGCTCTCGGAGATAGGGACAGGGGGCGGTCGGGGCTTGAAGACGGGTGGATTGGCCGGAGGAGGCGGGGTGTGTGAATAGTTGGCATATGTCTGTGCAGGGAGGTGTGAGGTTGGAGAGGGAGATGCAGGTGGCGGTACGATTGATGGCTCATTGGAGGCGACAGGCGCGAGATGGGCAAACACGGGTGTCACCGGGGAATAAGGTGGACGAGGTGGAGTTCCCGGCTCTGGGATTGAGGGCTGATCCCCTTGTTGCTGCATGATGAGGTTCGACAGAGTTGAAGATCAAGCAAGTTGGAGCCAAGTGGGGGGACAATCGAGGTCTTTGCGGTGATAAGGGTTATGACGACAGCGGTGCCTGGATTTGCCGCAATCACATGTGTGATGGCTTCGATCAAAACAAAGAATGTGTTGTAAAGGAGATTTTCCTATTTCAGATCTCAAAGATGAAGAAAAGACTGACGTGCAGGAATTAGTTTGCCATCGGATAAAGACGAGGGCATCGGCTAGGCACCACTCATTTACGAAGAGGACCAATTCTCCTAGAATACGGCTATTTGAAACACAATATTGATTGCGATTTACACTACAGAATGTAAAATATACAACTAAGTCTTTCAAGTGAACTAGAAGTGAACTGTCATCTTGCTGGAGAAGGAAACACAGTTGACCGCCTCATGGTGCGCCCTCACCGCCCGGAAAAATCTATGAAACATCAGACCACTCGCTGTTGAACCCATTCCTCTACAAACCTCAAAATGAAGCGCAAGACAGATGCAAGGGCCTCCCTCGATGGCAATGCCATGCCCCAATCCAAGAAACGGGCCCTCTCCAGCGAGGAGGCTGCTGCCCGCTTCCGCGACGGACTATTCGACGCCGCGGAGCAGCAGAAGTACACCAGCGAATACGCCAACTCTTCTCCGTATGTATACACATGGAAATAGTCCCATGACAACAGGCTGATATGTGTGGATCTCTAGCTACCTTCACGGTGTCATTCACCCTCTGATCGAGCCCACTCTCCTCCGCTCCGTCCGCAATGAGATCGAAACACAAGTGTCCTTCACCGAGAAGGAAACAGACATCTACAAGATCTTCCAGTCTGGCGATCTCGCCAACCTCGATGGATTGGATGACTCCTCCCTCTCGAAGCTGCCGTCAGTGCTGAAGCTGCGCGACGCAATGTACTCGGCACGGTTCCGCGAGTATCTATCCTCCGTGACTGGCTCCGGCAAGCTGAGCGGGCAAAAGACCGACATGGCCATCAACGTTTACACCGAGGGCTGTCACCTCCTGTGCCACGACGATGTCATTGGCAGCCGCCGGCTCAGCTACATCCTCTACCTGACCGACCCCGACACACCCTGGAAACCCGAGTGGGGCGGTGCCCTGCGCCTGTTCCCAACAACTACTGAGAAGGACGCCAAAGGCGAGGACGTCAAGATCCCCAGCCCAGATTACAGCCTCTCCATCCCTCCGGCCTTCAACCAGTTGAGCTTCTTCACTGTCCAGCCGGGCGAGAGCTTCCACGATGTCGAGGAAGTGTACCACCCACGCGACGACGAAGACAAGACCAAGAAGCGCGTGCGCATGGCGATCAGCGGCTGGTTCCACATCCCCCAAGAAGGCGAGGATGGATACGAGGAAGGACTGGAAGAGAAGCTCGCCGAGCGCAGCAGTCTCGCGCAGCTGCAGGGCCGCGGCGATATCTACGACCTGCCGCAGCCGCAGCCAGTGTCCTGGGAAGAGCCCGAAGTCGAAGGCAAGGGCAAGGGCAAAGTGGAAGAGCAGACTGAGGGCGAGTTCACAGAGAACGATCTAGCCTTCCTTCTTCAGTACATTGCGCCTTCGTACCTGACGCCCGATATCGCTGAGGAGATGTCCGACGCGTTCTCCGCCGAGTCCTCGCTCAGCCTAGAGCGGTTCCTGAGTGATAAGTTTGGTTCGCGCGTGAGCGCGTACATCGAGGAGCAGGAGAGACAGCCTCTTCCTGCTACTGCGGATGAGATCCAGACGCAGCGCGGGTGGACAGTTGCTCGTCCTCCACACAAGCATCGCTATCTGTACCAGCACGCTTCTGGCGAGAAGGATTCCGAGAACCCAATTCAGGAGTTGTTGAACGTGCTGTTCCCATCGCAGCCATTCCGGAAATGGCTTGGGCTTATTACTGGTGTGGACCACCTCACCAGCCACGATTTGCTTGCGAGACGGTTCCGTCGTGGTGCGGACTATACTCTTGCTAGTGCATACGAAGGCGAGGAGCCTCGACTCGAGTTCACACTCTGTCTTACCCCGACCTCGGGGTGGGAGAAGCAGGACGAAGAAGATGAGGATGAGGATGAGGACGAGGATGAAGAAGCCAACGGCTCATCTACCAAGGCATCCAAGCCGAAGGAGAAGACAAATGACGACGCTGTAGAAGGTCCTGCTCTGGGCGGATACGAGATCTACATGGCCGGTGATGATGAGGATGATGATGAGGAGGATGCCGAGAACGCTGACCAAGTCCTGGGTCGGAAGAAGACCAAGGCCGATCCGGCTATCTACCGGTCTGCGGGTGCAGATGAGGATGATGGTATTCTGTTCAGCACACAGGCTGGATGGAACCGGCTCAGCATTGTGCTGCGGGATAGTGGCACTCTCAAGTTCGTCAAGTATGTCAGTGCTGCGGCCAAGGGTGATCGGTGGGATATCACTGGTGATATTGGTGTTGAGTTTGAGGAAGAAGATGATGATGATGAAGATGAAGATGGTGATGAGGATGAGGATGAGGATGAAGAGTAAATCATAATCATTATGACAGCATGAGTGCAGTGCATAGGTTTTAAAAAAGACTGTAGATATTATATATGGCGCATATACGACTTGAATTGACTTGATGATATATTACTTGTTTTTGATCCTGATTATACCTGGAGATGTTGATATGGACATTTATATCAGGCACTCTGTCTTTGTATATGCATCCTCGCATCGGCCCTTTCGAATTGGCCATTACCAAGGTGGTTTTCCCTTGTGAGCTCTTCCTCTGAATCATCACCTCTATTCCTCTTCACAATCTTAAAGATCAGAGGACCATTCTCACCATCTTCCAATTCAAGTTGGGTGTCTACCCAGTCGGGGTATTTCTGCCTATTTATTAGCTGCTGAAGCAAGAGAAGCCAGCAATTAGTGCCCAGGTGAGCATAAACGAGCAACAGAAACGGTAGCTTGGGTTTGCTCTTTCCCCCCGGCCTTGAGAGTTAGCTCTGGGGCACTGACTAACCTTCGAGTAGGCAAATAGTATAAGCCTCTTGATCACCTGCGACACGCTCACACAGCCAATGATGAAGGGAATAAGCTGTCCCGTCGTCCTGATGTCGTTAACGCCGTAGATGTTGTTCCAGTGGATTGTGTACTCAATGCTAGCGATAAACCACGCGATGCTTAAGATGACGTAGAAATTCCAGAAGGAACAGAAAGTCCGATGATGGAATCTATTTTACAAAAATTAGGAGCCATTTTCAAAGAATAGGAGTCATATAATCGTGTCACGAACTTGGCTTTTTTCCAACCTGACATCAACTCCACACCATGCATAGATGTGTCCGTCTCATTCTTTGTCACTTTCCCAGTCCCTAGTGACACACAGACCTTGATCACATCGGAAAATCGGATTGCATCCGCTTTGGGTGTGGCTAGGAACTCGAGTACGTTCGTGAGTGTTATGAATGGGAAGTAAAATGGTCCCCATATAGGCAATTGCACCAAACATGGGAAGGAGATTCCTCGCTTTTCTAGCAGTGCGTTGATTCTGCTAAGTGCTGAATGAAAAGCTTGTGGTGCGGCTGGGTCAAAAAAATAAATGATATCGCGGTATAGAAAAAGGCAAGCGTACCAGAAAAGCTGTGCCGTTAGATTGCAGAGGAGTAGAGTCGCAGGAAAGACGGCAGTAGCTATAATAACAGCCGCAAAGCGGCACAGGGTAATAACAGGGCCGGTTAGTTGTTGCTTGGAGAGGAGGAAGATGTAGGGAGGCCCGCAGCCTTCTCTAGGTGGTTGCTGTGCACCACTACCAGAATTGTCAAACCAGAATGCTAGGTTGTACGCGGCGACTACAGCGGCCGTGCCCGTTCTCCAAGTCACCCCTGACCAGGAGAGTCCAGGGGGCTTCAAGGCCGACAATATGTTGAGGAACGCCATGGGGAGCAGGAACGTAATCATCCCCCATTGGGCCAAATCTCTCCACGGCTCCCTGAGCAGGCGGCCTAGCCTAGCCTTTTCAAGAGCCCAAACTGACTTGAGCACGGCGGTTGTCGTTGTCTCCAGCTTAGCAAGCCGATCAGGGCTCATGAGCCACAAACGCACGCCCAACGTGCTGAGCACTGTGATGAAGGAGCCAAGCATGAACTGCAACATGATATGTATTTCGACGGCCGCCGTCCCAAACTGTGCTGCGATGATAGTTGCCACCATTATAGCGAAGACAGAAACCGAGTTGGTGTCGTAGATGGATTGAGCCGAGTGGGGGTCTAGAAGCAGGCTGATCCATGCTGAGATCCATTGTAGATACACCCCAAGACGAATTCCAAGACCGTATAAGTCGGCATTGCCTTCAAATGGTGCGCAGGTGTCCATTCCAACAGTGATGCGTCGAAGACATCAAAATCGGATGATAGTCCGTCGAAATGGGAAGTTAGTGTCTTAGAGTAATATTCTAGGGCTTCAAGCTTGACGCTGAAGAGATAAACAGGTCGAAGCGACCGGTCGGAAGACAACGTAGTTGGGTGTGAGATAAATGGATTGACCATGCCAAGCGTACCGACAGCACTGCCCAGTGGTGTTAGTACGCTTAGGATAGTCTAGAATCTTCTGGGCCATAGTAAGATGATGGACTGCGCCTTGTATTTTTAGTATGGACGATCTTTTCATCTGAATCCATTTCTCTTGGATATATTACATCCCAGTAGACAGAATGCCCTCGGGATAATAGCGGAATATCGTCCAATAGAGCGAATCAATATGTTAAACCGTTAGAAACCATGCTGCACTGTCGTTAGACCAATGTTACCACAAATATATATTCGCTTGCCAACCAATCCAGTCAGTTTAACATTCGATCTACAACCAGACTACAATATACTCAAAACAAATCTCCGCACTACCCTAGCAACGAGGTCTAATCTAAATCCCTAATCCTACAACCGCTGACATCATTCACAGCGGCAATTCAAACCCATAAGCGGGACGATCCCGAGAGCCGGCGCGAGCTGAAACAAGCACATGGCGGGATGAATGGACCTCGGGAGGCGAATTGATCTAAGACACAGCAAGGAAGGAGTAGCTGGGTATTGTTTACTAACTACCAACGACTATTTCCAAGTAGGTCAGATGCAGAAAAAAAATATATTGATACAGCCAGCCTTGGAAGTGGGGGAAGATCATTCAACGAAAAAAATGTAAATCCCAAAGCGAACCAAATATGTACACAAGTGGAGGAGTTCAGCTACAACATTATGTCGTAGTGCACATGCACGATGCATGTTTGTGCTTCGTACCTCATTAGATTTATAGGGCAAGAGCTACACATGGCGCAGAACAGCTCCACATATCCAGCAAGGTAACCCAGGAAGCGGCTCACGATTCCCGTTGAAATTCTTGAGCTGCAAGACAAAATATGTTTGGGACCGTTACTCTAACCATTGCCTGTATTGAGTTTACCCCTTCCTAACATGGTCTTTTGACAGACACGCGGCAACATGTAAACCGAGAACACGAAATCCCCAGTGGCGTTGTGGCAGGCAAGGGATGTGCCACGATGGAAGAAAGGGAGGGAGATCGTGGAATGATCTGCCAATCATACCTGGGTATCTGGGATGGGTATGGAGTACATATTGTACTATGTAGGATCATCTAGGCATTGGTTGGACTGCTTGAGGCTTCTGATTCATCGTAAGCAGCGTGAATTATTTTCATGATTCGGTCTGATTTGGTGATTAGCGGAGGCAGCGGTAGCCTTGCTGGTCGAGTTTTAATTTGCATTGCGCCGGACGGTTCGTCGATCATTTCCTACAGCAGTAGATATACTCCGTTGCAGGGAGTAGCATATTCCAGATTAGTGAAATCGTCATTAACACGTTTAGCCCATACCGGTAATACTAGGTATGGGTTGTAAGACCAGAATTTAAAATTAGAAGCTTGTAGTCGGCATTCCCGAGCCCCAACAATGGTTCTTAATGCTCTTATCATAACATTCAGCAAAATGGAACCCCAAACCCAAACGCTTCTGCACTATGCTCTCCTAACGATACAAGGGACTACCGGAACACTACAAATCAAGGTGCAGACGACATTACTCAAATCAGAATCCCACTATTATTTAACGATACGGGGAATTTTTATGTATAAAACGGAGTTCTGACCTACTCACATCTCCACCTACCCCACTCAAGGACGATGTAACTTTTCATCGTTTCTCCAACCTCGTCATAAGTCGTGTTCGACGCACCCTTCGAGCCGGTTTCGAACGTATTCATAGTAGATGGAGGGGGTTCTGCAAGAATCATTGACTAGTTCAAACTAGATGCTGCATTTATCGTAGCTGGCGCTAGTCTTTTAACGGGCATCAATCGAGTTTTAAGGCGTCATGGAAGTGGGGATGAAACATGTAATTTTCGTAGGACCTGGCAGATAAAAGAGAATTTAAGCTTGGCCTGAACTTCTATATGGATCAGCATAACGCCAGACATGGGTTCATCCTCTCAGATCTTGAGCTTGTCACCGCCAAACGTCTGGATAGGCATGGCCGTTTAGCTGTTACTACGCTTATCCTATAGAAAAGTGGGGGTAGGGGTCGCGTCTCGGTGTTACTAGGATTATGGTACCTCGGAATGCTGGCGGTAGAAGATAATCACTAGGCTCTAGATTAATAATACTCCGAACTCTGCCTCGTCCACATTGTTGATAACACACGCTGTCAATCTCCCCTGAATCTCTCATTTATATACCTGGCCTCTTTACTACACAGACTGTTTAGTAAGCGTACTATAGCCGGTAAAGGGCATCCCATCTCAAATGCGATTCAAGTCTCTGCTTATTCAGCCAAAATGAATATGGCATCGAATAGTGCCTTGAGATCCAAACCCATTAATAGAATCATAATGAGTATAGGAGTCCCCGTGGTGGATGCGGTAAAAGAAAGTGGGAAGGGGCTCCATGGTGGTGTTGACCTACACGTCTCTGGTTAAAAACGAGAGGATTGGGAACATCCCCACGAGGCACCCGCGGGGATTGACATAACCATACTAACTGAGGTGTGATCTTACGGGAAACAGTCTCTTTACCTACCACCATAATATCTACCCGGAGAATATGCTTGTTATGTCTGGTGATAGGATTGGATGGATCTACTTCGATGTTGCGACAACTTTTAGCGACATGGGTCCCTGTGAGAGGGTATATTGCGAATATGAAACCGAATTTGTCAAAAATTTTGGAAAGCTTCTAGTTTGTCTATCTTCCTTGCGTTAGGTATCACTATCTAACAATATAACCCCCAGAGCGAGGACTAGGCACAGTGCCTTCCCCCTAACACTAAATAGTATTAATCTGAGGAACTCAAGGATAAAGCAAACTGGCACGATGTTGATCACGAGAGGGATATTACACATATCCTAGCTTATGCTCCTTATCGCACCCACCCCGCTGTCTAGAACGACGCCCACTCATACTTTCTCTATCGTTAATAGTGAATATGTTCTTACTGCTTATCGTGAGTACAATTATCTTGCTGCCAGGGATCGAGGTTTCGCGCCATTTTGCAACGGTTTAGATCGGTAAAAATACATAGCATTACACCTCTTACACGATTGGATTTTACAGTTCAAAACCGAAACACGATCTAGCGTACAGAGTAACCATATCTGGATTTAGAGTATCATGCGATTAGGGTTTGAAAGATCGCCTCAGTGTTCAAGGAATAGAGGTAGTGTCGGGCGCTACTGTACTCTGATCGATTATTATGCTAATATATATTCCAGGCTGTGGGCAATGCTAGTCCGACTTAGCGCTTTGGCATCTCAACTTGACTGCAAAGCACTGAACATTAGACCACACCAATGAACTACTCAGAGTAAGCGCTGTATTTAGAATAAACTTAGTGACAATGAACGAGAAAGCGATGAGGGCAGGAAAACTGAGATGAACCATACTGTGGTTTCTCTTCACCTCACTATCACTAAATTCATACCATCACTTCTACCATCGCAACACTACTATAATAATCCGATATATCAACAGCAGAGTAAAACCCTGGCTCGACATAGACGTACCACAACTCACCTTTGAAGTCAACGGCCTCTACATCATCTCATTTGACCGCGGCGACGAGGGCTACACATTTCATCGGCACCTCTACCTACACCAGAGTCCAACATCAGCCTCAATCTATCATCTACTAGACGATGTTGATCCAACCATCTGGCGCTTCAAACATTGACCCGACCAGAACGTCATCTATGATTCCTCACTCCTCGCAGCCGTGGAGATAGGAGTGTTGAATCCTACCCTCCACGTGGCTTTTCTTGAATTTCTTCATCAAATCCCAATCGTCGATTCAGTCCGATTCTGCGAGAGTATGACTTGCCGGGTGTAGCTCCAAGAGGCTCTGTTTGCGTTGGATGACGAAGGATATATCATATTCACTCGGAATGTAGATGATATCGAAGCCGAAGTGAGTAACCTCGCGCTCCAGAAGAGTTTAAGGAGGCTGGCGGTTGTGAAGAGTGGTGGGAGCCAGGGGTGAGATTCCAGGTGTCATCTGGAAGATTCAAGTGGGGATTATGGCGATATCATGTGCAAGGAGGGTGAGGGGAGGGCATGGGTCATTTTATACGGATCAGACGAGGTGGGCTACATTGGACGGGTACCAATTCCGAACGGGAAGCTATTTTGGTGTTATTTCACTGATGAGTGGAGCTAGAAACAATATGTCAAGGCCGAGCGTCAATATTGTTTCAGTAGGGTATCTATGCCTAGTACCCAGGTGGGTACAAAATAGTTGTGCTACGGAGGTGGTTGGGCAGGACGCGGATGCGAGTTACGGGTGGGACGGGACGTTTCTGGTCTCAGTTGGATATGGACGATAATTGATTACTGTATCTGTGCTCACATTCTATGTAAATCCTGGTATGGTCTCTCCCAACCTTTTCTGCATGTAACCTCTAAGCTTTGTCCGTGCGCTCCCCAGCTTCGGGGAACGGAGCCGGTGCGAGGATCGTCGGTAGGGAAGTTTGGGAAGGTACTCTGTCTAGTACTCCGTACATATGCAAATAGGCAGGTATGTGAAATGTACGGAGCACAATCTACATTGTTTTGTATAGTGTATATGTATAGCCAAGTAAGAGGTAGTAGTGCAGATGTATAGAGGCACGGGATCGAATTACATGTTGGAACCCTTTTCCGAGGACTATGGAGACACTATTCAAATGAAGTCATAGTCCAGGCCATTATTTACATGAAGGGGCTATCGCCATGCGAGGACTAGGAGCTGGAATTGGAATTGGAGGCAAAAGGGGAAAAAAAAAGAGAAAAATTACCCCCCTGGACGGTACGACCCGTGTGTCAAGGCAGACTATTGGGAAAGGGCAGCAAGGTACGGCCCATGACCACGACCTGCCTCAATGGCGTGGATGCAGGAATGGGCAAAGGCCACGGTATTGCCATGGGCTCCGAGCAGATGGGAGAGCATGGAGGATTGCCATGAGCCATGAGAGAAAGGAGGCATTAGTCTGCACCACGCACTATTGACATAGCGAACTCTAAGCTTGTATCCCTTGATCGAGATAGGCCAGGTTGGCGAGGGTGTACAGCGTTGTAGAGATAGAGTCGTACTCAGAATTCCCGTTGCCGATGGACCTTTCCTCCCCCGAGGGACCAACTGTTTGGCAGAGATTTGAGTCTCGGATAAGCTGCCTAGATGTGTCCTTTTCGTCAAGTATGAAGAAGTGCTACCGTGTCAGAAGTTCGAAAAATGTGCCGTAGATCGGGTGGCGATCTTCGAGACATTCTGCAAGGCGACGATGGTGCCATGTGGCATGCTAGAAGAGGAAGATGGTGGACAGTAGTACTTGACGTGCATATGTTTTTATTGAATGCTGCCTAAATGATTTTCTCAGCCACAGCGTGGCGGTGCTCAACTTGGGCACGGATTTGATTTGATTTGATTTGATTTAGTTGTATTTTATATCAATTTACACGTTACGAACGACCGAGCTAGATCTATTTCTGGACGAACACCCGATCAAACGGAGATCAACTCGATACATCAACAGCCTTTCTAGGCCGGTTTCGCGTAGATACCCGGATAAATACCCCATGTCTCAAATATTCTCCCAGGGGAGATTTAAGATTAAATATTGTATAGCATACTTAGTCGTACCTAGATCCAGACTCAGAACCAAATAAGCTTGGTCATCTTCGCCAAGTCTCGAGGTCACACTGGGCTATTCGGAACCAAGATTTTACCCCCCGTCGAGTGAAAATAGCCGCGCGACATTAGTCTCATGTAACCCCTCTGACAGGTCAACTGATGATTTGAGCGGCAGGGACGGGTAGTTGCATGGTATGAAGCTCAAGCTCATGGAAGCGTGGGTGATCTGTGACACACTTGCTGCTTGTGTCCGAGGTGTTACAGAAGGGAGTGGATCATGTTGATATACGGGGATAAATTATTTAGAATTATTTAGAATTATAGGAATTATAGGAATTATGGGATATAAAAATAATAAGTATGTGGACCTTCGGTGAGTAAGTCTAAAATGCCATGTGTATCACTGAAGAAACAATAATCGCATGGAGGACAAGGATTATCGTACTTTGCGAAGCAAACAGTGTTTGCCGATCAACCCTTCAGCCATGTGTCCAACGTCAATTTCCTTTACCGTACTCCGTACAGTAATCTCCCAAACGGGAGTGTGCAGTTAGCCCCGGTCGCGAATGCAGCTTGACTGGATGGAAAGAGAAGGAGACTCAGGGACTGCAAGGGAGAAAGCCACGTGAAGGGGGTGTATTGTAACAATAGTATTCTGTATAAAATAAAACGTGTTCTCCTTACTTTTCCTAGGGATCCTTTGGAATGTTCCACTTGGTTTGAATACATGAAGTAGATAAGTAGTTAGAGTAGTTAGGCGTAAATACAAAGAGCAATATGTAGATAGAGAGTAATAGTAGATTAATGTAATAGGAAGTATATATATAGCCTTACTCTCCAGGGTCCTCGTGGCACAGTTGCAGTAGAGACTTGGCAGTAATACCAGTACTCCGTACATTCTTTGAATTTATGAATTTATGAATCTATGTATTTATGAATTTACATATTCATTTATTTCGGTATTTATTTTGATCTATTTTGATATATTATTTTATTTTATTTTGTTAATTTATCATTTAATTCCTAAGAAAGGGGATGCCAAAAAAGAAGGTTAAAAAAAAAAAAAAAAGAGTTTCAAAGACTCGAGACGTTTCGAGTCTCCAATTTTCTAGGAACTTCTTTAACTCCTGTCTACTTCAACTTCCTACTCTTAACTTATAATATTTCGGTAAGCTGGATCTCTGTCTCCTCTTTATGTTTTGATGTCTGACCCTCTAGCCTTTTCCTTTATCTTGCGCCAACTTTACACCCTCGCAAAAAACGGTTTCATGGTGAATCGTTTCTCGAATTGATCTCCTACTCTCGGCTTGGAATATGCGATAGTGTGGGAAAAAAAAAGAGAAAGAGAACGGGTTGATATTCGATTCTTCACTGTTCCCCCGCCTGATTCAGACTCTCCCACCATGGATCCTTCTGTCGCACACCGGCCATGGGAGGCCGTCTCAGGGCCTCAGAGCTCTATAGGCTCAACGCAAACCCTCCCCTCCATCTCGACCCTCACTGCGAATATGCCTACCGGTACCCCCTCGGAGAAATCCCCCGGGAATGGCTCTCTGAACACGATTGAGCGTGACTCGGGGAATTGGTCAATGCCGCAAAGCACAAGTAGGAGACCCTCACCCGGTATGGATTGGGAGCGGCGCGGTGCTGACCATGTAGGATCGTCCACCTACTCCACGGCGACCAATGGCACCGGCAACAATTATCCTTCCCTCGGCTTCATATCCGCGTCGCAACCCTCTCCAAACCGCGGACACCCGGCGGTCGACCGCTCCCCTTACCCCCACGACCAATCGACCACCCCTTCCTCCGCGGGCACTCAACAACCCTCTCCAAATTTCAACCAGCCAAACTCCACACTCCCCTCCATCAACCAGAACTATGAAGCCCCCTCCCAACGAGCAAGTGTGGCAGAGACTGAATCCCGGCGCAGCAGTGTCGATAGTCGCATGAACCAAGGAATCAGTTCTCTCGCCATCAACCCAGCCTCGCCCTACCACAGCACCAATGCCTCCCAATCCTCGATCGTCTCAAGTCTACAAAGGGAACGAGGGATTCCAACCGACATGAATTCATACCGGGGACCTCGCTACTCGGGAGGCAGCCAGCCCCTCTCTCCGCTGGGCCCCCGCGCAACCGACCAACAGCGGAGTTTCGCAGCCGGTCGCACGGCTCCGGCCATTTCTTCGAATCCTCGGTCGGAAATTTACAATGCTGAAGCACCTACCGCGGGTATGGCGTATGCCTTCCCCGACCCGGACATGGCGCGCTCAAGCTCCGTCTCTTCGAAGGGAGAGTCCAACCCTCCGTTCTCCCGAAAGGGCAGCATGGCGGAGTCTATGAACAGCATGTACTCGGAACGAATGCCACGAGGACAACACGGTAAGACGATCCAGCCAAAACACATACTGCACGCGCAATACTAACAAGTCTCCCAGATCTACCCCAAAATGTACACCACCACCACTCCCTCCAACACAAAGCCGTGCGAGAGTTGATCGGCGAAGAAGACGGACCGCCGGGCAGCACACCGTACAGCCGCACGCCCGAACTGCGTGTGACGCACAAACTAGCCGAGCGCAAACGGCGCAGCGAAATGAAAGACTGTTTCGAAGCGCTCCGGCTGCGTCTACCACCGGGCCAAACCAACAAATCCAGCAAATGGGAAACGCTCACCCGCGCAATTGATTATATAGCGATGTTGGAGAAAACCGTTGCGCAATCGCAGCGCGAGCGCGCCGCCATGCAGTCCGAGATGGATGAGATGCGCGCTCAGCTCAACCAAGCTAATGGTGCCTCCCGGCCGCCATCAATCTTCGAACACCACCAAATGAACAACCAGGGCAATGGCCAGGGCCCTGTCTTCGGTGGGTTCAGCAATGGCGTGACTCAGGAGCAGCCGCGGACGTTACCGCCCCTTATGAATGGCTCTAGTGCACCTATGCAGGGCATTGAGTATGAGCGGCGGTAGCGGGAAGTTGAGGAAAGCTGAAGTTGTGTATGAGATATGACTAGTCACGCAAAACCTATCCACGACTTTGATTTTGACTTTCTCTTGGTATCATATATCCCTTTATAGATGCGATCCCCGACTTATTGGGATTGGTTTATACTGATTTTTCCTTTTCTTTATGGAGTGGTCTCTCTGTTTTTCATATTTTGTTATTCATACCCGCAATTGCTTTGCTTTTTTTTGTTTCTATTAGGGCCACTCCACATATGATAGGAGGAAATATGGAATATGATATAGCTGAAATAGCTGGAATATGGATATTCTTGTTTACTCGACATCTTTCTCTGGCTTGTAGTTGATATGGAGTACCAACGCATTGACAGCTTCACCGGGGAATGGCATGGACCACAGACCATAGACTATAGACCATATAATATAAACAAACATGTTGTTTCAGAAAGATGCTTTAATTAAGTAAGAGTACTATAATCTGATCTATTTTTGTCCCTCCACTAATTGGCCTCTCGAAGCGCCCGCCCCCCGGCCCGGCGCGTAGAGCCCGGCCTCAGTCTGACATTTGCATCCAATCCATCACCTTTCACTCATCTGCCCCTGGTGATCTCTCTGCTAGTGGTCCAATGACGGACCTTGATGAAACGGCACAGAGCTGGCTACAGCGGGTTGTCTGGGATCGCTGCAGAAATTCACCAGCGACGATGATTATTGGTCGGGTTGTTTATAGCTTGAGCTATTGCTGTAAAGTGACCGGGCTGGGCTCTGTGGATGCTGCACTGTGATGATGCAGAGAGAAATGTAGAAATAGAGCTTGATGGCCTAAATCTCGGGACTTTTCTTCCTTCTCATTTTTTTCATTTCGTTCTTTTGTTTTGCATTTGAATCGACTCTATTCAGGGCTATTGTCCACTCTATTGTTGCATTTTCCATTGTTTCACTCGCTATAATATTAATAGACGCCTTTGTTTCGCTTCCCACTTTGGTTCTTTTATGCTTTCTTGACACATGGTATGAAAACATTGAATTCTGTCATTTCTGTAGACTAACATCTCGATACAGTCAAGTCTAGTGGAACATCATGCTCAAACGAAAACCACAGGACCTCCAGGTCCCTGTACCAAACTTCCCGTTATCTTCGCCGATCAGCGAAGAAATCTCAAGTCCGTCATGCTCCTCGGAAGATCAGGAAGAACGAGACAGGCCATTTGCATTTCTATCCAAGGCAGCACGACAAAAGCTCGAGGCCAAGTCCGGCAAAGATGGGAACCGCTCGCCCATTTCCTCCCACCGAGAAGCCTCGAGACTAAATATCCGCGTCACCAAGAAACGCAAAAGTGTCGCGAAACCAGTTGGGCTGAACCTTGTTACGGATTTCACGTTGGCGCCGGCGCCAACGCCGAGGAAACAGTCGATTCCTACAGTTGCAAATGCGGCTGCGCCGTTCGTCGATCTGAATGACCTCAAGCTCCTCTCGAAAGTGCGAGAGAAGGAACGCTCGGCGCAGAAATCAAAGGATATCTTTAGGAAGAGAGTTTCACGGGGCTTTCATCGGGTCTCTGAGACGGTGCAGAGTCACAACCACAGCCAGAATGGAACGGGAATTTCATTCCTTACCCCCAGAGATGAAGATCCATTCCATGACAGACACGAGAATGGAATCTCGCCTTCAGACCGCCATGTCATGATTGGACTCACTGTGCCTTGTAACGAGTCAGTAGAGAGATTACAGGACCCTGACAGCGCAGGCACGCCGCTCACACCATCAATTGTCGTCACTCCTGCACCATGGGATGCACCCTCAAACTCGAGCACCGAAATGCTCCGACCAAGAGCAACATCAAGCGTTTACTCACAGCCAACGCCCCGCCTCTGGCAATATGAAACCGATGTACCACCCGTGCCAGCCATTCCCGCACAGCACTCAAATGCTACCAAAACTCCCGTCCAGGGGTCTGCCTATCACAGCACATTGGGCGTAGAAAGGAACGCTCGCACACTCTCAACAACCTCAATCTGGGAAGATGACAGTCCGCCCCGGACGCCAGAAACAGCACGCACAATCCCGAAGGACCAACAGGGCCGTCTCAGTGTCAACACCCAAGCAGACAACAGACCCCAATCGCAAGGCTGGTGGACATACCTCCTCTCCCCGCTGATGGGCCGGTCCATAAAATCCCCCCTCAGCCCATCCTTCCCACAGGACTCACCCTCCACCCCGTCACCAACTACAACCCGAACCCGGGCCCACGAGCCAAAAGAATGGATCCAGCGCGAGAAAGAGGTCTCATGCTTCTCACCAGATACACCAGAGACAGCAGCCCCGATGGGCGAGAAGGCATTCGAGATTTCCCGATCATTCGAAACAGACCAACATCAACAAGATCCCGAACGACACCAATCCCCGCCACCCGCATACGTCTCAAACGCCTCTAGTAGACAAAACACCATGTCCTTCATGTTCGGCAACAACCAAACAATCCAAGGTGAAGCAGCTGAGTACTATCAAGCCTGCGCACACGAGTTATTTAGCAAGACGCCGTACTTTGAGTGTATCAACCACATCTGTTCGATTACGCCTGCCCACCCCATTGCTAGGCCAGCAGGAGCCACAAACGGGACAGAAGATGGTAGTCGGGGACTAGCGCTGGGTACGCCTGAGGAGCCCGGAGCATCAGGTCTTGAAGGAGCACGCGAAAACCAGATAGTTTCGTCGACGTCGACGAAGAATGCCGGCCTGCTTATTGATATTGACTCACCTCGTCCCGGGTCGACGGCGGGGACGATCCCGGCTGGGTATGCTGTTCGCGCGAAGGAGGTGCAGGTTCTGTCGCCATCATCAGAGTTTAGTTCTCATACGTGGGATTCGTCTGTTGTTGATGAGAGTGAAAAGGACTCGGTGGCGCATGGTGCTAGGGGTGGTGCTTCTGAGGCTCGGTCTCAGCGTGCTGCTTCGCCTCTCGTTCCTACACCTGTTCCCGTTCCTGTTGTTGCGCCGCCCGCGGAAGTGGTCGATAAGCCTGCGCCTGCACCTGCGCCTGCTCCTATTCCTATGCCCGAGCCAGCTCCTGCTCCCGCTCCCGCTGCCGCTCCTCCCCCTGCTCCGCAGATAACCACTAACCCGGTGGCTAATTTTCATTTCACTCAGCCTCCACCGCAGCCACAGGTACAGCCTCTGCAGCCGGTAGTGCAATATGTCCCTGTATTTGCTCCTCAGGCTGGACAGCCACAGCCAATAGAGCCGATAATGCAACAACCGCAACCGCAGGAAGCCTCGCGAGGAGTCTTGGAGCCGCCGACGGTCCAACCAGCGCCTCAAATAACAACACCAAGAACAGAATGGCCGTGGGGAAATCGAGGAGAACAGCAAGAGCAACCCCAGGTTCAGCAGCCAGCCATCCAAGGACACGCACCCGGGTTTGAATGGGCATATGTTCAACAAGGACAGCCGCAAGAACTTCCTGTTACGCAAGCATCGCCTCAAGCATCGCAGGTGCCACATGGACAGGCCCCTCCACAGACATGGCAGCCTACTGATGGTCATGTCAACCAGCCCCGGGAACCGCTTGTTATCCAGGGACGGCAATCCGGGTCTGGATGGCCATTTAGTCTAACTGCGCATCCTCACTCAAATGCACCCCCTGTACCGCCTATGCCACAAGCCCACACTGGATCAGAGGTTCAACATCAACAAGAGCAACTTCAGGATCGGCACCATGGGTCTGAAGAGCTGCAAACAGAACGAGGAATGCCTCAAGGATCAGAACTTGCGCCCCATAGATATTTACAAGCCTCCGAGCCTATTTCTCCTGGTTTCCAGCGCGCCGCTGGTGGACCTGGCTCAATTCCAATGTCGGATATGCAGGCACCGGCTCCGGCGTACACGCAATATCCTCGAGATCCTGCTCTCCCTCCTCGTTATGATATACAGCCACGTTATGATAACGATCCTACAGCTGGAGTTTCGAGTGTCAACCCAGGCGGCACGATAGGACCTCATGAGGCCCGACGTCGTAGACTTGAAAAGGAGGAAGCCACTGGCCGCAGAGTTTGTAGTCTCTGGCGTGGCCGGGGTCCATTCAGCAAGAAGAGCGGACGTCCAGGACGTGAGGGTCGTACTCGACGAAGATGGTATTTCGTGATTTGTATTTTCTTCTTTATCATCGTGATTCTAGCCACTATTCTGGCGATCACATTGACAAGGAAAGGAGACGAGACTCCCGTTCAATCGCGGTGGCTGAACCTCACAGGCTATCCGCCCATGCCGACTGGGATTGCAACACTTGCTGGGACAGAGCCACAGCTTGAAAAGTCGACTTGTATCACTCCTTCTTCGATGTGGAGCTGTGCCTTGCCCAAGGACCAACAGGATGCCAATAAGCCGTACAATGCGAACCAGCCCAATTTCCGTGTTTCCATCCGCTTCCGCAATGGCACATACGATAACAGCACCGCTGTCGGCTCGAAGCTACGTATCAGGAGCGACGATCTTTTCAACCCCTCGCCCGCAGCCCCGAGAGACGCAGAACAGGACTTCCTCGGCCAATACACAGACAACAACACCGCACCCTACGCCGGCGAAGAAACACCCTTTTATATGTCCCTCCTCTCACCAGTCTCCCTCTCCTCAGCAAACATCTACCGCCGCGCAGCCACCTCCAACGGCACCGCATACCCCAACATCTCATCCATAATCCCGGCACCAGAAGAAAACGCCGACAGAACCCCATCCGCAGCAATGCTCTATCCCCTCCCCTCATCCCAACCAATCCGCCTCTACAACCGCGGCCTCGCAACTGAACACTACGGCTTCTACAGCTACTTCGACAAATCCATCTTCCTAACCTCCCAAACCAAATCCTCACCGGCCGACACAAACGGCGGGACTTCAAAATCCGACGCAAAATACCGATGCACATGGTCCCAAACTCGTCTCCACGTCCAAATCTGGACCCAACCCGACAAAATTGGCCGTCACCTCCTCCCCCAATCAAACAACACCGCCACATCCACCTCATCCGCAACACCAACATCAACAAATAAACCTACATCATCATCCTCCGCAACAGACTTCTCCCGCCCAGGCTCATTCCCATACCCGGTAACAATAACAGTGGACCGACACGGCGGCGCGGAGAAAAAGAAAATGGTCTACTGCTACCCGCTCGAAGACGACGGACATTACAATATCACTGCTGTGCAGCTGCAGCTCGAGGATCGTGCTGTTGGGGGTGATATTATCAATCCGGCTTCGGGACTTTTCAAGGGTATTGGTGGAACGAAGAATTCTACGGTTGAAGAGGCGGGTGGTGTTGATGGTGGTACTGGTGGGTGTGGATGTCAATGGGTGAATTGGATTTCGAATGCGTGAGACGGAGACGGGGTTGCATGGATGGGGGTTACTATTGACTTTCTTCTTTGGATCTTTTTGAGATGCGTTGCATTGCGTGTTTTTCTGGTGTTTGGGTGGCTTTTCTGCTTCATTTTCTTGCAAAAGATGACCCATTGACGAAGCTCAAAAGAGCGTGTGTATAGATTCAACGTTTTCCATAGCAATATGGATCTAAGTCTAAAATTCAAGATCAAGGTTACAATTCAAATTCGAATGCTCTATAATCCTGCTATAAGCATGCATCTACTATATTTCATAATGCTGTAGATCCCCGGCCCAATAAACCAGCAAGCTAATCTCACGCTGCATCGAGCCAGCAAAGTCAATCTGGAATCTTATTTGAGCCAATCTTAGGCGAACCCTAAAGTCAACAGACTGGTAAACGATACACGCCACTCGACTCTGCAGGGACGATTGGACTGCATTGGGATTTTGGCTATTGGCTTTTGGATTTTTCGAGTTTCTATTATCAAACGCATGGCTCGGGTTGCATTTTGTCACTTGGCAGAATTCAACTTTGTTCTACTGGTCTCTGAGTTTGAAGTATAGTAGGATTTGGAGGGCTTGGATGTTAGTTGGATCTAGATATACAAGTTTCTTCACCTTGATATATTTATGTAGGCAAGTTCACTAAGACAATAGTAACAAAAAGCATTATGAGTTAGATTCATATTAAATACTCATATTAAACCAAATAACCTATCAAAACCCCCGAAAAAAAACAAAATCTAAGCACTATTTTCCAACTCCTATACTCCTACCATCTGAACATATCAAGTCTCTAGCCAGAGCCAGTTCTGAGATCAGATATCAGAAACAAAAGGAGATACCCAGCAATCACAACAAAACACCAGCATTAAAAGACAGTTTTGTGGACATTAAGCGAGTGCGAGACGTTTATGCAAGGAGCATAACGGCACCGTAGATAATGCTGCCAATAACAGCAAAGACCCCAACCTGGGGTGCGGTGACCTTTGAACCGGGGTTGGAGGGAGTGTATTCGGCCGAGTCGTCGGATCCCAATCCAGAGCCAGAGCCAGCGCCACCGGAGGGGGAAGCGCCAGAGCTGGAGCCAGAGCCAGCACCGCCGGAGGGGGAGGCACCAGAGCCAGAGCCGGAGCCGGAGCCAACACCGCCGGAGGGGGAGGCACCAGAGCCAGAGCCAGAGCCGGAGCCTGAGCCAGAGCCAACACCGCCGGAGGGGGAGGCACCAGAGCCAGAGCCAGAGCCAGATCCAGAGCCGTTGCTGCCAGAGCCACCGGCAACGCCGCCCGAGCCAGACTCGGATCCAGAGCCAGAGCCAGAGCCAGAGCCGTTGCTGCCAGAGCCAGAGCCAGACTCGGATCCAGAACCAGAGCCAGAGCCAGAGCCGTTGCTGCCGGAGCCCTTGCTGCCAGAGCCGGAGCCAGACTCGGATCCAGAGCCAGTGCTGCCGGAGCCATTGCTACCAGAGCCGGAGCCAGACTCGGATTCAGAGCCGTTGCTGCCAGAACCGGAGCCAGTGCCGGAGCCAGACTCAGATCCAGATCCAGAGCCACCGTGAGAACCTCCAGCACCGCCAGTGGCAGAAGCACCGTTGGTCTTGGTAGGGACGTAAACTGGAATAGTCGCACTGCCGTGGCAGCTGTAGCAGGGGGCGGTACCAGTGCCAATGATAGTGTGGTCACTGCCACCGCCGTTGGTACCGTTGTGGTGTGGGGAGCCAGTAACAATGGGGTGGCTGCCCGTCTGGGTACCGTTGTTGTGGGGAGAGCCGGTCACAATGGGGTGGCTTCCCGTGTGGACACCGGTACCAACGATACCAGTCTCATGACCGGGGATGCCAGTAACAGCACCGGTAGCAGCATCGGTAGAGTAGTGCTTGCCGATGCTCTTTCCGCTGCGAACGGGGGGTTCATGCTGTTCTTTGGCGCCACCGGCCTGGACACCGGCTGCGAGAGCCAACAAGGCGATGGAGGGGGCGGTGAAATGCATCTTTATTGGGATGCGAAAGCGATTGAATTTAAAAGTCAGATAGATCGCTTGCTGTCTTAACGAGTGACGAAGCTGGGATTGGGGTTAGTATATGTTGTTGAGAATGTTGTGCTGGTACCAGCAAAGCTAGCTCACTTACCTAGAATGATAATGCAAATGCGATTGAGGTGTAAATCGAGAGATCTGAGGCGAAGAGGACGGCATTCTTATAGATCTGGCGAGCGGTCCAAATGCGGTCATTTATTGATTAAAGTTAATTAATTGGTGATGGCATAAATAATGAGGAAATTTTTGCAAATTGCAATATATGCCTTTGTTCCTGTCCTTGATGTTGACATCTGCCCTCATGGTGAAGTGGAAACGAGACTAACCGATTTCCGCATCCGGGGTAGATGTCACCTTGGTCTGATCTACACTCCACCTTGAAAGCCCCGTACGATCGGTTGAACCCGACGCCAATCTCGTCATGATCGTCTGGGCTTGCTGTTCGTCCGAACAGTGGAGACCCGGCTCGGTTGGGTTGTAGTCACGTGATATGGTGTCCCAATTAGGAAGGTGATGCCATTGCAAGCGGACATCCACGCCAGACACCTCGCCAGCGTGGAATTCCACAGTGATCCACTTCAGATCCGGCACAATGGGTGTCAAGTGGATTTTCTTTGTGGGTAGTCTGTTTTCGGGAGCATGCACTGAAGATACATTGTCTGAATGGAGTTTTGGAAGACAATGGGTGGAGAGCCTTCTTAGCTCCCTAGATGCGCGGAACAGGAGATCGTGGAGTAGTGAACGGATAGCCTCCCGCAACACTCCACTTGATTACCGCTAGACCGTGAGATAAGAAAGGTGAATCGCACTCAATATCCGGTAGAGCACATTTAGTCTCTAGAATCGGTCACAGAAAAAGATACTCGGAAATTAGCTATGTTACTTCCATCGTAGCCCTTTCAGAGCCTTCATTAGTTAATAGCATACTGAAAATCCTCAAAAGCCACTCTCTGCGTAGGGCTGATCGCCTACTTACTGCATCCGGCATCTAGTGAGTTTGCATCAACGCGGCTCACCTAGCATCAGAACTTCCGCTCGGGTGTGCTCGAGCACCTATCGGTCACAATCTCGCTCTCTGTGTTCAGAAAGCGTCAGTGGTTCTCACGTCAAGTACATGAGCTCCGATCTTTGTCATTTGCACTCAATCTGAGGAATGCAGCTGTCACGTACTAGCTGTGGAATGTATGTTCCTGCAGATCTGACGGTATGTTCACAAGTTTTGTTCGCAGTGTCCCATGAATTTCAATGTTGTCCGCAGAAAATGGAAAGCGCGAAATTCGATCCCAGCTATTGAGTAACATAGGGAATTATTTCTCGCGAATGTTACAATGTAGAATACCTCAATATTGAATTGAATTCAAGTTGCATCTTCGGGCACTAGGATGTACTTGCGTGGAGTCGCAGACCGTCTTCAGATATGAAGAGGCATATTTAGGGCCTACATACCCTGTATTGATGTTGCTCACTTTAAGAAAGTAGACGACAGGATAACTTGCAACCCAACTTAGTACATCTGTGTACAGGACTGCAAACCTCGACTCGCCTTTCACTGATATCTTAGAGTTCCCCCAACGCAGGCTGTGCCACTGTGAATTTAGTATCCGAAGTTTAGGTAGAGTACTAATTGCACTTAGCATAACTCGACAATTAGGAAATGGAAATGTCCTAACCTCGGTTCTTCAAGATACCGGGACATACTTTCTAGAGTATGAGTGATGTACTGCCCAGTTAAAATACTATAGGGAGTTCCAGGCCTATTAACTCCTCAATTATTCCGACGTACTCTCTCTTATGTACGATAGTTCGTGAAGATGTAGATGATATGTACTTCTTTTTTTGCAGGGGCTCACGCAGCTTGTGAGAGAAGATATAAGATAACACCACCAATGCCTCTGTTATTTCGTGCACACCAAAAAGTCTGCAATGTTGCTCTCGGAATATACTTGTGGCATGCCGGTTTCCCACACTAAGACGCTTGTTATTGTCACTCATTGGATGTTGCTGGTGAGTATTGAGCCATAATAAGTAAGCTATACATAAATCTGTGAAAAAAACCAAACAATTATAATGCTAGTTCAAGCAGATTTAATTCTCAAGCTCAAAGATCATTTTATCATAGTTAATTGTCATAATAAACAAAATAAACACCGAGTAAGCAATTTTTATAGATCAGGCTTATCGCAAATGATTAGGTCTTGGCAATGCTCCGATCTTCCTTTCTCCATCTCAGCTCTTTTTCCATGTCTTCATCAGGCTAGCAATGCGCCGCCCAGACCATTCTTCCCTTCTTTCTCCGGCAAATTACGACAACGATGCATCTTCGTTGCGGTCGCCCTCCGAGCAGGACTCGGATTCCGACGATGATGCCCTCCTCGGTCAAAACCGCAGCACCTTGGAAATCGCAGAGCACGACCGGGCGGTGCTAGAAGAGGAAGAGGAGCTGGAGAATCTCTTGACCCGCGGCGGTACTGGTCATGGTCTGCGCAGGATTTTCAGCCCGAATGGTAGCAGTGTTAGGATCGGGAAGACGAAAAAGGAGCGGCGACAGCGGAGGGGGTCGCGTCGTGAAAGAGTCAGTGAAGACGGCGAGCTGATGTATGAGATGGAGGAGGGAATTGGTGACGATAATGTCTCCCTTTTGAGCAGGTCGTCGGCGGATTTGGACGGGAAAGACGAATACACATATGAGCCGGTAAGACGTACCGTGGCTGCTTTCTATGGCCCCTGCTAACACGTCCGCCGCTTAGCCTCCACGACCTTCATGGCGAAAAATCCTGTTTATAATTGCTTTGGTTGGCGTTCTATTCGTCATTCTCGTCCTCGGGGCGTATAAAGCCTCGAGCGGTTTTCGCGCTACACGAGTACACCCTCCCCCGTTGCTCTCCAATGGCACAGCTCTCTTTGCCCCAACCACTATCGTTATCTCGCTAGACGGTTTCCGAGCCGACTTTCTCGACCGCGGCCTGACTCCAGCGCTCAATTCTCTCGTCGCCAATGGCGTCTCGCCGCAATACATGACCCCTAGCTTCCCGAGCGTCACCTTCCCAAACCACTTCACACTTATGACTGGACTCTACCCCGAAAGCCATGGGATTGTAGGCAACACATTTTGGGACCCGAAGATGAAGGAGGAATTCTACTATACCAATCCCACTGTCAGCATGCAACCAAAGTGGTGGATGGCGGAACCACTCTGGGTGACGGCAGAAAAGCAGCGTGTGAAGACGGCCATCCATATGTGGCCGGGGTCTGAGGCTCACATTGGCGACAAGGAGCCAAGCTTTGTAGACAAATACAACGGGACGGAAGTCTGGTCTCGCAAAGTGGATCGGATCCTTGAATTTTTGGATCTCCCAGGTCTGGAGGAAGAATCGCAGATGGCACCTGAGCGACCGCAGTTTATCGCGGCTTACCTTCCCGATGTCGATCGGGACGGGCATAAATTTGGTCCTAATAGCACTGAAATCCGAAAGACGATTTCTGAAGCGGATAGGATGGTCGCTAGCATCATGGCCGGTCTTGAGAAACGCAATCTCACCGAGGTGGTTAACATCGTGGTTGTCTCAGACCACGGTATGGCCACTACCTCTACAGAGAGGCTGATTCAGTTGGACGATCTGATTGATTTCGATCTGATTGAACATATTGACGGGTGGCCATCTAATGGTCTGCGCCCCAAGCGGCCTGAGGATTTGGAGACCCTCCGAAAACAATTGGAGAAGGTAGCTCCGGAATACGAGCATGCTTTCGAATTCTACACACGGGAGACAATGCCTGAACGGTATCATTTCTCGAACAACGAACGCATTGCACCGTTGTGGGTCATCCCTAAGACAGGGTGGGCTATCGTTAATCGGTCAGAGTTCGATGTCAAAAAGGCTTTAAAGGCCGGTGAGAAATACCATCCTCTCGGCATTCACGGATATGACCATGAGCATCCATTGATGCGAGCAATCTTTATTGCGCGCGGCCCAGCCTTCCCCCACAAGCCAAACAGCCGGGTGGAACCTTTCCGTAAGTACCTACTTCAAATCATTGGCTGTGATTCGACCTAACAAATTTGTATAGAAAACATCGAGGTGTACAACATTGTCTGTGACTCTCTGGGCGTCGATCCTCTTCCGGGTAATGGCACACTACGACTCCCGCTCAAGCCAGTCGGCCTCCACTCGGATGAGAACGCACCGGTCTTGGACACGCCTCCTGATCCCCCGGCTCCAACTTCACCCACAGCAGGACCCGTGCAGCCAGCTCCTCCGCGGCCATCACCTTCACAGCCAGCACCCCCACAACCAAAACCCCCACAACCAAAACCCCCGCAGCCAGCCCAGCCAGCCCAGCCAGCGCCGAAACCCACCTCTCCAGCAGCTGAGGCACCACCCACCACAGACCATGAAAGTGATGGCGAAAAGAGCTCGTCGTGGTGGGACACACTTTCGCACAAATTCGATGACCTGAAGGACTGGGCTAGCGGCGTTGCCGATGCTGTTCAGGGCAAGCATCCGGAGTCGGAGAGCTGATGGTTTTGCTTAATTTTGTCCATTTGGCCTTGTTTCGATATATACCTATACCCATCTTCACGCATATAATGTTTAAATGCTCTTTGTTCTCTCATAATGGGATGTTCGTTCAAGTACTATATACCCACGGTGTGTTATCCAACGCCATTCTCAGGTTGGCTCTAGCTCATCAACTTCTCATCAGTCCGTCGCGCTAAGGGTCATGCGCGTAGCCTTAGTGTAGGATAAATTACTAAGGAAGTTGATGAGGCTCCAGGGCTGTTGGGCGCTCACCGCAGAAAGACACCCCTCATCTACAATTCCTAATCCCCAGAGCCCCGAGACTCAAAGGATTTCTATCACTTATTTCATGGTTCTATTAATTTACACACTTTACACATCCACAGAACCTCAACCACGTCATTATATCTTCTCTTCTTTCCAAATGTCGAGTATTCCAGGCTGGGTTCTCGATTCTAAGCTTGAGATTCACTCCCATGGCAAATACGAGACAGTGCATGCCTACTATGGGCAGGAATTTAGTTCCCAGCGACCAATCAAAAAGTTAGAACACTGGCAGCGGGAGAAGAAGATTAGCAGTGGTGGATTTGGAGAGGTGTGGCTGGAGAGATGCACAAAAGGAAAGCATGGCCATCAGGTCCGCGCAACAAAGGAGATGGAGGTCCGCCGCCAGATAGACTATGCCCGTGAACTCGAGGCTATTGCGAAATTCTCGCACTCAAAGGCTTGTCTTTCAGCTGCTCAATGTAAGGAAAGCCACTGACGGATCAGCAGTACGAGCGATGTTTTGTCACGTCTTTCGGGTGGTACCAGACCCAAACTAGCTTATTTATTGCGATGGAATATCTTGAGCTTGGGGATCTACATAATTATCTGCTTAAGAAGAAGCAGCCACTACCGGAACTTGAGGCGCGGTCCATAATGTCTCAAATCCTTGAGGGCCTTGATTTAATGCACGGCAATGACTTTGTACATCGTGACTTGAAACCCAAAGTGAGTCGTTTGCGAAATGGAAACCAACTACCTTAACCAATCACTAATTCTAATCGTATTTAGAATATTCTTTTGAGATCCTGTCCACCAGATGATTGGTGGGTGAAGATCGCAGACTTTGGGATCAGCAAATGTATCGAAGATGGTCTTGAACAATCAACAACCATGAATGGCACCATGGGATATATTGCTCCTGAACTGCATAAATTGACTGAACGCGGTACTCCCTATGCCGCTGACATTTGGGCAGCTGGAGAGGTTATGTTCCAGATTTTGACCAAGCAACCCACATTTGAGCATCTTGGATTGCTCTCCAACTATGTCCAAACGCCTAATATCTTTCCTTGCAATAAACTTTTGGCCAACCGGGTCAGTCTACTTGGAGTTGAGTTCGTCTTGTGCCTTATGGATCCTATCCCGGCACGCCGGATGTCAGCCAGAAATGCTTTACAGCACAGGTGGATTTGTCAGTCATTGCCCAACAATCGAAGTTCAGATACACTTGCATATAAAGAGGCACATACTACATCATCGCTTGACTCGATGACAGAGCGTTTTGCATCATGGAACACTGTCAAATATACGGGGGCATTCGAAACTTCCATTGCGGGAGAAAAACAAGAATTGGGGAAATCGTCTCTCCAGACTTCTAGCAACGCAACTGTGAAGTCCCAGCCAGTGCAAAGTGCCACGGCTGTCAGAACAATGCTCCCTAGAGCGCTCAAGGGCCACTCTAAATTGGTGACTTGCGTGACATTTTCACCTGATGGTAAATTGGTGGCTTCCGGATCTAATGACCTGACAGTCATACTCTGGAATACTACCACGGGCTCTATACACACAACGCTTAAGGGCCATTCTAGCAGGGTGACCTCCGTGGCATTCTCCTCTAATGGTAAATTAGTGGTATCTGGATCTCAAAATCGGACAGTCATAGTCTGGAATACTACTACGGGCGCTATACACACAACGCTTGAGGGTCATTCTAGCTGGGTGACTTCCCTGGCATTCTCGCCTGATGGCAAATTGTTGGCATCTGTATCTGATGACCTGGCAGTCAACCTCTGGGATACTACCACGGGCACTATACACAAAACACTTGAGGACCCTTCCTCTTCCTTCTACTCTTTGGCGTTCTCACCTGATGGTAAATTACTGGCATCTGTATGTTGCAGTTATGTCATCCTCTGGGATACCACCACGGGCACTAGACACAGAATTCTTGAGAATCATTCCTCTTCCGTCGACTCTGTGGCGTTCTCATCCGATGGTAAATTGGTGGCATTTGCATATTTCTCCAAAATCGAACTCTGGGATACCACCACGGGCACTAGACTCAAAACGCTTGAGTTCGATACCTATAGAGTCCAGTCTGTGGCTTTCTCACCTGATGATAGATTGCTGGCATCTGGATCTAATGAAAACACTGTTAGACTTTGGGATACTACTATGGGTGTTATATACAAAACATTTGGGGGCCATTCTAGTTCCATCACATCTGTGGTATTCTCGCCTGATGGTAAATTGGCGGCATCTGGATCTACTGACAAAACAGTCAGGCTCTGGGATGCTTCCTTCTAAATGTACATATCTTGGTATATTTCAAGACAATTCGACGGTGCTGCTATCCCATAATATTCTGTCTCCACGGAGTGCCCGCTTTATATGTTCAGAACTTCTCTTTGTCCTCATGGTCCATGTTGTCCTAGTCTCGATTAAATCGGAAAAGCCATATTACCAAGTGTAAATTTAATATAACAATCGTCCAGATATATACGCGTCTCCTGTCCATTCGCGTCGTAGGCAGAGTACCAGTGCCCTTTGATCTCTGTTACCGCACATTCTGCACACTGGTTTGCTAACACCCTGGTGGTCGATCGGTCCCACTGACGGCTAGTAGACTAGCTGCATCACAGTCTCAATAGAATAGAGGCGAATGTCCCCTTTCTTGGCAAATCGAATGCCCTCATAAATCCGTTAGTCAACATGCTAGCACGATAAGTTAGCTAACTAGCGGGGAGATAAGGCTGCCGTACCTGGCAGAGTGTAGATCCCTACGTCACTTCCCTTTAGAATTCGGTTACTTGGTTCACTTCATCTCAGACACTTGCGGGCCTCAGCGCATGTGTCAACATCTGCTACATCCTGTACTCAGAGCCCGGCTGAACGTCTCATCACTGTCTTTTCCCCAAGTGTGTCAACACAAAATCCTGTCTGTCTTAGCCCGTGTTCAGATCGATAGCCGAGGCCACATAGCCTATCGAGACGGCATGCAGCAACGACTATCTGCGGTTGAATCGCTGCGCTTCCAAGTGCCGTATGTCGCATTTGGATCAAGGCAACAGACTTACGAAGCGCTGTTGCATTCCTACCCTGAAAGCACCGCTCCTCCAGAACAACCCACCCCTTCTCACCAGCCCAGGTTTTTTACTTGGGTAACTAACAATGGATACGGCGCCCGACATGCTTCTGATCCAGCCCCGTTCTCTCTCTGGGATGATCATGTACACGATTTCCGCTTTCCTACACCTGAAGAAAGGAAGTGGATTTCCGATGCCTTCCGTGCGGAAAGTGTGACCTACAGCTGGCCAGATATCATCATTGAAATCCATTATCCCCCAAATCCAATCCCTTTAACGGTGGCATGCGTTGCGGTATCGTTTATCCCTGCCGGATCTAATTGGCCACTTGACAACGAACACCGATTACAGCAACCCGAGGCTGGCTGACCCCCTCTCTCCTCATCTTCAACTACCGAAGTGGAAGAGACCATCCGAAAAGCAACGGGAAGCGGTTCTACAGGGCTTAGGTAGGCTTGTGACAGTGCAGGCTGTCAATTACATTGCTCCTATCATCATTGTCGAGATCGCGCTTGATGGAAGATCATACAGCACCCGATCTCTCCCAGGAAGAGTCGGTGGTCTCCTCACTATATACCACCACAGCCATACACCTTTTTGGCCTCTGGCATACCAAAGCAGAGAACGCTGTGTTACACCTGGAACGGTTCAGGATACGACTAACTATTTTCTAACTGACCTCCAAACTCTCCGCCCAGGAGTGCGAGTTGAGTGTGGCGTTACTTGCAGAGACGGTGGTTACCTCGATGCCACCATGGCTTCAACTGCCGGCGTGAAACTTAGAAACACCGATTCAGGGGATATCAGACTTACTGTTTCTAATCACAGATTTATTAACTCTGGTCCCATTCACAGAGTTCATTACGGAGAATATTTACCCTCTTTATGGACCCACTGCTGGTTCGATCCGGGAAGGAGTTTGTGGCGCGCCCATCGTGGTAGATGATAACGAAGACGGAAGTATCGTTGGGTTCTTTCAACTCGGGGCAGAAGGCTCTGCCTGGGCCTTATCACCCTGCCTAGGTGATTTGATCGACAGAGGATGGACAGTGATTTGAAAATGCTTCTTATTCTTGTTGGTATTCTTATTCTGTCCCAGATTGCTCTTTATGTCAATGCTACTAGTGTGCCCTTATAGCTTTTAGTGCGAAATTCATTCGCTACATTTTTCAGGATTCTACCGAGAATACATGAAATAGACAACCTTGAATGGCTGCCAACTTTGTATATGAAATAAAGCTCGAAATGAAGAAAGTTGCCTTTTTGAAAAACATATAACTTACCTGTCCCTACTGTGTAGCGAGGCGACCCACACCTGGCGGTTTCTGGCCTCCCTGGAGGCTGAAGTGGCCTCTCCCGCACAAATACATTTTGTTTAGGGGGAGGGGGGGGGGCGGGGGGAAATCAATATTGTGAGATGGCTATGGATGTTAGAAACAGGCCGCAGCTCTACAGAGAATTGAATGTTAATAAAGGTCCAGTATTCTTGTTTCTTAGGACTGCAGTGCTTGCCAATCATTCAAACTTTAGCTTCGTCAAGTTTGTCCATCATCAGAGAACCAGAGCCACAGAGCCACAGGGCAAGGCGAATCAAAAGATAGTGAGAGTACATATGAGCAACAGACCCAGTCCCTAAAGGTACGAGCTGACATTCAGCTATTCCTTGGCCCTCGAAAACCCCATACCTTCTAATTCCTGCTTGTATTCCATGGCCTTTTCATTAATTATGTTGGCGCGGAAATGAATAGCCCGACAGGCTTCAAAGACTGTCACCTTCTCCAATCCCGGCTGTCTCTCCCGTAGGGTATCATCTATTTCCACCCGGCGCTGTCTTTTCTGCAAGGCGTCCATGGTAATCTTGATTATACTGCGAGCAGTTTCCAATTCCGCAAACTCCATCTCGGTGAGGCCTTCTCGCTCATGAAGACACTTCTGCTGCGTAACCCGTACTATTGCAACTGCCTCAATCAGAGGGCGGATATATCTGAAATTGGACATGAACCAGTATGCGTTCTCGCGAGTGATGTTTGGGTTGTGGTAGATTTCTCGAATTGCACGAACTTGCTGGTTGAAATGAGCCTCTTCACCCTCAGAAAGCCTAACGACTTTTTGGTTGTTCTCCCAGTCGATATTTGGCATGTTAGCACCGGCGTACCAGGCATTGAACTGCTCGATCTCAACAGGGAACATTTTGCTATTTGCCTCGATGATAGCGTCGCACTCTTTCTGTGGAGCTTTTGCGTAGTTAGTGTGGATGGCAAGGCTCTTGCCTTCTCTGACAATCTCAGCCAGTTTATCTAATTTCTTATAGATCGCCACTAGTTTATCTGTTGGCTCGGGAATAGCCAGGAAAGTGGTGGTGTCAGGGAGGTTCTCGGTGAAGTCAATTTCACACTCATTGAACATTTCCTCAAAGGTGCGCTGTGGGGCTTTCATATTAGGCATTGGCTGAGGGGGTGTAGACAAAAATCTGGTGTCAAGCCGATTATTGGTCAGGTCAATTTCGCAGTCATTTGTGTTGAACATTTCGTCGGAGCTGCGTTTCGGTGCCATCGTAGTGGTGATGAGCCGAGGAAGGTCCTAATCAGAGGACCATTTAGGCAGTCTGTTCTTTATTATTAGTATTGCTAAAGGTCAAGTTGGTCTTGTTTATGAAATGGGGATAGGTGATGCTTGTTGCGGCTGACTCACGAGGGTTACCTAGGTAGGTAGATAACGTATTTCACAAGCGAGTGACGCACACAAGCGAGTGACGCACCCCAACCAGCCTACTGATTTCAACTTCTTTTATATCAACAAAAATGTCATTAAATCAGCTCAACTAATTAAGTGGTCTATTTGGACATGTTTCCCTTCGATGCCCTGGCAATCTGCATATTCCACACCCCCGGGGGGGCCGAGTACGTGGCTGAATACCCGATTCTCTAGAGGTGCTAGGGCCGGGGGGGTTTGCTTCACTTGCTTCCTGTTGCTGCATAATTAATGCAGAAGCTTCTTCAATTGAAAATCCCTCTTCAGAAGTGATCGGCCTTCGAGATCTAGTCCGCTTTTGCTTCTGCTTCTCGTTTTCAGCGCGTAATTCCTTGTTTTCCTTCGCTAAAAAAAATAGCACCTTGCATTGTAAGACGGAAGCCTTTTATAAGCTGGTTTAATGCACGATCTGACGGGCTAGGCGGGCTTCGAGACCTCGTACGAAGTAAAGCTTTGATTGACGAAGCCTGTCGACGTAGTTCTTTCTCTGTAGTAGGTGTTTTTGGTGTGAAATTCCGGCTTAAATCGCTCCCCCTGCTAGGGGGGGGGTGTTAGGGTTCGAAGTTAAATATTCAGCTTCGAGATCACTCTTTCTGGTGAAAAAGGGACTAAACCAGCTGCTCCGAAGCTATTCTTGATAGTTTCCGATTTAAAAGCTTCAATTCGTGCGAGGGGGTATGCTTCGAGGAAGTCAAGTTTATCAATATGATTCACTTAGAGCCTCATTTTTGTCTCCACCAGCCGCCCGTATGATCGTTTTAACACAGCAAAACAGCTAATATCGAGAGGCTGTAAAAGATGAGAGGAGTGCGGAGGCATATAAATAGGTATTATCCTATTTTACTCGCAAAGTTCATCGAATTTTAGGGTTAAATGACTCCCGTGTCCGTCAAGAACTAGCAGCCTATACCTTCCCTTCGTACGAAGAGAAGTGCTAGGAATAAAGAGCTTTTTAAGCCAGCGAACTCCTATTTCATCTGAAGTCTAACCATTAGGACTAACTTCAATTCGCCAGTCGTTTGGTAGGCCTTTAAACCATGATTCTAAGTAGACTTTGCCTTTGAAAATGATACACGGAGGGAGGGCCCACCCCGCTGAATTTATACACTCAATAGCAGTCACCCATTCACGATTTCCAGGCTGTAAAAGCGGGCGCTGACCGTAGAATTCAGCTCTTATAACTACCTTCGTAGTAGCGATTAATCCCATTGCGAAACCAGTCTCGTCAAAGTTATAAACGTCTTCAGGATCGATCCCAAATTGAAAGATGGTTTTTTGAACAAGATTAAACCACTCTTGGATAATCTTTGGGTCTTCGCACTTTGCACGTTCGAAATTATATCGTTTCGAGAATCGGGAGGAGAGGAGAGGATATCGTTTAATGAAGTTTGTAACCCAATTTTCGCCGACCGAAGGAGCTGGGGTTATACCACGTTGTTGAAGTAAAAGATTCGCCATTTCTCGTACAGTAGTAGGGCGGGGAGCTGCTCCACGAGAGTCCATAGAGACGATCCATTTTTGAAGAGATTCCTCTTCAATTGATGTCAATTTATGGGAGTTTGCGCGTGAAGTCGCGCGACTTTCAACCCCTCGGAGGCGTCGACGGAGGGTGGCCTCAGGCACTTGAAAACAGCGTGCTGCTCCACGAATAGAGGCGAATTCTTGATTTTTAAAAGCCTTGATAGCTAATAATATCCTACCCTCTTGCTGTGTTGAATTTTGACAGCTTTGAGAGCGAATTGGTGGCATGGTGGGGGGTTGAAATGATTAAGTGCTAAATCATGGACGCGTTTTGGTTGGGGTGCGTCACTCGCTTGTGTGCGTCACTCGCTTGTGAAATACGTTATGAAAGATAGACAAGAATAGACAAGATAGAAGATGGAGATAGAGGTGAGGTTAACGGACGGCTGCCTTACGTAGATGGTGGCGTGTTGCGGGACAGCAGATAGATGACCTTTAGAAGGATAAAGTGAAGGAAGTAGATTCATATATGTACTTATGCTAATTTTCTCCCAGGTAGAACCCGAGCCTAGGCAATCAAACTCCCATTGTCCAGCGTGTTGCGATCATGCGCTGTTTGGGCAAGGCGAATTTGTCACGTTTGTACCAAATCCCACTTCCTTTTATAAGTGAGCTTTGGAGGCATATGGCTGATAGACATGAGCAAACTAAGGTCGCAGAGTAAAAAAAGCTTTGAACTTTTAAGTATATATTGTCATGGTTATAACAAGTAAGCACATGGATGCTAGTAAATTTTTTTTTTAATAGACATCTAAAAAGGCGAAATGAAAGAATGCACATTATACAATCCATGAACTTGTATGTTGTGTTCAACTTTAGGGTTATTCTGTTATAGTGATGTTAGCGGATTTAGGTTACTTATCATTAGCTTATGAGAGTCAAATGAGGAGGTCTTTCCATCAACCATTCCAATGGTCGAGCAGTAACTCGGCTACATCTTCCTTGGTCTAGTGGTGATGATTTCCGCTTGTCATTAACACCGATAAGCGCGGGAGACCGGGGTTCGATTCCCCGAGGGAGAGATTTCTTTTTGGCTCTTGTTTTCATTTTTATTACATTGTATCACATTTGAACATTAATCTGAGGTTAGTTGATGCCTGTTTTTGCCAATTCCGGTCTATGACGTGGAGGCAAATCGCCGCAGCACCTGCAGCAAAATGAGTCAGGCCCAGGCAGACGCGCTTGGGCAGCCCAGCAGCTGAACCCCATCCCATCTCATCCAATCAGTTCTACGAAAAACTGCAAGGCAATGCCCGTCGAATCCAGGTGTGATCGAGGTGTGTCAGGCGCACCTCAGGCCCAGCTCTAGAAGGGAGTTCGTGTGTCTGAGCGGGGACAGACCAACACATGAGGCTCTTTGGCTCCCTATAAAGGACTTGACTATGCTTAGTTTTGGAAATCAGGGTTCTCTCTTTCCCTCTATCCAAATACCTAGAAATCCGATCAAAATAATTTTTGGATCTTCAGGTCTGTTGATCATGAATTCCAACCAAACTATCCCCACCACAACGGGGCCGTTGTCCACGACGGACACGGCCATGTTGGAGGTCCTCGTCCCCGGCTATGGCTTCATGTCACGCATATTGATGTCTTATCTCAATTTTGATGTCAGCGCCTACCTGCAACTCCTAGTTGGACTCGCTGTCTTCGGCGCAAGTGCTCGATACACCTTATTCATCATTTGGGCGCACTTCAATGAGTTATTTGTGTCAAGAGCCGAGATTCGCCTGGACGATGAGGCATTCCATTATTTGATGTTCTGGATCTCACGCCAGCCGCATATGAAAAATACAAATCGATTCGTCGCAGGCATCAGAACCAACAGTTACTGGTCCGACAGTGACACAGACGATGAGGACCTCGCAAGAGAAGAGGACGACGAGGATGATACTTTCAACGGCGAGAAAGAAGATTCTTTCGATTCGTACTGGGCCAAGGTCACCACTCGGGACAAGTACAAGAAGATGCAATTTACTCCCTCGGAAGGCTGCCATTACTTCTGGTACAAGAGCCGTCCGCTCATGCTAGAGCGCGTAAACCGAGACGGAGGCACGTGGTATATGATGAACAACGAGCGGATCTTCCTGTCGTGTCTCGGTCGGAACCCAGAGATCTTGAAAACACTGCTAGCCGAGGCGCAGCAGGCGTATGTCGAGCGTGACAAGAACCGCACGGTGATATACCGCGGCTCGCGGATCAACGCCGGCCCATCTTTCAGCTGGTATCGGTGTATGGCCCGACTGCCGCGTCCTCTTTCTACCGTTATCCTTGACCAGGAACAGAAACACGACTTCCTTGATGATATCAAGGAATACCTACACCCTCGCACGAGGCGTTGGTACACCAACCGTGGAATCCCGTATCGACGTGGATACCTTCTACACGGTCCTCCAGGGACTGGCAAGACGAGTCTGTGCTTTGCAGCGGCTGGACTCCTTGGATTGAAGCTCTATGTGCTTGATCTGAATTCCACGGCCTTGAACGAAGAGAGTTTGTCATCACTGTTCTCCGAACTACCACGCCGATGCATTATCCTACTGGAAGATGTCGACTCAGCGGGTATTACAAAGACTCGGGCCGCCCCGTCTACATCTACACCCACTTCAGATACCCCCGCGAATGATGCAACCCCCAAGGAGGGCAGTACCGAAGCGGAGAGTACGACCGCCAAAGACGAAGAGAACAAGAAAGGCGGAGTCACACTTTCAGCGCTTCTAAACGTGATTGATGGTGTTGCCGCCAGTGAGGGCCGCATCCTCATCATGACGACCAACCACGTGGACAAGCTGGACCCGGCTCTCCTCCGTCCTGGTCGTGTCGACATGAAGATCGTCTTCGGATACACAAGCGAAGCAGATATCAAGGAGCTTTTCACCTCGATCTACGCGACGATGGACAACGATATGGCCCGTCACGGAGCACCATCAATCCACACAAATGGTAGCAATGGTTCGGTCAAGTTGCCGAAAACCATTGTTGGTAATATTGCTAAGGCAAATGGCGAGATTGTCCAAAAGCCCGCGGAGAGTAACGGGAACGTGGGAAAGGGCAAGGAAGACCTGCAGAGTCTTACATCCCTCCGATCCAACATCTCCGACTTGGCATCTAAATTTGCCACTGTTATTCCGAGTGGCGAGTTTACAGCTGCGGAGATCCAGGGATATCTTCTCAATTATAAGGAGACGCCCGAGGTAGCGATTCAGGGTGCAGCGGAATGGGTGCAAACAGCGCGTGATAAGAAGCTTGCCAAAGAGGGGGAGCTAGCGGGAGAGGCAAAGGTAGAGACAGAAAACAAGGATAAAACTTAGGACTATGCAGGCATGCCTACAATGATACGACGACACGATATACGGAATTCAACTCTACATAATACAATTCAACTACGATCATGGGCAGATCGGGATATTACTTTCCTGAAAATTGATAAATGTTTGCTGTACTTGGTGTGTATGTGCTTTTCTCTCCTGGCCTTTCAAACGTCATCTTTTTCGGTAGTTCTTTGGATTAAAGACTGGCAGGGTACTATGCTCTACACAAATACAATTATATTTTAAAATCACAAAATGAGTGTACCGTCGGTATCATATCACATGCAAGCCCTCAAAATCCGGGGTATATATATATCACCAAAAGCTAGACTTTATCAAAGCCCACAAAGCCAAATCTGCAGTACAAATAATCAAATCGATTAAAAAAAAAGGCCAACCACATCCCTCAAGCAATCGATGCCTTTGTCCCATTAATAATCACATCAGCCACATACATACACCTACTAGTCCTCTCCTCAGTACAGAATCCATGGAATAAGATGCGATCTCCACAACCACAAACATTCCCACCACCAGGCGAGATAAGACCCGTATTCGCAGCATTAATCAAAGGAACATTCGTCTTAGTATAAGGCCCAGTAATGCTCTTCGACGTGGCCCAACGCACATCGTAAGCCGGGTCGGTAAAGCAGTGAGTAGAGTAAAACAAAAAGTACGTATCACCATGGAGGATCAGATTCGGCGCCTCGACAAGCGGACCATCACCGTCAGCAGTATTGCGATCAAGGATCTGCACCGCATTCCCGATAGGTGTGACACCGTCGGCGGCAACCTTCTGCAATAAGACCGGCGTGGAAACAAGCGGCTCGACACCGTTGTTACAGTCCCCGCCGTGACCGATGCTATTACCGTCGACTTTGAAGACGACGTAGCGACTGCCGTCTTTATCTTTGAAGCCTGCTGGGTCGATTGAGCCGCCCTGATCGAGACGACATGATAGAGGCTTGTTGCTTGGGACATAGGGTCCTGTTGGTTTGTCTGCTACGGCTGTGCCGACGCAGTGGTGTCTGAGGTTTGATTTTGCTTCGCCGGAGTAATACATAACGTACTTTCCGTCATCCTGGATGGTAATTAGTTATTTGTTTTCGGGGCGGGTAGTGTTGATCTTTGTCCTTTTCGGAAGCCGAGAAAACTTACTCTCATCACCACGTCTGGAGCCCAGTGGTCGTTTTCGGTTTCCCATGTTGATAATGTGGGGAGGGCTTCGATATCGAGGAGGTTCCATGTATTGAAGTCGTCGGAGACTGCGACTTGGACTCGTTTTCCGTTTCCGTTGGTGCCGAATGCGTACCATTTTTTATCCGCTGCCCGCAAAAAGCTGGGATCTGGGAAGTTGGTGTTCAGGCCCAGCCAGGGACCTTTTGCTCGCTTTTCGAATAGAGGAGAGCCGAGAACGGCGGGGAGTAGGGATAGGGTTAGTAGAGCCCATATGGAAGGGGATTTAATGAAAGACCGCATATCGGAATGATCAGGCCAAAGAAGTCCGAAAGAATGAAGCCGCGGATCATATAGATCTAAAATTCTTAGAGAAAGGGAGGTAAGACCTTCTTATATGTAGATTTGACCGCCATTGTCCGAATAAGGGAGGGGGGGGAATAGAGTCCGCATTGGATTAAGGGTACCAAGAGAACTAAGGTGAGACCACATGCTCGGGGTCTGCTTGGCTCCGAGGGGATAATTCCTGCGAGCAGCAAGAATAGGAAGGGAAAAATAACAGCCGCACGCCTGATATGGACATGCATCAGGTGGCATCGGGCGTCGGTGGAGAACTATTGGGCGACCCGCTATTGCGCGAGATCGTGTTGGCTTTTCCCTTTTTGCCAAGTCCAATCACCGAGCTGTGGTTAACTCCGTGGAGTATGTACGAGTGATTCAATGCTAAAAGGTACGGAGGGAGACGGGAGGCGTTTTCGTGGCTTGTAAATTCAAGAATGGCTAGATCACTAGGGGACTACAATAAGGGCGAACAAAAGAATGAGGCAAGCTGAAGCGACGGAACCTGGGACTTTAACAATATCCTTGGGAAGGGATTTTTCTCTCTTTCAAATCCCTAGCTGGAATGCCGAGAGCATAAAGAATATTTGTGCATTTGACTTTGGGGGCATTGTTTTGAGTCTAGAATCTGATTCTGAAAAGGAGTGGGTTCCCAAATAACTACAGGATGAGGCCATGCTCACATTGAACGAGTCCATATTATGGTTCTTGTGAGACTGGACGATCCAATAGTACTCCTCCATAATTGAAGTCGGCTTTCGGCTGTCAAGTCAGCGACAGACGTTAGGCTGGAAGATCTAACTTCATGACCAGGGTGTTGGCTAGGGATGATTGGGACTTCGAAATGTGGATAAAATCGCCAAGCTCGGCCAGATCCGGCAAGGGACTTCTGACTGGGGGTTTATAGTGGTCGATCAAGGTCAAAGCTTCCAAAGCCTAACAATATGACCTGGCATCTAATCTGGGAATTTCAAGAAAAAATAAAAGACAACAGACATGCAAGGGCGAAATAGATAATGAGAAAAGGAAGCCATGGAAATAATCCGTAAATATGCAGCCCAGGCATGATACCTCAGACAAAATACCCCTGTTGGCCCATAGGTTAGGAGAATAGAGAATAAGCCCCAAGCCCCCAAGCCCCCGGCCCCAGGGGTCACATGAGGCATATGGCTGTGCTGGCACATGGGACACATGGCTCTATAATTATACTACAGTACGATTTGAACTTATGTTCAAAGCGAAATACAATTTGGCAAGAGATTTCGAACACATAAGATTTCCGACATGTCCTCATCGCGAAAATACAAGAAAATTTATCTCAGAATACAGTCTTCAAGTACATCCGATCGACTAATATTTCATCATTTTTGGTCTGCAATCATCGACTTTGGAATATCAAATCAGACCTCAAGGCACACAACATCCTTGTTTCGTTCTTTTTACCCCGCAGTATGAGATGGCCAGTCGGTGAGGACTTTCTTGAACCTCATGATGTCACCGGGGGCCTTGCGTCAATTAGTGTTGTGATCGGCAGGATGAGATAACACCGGGGTTTGATGTGATGTAGTTAATGTCTGGAAGAGTGGGAGTAGCTCTTGCTACGTCTTTACTCCCTAGACAGCAAGAAGCCTCAACTGTACTGACGCTACGTAAGGGCAGAGTCGCTTCTTCCTCTCTACGTACGGCAAATGAGGTAGGTACAATGGTTCCGGAAGGCGCGACGTTCCTGCGAGTATAAACCTTGGAGACAAGAGCATTGAACATGATTAGCCTCGATGAAAATCATCGTCGACAAAGATTGTCCAACCCCAAATAAAAGAGAGTCGTGGAATATCATTCGAGACGTGGAATGGCGGGCAGAAATGATATCTATTATTGTTCTAGCCCTAGAAACGCCCAATAGACACGGGAAAGTCTTTATCATTCAGTCATATATTCACAGTAATCATTTCATCAAGTTGGCAGCGGATAACACCACATCTGTACAATGTGTACCCGAAGGTTAGTGGGCAAATCGGAAGTCCAATCTCTTGTTGCCCTCATCTTTCGTCGTGCTTAGATAATGGTGTTTCTGCTCCTGATCCATAGCATCCCAAATCTGTTCACGTGTTTTGTTTCGCCGTATATAATAGAACTTGATGAAGATGGTAATACAAACGTTCCATGCCACAATCGCAAGAAGGACCTTGTTTCCTTTCCGGTAGAAGGGTTGATCATCCGTTCGGTATATCTGACGGAGAGATATTAGTGGCACATCCAACCACAGGAAAAGAGATATGAGAGGATCAGAAAACGTACGTTGGAAGAAATGATAGCACCTGCTTGGGTAATCATGTTATACACTGCACTGCCAACTGTGCGGGTGCGGACAGAGCCAGAGTTCCGGGAGATGAGGCTGACTATAAGAAAAATGGCGTTAGATAATCTGGGATTTGTCAGACGACATGAGTACTAACCATTAATGGAATGAACATAGGGAAAGCCGATAAGCAACACTGTAACCGCGTACCAACTCCAAGGACTTGCAGTTGCTGGCATCAGCTCGAGTGCCATCAAAAGAGGAAAAACCCAAAAGGAACAGAACAGCACAATGGCCATGCGGTTGTTGATTCTTTCAGATACCCAAGACCAAAAGATCAATTGGACCAGGAACAACACCGTTGCAGGAATGGTCAGAAGATTGACCTCGAAGGTATCAAAACCAAGTGACCTCAGGAAGAGGGTTATATATGATAATGGAGTGGTGGCGGGGATGAGCATCGTGAGACTCATTAGATACATTGGCCAAAGATCGTAGTCCATGAGAGAGTCCCACAGAAGTTTGAATGTTAAACCTTGACGATTATGCATACCACCCTATATGTACCCCCCAGTTAGCCTGTGTACGGGTAAATTTCCAACCGGAATACCGTTTCCTACGTACCTTTGCTGGGTCATCTCGCAAGACTCGATTGACCATGATGACTTCCTCCCTTTCCGAGAACCAACCATCTTTCCCACGAAACCAGCTTGCAGTCTGGGTTGGACTAGGCGGTAGATAAAACCACGAGAAGACACCAATGATGAGAGTCAAAGCCCCCTCAATAACAAACAGCCATCTCCAGCCTTCCCAGCCGCCCATGGCTCGCATGTGCAGTATGCCAAAGGCCATGAACGCAGCAATAATACCGGTACTGTTGGAGACACAGAAGAAAAAGGCGACCCGCATAGGCATCTCATTGTTCGTGTAGAAGTAGGAGAGATAAAGGAGTGCATCAGGGATAAAGCCACCTTCTATCAGACCAAGCAGAGCCCGAGTTGCATAGAAGCTCTTTTCGTCAGTGACAAGACCCTGGCAGATCCCGACTATACTCCAAAGAACCATCTGAATGGGAATCCATACGTCAGGGCCGAGCTTTTTCGAAATCATTTGCGACGGCACCTCGGCGCACAGGAAGCAAAGGTAGAATATCGTCATGCCATAGTTATAATTGTTTGTTGTTAACCCAAGGTCATCAAGCATTCCGTCGGATAATGCTTGTCCGATATTACCCCGATCCAGTTGAAGAGCAAAGAACATCAGACAGACCCAAGAGCAGATTCTATAGTCGAGCTAGTGTCATAAAATGTTAGTTGATTGATTCATAATATGGGAACCTCGGGACGAGTTTTCATTACCTTTCGGACCAGTAGCTTCTCTTCCTTTTCTGTCCACTCTGCAAGTGGGTTATATCGATGTTTCCCTTCATATTCATCGATGGGCTCATAGAACTCCAACGACCCACCCGCAGCCAACACACCATTTGATACATCGTAATTTTTGGTCGGGACTGGCGTCTCCTGGACTATTGTGACTGAAGCCTGCTTCGATTCAAGCGACAAGGAGCTTTTGCCCGACATTGTCGATTTCAAGTCTGGTTGATAACTGCCATGACTTGGATCTGTGTCTTTTTATATAGTATACATGTTACAAGTTGTGCCCTGCGTCGAATATTGCGCAATGCTAGAAATGTATGTCGGGTCAACGCTACCTGCCGCTGTGCAGTCGGGCTGCGGAGAAAATCCAACGGCATTCTTCACTCAAAAGGTGAAATTTGCGCCTCTTATGATGAATCAAATGCCTGTAAGTGCTCAATTAGCATGGTAAGGACGCATCCGAAATCGGTTAAGCGAAGGGGTCCATGCATGATACTGTCAAGATGCGGACAAAATCATATCACGAATGCTGGCGGGGACACGTGGGCACGGACATATAAAAATTATGATCTTGACATACTGATGCATAATTGAGACTAAAATTAAAATTGATGACAGAATACTGCACACCAAGACAGTCGAGACTGCCCAACACGAGTCATACGCAACAGAATTGGTTAGGCGTGAGCCTTGATTGAACGACATGTTGTCATTCAATGCGAGATCGCGTCACTAAGTAGATAACGGATTGACCTTTACCCCTCTACTAGGTGCATTGTTTGCATATACAGAATAATAGGATTGAGTAAACAAGTTCGAGATGGCGACATATCGGCTAATTTTCCTCGGAAAAAGCCCCTACAGAGGAATGAGCTGTTTCATAAACCAACGATCCAAGTTGCGCGGATTTATCAGACGACGACAATGACTTGAACTAGTAAACAAATGCGACATATATTTGATATGGTATACTCCTCTATATTATCCTAATACAGCCTTTCCGTTTTTGCCTCCGTATTGCAAATTAAACCGTGGCTGATAAATCGACCTGACGCCAATCTGAAAGGTCGCCAAGCATGATCGATTGTGACAAGAATTTAGTTTCAACATGTCGTGCTAGATTCAAAGCAAAACTCGAAAAGACTTATCTAGGCTGGCATCTAGTTGCAAAAAGTCCACTAGACGTCCCAAATGGTCAATTCCCCAGAAGCTTTCCTTTGCCCCTTCAGCGTTTACGCAGTCAAACCAAGGCAAACCAAAGGCACCGGAGCTGAATGCCTCTTGTGTGCGTCCGCTCAAAATGGCTTGTGCCTCAGTACCTTTGAACTGTAGAACAATATTAGAGAATAAAGAAGGTGTCGTGTAGACTAGATGAAACATACCTCATCCAAAATCGGCTTGGCATCCTCAGCGCCAAGCTCACTCTCAAAGATAGTAGTGAAACCAGGTTGAGTGAGGAGATTCGAGTCTCCATCTTCCCAGAACCCCCGAAAGATCTTCGCCACGATGGGAACTAGCTTATCGGGACATTTTGTAGCCAGAAAGCAGAGCGCGAGCTGAGCGTCGGAAGTGTTTGCGGGAAATCCTTTTGGGATGGCTTCGGACATGGGAACCTGGAAACGACGAGCCCAGTAGATACGCTCTCGGTTGATCCATTGGAACTTATCTTTAGCAGGACATTAGTATTCAACTATGGGTTGACCCAGAGCGTTAAAGGAGGAAATAATGAAGAGGAACCTACTCTTGACTGCAATAGGAGGCGTGTTTTGGCATAACTGAAACAGGTCGGGCAGGGAGATGGGGACGTAGTCAATATCACATGCCGCGAAGACAGGCGACGTCTATAGACAATCATTAGATAACTTTTCATTCATGAAATTCTTTGGAATATTCGACTAGCCGTTAAAGCATGGAAGGCAATGCAGCTGAATGGACTACCAACGTCGAAATAACAGGTTATTTTAGGAGCCATGATCGGAATAGTATCGTTTGACGATATATAGTTGAATTAACCTATACCAGGATGCTGGACATGAGGTCTTATAGACATTATTTAATGATTATTCATCTTGGCCCGAGTTATGTTCCCAACAAACTTTCGGATCTCACGCAGGGACGATTGAATTTAGGTTCGGGTTTCTTGGTGGAGCCCGGGAATCAACTCAACATTGCAAAGGTTGAATGTTGTTCCCCTTGTTGGGACCTCAGAAAGCATTTTTTTGGCTAGCATTTTGGTGTGATGGAAAGTGGCTGAATTGAGAGACGATATCGAGATAAGCGAGGTTGGAAGAAGTGAAAGGAAGCTATCAATGCGGAAACCCAGGGTATCAGCATCTATATACTCCCCCCGCAATTCAACAATTGAAATCTCTCCATAGACTGAAAAGACTTATGGGATATTTGTACTTAATGGCTATTATCATCAAGCTCTCCAAGAAGTCGCACCGGTAGCTCATTTGGTAGAGCGTGCGATTGCAAATCGCAAGGTAGCGCGTTCGATCCGCGCCCGGAGCTCTTTTTTTTTTATTTAGTTTTGCTTCCTTGTCGGCAAGGTGGAAAATTGGAAATCGGCCCTACACTGAAAACTTCAAGATCTACACAGACGTAAGATTAAATTTGGGTGTGTATCGGAACCTGGGAACCTTCATTTCCATGAATTTGTCCTATTGGAAGTGTCATGTGCATAGTAGCATCACTTAGTATTTATTCTCCGCGGTTTCATGTTTACTCAAAGCTCTCAATCTCTTCCCAATCTTGAACAAGACCCACGGAACGGGCAAAAGTGCCACCGCAATAAACCCTAGCAAGCTAGATGCCCACCCTGCACCGAGCTTGGTGTACACTAGAAGAGACGTAAATATATGTTTTCGGTTATCATAAAAGACCGATACTCACTTTGGACGGTAAACAGAGGGAACACAGCCCCAAGTCCATAACGTGCCAAACCATTGGCGCTCATGGCACTTGCGACAGTGAGACCATGATAAGTATCAACGAGATATTGCGTTGTGCTGACGAAGACACATAGATTTCCCCATGCAAAAACAATGATTGCAACGACGGGGCTTGCCCAGGAAATATCAGCTCTGGAAGTCCATGCAAACCAGAATAGACCGATCGGTAGTCCAATACTGCCTATCAGTGCTGGATAGAGGCGATATTCAGGTGGTACTTGTCCGTCTGGATGCTTTGCAGCTTTGGGGAGGTAGAAGAGGATGTTGCATAATATGACGGTCACCGTTCCTAGCAGACATCCCACCACAATGGTCAAGAAGACTAGGCCGGACTCCTCGATGTTAAAATGATAGATACCCTGGAAGATCAATGGGAAGGCTGCGAAGAACGAGAAGAGTGTCGCAAATTCACAAGCAATGTAGAGGCAAATGAAGCCAACGATGGGTTCGGTTAGCAGCATGTTGATAGGGCGGAGGAGGGAAATGGTTACAAATAGGCGTAACTTCGAAGAGAGGGGGGTGATGGGGGAAGTTCTAATCCGAGTTCATTGGCGCGACGACGTTTGATGATAGGGTGAAAGGTTTCTTTGGCAATGAGAATTGTGATACCAGTGAGGATAGCAAAGAAGATCGTTGTCCACTGCGTCCAACGCCAGCCTTTCCGATTGACAACGAAACTTCCAATGACAGGCCTAAACAGATAGTTAGCAAAACGGAACTTTTGGCAACAACATCGATTCGAGAGATATTGACCCTAGACCAGGACCCAAGAAAGGCGTAAGAATAAAAATAGCCGAGGGAAGGGCGCGTTGAACGGGCTTGAACGTCTCATTGAGAGTTCCGGCTGCAATTGCTAGAGTCGGTGCGTAGCAGAAACCAGCCAAGAAACGTAAAACACAGAGTCCAGAAAATGTGGGACAAAATCCTACACCTAGAGTAAATAAAGTGCCCAGACCAATAGACCCTATGTAGACTGGGTATCTCCCGACAGTTTCAGAGAGAGGTCCTCCAACGATAGGGCCAAGGGCCAAGGCGAAGACGTAGAGTGACAAGGGTAGGATAGCGACCGTACTGCCAACCCCAAACTCTTCCATGAACTGGGTGTGAGCAGGTGATAGTATAGATACTCCAACAGTTCTAGCACATACATCAGTTTTTAAGTCAACTTCACATCATGTAGAAGGATTAACCAACGTTGTGAAAGCCGCCCAACCAATCATCATCACTTGCAGCACTTTTTGACTTGTCGGCCAGTTGTAAGGATTGCTCGGATCATCATCCCAGTTCCATGATTCACTGCGTTCTGTTTTCTCTGCGATTGTGTCAAGTGCATTTTCGACCGTGTCGTCGGATGACGATTGTGAAATTTCCATGGTACCGTGTACATCGAGCTTCGTGCCGTGCTCCAGTTGCACCATGTTGGGAATATCCTTGGAATATGAATAGACAAACTCAGAGACGTATCGTGACAATGTCTTATGAGTAAAGATAGAATGCAATGATCAGGTAACCCCTAAATGGGATTGCGGGATCACAGATCACTTCTCGCTAATTCTCGCATAGAGGTCTGAGGCTGAGGTTATACAATCGCAATTATCTGCGCGTTCATCTCACAAAAGCAACATTGAAAGACCCTTTAGAGCGACAAAGGCGGGGGGGCGCCCGGGTATCATCAAAGATTGACCAACTTCTCAACCCGGTCGACGAGCATCTCATTGGTTGGATGAGATAACGCTAAGCTGCTTGTCCGAGGCATTTCTGGATAATTGAATATTTGATTACTCAACATCCATGTAACATCCATGTCAACTGAGAATAGGCACAATGACGATCGGGATGTTGAGATTTATATTTGGCTTGTTGAGGAGGCGTTTATTGTGGCTGAAAGAAAGATGTATCTACCAAGTGACCAGCTAGCGTATAAATGATCTATGTCTTTCTTGCATTTGTCATGTAGCATCAAATAAAAAAATTACAACTCCCTCGCAAGGAGCCTCTGACTTGAGCATAGCTTTCTTGCCATCAGATGGGTTTTTCCAACCCCAAAGTTCCTCCGCTCTCCATCCAGAACCACAGCCCAGTGAACCGGTAAGGCGAGGAATTGACAATAATTATGGAGCCAGACGGAGAAGGAAGATTAATCTCATGGAGACATAATCATCAAAGGAAGCTGCTACCGGTACTCGACGGGGTTTGGCAATCGCGTGGGTGAATATGCTGGCGCCAGTAAGATGATCGACAGTGAACCAGATTGGCGTCGATAGTTCGGCGGGGGACAGTCGATATACTTTTCGGCATTTTGTTGAGTTTTCGTTAGTAAATGCGAGAGACGCTTAGATCATGCATAGAAACACAAGTCGGGTTGAAAGTCGCGTGGAACAAGCTCCCTGCAGAGAACCCGAGCCACAGTCGTGTGGCCTTTGCTAGTAACTGCTTGTCCAGTCCGATCAACTCATCGATGCGGCTCGTAGCCTCGGAGTCCGAGTCAACAAACTTTCCCTGAGTCAGTTGCTGAAGGTTAGGGTCAGTGATGGAAATGCGCCACGGGCCCTGTGCCAATGGTATTTCAGAAATGCGACGGCCAGTACCATCGGCTTGTCAGGATAATTTATGCCGTTTACATTGGACCGGGGGCTTCGCAACCTAGCGACGGAAATTTGATGCTTGTATTTTCTGCATTCTGGGCAGGTAAGCGAACTCGGTCACCCCTTATCTCAGAACTCCACTTGGGCGACCGGGAATACCGGGGCCGCTCGATACCCGTGGACGAGCGTACGCTATGGGGGCGAGATGAAGCTGGTGGACCTTCCATATGTACGCTATAGATTTAGTAATTTCAATTTAGACCGCACGAGTTTGGTTTGATATGGGGAGAGGAGATCTATGGTTCGCATGGCCAAAAGGGACTATTAGGCCTGGTTATTCAGGCTTCCAGTTTTTCCTAATTGGTCTGACAGGTCTCACCTTATCTCTTGGGGAAATTTTTCGGCCGTCCCCAAGTTGCCGGACCTGCTTACATTTTTCCAGTCTTGAAGGGTTCGATGCTTATATTTTGACTGTTTTTTTTCTCTGAAGGTCAAAAGGTCCATCGCCGACTTCTTCTATATATTCTGTGACAATCATATTATCGCTTCTCGGGCTGCTACAGAGCAATCGCTCTAGCGGTTAGATGCAGTTCTACCCCAAAGCGCGAGAGCAGCGACCTAGCATCCATGACCCATCTATTAGGCCGCGTCGAATTGGTGTCCTAAAGGCAGCCACCTTCAATTTACTGCTTCTTCAAGCTCTATTCCTGGGTCTATTTTGTTACATATTCGGGTCCCTTTTCCAACAGTCCGGACACATTCACAACATCAATGTGTTGTTCGTTGACTACGATGGTGGCGCGATAGGTGATGCGGCCCGCGCTGCGGCTCAAAAGCTCAAAGGACCCGGCTTTCCAACTTTCATTGAGCAATCTGCCTCCGTCTACCCTCAGCCTGGCTCGATTGAAGGTGCAGTCTGCAACATCAAATACTGGGGAGCACTGTACACTACAGCAAATGCGTCGAACGCATTGACTGCCGCATTTGCGGGTGGGTCTGCTGCGTCTTTGTACGACAAGAACGATGTTCTTACCATGGTGTGGAATGAAGCGCGCTACCCGACGGTCGTTGACTCAGTCCTTGCAGATAGCATCAAATTGTTCTCGGAAACTGCACGTGTTGCTTATTTCCAGACCAATGGGAAACGGTCCCTGCAGAGTATCAACAGCTCTGATTCTGCTGCGCTTGGGGCGTTCTATGAACCTTGGACATTGGCCAGTAACAATATTCAACCCACCTCACAAGGGTCAAGAGTTATCTACAACACGCTTGTGATCATTTTGATCATGATCCAGGAATTCTTCTACCTGGGCACTGTCAATGGTTTATACGCTCAATTCAAACTGTACACATCGGTGTCACCCCATCGCATCGCCATTGTGCGTCTGATCATATCTTTGATCTACACACTCATCGGGGCTATGTGTACAGCCGGCGCAATCTGGGCATTCCGAAGTGGTTGGGATGTTAACGGAAACCAATTCGCTCTCACTTGGTTGGTACTATGGCTTTTTGCGCATCTGAACTTCCTCGTGCTAGACGTTTTCACCATCTGGCTTCCACCTCCTTACGTACCGATGGCGCTGATATCATGGATTATCTTAAATATCACTTCCATCCTTCTTCCATTCGAGCTGTCCCCTGCTTTCTACAAAGTAGGCTTCGCATTACCTGCACATGCTGTGTTCCAGGTACTCATCGACATCTGGTCTTCTGGGTGCAACCCCCAACTGTATTACGCCCTACCTGTTCTCTTCGTCTACGAAGTCCTTGGCGTCATCTTAAGTACCATCGGTGCTTATCGAAGGGCCCACTACGCGTGTATCAAACAAGAGATGGACGAAAAGGCTTGCCAAGAGCAGGTGGTGGCCACACTCCTTCAGCAACAAGAGGCTCAATTGGCCAGACGGGAGACGACACGGGATACCCAAGGAAGCGAAACATCGGACAGTGGGAACGGAGAAGGGGTTGATATGCAAAGACAAAGACGAGGCACAGTGACAACACTCAGAGAGCAAGATCAAGTGGAGTTAGCCAACATCATCCACCGTGAGATGTCCCGACCGAAGGTTGAAAGACCAGGTACTAGCCGAGATAGCACCGGTCCGTCTTTTGCCTTGGCCTACAAAGATTGAACCCCCCCCCCCCCCCCCCCCCCGGGGTTGCTCACAATACCCAAAAGCGATATAGCACTACATTACTACGTAGATATTATGTATTTCATCAAAATTGTGTATATAATATTCTTTACATTTCCATCCCGCAATCAGGAATGCCGTCAACTTCAACACTGCAATTAAGATCTAAAGCGTCACTTCATTATACCTTTGTCATATACGATCAATATGTAGTATCTAATGTAGCCTGCACACTAGCACGAAAGGAAAATCAAGCTGCACATTTACATGCTCTCTGAGGGTAGATGTAGCAGGACTACTCCAACGCGAGGCCATTATTTACGCACTGCTGTCCTATGAGCTGAAATATAATCTACAACCAATTACAGGCGGCCTTTTTGAACGAAATCATTTATATTCATTCGCGGAAATGGAAAGAATTGGCGGAGAGGACGATTCGTGCGGGAGTCGCAAATCTATAATCACTTACCCAACGCTTTCTTCCCCCCATATGATTCCTCGGGAAAATCAGCTAACGGGGTAGCCCAGCCCGGGCCAAGAAGCAGGCGTGCGATGTAGTTATCATCGCTAGAGTCAATCTCACCTTTCTCTTCACTGGCGTCTGTAGCGGCCACCTCAATCTCCCCGTATGGCTCCTCGTCAAAATCGACTATGGGTTCAGCCCATTTCGAACCAAGAAGCAACCGTGCTATATAGTTATCGTCGCTGGCGTCCATCTCACTCTCATCGTCGCTGGCGTCTACATTAACATCCTGGTCAGCCTCTTCATCAATATTCTCATCATCCCTCCTGACAACAGCAGCAGAACGAGGAAACGAGGAAGATTCAAGGATCATTCGATCAAGAGCATCAGCAACTATAACGTTACTGGCTATGTCACTCTTAAGCAGAGCGATTTGCCCGGGCAAACCTCTCTGAAGGGTGTCACAAAGCTGCGTGAAACGAGCATCCTTGCCAAACTGTGCACATATCCGTCCTAGACGAGAAATCGCGGTCAGCCTTGTAATTACTAGCAATCGGCTCTCTGGGTTGGATCGGAGATCGCGGATTAGGCGTGTGAGAGCTGTGAGCATACGCTCGTGCTGCTGGGTGTCGTTGAGGGGAGGCATTGTCTTTAGGTGAGTGCCCTAAAAATGTCAGTACATGTGGGAGGGTATGACTCACCTAGGCACAATAGATGGATTTCAGAATGACCAGAGATGAGGTTATCAGTGCTGTCGAAGCCATGATGATGTTGGCGTGGGGAGTATTTATAAATTTCTGGTTCTTCTATTAGTTCAAACATGGATCAACCGAAAACAAAGGCCATTGTTGCGAGGAAAAAAATGAATGAATGAATGATACAATGCCATTGTTGGTGGGGTTTGTTATGCGGGAAAGCCCGGCTCTCCGTATAAGGAACACCAGCCCACAAATCTAGTTGTTCGAACGTATATGAAACGAAGAAATGATACCTTTCAACAAGACAATGAAAACGTGGAGGTCGGATCAATCAGCCAAGAGGACGTGTACTTGTAGAACAGTGACCTTGGAAGCTGGCTGTGGTTGTCAGGGCTATCATTCGAATTGAGTCAGACACATCTCAATGGATCTGGAGATAGAAATTTGCGAGAATTGGATTGTACACCTTGAGCTGTCGATTTTGGAGTATTTGATTGGGTACGGCTAGGTGGATTGCCGCACTAGGGCACAATTAGTCTATTTACAATGCGCTAACAAGTCCTCCCTCGCATGTTTTGGCACAAGGCACAGTTACATGGTGTTTGGTATATGCGTATAGGGCTTCTCATTGCGTTGGAATGAATGGATGGAATCCACGGAACACTTGCGACAAACGTACGATGGGCGTACGCCTGCGGATGAGAAACATGGCCAAGCAGATGACGTAGTGGAATGGCGGATATGTGCCACGAAATAAAACGTTGCTGTTGAGTTCCGAGCTGTGCTCTGGAGTCTTCCAAGGATATACATCGAAGGAACATGCACTTAGCAGGGGTTCTTGGCCAAAATCAGTAGGTAAATAATCCAAGGCGTTCACTCAGTCAGAAAGCTTGATCTGCCCACAAAGGACGACATCTTCCCCAAATGGGTACCATTTAACATTCTTTAATCTCGCTGCGGAGATCGCATTTCCACTCTCATCAAAGCGCCTAGCAGGGGAGACGACCACGCCACCTTCGCCCAGCCATGTGGGAGCAATGGTAACAATGACGCTGTTCAGCAACGACATATAATGTGGGCTCAAAAGGGATTTGATGACCTGGCCACCACCCTCTATCATGACGCTCCCAAGACCGTTTGATTTCAAAATGACGAGCAAATCCTGCCAGTCAACCTGGTGTCCGCCGGTATGTAATCTGATCATTTTGGCTGAGATAAATCTTCCGCCGTACCTTTCCAGCAATGCTACCTTCCCAGCGTCTGGTTTCTCAACTGCCGTGATGATCCATGGGGCACGGCCACGTCCCTCTCTGCAAAGTTGGAACAGCTTGCTCTTGTCTGAAAACTCCCATCGCGCTGTCGGATCAATAACAACTGGTCTAGGCTGGCCATCTAGACCCTCCTGGCCATACGCTCCGACTCCTGAGATTCGACAGTTGAGACCGGGATCGTCTGCCACTGCCGTACCAACGCCAATGATAATTCCATCATGACGGGATCGCAGATAGTGAGTCATTGCCTTCGACTGGGGGCCCGAAAGCACTGTGCGTGCACCAGGGGACAGAGCCAGAGAAGAGTCAAGCGAGGTCGCGAATGTGAGTGTTGTGAAGGGGAGATCAGACTGAGGTCCCAAGCCATCCTTGGGCGGCAGATGGGGCTCTAGGAAGCCCCTGTCTGACTCTGGGAACTCCAGCGCATCTCTAGGTGCTAGATTCATCTGGACTGTTGAGAGCTTTCAAATGGTTCACTCAATTGCTGTTGGTGATACGAAGATGTGAAGCTCGGCCTTGGCGGTGAGTTTATACCGCTGCCTCAGGCCACATGCATCGACCCACCTAATAACACCGTCAAGATACGATTGGACAAAGGCCAAGATCACATCTCCGCCAACAGAGGATCCCTGTCATGCATACAGAATAGCGGGGGCTTTTACGCGACCCCTGAAGCCCACAAATCTCCCTGTCCCACGGTGTTCAACCATCCATACCGAATCTCACACTCATCATGTCAGGTCCACCTACCCTTTCGCCTGAGAGCCAATCAATCTTGGTGATACGCGATAAGGAGAAGAGAAAAAGGACTAGTGCATCGAAGGTCCGCACGGGGTGTTTGACCTGCAAGTAAGTACCCGGAATCTACCGCCAGGTGAACGCTCAGTGGATGAGAAGATCCGCAGCGCGTAAACACAATGCAGAGATCTACCTAGCCTTAAGATCTTACTCGGGTAATAAGGCAGTCGGTGCTAACACCCGTGTTAAGATCTCGTCATAAGAAATGTGATGAAACTCGACCCACTTGTCATATGTGCAACCGTGCTGGACGCGTATGCCAGGGATATGCGGCACCACCCGATAGGAGAACCCGTGAAGTCCGAGATGCGCGCACCGCGAATATGAACGGTGGCGCGCTAAACATTGTGCATTTATGCCAGCAACGAGCTCAATCCGCTGGTTTGGTCCACATGGTTGATGGAAGTCAAGTTGGCTTGTCGCGGATGGAACGGGACTATTTGTATTCATTCCGTTCATACACTGCTGGCCAGTGCGCTGGGTATAACTTCGACCCATTTTGGCAGGTCCTTGTCCATCAAGTCTGTGAATCTTGCCCCGAGGTCCGCCATGCAGCTATTGGTATCGGTGCCTTGCATCGTATATTTGCGAACCCCAGTTCCGACCGAAATGACATTTTCCCCATCCGGCAGTCCACAAAGGCCATGGCTTGTCTCCGCGCGGCCATGATGAAGCAAGACCAATCGGATCCCTCGGCCACGGAGAAGATATTGGTGGCCTGTGTTGTTTTAATTACCTTCGCTCTATTCCAAGGCGATGTTGATGCCGTTCGCTGTCATCTGCAAGCTGGCACTAAACTTCTCTGGGAGTGGAGGAAGAAAAATTCCAAGAGGCCAGTTGCTTCTGTTTTGTTACATACATTTATACAGCTCCATATCCATTGGGCAAGCGTTACAATGCTCCAGGATCATATGGGAGGAGACTATCCCTATCTTCTAGAACTCATCCATGATAACCTCGCCGATATTTCTACATATGCCGATGAACAGTCAAAAGCGATTTTCTTGGTGTTTGTTCAAGCTTGGTCGTTAATGTTGAATGAACCCGTCTTAGTTGACCGGATGACCGGCAATCGGTCGCAAGGATTTATATGGGACACCCCTGCGAACAAGATCCATCGATTTCACACGGAAGCGGAGGAGTGTATTGTTCTTCACCAAAAGACTGCCTGTCCCACAAAGCTCCGTGCCTTCATGGTCATTCAAGTGCAGATTGAGATGATAAAAATTGTCCTCGCCTCAACAGCATTTTCAGGCTCTGAATTAGAATGGGATGCTCTCCTTCCCCATTTCCAGACAATTGTCAATACAGCGGAGGCTTTGTTAAGTAGCTTCGATCAGTTACCCGACCCACTGTTTTCTGTCAAGGAAGGATTTTTAGCGGCTCTCATGTTTTGTGGGCTCAAATGTCGAGACTGGACGGTTCGGGAAAAGGTGTTGACTATCTGCCGAAAGTATAATCGACGAGAGGGAATGTTTTCTACCGCTGAGGCTGCCCTCCTTCTGCAGCGTATCTACGATGTTGAGGCTGCAGGTATTCCACCAGGAGAGAAAATACCAGAGTCCGCTCGTCTCACCGCACTGTTTATCGTGGAACATCCCAACTATTCGAAATTCCAGCCCAAAAGCCACATCAAATATCGTGATAAAGATGGGAACTGGTATAGTGAATGGCTGTCACCATGATATTTCAGAGTGGCTTGTTCGAAGGGAATTAATGATTAAAATGGGCATCATGACATTGTATAGATTTCGGGATAGATTTACATAAATCAATGTTTCAACTCTAGACTTAATTCTTATCGGTTTGTATTGTCAAAAAAGTAATAATCCCATGATAATGTATTGTCAAGACGTTTACTTCTTCCCAAACAGCCGCTTCAATTTGCTATCCGTCTTCCCCTTCCCAACCCTACCCTTCCCGCTGTGGAGTTCCCGCAACCGCCACAGCATGGCCAGAGCACTGGTCACTACGACACTTTCTTCGGAGCTCTGGCGACTAGGAAGAAGCAATATACCCTCACTGTATGGCAGCGCGAACGAGTCGTCGAGCCCGAGGTGGTAGTATACCCCCTGGACATCAGGACTGCCGGATTCCTCGGGGTTGCGGACAAGTGTATACCGCAAGCGCCCGTGTTGACTAGGGTGAATCTGCCATTGGAAGATGGTTGGTCCATCGTCGGCATCGGGGACCTCGAAGGTGAAGTAGGGGTGTTTGACGGTGCCGGTGCGAGTTGACGAGGGGGTAATGGGGTATGTGACACCGAGAGGTATCTTGGTTGGACTTTCGCTGTTTGTAATTAAAACAGCAGCTTCATCTTCAGTAGTTGATATTGTCCTATTTGGTATGAGTATCGCTTTCTCGGGATGTTCATAGAAAGTGCAATGTACAAATCTACCTCAGCCGACGGGCCTGATGGTGTCCGAGATTTCACCGATCCAATTACCGCCTCTCCATCTCTTAGATTGAAGTCCACATCGTACGCGACAGTGACCTCATCTGGTCCATCGCCTTGCGGCTTCGGTATGGCTCCCACGGCTACCACGTGTCGGGTACACCCGATGGGGAGAGTGCCCGTAGCTGTCGCATACTGGTCGCTTATATCGTGGACGGCCAGGTGATTTTTTTTCTGTCGTGGCGAGGGAAATATAGCGCCCGTGAGAGCTTAACCAGACTTGCGGCATCCGGATACGCAGATTCTGAGGCGGCGGAACGGGAGAGTTGGCTGTGGGATGTGTGTTGTTCCCACCCTATGATACCCCCTCCGGCATATGTGCTGTCCATGTTGAAGAATCTGGGATCGAAAACCTGTAGGGTTTGAAGGCTTTGTGCGAATGAGGTATATTATAGCAAAGAGAGGAAATGAATAAATATATATAGGATTCTAACATCAGTGACGTTGAAAGTGCAACCTTGAACAGCTTTATGAAAGGAAAGTGGCTTAGACGCTAAGACGGGGCGGGAGCCATAACAAGCGCGGATGTTCCCCGGTCATATAGCATCGAGACACTTGGAGAAACCAACGGGAGATCAACACAGATGCCGCTTGCTCCATTTGATCTCTGCCTCTTGTAGTTGCAAGAAAGTCGAGAGTTTCATTTGCCAAAAGGATAGCAGTTTCCTGCCACTATGATCCACTGCATGGTAAGGATTCGCCCCGTGGTCCAACAGGGATCGAATGATGGCCTCGTGATCGCGATAAACAGCATACGTGAGTGGAGGCTGTCCGAACATATCAGTAACCTCCGGATCTGCGCCACGCTCCAGTAGCAAATCCACAATCGCTACGTCGGACTTCTCCACCGCTGCGAACAGGGCACGGTCATATACTCTGCGAACTCCGTCATTCGGGCGTTCGGAACACTCCACATTTACATCTGCCCCATGATCCAGGAGTAATTCCACCAACTCTAAACAACATATCTGCACTGCAAAAAGAAGAGGCTGTACCCATGCCCCGTCATCTTCCCAGGGTTCGAGTATCTCTGATTCCGGTATCTCAGATGGACCAAATTCAGGGGGTGCGCCACTTCGAAGTAGAATCTCGGCCATTCGTCTGTTCTGCTGTGCAACTGCGAAGGCCAACGCTCTAGTTCGGTGAAGACTCTCCGTTTTACGGACCAACATCTGGGCAATTTCCTCATGCTCGTCCCTCACTGCGACCGTCAAGGGCGCAGGGGACTTTCGCCGATGCATAATCAAATTCGGATCCGCACCGTACGCAAGAAGTTGCGAGACCAAATCACGATTTCCGGTGGCTGTAGCCATAGAAAGAGGACTACCTACCCCCCAGAGGACGTTTACTTGCACCCCATGCGTGAATAATAACCGAAGCACCGGGATCCGTCTGGAATGAATCGCCGCCGACAAGGCACCACTCATAAGTTCTTCTTTGTCGCACTCGCTCCCAAGTTGCTTCGGAGCTGACAAAATTATGTCAACCACATCGACATGCCCGTGAATTGCCGCGAACCATATATACATTTCGGTTTGGACGTCCTGGCGGGTTCCGACGTCCAGCAAATATTTCACTACAGATGCATGGCCGGCGAGAGCAGCCACCGTCACTGGCGTGAAGCAATCAGCGTCCCTAATGTTAGGGTCCACCCCGGCATCAATCATGTATCGGATGATATTGGTATGACCCCCTTTCGCCGCGAGCGAGATGGGATGCGGCTGAAATTTGAAAACGAGCTTTGGATAGACCCACTGTTTCTTCTGTAGGGGGGCCCCAGCATCTAGCGCCTTCTTTAGTGTATCTATCTGCCCATTTTGCGCTGCCCAGTCCAAGGCGAAGCTGTTGCCGTGGCGCACATTGTTTTGGTAAAGGTAAGGGTTGCAGATTGCATGAAGATAGCGGTTTGACAAGGTTAAAGCAGCGATAGATGATTCGGACGGCAATGCTGAAACGATTAGGAGAATGAGCTCGGCTGGTAATATTTCGATGGACATTGCGAGTGTGAAGAGGGGAAGTAGTTTGTGTCAGCCCCCGCCAACATGCTTAAATTAGCAGATTCAATCGAGGCTCGGATTGGCCGTTTTGTCGCTATCATACAGTTAGCCCACCACGCCAGTCCAGCCTCTCACGCTAACAAAAACGGTTCGCCTAAATCTACCACTTCACCTTGGGATTTACGGGATTATCTGTCAAATACCGGAGCCATATACCCCGGTCGGTTACAGTACTAAACCCCCGAAGATCGGATACAAGGTAATTTACCTTGGATCTCCACGACGTCGGTTCTATGCAACCGACCAAAGTGCATTATTGACTAGTAATTTTGTCTATTTACACTCGCGCGTTCATCCTGTTTTTTTGCTAGTTAGAGAGTTCCAATATACTCAGTTCATACCATACATTTCCATACAGTCAGATTTCTGTCATTATCTCCAGACCCTGGCCCAACCTTTACAGATACAGTTCGTTATTGCGGAGCATCAAGCCCTAGTTTATTCTATTATTTCAAATACCTTTCAGACTATGTTATACAGTCCCGAAAAAGGGAAGAAAGAGAGGACCAAATCAAATGAATGAATTGATGATTTTCAATATACCGTATGAAGAGGTGTAAAAGGGACGGTCTATATTTAGGCCAAACTCGGACATCAGGACATCAAATGGGTATATATGACCCTGAGCGCTATGCCCCTTCGTATATGTGCTACCTACGATAAACTCTTTGGTTCATGTCCAGACAAGAATTTACCCCGACAAATGCAACACCTGCGGTAATGGAAATCTCGGCGCTTATGAAGATATTTCGTTATTTTAGAAGGGTGGGACCAGTTTGTCATTTAGATCTAAGGAAAATAATCTATGATACTTGAGAAAGCTTGATGTTCATTCATTTAGGAGATTAAACCCGATGTAAAAAGGTCAGAAAGAAGGCACTAAGACCCCCGATCATTCAACTTCCGATATGCAATGAAGGAACAGAGTGTAAAACGAGTTCATGTTGTCCTCCACGTAAAAAGAGACGAAACGATGGAGAAAGGAGACAATGAAGCTCCCAATCTCTCATAATCGGATCAGTAACTAAGGAAAAGACCGCAAAAGGAGTCCATGTCACCATGCACGGAAGGTCGATTTTTCACAAGCTGACTGAAGTACTCGCAGTCTGGGTTCTGTTCCACTGCGCACACAAATTGAGCAAGCACCATGGCAGCAGGAATCTCAACATTGAGCTCGCGGGGGCCTTGCAAGGTGCATTTAAAGTCGCATAAAAAGCGTCGTTTGTCTAAAAGGCCAGTGCCAGGATATCGTAGACTAGTCTACTGGCGCCACTGGTGGTAGAAGTTCTCTGTTGCTCTGTCGCCATAGCACAACTCGTTCACCGCGGACCAAGCATCCATGGCGTGGGTGATGCCAGCGATCTGACGAGCTATCTCGGGAGTCAGAGTGTGGAGTAGATAGTCTCGGACCTGCGTGTTCTTTTGCTCCCAGCGGCGAATGGCATGGCCAATCCATTCTCCAGCGGGCTTCGGCTTTGATTCTTCGGTAGTAGCATTAAGTTGCTCTCAAACAAACCGAAGCTTCTTGCTTTCTATTCCTTTGCTCTTCTTTATGTGTCTAAAAGTGGAACCGACTCTGTCCCACAGGATAATTGCTTAGTTCCGAGCTAACCTCTTTGGCGCAAAGCTTCGATGCATAACAGGTTTAGGCGCAGATTGAAGAAATTCAGCCTAATTGCGATCTACTTGAGGGTAACGGGCCATACACAGGCTAATAATGCAACGTCTGCCCGGAATAACATTTCAACCCTCTGTTCTTTCGCCCAGTGTTAGAGAATTGGCCGAATTTAGGAAGAAAAATGCAAGAAAGCTATATTCTTTCAGAACATCTGGAGCGAAGTGACTGCTGACCATCTATAACCAGCTGGTATTTCTGCCTATATGAACAATGTCTCCATTCATTGAGACTGTCTTCTGTTTAGCGACAGCAGTGCCGGTGACATCTATGGCAAGGAAGGTCTCTCAGAGAAAAACACCAAAAATGTCCTTGATCTTCTTTTCAGCATCAACAAGGGCGCTGGCTTTGCAATTCTGCGCAATGGGATCGGTTCCAGTAACAGCTCAGCTAGCCTGGTGTCAAGGTGACCAACCTCGGTTTCTTGAATGAGCCTGGGTTTCCCGCGTCGTATGCCGGCATGCAATCTGATGGGACACAAGCTGCAGAGCTTATTCGTGTTCTTGCAAAAACCATCAAAGCCTCCGGTATGGATCTCTTCATCAATTGCTGTGATAATATCGGGTGGGAAGGACAAGAGCAGATGATCACGGCGCTTCAAGCGGGCCCTGATCCTGCAGAGGCATACTTAAAAGTGTCATCACAGGCGATGGGTACGAGACGGTTCCGGACTTCCCACTTTCAACAAAGAAAAAGACTTGGGTGACGGAATGAGCGGATTTATCGGGCGGATTTACCCCCTACATAGTTCTTCGGGAGCGGTGCAACCGGAGAGGGCATGCCATGGGCGCGCAATATTCAGTTGCGCTCGTGGATGCAAATGCCAGCGGGTTTCCTTATTGGATTCGGGTCGAGAGCTCAACTACAGACAGTGGTCTCACACTCTGATCGGAGACGATATCATTCCCAGCAAGCGATTCTGGGCTTTTGCGCAGTTCAGTCGCTTTGCTCGACCAGGAACACGACGTGTCGAAGCTACGAGCTCTGCTCCTCTGCTGCTCTATGTTAGCTCGTTCCTCAATCATGATGGTAGAGTTGCCACTCAGGTCATCAATAACGGAACTGAAGCGTATGAGGTTAGTTTTAAGGTCCAAACCTCGGGGCGGATTCACAAAGTTCAACCTTAGGTTCCGAACAATGATCATGACTTGACAGCATTCAAGTCCCTTCATATTGCTAAAGATGATAGTTTTAAGTCTACTGTTCCTGCGCATTCTATAATGACATTTGTGTCTTAATGTCGAGACAGGAACATTGATTACAATTATTTGGAGAGAATACCCGCACTTGGAGTACCTCACTAATTCAGAGCCTGAAATCGCCCCTAAATTTCCGTAATGTCGAGCCCCTCCCACTAGGCTGAGCACAAGGGACGTTTAGAGGTTTCCCTGACAGTCCTCACCTCACCCAATTGGACATCATTAATTGCCAGTGGACGAAGAAGAGTATTTTTCATGCGAGAAAAGTTTCTGTGCCGTCAAATGAGAATGGGGAGCGGGTAACCTGTCTGTTAGGAAAGAGAGTAGGTCTAGTATGCATAAAGCGGACGATCCACCAGAGAGTCCGGATGTCGTAGAGGTCAGCTGGGGTGACACCACGGAGGTTGAGATGGGGTGGCTGGTTGCAGGCAAGCACTGAGCTCTATTGAGTGGAGCGACTTGTTGCATGGATGACAAGGCTATTTCTGATGACATGCAGCTTCTCAATGGGGTCAGGATTGGGATGCCCATGGTCATTGATGCGGTCTCTATGGAAGCGATCAATCACAGACTTGGACTCTGCGCAGGTAGAACTGTAAAGTGCATGAAGGGAATAAGTCGCCTGAAACCCAAGGAGTCCAGCTGACTTGAAAACTGAGCCTTCATATAGAGCAAAAAGAATATAGGATCGAATTGCTGACCGCGGTCAAAGACCAGAATGCAGGACTTACCAAACAAGTCTCATAGGCTGGGATGGTGAGTTTATAGGAAGAAGAAACCAGCCCCGGAGTATAAAGTTGCTTTAAATAACTACAAAAAAGCACGGACGCCTTGAAAAAAATAATTGTCTAAAAAGACCCCTAGAAAGACTTTTGAGAAGACCTCCCAGAAGAAAAAAGTTTCCTACGGTACCCACATTTATCTGTGAGTCCAGCATATCATGAAGTACCTGCTTTGCTAGCTGCTCAATACCTAGGCATCCTTAATATCTGCTGCCTGTGAGAATTTAGCCTCGGCAGTCTCCTCTACAGCACCCACAGTGGACTCTGGAAGTGACTCCTTGGAAAAGGTGTTCTTTTGCAAAACAACTGGTTTGAGCAGAAATTGTTAGTTTGGTGTCTTAATAGGTTTCATGGAGTGGCTAAAATTGTGCTATAGATCATATGAACGGAGTTAAGAATGTGGAGTTGAGACATAAAATAAATGGATTCACGAAAAAGCAACTATCCAAGAGAAGAATAACGAGCAACAAGCCCGATGGATCAGATCTTAAGAAAAGTATCGGTATATATGTTTGCTCCACGTATATTCAGCAAGCCCACAACAATAGCAATAACCATTCCGATAAAGCTTTGCTAAAACCAATGGACATCTCGCATGAAGCCACTGCAGGACTTCCACGCTTATGAAACGGTGATGCTCGAGGATCCACTGCTCTGATATCCCTCAGTGTTGACAATCTGGTAGTTGTGTGATCCAAGATTCATTCCATGAGAAGCCCAAGCATTGAAGTGGTTGGCAGTAGTGACTGTTCCGCTGCTGCGCTTGGAGCGACGAATGGACCAATACTGATCGAAAGTCGCAGTTCCCGAGATGGAAGGCTGGTTCACCTGTTGGTGGGTATAAATATCATAGACTGATCCATCGCTAGTCACGGTTCCCTTGAAGGTCATGCTTCCGCCGGGGTTGTATTCGCCATAGCTTTCCATGATGTAATACTCGACGAGGGGACCAGTGGTCCACCCGTAGACAGCGAGGTAGGCATTTCCAGAGGGATTGAAAGAGCCGGAAAAGTTGATGTTGCTTATACAGCATACTTGTAAGTATATTATCAAAAGGAGAGTAGGTGGACTCGACTTACCGTGCGCTGCCAGTAGCCCAGCCCTTACCAGAGGTGAAAGATCCGCAGTTGGTCCAGCTTACGCTGTATTGACCAGATGCACCGTTGGTGTAGGAAACACTGCCACCACCGTTGGTCCAGAAAGAATAGAAGTAGCCATTGTTGGTTCCTTGCTGGCTCGTAGTGATGGTCTCTCGCTTTTCCAAGTCACTGGGAAGCGCAAAGGCACTGACAGCAGCACAGGCAGCCACGAAGAGGCTTGAGAAAGAGACCATGATGAAGGATCAGATGTCGTTGGTAATTAAGCAAGACGAATGAATTGATGAAGGTTATTTTATGGAAGATAATTCCCTCAGGAGAAGACCTTCCTTTTATATTCACAGGAGGATGTGGGGCGTGTTTCCAAAGGTTTCAGGTCCTAAATGTCTTGAATCAATTTAGCCAGCGACCCATTTATCCCATTGTAATCAGTCCCAATTCCACTAATAAGGAATCATACACAAACCATGTTCCTTTCCTGCGAACTATTACCAGTAGAGTAGTCCACCAGACCCCCAATCAGATCCCTGTATGGTTCCACCAGCCTAAAGTCAGATTTATCAGCGATTCAGGCGAAGATGAGCACATCTACGCTGCTGAGACGGCTAAACTTCGTCACGAAATAGGAATAAGCATGTTGCAGAATTCAGCCACCGGCTCAGGTGCAAATGCGGGGAAATTCATCACGGCTGTAATGGGTGTAGCGTGGCTCAACCCAGGCTAAACCCCAAATCAGGCAGTTTGAAGCCGGGAAAAATAAAGGCTATATGATCATTTTTGTCAACTATCCCGCAGTCGATGTAAAGCCAGTAAAAACGTGACAAAGTCGCCGATCCATGGATCGACGGATGTTTATTTCAACCGAACTTGGCAAGTGGGTATCCTCCTATATAGATATAGGCACCCAAAGATCACTGGGTTTCTTCTTAATGCGATAGATATGATAACGTAGATCATAGAAATCAATTTGGCGGCCCTACCCTCGGCCAGCCTCTTTTCCTCTAGAGACGGTTTGGCAAGATATTTGGATCGCTTTCTAGCTGCTAGTGTTGGATTCGAGGATTCCGTCTGACAAGATGTCGGGATGATAGAAGTACTTCGGGACGAGCAAAAGGCGTTGAAGAAGAGGTCCATGGCCCACAGTCGTCTCTTAAGTGCAATATCACACGCTAGTAGGGTTGAAGGTCTGATTTTCTGTCGGAAATTTCCGACCTGATACGATGAATCAATTTACTCGCTATGATTTGGCGCCGATCTAGGTCTTCTGACCTTCTTGTGGGTTAATTCTCCGGGCGGTCTATAATTTCTCGAACGACCGAAGAACACATGCCAAGGATCTTGGAAGAGCATGGCGGAAGCTTGGTAACCTGGGCAGTCCTTGGTAACCTGGGCAGTTAGGCAAAGATGGCAACAACACCATTTTCAGATATCGTGTATCTGGTTATGTTGCATTCTTGGGTGCTTTGCTTTGTCAGGTGCATTTATCGTAGATGCAGATGCCCCATCAAACCACATTAAAAGGTGCAGTTGAGTACAATGCAGCCCTTGGGTTTGGCAAGTACTACCTAAAATATTTCCATCACCGCTAAGTTTCTCCCTATGTAGCACTGTTGTCGCATGCCTTGCGTCCGCGACCAGGCGTACTCGGCCGGAGCTTAAACTAGATGTGAATCATTCTAGGGGCTTATCTTAGTCATTAACCATGTCGTGCATTTAAACATCATTATGGAATGTCATTAGCTCATATTATTGGGAGATTTCTCCTTCTGGCTATCTTCTCAGGTATAATTTTAGATTCTTTTTTTAGATCTTTTCCCCTGTATTGGTGTTGTGCATAACTAGCATAAAGATCAGTGGCAGAACATAGGCGGTGAAGATTGTATTCAAACGTGCCACCCAACTTTTTCCATAAAGAACTTCACGATTCAACCATGGAACGTTAAGATGACATTTATCTCGGCTGCCATCTCCATACTTGAGGCTGATGCAAGGGGTTATGCTGCAATGCGCCCCTGTCGGCACCTTTGTCCCAAGGATATGTCTCCACCCAGTTGCTTGGCATCATTTGTGGACTTCAATTTACCAATACATACCAATGGTCACGCGACCAATCCTCGGTACCCAAAATGATGATCTAGCCACATTCCGCTCTCACTGCAACATGACAGATATCAAGCTGGTGAGATTGTGCAACTTTGCATCTAATGTATGTAGCCAAATTGGCTGATGTGAAGGCATTACTGATCAAATCATATTTTTCTCTCCCTGGACTCTTAAGCTATTTATGCAAATAAGGTTAACTCTGTCTCGTGGCTGGTCACCGATCGACAGATCTCTCCTGATAAAGCCTATTGTTGGCACGGCTTAACTCACTATTGGCACACTAGTCTAACCGCCTTTAGTATAGTATCCCTTGGCACTCACTTTTCAATACAAGTGCCAGTTATCATAGTACCATAACGAACAACGTAGCCGGTTAAGCCTCATGAATACTACATAATCGGGTGACTACTAGGAGCATCCAAACTAGGGGCTCATCATAAAATACTGCGTGGCTATGAGTGGAACAAGTCCACATCATTTAATATAGTGATGCCGTTAAAATCAACACTTGTATTGAAAAGTGGATTCCAAGGGCTACTTAACCCTAAACGCGTTAGACCAGTGTGCCCATAGCCATTTCTGCTGTACCAAAAGGGTTTTGGATTTTTTTGCCCATTCTGTTTGATATTTTCAATCTATCAACATGAGGTCAAAGTCGGCCTTTGTCAAGAAGGCGCTTGGGTTGCAAGATCCGCCCAATCTACACAATAAGAATGCGCCGCCTCATGAGACAGATCCAACTGTTCTAGAATGGTTAAGCGAGGGCTTTCCTTCCAAACAGCAGTTTGGACACTATTTCGTGAGATTGCTGCCTTTCCTGCAATGGATCAGATACTATAACTTGCAGTGGTTTTTGGGAGATTTGGTTGCAGGTAAAGTGTTTTTGTTGACTCGAGTCTAACCTCTGCTAACTCTCCTAGGAATAACGGTTGGAGCTGTCGTGGTTCCCCAGAGTATGGGATACGCCAAGTTGGCTAATCTTCCTGTACAATATGGACTCTATACCTCTTTCATCGGCGTTGTTGTCTACTGGTTCTTCGCAACGTCCAAAGATATCACGATCGGGGTAAGCTACCCAGGTGGTGTCTGATCCGGTTGCATGGGCTAATCAACTGGGCAGCCTGTAGCTACCATGTCAACAGTTCTCGGCAGCATTGTCCGCGATGTCCAAGCGGGGCACCCCGAGATTCCAGGTCCGCAAATCGCCCTAGCAGTCGCCATACTTTGCGGAGCCATCATCACATTTATGGGCCTAGCACGGCTAGGCTTCATCATTGACTTTATCCCGGTTCCTGCAATTACAGCTTTCATGGTCGGCTCTGCTATAAGTATTTGCTCGGGACAAGTCAAAGGGCTGTTGGGCCAGACAGGGGACTTTGAGACGACCACTCCTTCATATCGAATCATCATCGACACGCTGAGATATCTTCCCACCGCGCAAGGATACGATGCCGCAATGGGCCTTACCGCACTCGTGCTTTTATACGGCCTCCGATCAGGCTTCAACTATGGTGCCAAGAAGCTTCCTCGCTTTGCCAAGGTCTTTTTCTTCCTCGGCGCTCTACGCACAGTGTTCATCATCGCTCTTTACGCTCTTATCAGTCTCGGCGTCAACCACAAGCGCCGCCACAATCCCGCCTTTGCTTTGGTTGGAACGGTGCCTCAGGGTTTCGACCAAGCCGGTGTCCCTGTACTCAACACCAAAGTAATCAAGCTCATCGTTTCCCAACTACCCGCCTCTGTGATCTGTCTCCTCATCGAGCACATTGCAGTCTCGAAAACATTCGGACGTGTTAATAACTACACAATTGACCCCTCGCAAGAGCTTATCGCCGTCGGCGTCACCAACCTCCTCGGTCCCTTCCTCGGTGCCTTCCCAGCAACAGGTGCTTTCTCACGCTCGGCCATTCAATCAAAATCGGGAGCACGCTCCCCATTTACCGGCATCATCACCGCCTGCGTCGTCCTGATCGCCATGTACAGTTTGACCTCCGGCCTCTACTATATCCCCAAAGCAACACTATCCGCCGTCATCATCCACGCAGTCGGAGACCTGATCGTTCCACCCAACACCATCTACCAATTCTGGCTCATCTCACCACTAGATGCCGTCATCTTCGCAGCGGGTTTAATCGTCGCATTGTTCAGCACAGTCCCAAACAGCATCTACACAACCGTCTGCATCTCCGTGGCAGTCCTATTATTCCGCCACGCAAAGGCACCAGGCCAATTCCTCGGCCAAGCCTGGTTAACCGACGAAAACAACCAAGTCCCCCTCTTCCTACCCATTGACGAACCAAAAGCAAACCCATCCATCAAAATCGAAAAACCCCGCCCAGGCGTCTTCGTCTACCGCTTCTCCGAAGGCTTCAACTACCCCAACGCAAGCCACTACTTCGACGACCTCGTCCAAACGATTTTCAAACACACGCGTGGCACAAACGTGGAGGTATATACGAAAAAGGGCGATCGCCCCTGGAATGAGCCGGTCTCTTCCAGTGCAGATGATTCGCATCTGCCGATGCTACGAGCTGTCATTCTCGACTTCTCAGCTGTCAATAATGTCGATGTGACCTGTGTGCAGAATTTGATGGATATTCGCATCCAGCTGGATCGTCGCTCTGCACCTGTTACTGTGCAGTGGCATTTCGCCAGCATCAAGAGTCGATGGACAAAGCGTGCGCTGCATGCGGCAGGCTTTGGGTATCCGCAGTCACCTCAGGAGGGGAGTGAGACAGGGTCTGAAAATCCAGGCTCGCAATCATTCGAAGGATCTACAGATGCAGAGAAGGGTGGTATGGAAATGACTGTCTCGCCTGAATTAGTGGCTATGTCATTATCGACACCTGATGCATTGGAGAGTGCGAGTCGGAGGTTTTTCCATCTTGATTTGACGAGCGCGTTGCGAAGTGTTGACGTATATTTAGCTATGAATCCTTCTATTTAAAAGAGATTATAAGAATATAAGAAAGCGTTGGTTCATATAAAATGTGCATTGCGGTCATAAACAGTCAATCAATGTTTCATGTACAACGGGGAAAAAAATCAGGGTCATCCATCACCCTCAACGCCAAATGGGAATATCGCCAAAAGAAACACCAAGATGCAATAAAACACAATCATAACAAGCCAA